GCAACGGTCAGATCAGATGTGGGATTCGGATTCGTCCGATGAAGGTTGCCCAGCTGAGTTAGTACCATATCCAGTGGACTCGGTTTTGATGGGAGATCAGAAAAAAAAAATTAGAATCTTTTGGGAGGATCCGCTCGGCGACTTCTTGCGACCGGGCGATCCACACTCTGACAGGTCGATGATGTCAACTGGGCTTGTCGGTCATTTTCTGGGCTGGCCGATGGGTGATGATGTTGATAAGATATCTCATAGCTGGTCCCATAACTACAGTCAATAATAACTAAAGATTATTTTGATTCCTCATTCCTTCTCTTCCGTTCACAGTGTGAGTTGTGGCTCGGTCGGGGGCCGAGGCTTTAGAGAATTCTGCCCGGATTTTCAAATTGTGCACGATAGGCGGACACCATAGTAGGAAGGCGGTACGCCACGCATAACAATGTGTCTGCACAAAACTATACTGAACATGCCAATAGGGAGGATACAAAGGCTTTTCATGAGTATTGAAAAGCCAAGCAGGGACTAGGAAATATGGGACTGCCACCCAGCCAGAAAACTCGGATACTGAATTAAGGAGTGGAGTCTTTTAAATGCACTGATGAAGGCCTTAAATGCACAAACCTCATTGAGACCCCGACTGCCTTGTCGAAGTGGCTCAATGGACCCTCTCTTTACATGTGGAACAGCATAATGATCTACTGGATCATAATGAAAGAATGTCACCCCTAACTAACTATCTATCGCATGACTCAACATTGAAGAAACTCACAAACTCAATTTCCGGACCTCGGGCGATCATCGTCTCGGAGACGGGAATAACGGAAACGGACAAACTCAAACAAAGTTTTTTGACAGTCTCGCAGATCGGAACCCCCGAACTCCGACGCCGACCAGCCACTGAATCTTCACTTTATGGTGGGTCCATAGTCTGTGCATAACTGAGGATTTTTTTTGGTTATGCTCTCAGCCTTATCGTTCACTGTGTTTCTTGGTTCTCTAAGACTCATGATCCCAGACTCCGTTTTTGCGGGTCAGGGTCTTTGAATGTTCCGAGGTTAATCAACATATACTACCACACATGGTGTTTTTATAGAGACAAGTCTTTCTCTCTTTGGAAAAGCGCATTAACCTACTGCTGAGATAACCTAACCCACGTGTTCTCGGCCTCGGGCGTTCACAATACTATGTGTCTACCTGTCGTGCTACCATACCCCAACTCTAAACAGTATCATGTAGCTCGTTATGAATGATCCAGGTATCTACCTGGTAAACCTTACCCTAACAATTGAGCCGCATGGCATAACTACGTAGCCCGTGGCTTCCACTAGGCCCACCTTTCTCTCCCGTGCGCGATGAGATCAACATGTATATAACCCAGTCGGATGCACGCGGGAGCGGGATCAACATGGCTCTACTCTGATATGCGAGGGGATTCCAGCTACATACTACATACAATACTCTGCCCCGTACCTTGCCGTTCCGTCCCGAACATTCCTCTTGATCACGCGCCATGCGACTCAATAGCTAATACGTGCCGATCGATGTGTTGTAGGTAATCGCTTGGGTCTGCTGACCGCAGCGGGCGGATGTTGGCGGATTGTCTATGCCTTTAGCTCAATCCCTGGCGTTGAGTGCAGTATAGTAGTCCGATGTATCCCGTGCCTCGGCGTGGGTTTTGACTAGGTAGCCTGCTCTGCACACTCTTGATAGTCACGGGGCTCGAAGGGTTTGGAGAGTAGTGTTGTACGAGCGAGAGACTGCCCGGGTTGGATCATAGCCAGTGGCTTCATTGGATTTCACTCGCAATTGATCTACACTGAGGTGTTTCGTCGTGGTTCACGGAACACTCACGGGGTTCGCTCGTGGGATATATCACCGACGTATCTGAACCACAACATGTATCGATATGTCTTTGGAGACTCGAATGAAGTACTAGTTTCTCCAAAGCGCTCGCAAATCTGGTCCCGATATTCCCGTAACATTCTCTCAACTCTGGCTCCTACCCTATAATACTCAAACATTGGAGTCTATTCCCATACTAAGACCTTGTGCCGTCTCCGCAGCTCCTTGAAAAGTATTAGTATTCCGATTCGTAGATTTTGCACTATGAACCGTCTAGAAAAAGAAGCATTTTATCTCCAAAATCACATTAGCTCTCTAATTCGATCATATAGCATCTACCTCAACGGCCAACGTTGAATAAGATGGACACTCTCAAGTTCGTCCAAGGGTTCATTTGGTCCTATAGATAGTAATGGAAGCAGAAATCGTTCACATACGACCATAGGGTGTGGAGAACAGGGCTTCCCGTCCGCTCAGCCGTACTTAAGCCACACGCCGGCCAGTCAGTAGTATGGTGGGTGACCACATGCGAATCCTGGCTGTTGTATGTTTTTGCTGTTTTTACATTAAATCTTGAGTCCTTCCAGGCTTCATTGTCCAGGTCACTCGTCGCACTGCCCACCGGAGAATGTGGTTGCATATGGAGGAGGTTATGCCTTGAGCGCATTTTCACTCGGACACACTATCGGCGAGATGCAAGGCGGTCTCACAAGTCTGCATCATTGTTGTCAAATTGCAAACCATTATGTAGAAGGTGACCAAGAAAGCCGATATGAGCGCCACCGAGTATTCGAATCTGAGTCAACCTTCACGGTGCGCTAACTGTGAAATCACTACAATGCGAACATTGGCAGCTTGGTAACCGCAAGGTAGACCCAATACCGAGACAGCTCCTCCATGCCAATGTCTGCAATCGGAACACCACCTAGGCTGTCCAGCACGCAGCCTAATATCCAATCAGTAAAGAAGATGAGAAGCAAGGCAAAAAGAGACACAAGAAGGTATCTTAGAGGCTTCAGCCCTGGGTCCGTCCCTTTCCCTAAGTAGCACAACTCACACACGAAGGTGAAGAGAGTTCCTACTATGGTCAATCCCCCAGGATGCCGAAAATCAAACAAATTTCCTTGCTAGATTCCTTGCCCTCAAGAACAGCTAGCCTGGCTAAGGAGATACTCCCGATGAGAACCGCACCTATATGAACCCCGAGGACCGCGAGGAACACGACTTTCACCTTCTGATCCCCGGATTGGGCGGGCCCGTTTGCCATGCTGTTTAGTTCTCGCGCGACTTCACTCATGTGTGGACTCACGTTGCTTGTTCTATTGCTCTGCCCTTGCATACTTGACGAGCCGACCCTGCTGAGCCCAGAGGACGGCATATCAGCCATAGCGCCATATTCCCTTGTGGAGTCACAAATTCGCTAGTCAGACACGGCTGTCTCTTGTTCCGGAGTCGAAAACGATATCTCCCCCAAGGCCGGCTGAGATTCCGGGTCATCCTGCTGAGCTTCGCCTTTGACCAGAGCATGCCATGAGCTGACCGTGAAAAACCCGATTAGCGCGACAAAAGAGACCCATCAAGCCGTTGCTGACGTTTATCAAGACTAGCTCCCAGTGCTGCCAGCATTTTTCAACGTTAGATTCGTTCAACACAAAGATGAAGAATATCCAGAGGCCAATAAGGAATTTGGCAAGGTCTGTTTTGCGAATCCTTCTTACGGGGCAGAGCGGTGCGCGGCCGAAGAGGAGGCAGGTCACCATGTACAAGGTATGTCGCTAGCAAAGCCAAATAGCTCCGTAGGGAATCAGGTAAGCTTCTTGCATGGAGAGAATAGGTGGGGTTTGGGGCGCCATGAGCGCATATTCGTCCGGGGAGATCATCCTCGAGCGGTCGAAGGGTGTGAGAAACTTGACTGGGAAGAAACCGTGCCTGGGGTGTGTTAGAGATTGAACAGACGTTGATAAGTAAAGATGCAAGATTAATGCTTGGTAGTAACAACAACGAATCCGATCTCGCAGGTTTTGCACGTAAGTCTTACATGTTAAAGCTAACTTTACTTCTAGAATAGAGCCTTCTCCCCCGCTCGATCGCCCACCGACGACTACTAGTTACAATGAATGTTTTAGGTGCAGCGAGGCGTTCCAATAATAGCGCTCCTCAAAACCGACCACCGAGAGCCAACCGCCACCTAACCCACATGTAGTACACCAGATCATGCGCATGACCTACATATTCCCCGCCCAAACATCCCTGGAATATGTCCAGGTGAAATAGAAAAAATTTCAACCTCTAGGATGGCTGCGGGAGTACGCCAAGAGTAGCGACCATGATACTCGCCTACCAAGAGATGACAACAATGCAAGACATGGTCAATAATCTACCGTCGTCCAAAGCAGAATGGAATTTTAGCAGTCCATGCTAGAATTAATATACCCTACGGATTCTGCCAGCTTATTACCGTAACTTAATAACTTTGAGCCTCATCTTTGAATCACAAATTACCGGCGGCCACGGCCTGACAAGGCTGACACCGCCGTCTATTTTAGACAGCCATTTTCGTCCGTGACATACATAGTCAGATAATTAGCCAATCATGTGATTGGAGTATGCTAGGTCTCTTCTCTCCATCTCAGAATCTTACCTTCTTCACCACCTCCAATCTTTCCTTTTTAGCCTACATTCAACAATCCTAAGTGCCTCTCTCATATTTCTCAAATCAATAGCTCTACCCATCTTCTCTTTCTTTACCCACCTCAACCTGAATATGGACTTCTTCATGAGCGGTCTGCTTCCTCTCCGCTCTTATATCCAAAGAGGGACCGACTGGTACTGCGTAAGTACACTCCGATTTCTTTTGTGGCATCTCAACACTGATAAATGCGCAGTGTCTCAAAAATTGCAGATCATATAACGAAGCAGGTGCAAAAGAATGTTGCAAATGTCAGCACGAAAAATGTGCACAATGTCAAGGTCCGACTTATGGAATATCTCAAGTGATATATATGTATATTTGCGTATGTCTTCACCAGCCATTCCATCTTAGGAAATCTACTGACGATTCAGTGTAAATGCGGTGATGGTCCGAAAGTTTATAATAATCAACCAAAGTGCCAAACATGTGACCATGAAGCATGTTCTAATTGTGAGGCTGTTAAATGAGTTTAACCATGTTTCTCTTGCCCTTTTCCCCACCGGGGTATTATCATCTGTAATCCGACGGCCACGGTGATGGTGCCCCCCGTAAGACAGACGAGACACAGCCAGTATTTCCACCATGCGTTCTCACTGCTGACTTGATTCATACCGAAAATGCTCTACTAAATTGTTTAGTACAGAAATCGATATAAAAAGGGGACAACGCACCGTTGCCAGAGTTACAGGGAGGTATATCTGACTTCCACATTAGCGAGCACTGCAGCAGATAGGTAAAGACACCCACAATACTGATATATGTTAAAAGTCGGATGTTGTCTCCCTGGCGGCTGGCCGTGATGCTCTCCGCTAGGGAGGAAGCATTCACCAGCTCGAATACTTTGTTAGAGATGCATGAAAGAACCAACTCAGTCAACTAGAACCGACATACCACATCCGACATCTTTTCTAATATTTCGATCTGCTGCTCTAGGACCATTCGAATGGTAGTCAACTCGGCAGTGAATTGGCGCAGCTGGTCGAAACACTCGCGGAAACGGTCGTACAGGGCGCCCTCGGTTTCGAGGTCAAAGTAGACGCTGTTGTTCGCGTCGAAGGATGCCAGCGTCGTGATGACTCGGGCTAGCACATTACGAAGCCTTCGTAGTGAGCCCAGAATCCAGGTAGATTCTTTCGTCTTTTTCAAAGACGGATCGTCCTCGAGAAATAGGTCATCCTAGTCAGCGTTCAGATTGTGCATCAATTCAAACTTCGACAAGCGCTGGAGAGAGTGCATGTACGTGCTCGTCGAGATACCCGGTAATGACCTCCATCGATACTGCCCACTCCATCGTGATCTGACTCATACGAATGACTAGAATGGATAGGAAATAATATCGTGGGTCCCAAATAGGAAACCTGCTCATGCGCAAACCTGACGATGGCCCGTCGACCTCATCCTGGAGGTACCCACTAATCGGGTTACTTGCTCGAAAGTATGCGTCTTCGCAGAAACAGGCTGTCCAGAAAAAGTCATCGACCCCATATACGATCAGCGATAGTTGTACCTCATAGATAGCGTCCTGGCCAGAGAGGCGAAAGAGACGGTGTTTCCGGATCCGCCGACTGTCATAAAGCTGGCAATCATCTCGCCGGAGCGCGTAATGCGGCAAATGAAATTCCAGAGTAAAACCTCGCATCTAGATTTATTGTCAGCAATTCTTCAGCTTCGTCTTGCATAGTGAGAATACTTGAGAGACCCCCATATACGAGTCAAATGCCACGTATCGTGACAAAAAAGACCGCACCTGGGGAAGGTGCATGTAATTGACATTTGAGATCAAGGCGAGGCACATCAAAGGCGTCAAATCAACCAAATATCTTTCTCAATCAGCTACTGTTCGTCGATCATAAGGAAGACATACATGATTCGGCGCTCTGCACGGCCTGTTCTCTGGGCTTATCAGTAAAGGAGAAGCTTGCTTCAGATGAGAAACAAACGTACATCCTGATGAAGATGGGTGTAGAACATCTCTGCATCTACCCCGCAGACACAAACATGCAATCCTCCAGGCGGTCGTCGCATGTACTCTTCGGACTCCCATTGTCGAATAGGCAAGAAAGCCGCACTTTCTGGCATACTCGTGATTTTCAAGTACGGATCGCACCGGTCATCAATCATGGCAAGCACACGTCTGTCGGCTGGGGAATTTTGGCCCCTGATGACGTCCGGGAATGAATGCAGTGCCCCAGTCTGTCCGAGAAAGAGTCTCAGCAGTTCATGGCGGCGCGGCGGGGACAGATCCGGGTTGAAGCTGCGAAAGAACTCGTCAATCACTGATCCGCCGGTGGGAACTCGCAATCGATTATCTTGGCCATGGTAGAGAGTTGCCTGGCGGATAGAAAAGCCTTTGCGCCACTGGAAATAGTGCAGCGGCAGATGACGAGACTTGACAAGCGTATCCATGGAGTGGAAGTTCGGAGAAAATGCTCAGAGAAACCCAGAAGGCTTTCATCTTGTGGGCGCTTAAAACATAGCCACAAGCTAGCCTACTGCCGCTCAGCCTCATTTGGGCATCTGCATGGCAAATTTCGGTCTAAATAAGCAAAAAGCAACCTTGCTAGGCTGTGAACATGGGCTGCAGTTGGGCGTATCGCAAGGCATTCTGTAAGTCCTATACATCATCAGGCGAAAATTTGCCTAGTTGATTATTCGTATTCATAAATCATGCTCCCGCAAATGCCGGTAGCATATTTCTGGGCAGCCTCTAAGACCAACCTCTAGCAAAGCCTAGTCTTTTAATGTTTGAGATTGTAACAATAGTATAAAGCTTATTCTGGAGAAAAAAAATGATGTTGAGAAATAACTAAGCGTTTCAGACTTGTGGTCGCGAAGTACCGGTCGATGACCTGCTGTCGGTCATATCACGAATGACACAGCCTTGAGGGGAGAAATCTCAAGGGTAGATCGCAAAATTGAGAAGAGATGGCACTTGCACGGCCATATAGAGAAGGATTTCTGTAGTGGTGTTGATGGTGGAGTGTGCTAAGCTTTAAGCTTAGAGTTGATAGCCTGTTTTATACTCTGAGGAGAGAAGATTTAGGAGGTTTGAGTCGAATAAGCCAGACAAGGCCCCTCCATTGCCACGTAAAACACAGGGCCTTCTACTCCATACTAGCGGTTTCATTACCATACTTGATTATAGGCACACAACCACTACGGGCTACATAGTAGTGCTCTACCACAAGCAGGAAGAAGATGCCAACACCGGTATTGCTTCTTACTATACTGTCAATTGCGGAATCATATTACGTCGTACAGAATGTTGATTGATGTCCAACTTGTAGGTGGCCTGGACATCAAGCAAACGACTTTGGCCCAAGGCAACATTGAAGTCAGCCTCGCTGTTCATTTGGCCATCCGGGGTTAGTATCCGATGGATCTACAGGTGCCAAGAGAGTACAGATTCAGCCTGATCAATGGGGACCAATAAAGCTTCATCTAAGCCCAATGAGAGAGGGTTGTCCAAGGTCATTGTTTGGCGATTGTTGTTCTGTCAGTGGATATTGCGGGAACTCTACTGCTTACTGCTCGGGCACAAATTACTATAGTGGTTTTTGTGTTGCTTAGATGTGTTACAGATAGTGCTTAAAGTTCGTTCAATCCCAAATGCCTCATGCTACCAGTCTGGTGGAATCCAGTAATCTCTCCAGGCGCCACTATCTGCATCTCGGAACGTTTCAATGCCTCCTTTCACACCCTCATCACCAACTCTCCATACACCATTTTCGATCAGTTCGGTCCAATAGTCGAATAGCCTTTCCATCCTCTGCGAGCGGTGCTCACCTCCAAAGGGATGATGGCAGCCATGTTGGAAAAGCGCCGTGAACGAGCCCGGCGCAATTGGGTTACCATCGCTCACTCGCGCCCCATCATCACGAGAAACATTCCCTAGTGCAAACGGAAGCAGGAGGCGGAATCCTGCCTCCTCTGGCTCAAACCTACTCTGAACTGTAGGCTCGCCATATAATCCTATGAATATTGGAGTCCCCGTGGTCAAAGCCACATCTTCATCATAATGACGTTCGAAGAATAGCCTTTCTAGTTCCATGTTCAAGTCGACGGTTTGTCCTGCGGCAAAAATAGAGACTGCTGGTATGGTTCCCTCGTAGTAAGGTATACGAGTAAAGCTCTAGCACCTCGCGAATGCATCCGTATCATGTGGCACCTCGAGCCCGGGCGCGATAGATTTGAAACGCGGGGATTTCATCCGTGCTAGAACCAAACGGATAAAGTATTCCTGCGGTACAGATGCCGTATCTAGTTCTGCATCTGTGAAGAGAGCCCCAGTCGTTGGCAGAAGCGAGTCGGTGGGCATTCGGGATTCGACCGCGACTAGATAGCGCTCAATCGCACCGATAGTATTATCAACCTAGGCATCGCAGTAGGGAAGCCACGACCATAATCCCTCCTGGGCTCGGTGCTGAGACCTCTCCTCTTGCGATAGTCCGGCGACTACCTTACCAAGACGAATCAAATGGATCCACTGCGTTAGAAGGGTCTCGAATAGGAACCACATCTCCTCATTTTCGTCGATAGGCTCGATATTTTCAGTGGATCCGATAGTTAAAGGGAATGAAACCCTATGGAGCTGCTGGTCGTAGATAACCCCAAGACATTGGTTGTATACATCAGGCGTGGTATTATAGATCACAATAAATCGCGCGATCCCTTCATCTTCAAGGTCGTTTTCATCGGAGGGAAAGGACTCGTCACAGGGTTCCATTGAAAGTCCAACGACCCAGAAGAAAAGTTCCTGCGTAGGACCATAAATCCTATCCAGCCAAGCGTTAAGCGACGGATCCAGGAGCTCACAGTCTGCATCTGGGGTTCCACTCATCGCTGAAGAACCTTTTCCCTTCAGCTAACGCTGTGAGGTCTGGTGTATCTCGTCCGTGGTGGGCCATTCAGCCGTATGCAACCAGGTAGTTATGCAGTCTGGCGCAGCGCTCATAGTCGAAGACGCCGTCATCGCGTGCGGGATTTTCGTCGGAAACCAAAGCGTCCTCGATGTCGAGTAGTTGCTCGACAGTCATGTTTATGGGCGGCATATCGAGGGTACGGGGGGTGTTTCATTAGTTACGATCCATACCACGGACCCCCCTTACCCCGCGGAGGGCTTACTGCCCACATAATCTGGGCGACCATGATGGTTGGAATATATTAAAGTGGATGCAAAAGAAGGCGGTATCGTGCCTTTGGAATTACAATTGGGGAGCATATCATGGACTCTCCCCAAGGAATACAACGTCACGATCACCAACAACTACCGAAGACTCGATTCCCCAATGAGCTCGACATTTTGGTCGTCTGGTATGGACCTGCATGAAGGTAGCCAGCTCGTGTCGGGCTCAGAAGACACATCATCTCTAATGATGAGAATCCAGAGCGTTGACCACACATTAGAGGAGAGGGGGAAAAGGGAATGAGCTTTTTTCCAGCTAAGGATATCTCAAAGTCCGATGTATCGTTTGACTGCACTGATTCGAATAATTTCGTACAAAAGGTCATGTTCTCAGGAATCAATCGCGTCAAGATGGAAGAAGAGGGTCGGCTCCGATGCTTTTGGAGGACTTGAATCTTGCTCTCAAAAATAGTAAATCATTGATATAGCGTCTTGTCAAAGCTGGCTGTGAATCAGATCTACAATCTGGGTTACTTGCAGTGCGAGCAAGGTGCGACTGACGTTTCTGGCCGCAGCGCATCATCCAAAGCTCAAGGAAGACGAACGCTGCTGGTCAAAACATTCTATCAGATGACTGTGACGACTTGAAGACTTTGAAAGCCTTGGATGTTCAACAAACGATTTCCAACATCGACTATTTCCCCAGTACCTTTAGAGCGTGTTTGGAAGATAGACGCGAGACATGTGATGCTTGTGATGTTAAGACCGGCGGGGCGGACACATTTATGCGGATGAAATCCGTGGCCTCTGTCAAAAATTTCATGAGGCTGTTCATACACTCAAGCAGTAGGTATAGTCGAAACTCATCGGTCAAGAGAGTCTGGTTTTTTCGTGAACCTATATTGTAGCCCTCGTCCCTGGCGATTACATATAACATAAGCCAATAACCTGTTTGGCGTCCGAAGCTCCGGACGTTACCCATTGCAGTGGAGTATATAGGTACCAAATTTAAAGAAATATATACTTTTGGTCAGTCTACATTCTATGGTCACCAATCTGAGTAGCAACTCTTAGCCAAGCCCAAGCCCAAGCATACGAATTCCAAACGAATACCAGCAAGAAAAGACATACAATCTTACAGATCAGCTCGATATTCGGCCGCAGCTTCGTCCCTCACCACCTTCCAAGATCTCCTCGGAACTACGATTTGCCCAGCTCAAAGGGCACATAATGGGAAATCTAAAATCAAGTCTGCTTTTCGTTTTAATGTTGAGGACCTTTCCGCGAGATTCGCGGATTAGCGCAATGTTAACGTACACCAAGCAAAAATGTGTTGTCTTTGCTTCTTCTGCTGGAAAGATATACCTTGACAACATCAGAGCATCAAAATTCCAAAGAGTCAGCTCAGCAAGCCTAGATCAAGTTCGTAAGATTGATGTGTGCGAGGACCAGTTGATTTTGACATGTGGCCGAACAAGCCTTGCTTGAATTTACTGACAATGGCACAGTGAGCACACACGTTTCGTTTACACCTGTAATATGGAGATCCGCGAAATGGACGCCAAAAATGACAGCTTCCGGTGCCAAAATCATCCGCCTTTCTACCCTAAACCTTTGGCGGCGATCTCTCGCTGGACCTGTCCTGTAACAAGGAGCCTCCTCCAACAATATTCATGAACTTCAACGATTGCTCCAAATCTATTAGACATATTCAGCGCTAGCCAGAACAAAAATTGTCATCCTAACATATTCCCACCAGGGGTATATTATTGATCAAGAGGGAAGTTCATATGGACGCGCAGTGCCATCCATTTCCGGCTTCAATGTATATACATCGTATGGCTTGTTTTCACCTGGGGACAAATGTCGTTGTGCAGATTCTTGCTCCAGGCCATTACGTGGTAAGTCAGTCGACCGACCTTTCTTCTTGGCCTTGTGTAGCATGATGACAAGAACAGCAATTATGCTTATCCCCACCACTCCACCGACTACTCCACCCACGATCGTTCCAGTGGCTGTTGAGGAGCTAGATTTCGAGACTGATAGTGATGTGGTGGCTCTACCAGTATCTGATGCTGAAGAGGGGGTAGTTGAAGTTGGCAGCGAGCTTGTCGTGGTAATCGTTTTTGTCGAAGTAGCCTTAGTGATATTGAAATAATGTGTATTGAAACCCTCTGTCTCATTAAACATTGCAGCGATGTAGTAGATGTCCGACCCCGTCATTCCCATTATGTTGACTATCCAAGGAAGTGAACCATTATTCGGGATATTTTCTGGAAAGAGACAAAAATGCGTCAGAACTCAAGACATCGCGTATAGTTGGATTTCATTAGCAAAAGACATGCCTGCAATATTGTTGCATAGCCTGCTGTAACTTAGGGGACAACCGTTTCCATCACCTGCAGTGTCCTGGAGTAGCCAGAGGTCGATATTCTGGTGAGAATCGACTGTCCATATCAATGATATGTTCTGGCCAACAGTGAAGCCCAAGTCGGAGATATATTCGCCTGTATCGCCAGCGGTAGGAGGGTAGATGAAGCCATGGTCCGCGGCGGCTATCTTATGTAGGAGGAAATATACGAGTAAGACAAGAGTCGACATATCCTTCAAGGGTGGGAAATGGTGTCGCAAAAGTTTGTGGACAGTGCGGGTTTTTTATGATCCTAAAGGCACTTTTAGAAGAAGACAACAGCAGGGAAATTCTAATAAAGGAATTTCAGGGACATATTTGGGTGCTGTTGGACTGACCCTTCACTAAACATGGGTGATCTTTTGGCCCCCATGGATTAGTGATTGGTTTCATCTTTCGCGCAACATCGATGGATATTATCATTCAATTCCCAAGAAAGTGTATGAAACCGTTCGACTACATCTTTTAAAACTAAATGATATGGAAAGAAACTGGTTGAATTAACCTAATTGACTTTGTCTGAATGGAACCGGTCAGATTGGCTTTGACCCACAGGGCCCCTATTGCGCCCTTTCCTAGATCCCCAGACCCTTTCTTTCCACAATTTTACTCTGAAACCCGCTAATATGCATGAACTCATTAGTAAGGACCTGTATGGATTTGTAGCAAGGCATGGGTCGGGACGGAAAAGGATCATCACGTCCAATGATTCGCCACAAAACCCCTGCATGAGCGGCTTGTGCGGTCGTCGCGCCAGCTCGAAGGATTATCAAGCCCGACAGCGCCAGGCTAAAGCGGATGGACAAAAGAACAAAACCTCGAAGAATTTGGTCATTATTGGACAATAATAGCAGGCCAGTCTGAAATGAAAGGGGAGCGACCACCTCACAGCCTCTGCGCGTGCTTATAACTCATCCATTGTCGCACTCTATACCGGCAGCTCGTGAAATCTTTCCCTATGCCAAAGTGTGCAAATGTGCCTTCTGCCGGCGTGCTCTGTACTCTAGGCGCTTTTTGGGTGAAGAAGTTTTAGGAGAGTGAAATACCGCCTGAAACAGCCTTAAGCTACCTCAAACCCGCCTGGTTAAAGCAGGGAGGCGCCCAGCACCGAACGATGGGCGCTAGGTGAGCCTGACTATTCTATTGGCTATTGGATGTTTGATGTTTTGTTTTGCTTGTGGTAGACATAGATAAGCGCTTATACTGTATAGCCTAGTGATCAACCATTATGGCAGTCTTGTCGTGAAAAATTATCTTGAAGTAGAAATGGTATAAGATGGCAATCGTTCATGCATCATTGGTTCATGTTCATGTGAGTTCATCATTCAGAATTCTAAGGTCTCTATGATTATTTTCATGCAACAAAGGTCCCGAAACGCCCGGTGTAATATCCTCATGAAGAAAAGAAAAGAAAAAGCCTGCCTTGCTGGCCAGAGTTTATGACATCAGCCAACTCATGCTCCGTTTGGCTTGCCTCCGCGACCTCCACCACGACGACCTCCCCGGCCGCCTCCTCCTCGACCGCCACCACTACGACCACCGCGGCTCTTCTCCACACCACCTCGATGACCTCCGTGGCCGGCGCCAGGGCTTAGAGCATCGCGCTTCTTACCAGGCTGGTTGCCGCGAGGTCTAGGAGCGCTGTATCCGTTGAGGTCACCTCCAGTTGCGTAGTTGAAACCAGGGACACCCTTCAGACCCATCTTGCCAACGACCTTCTTGTCCATTGGTGGGGGCTCGGGGCAGGCCATACCCTTGATAGCGAGCTCGTTGGCGAGTTGGACCAAGCCGGTCTTATCGAGACGGACCTGTTTGAGAAGACCCGATCCGGCAAAGAAACCAATGTACGAAGAGTAGGCGCGTTGCTTGATTTCCTCTTCAATCTTGTACATAGCTTGAGTAACGGCCTCCGTGCATGCAGTGGCACCTTCGAGAACTGCATTGGTTTCGGGGTGAGGCTGGATGGGCAAGTGGCGGTTGACCTTCATGAAGAACGACTCGGCTGGGGTGAGGAGGATAATAGCACGGCCGTCGTTGCCGGCACGGGCAGTACGACCGACACGGTGGACGTATTGTTCGCCGTTTGAGGGCAGACCAACTTGGATGACCAGGTCGACGTTGGGGAAATCCATGCCGCGGCCGATGACATCGGAGGCGAACAGGATTCCGGCAGATGCTTCCTTGAACTGAGCAGTGGTTCTCGTACGAGCGCCCTGGTTGAGTCTGGAATGAATTTCAAACACCTTCAAGGGAGTCAAGCCCTGGGCAAACACCTTGGCCATGAGAGCAACCATATTCGCAGTAACGCCGAAGACGATGATCTTCGAGCATTGCTTGCTCTCGATGCTCAATAGGGATGTGAGTGCTGTGAAGGTCTCTGCCACGGATGGAATGATGACGTGGTATTGGGGGACTCTCTCGTGCGTCGGTGTCTCATTCTCTTGAATAGTCGATATGCTTGCGTAGCCTGGGTTCAAGACCACGTTGACGACGTCCTTGACCTTGGGCGGGATCGTGGCCGAGAAACACATGCCCTGCCAACCTTTTTGCTTCTTGGAAGGAATCAACCTCAGGATTTGCTTTACGTCGGCCAAGAAGCCACTCTCGAGCATCGTATCGGCTTCATCTAACACGAGGGTTTGGATGTTGGCCAGTTTCTCGGCGGTGTACTCATCAGACAGGTAGTCCTTTAGACGTCCCGGAGTCGCAACCAGAACTGAGGGTGCCCCCTTCATGAAACGGGAGTGAGCAGACGCGCGGGCAGTACCTCCAACTGCAATGTGACACTCCAAAGGCTGCGCAAGCTGCGAGGTCAACTGATCACATGACTTGGCGATTTGCTGGGCGAGTTCTCGAGTGGGCGTAATGATCAGAATGGCGACTTGGCCTCTGGGAGGTGCAGCCCGAGCCTCAAGAAGACAGTGCAAGGCTGGAAGCAAAAAGGCAAGCGTTTTGCCAGTGCCCGTTTTGGCTTGAACCAGGCAGTCGGTGCGCCAAGTGGGAAGTTCCGTCAAAACACGCTGTTGGACTGGGGTCATAAACGAAAATCCCATCACGTCGAGCGCTTTGAGGAGCCTGGAGTCAAGCTTTCCAGCCATGCTGGAGTACGGCTGAGCACCATCTTGAATTTCTATACCTTCCATCATGTTGAGGTTTGATGAAATTCAAAGTCCTCGAGAGTTGCGCTTGATGGAAAATTTAAGGGTAGGGGCGCGATAAGGAGTTAAGCCTAAACGGGAGAGTCTAACCCGATCGGGTATTATGCGGGTCTTCCGATTTACAAGGCCCGCGTTGACTGATTGGCTGGTTTCTCGTGGCGACAGCAAAACGCAGAGAAATGCAAAATTGATGGTTTTTTCAAAGACTCGAGTGCTCCGATATCGAGAGTCAGTCGAATGACACACAACTGAATCAGTGAGCTGTATTTTGGACTGACCTAACTTATATCAATGCTTTCTTGTCACTTGAACCACCACCTGAAAAGTTGCTAGATAAATGCATAATATCCTCGAAGCGGAGAATATACAATCTCATTTGTTCATCATATCAGGTCTTCGACAAAGTAGTACGGAGAACCAAAGGCGCTATACTATTCACACTACCCGTCTCATCGACATTAAAAACAAACTCATCAATCCCCACATTACCATAAACTTTCCCATCAACGGTGACCCACGCAATACACGACGACGTAAAAGGTCCATTCCCAACCGTTGATAGTGTAGGAGGCATCAACGCTCTGAAGGAGATCTGGCCCGGACTTTCAAGTCCAGTCGGATATAACCGAATACTGAAAGTGGACGGATCTTGGGTATGCCCGGCAAGAGTCATCATAGACTCAATCATGTTGGTTCCGTTATTGACCCAGCTCGTAACTAGCAAACCAGGTCCGTCATCTGTTGTGATCGCCATCGAAGAGTTCGTGCCATTTGACGCAGCATAATTTCCTGCAAATCGTGTGGTGGCTTGGCTTTTGGCGCTCGCCTCCAGACCGGGAATCAGTCTGGCTGAGATGAGATCCGCTGCTAAAGCAACTTTGGCGTGACCGTCTGCACCCGCGGAAAGAACGGTGACGCCGACATTGTGGTCTGGGGAGAGAGCGATGGTGGATGAGTAGGCGCCAATATCGCCTGCCTTTGAATAAATGTCGATAGGGCGCTCGTCACCAAACGAGACAATCTCCCACGGGGCTCCAACGGCATAATCCAGTGACGATGTATGGGTAATGGGCTTCATCCATCGTCTCGTGATTGATTTAGGAAATAGCGAACTACTCAGGATTGCTTGGCCCAGAGTTGCCATGTCCCTTGTACTTGAGAAGATACCCCCAGCGCTAGGTCAATCAAAGTTAACTTCCAGTATTCACAAGGTCAGGATTGAGAAGACTGGACTCACGGTCCTTCATCGCCGAGGTCAAATTTCCACCAGTATTCACCAGAATCCTTAGGAATCACACCAAGAGATATGCTGGGTGTCTTATAGTATGTTCCATTGAGCCCTAGCGGTGCAATTATATCTCGTTGTAGTAGCTCTTCATATGATTGGCCCGTCATGGTCTCCAATGCATACGCAAGAATCTGGAATGCTGCATTGGAGTACACTGGTGTCGAGGATGTCGGTACAATGGGATGGCTTTGAAGCAGTCCATTGAAGAATTCTACAGCAAGTCTTTCCATTAGCCAAAGCTGGTAACAGGTGTAGAGGTATTCAACAACGCACGTTCTCTGCTGCAGGGATCCGGATTTCCACATGATGGAATCTCAGACTGTGGGAGCGGAGGGAAACCCAGTTGTTCCATTTGAGAAGCCATCCCCACAAGGTCAAGTACGCCGTCTAGAAAGTTGCATCAGAGTCAGTGCGGCTCTCTTAATGATGACAAAAAGGAGAGAAAATACTTACAATCCCTGGCAACGCCGGCCAGATGGCTAGCTAATTCTCCTATCGAGACCTCACCCCAGTCAAGATGATTAATACCATCCCGCCTCTTACGCGGATCCCACCGAAGCTTGCTAGCAGCCTCGCGCAGCTCGGGGACAAATCTTGCAACGGGTTCTTGGAAAGGCCAAAGACCCTCTTCGACCAGGAGCAGCACCATAGTCCATAGCTTTGATACACTCCCCACGCGGAACACCGTGTCTTGGTCGACGGTGCTCACACCCAGAGTAATGTTGATATTGTCGGCAGTGTATGCGAAATTTAGCAACGGGGCCATATCGCTGGCGTCAAATAGCTGTACAGAGATAGAAGTTTCAGATAGACTGCCATTATTGGTGGCTTCATCGAGAATTGAAGTTATATCCTGGATTGTTGTCGCAAAAGTTGGATCGTTTGATAGATTTGTGGGGGGTGGATAGACTGGTCCAAGAAGCGGACAATAGTTGGGAGATTGTGCACTGGTAGGACCGAAGAGGGCGAGTAAAATGGAGATCCAGCTTATCTTAAATGAAGGCATTATGAATAAAAGTGTTTAACGTGGCGTCACGATATGGTGTTATTCAGCATCGCATTACCGTCACAGAAGTGTTTGCCCAACTATTGCGAGTCCAATCATGCTTGAAATTAGTCTCGCGTCAAGTGTCATTGCTGCGTGGTATTTACCTTTATAAAAGGAATTCCAGAAATTTATCGCACTTATACCAAAGCTCACATGCACTAGACAAATTCTCCTTTGTTGTGCAAGGCCTGGACCGTGATCGAAGGGATGGGGATGGGGGAAGTACAAGCCATCCCGACGTCGGATTCCGAGCATGAACAAGCACACCCCTCATTATCACTTCGAATAAGGAAAACTTAGTCGGTAGTTGAAGGCTTTAAAAGGTAAAGGGTTGTAGCATTCCTGATGTCCAGAGGCATGTAGGCGCTCCCGAAGTCCGAGTCGCGCCAAAACACCTTGATTCGGTCAGGGATGCCACCCTTTGGATTTTCCCCTAGACTCTCGCCATTAGGGAACTAACGATTTATGATGATAATTCTCATTACCACTACGAAATTTCATTCAGATGTGAACAAAAGCTTAATTTATACGTGGTACAGACCCGATGGCACGAGATCGATTCAGGGTCCTGACCGTTGAAAGCTAATGTGACATCGGGTAAATCATCCATACTCAATTATCTTTCCAGATCCATCACCTCCTTTGGAGTTTCGTAGGAGATCAACCCTACTTGTGCTAGTCTTGTACCACACACCCTCGGCATAGAGAACTGGACATGTGTCGAGATGTAGAAGCATCATCCCTTCCGCTTTCGCGACCTTGCTTAACCCCAGAAATCCAGGAAAAAGCTCCCCTTTTTGACAACAACCAACGATTAACCACTGACCATGAAACGAAAGAGGAGGAAAACAGGTCAATCAAAAAATGTGTGAATTTCTAATCATAAACAAAGAAAGCTATCATCATCATAACCTAAATTTCTTCTTTTTTTTGCCCGGAAAGGGTATACCCGAAACACTCACTCATCAAACCAAACTCTCAATTTAGTGGTGGAACAGACGAACACCCTGCTCGACGAAGGTGATACCCAGCTTCTCGGCAGTCTCGAAGACGGGGGTGTCATTCTGGCTGCCGGTGGGGGCGGCAATGTACTTGACGCCGGAGCGGGCAGCGCGGAAGACGTTGTCGATGAAGGGGAACTAGGGTTGGATGGTCAGTGCGTGTCCTAATAGAACAAGATATATCAATCCAAGGAAAAGAGAAACTTACGAAAGCATCCGAGGAAACGGCAACCTCGCCGAGCTTCTGGAGCCAGGCCTCGCGCTCCTCCTGGGTGAAGGGAGCGGGGACCTCCTCGAAGACGCGCTCGTACTCGACCTTCTCGGCGTCGTTGCGGGGGGTCTGGCCTGAGCAGAGCAGGTCAATGGCGTTGCTCTTGTCGGCGCGCTTGGTGCCCTGCTTCCACTTGATGTTGATGACACGGTCGTGGAAGCGCATCCACCAGTTATCGGCCTTGTCACCGGCCAGGCGGGTGCAGTGGATACGGCTCTGCTGGCCGGCACCGAGACCGATGACCTGGCCGTTGAGGGCGTAGCAGACCGAGTTGGACTGAGTGTACTTCAGGGCGATCGTGGCAACGGTCAGGTCACGAAGAGCAGCCTCAGGCAGGGAGGCGTTCTTGGGGGTGATGACGTTGTTGAAGGTCTTGCTGGGAGAGATGACGACGTCGTTGCGGTGCTGGGTGAGCTGAACACCGTACAGAGTGCGGGACTCCTCGGGAGCGGGGTTGTAGTTCTCATCCATCTGGAGGACAAGGTACTTGCCACCCTTCTTCTTGGACAGGATTTCCAGAGCCTCGGGCTCGTAGCCGGCGGCAATGACACCGTCGGACACCTCGCGAGAGATGATCTTGGCGGTGGGGGTGTCGACGATGTCGCTGAGGGCGAGGATATCGCCGAAGCTGGACATGCGGTCGGCACCACGGGCACGGGCATAAGCCTGAGCCAGACCAGATGACTCAATGCCCTTGATGTCATCAACCATGTAGACCTTGCGCTCCTTCTCGGTCAGAGGAACACCGATAGCGGCACCAGCGGGGGAGACGTGCTTGAAGCTGGCGGCGGCGGGGAAGCCAAGAGCCTGCTTGAGCTCCTTAACCAGGGGCCAGGCGTTGAGGGCGTCAAGAAGGTTGACGTAGCCAGGGGCGCCGTTCAAGACCTTGAAGGGCAGCTTGCCCTGGGGCATGAAGGCAGAAGCGGGCTTCTGGTGAGGGTTGGTACCGTAGCGGAGGGAGAGCTGAGACACACCGTTGCCAGCGTACTCCTTGCGGAAGAAGCCAGAGATAGCAGTGTCATAGTCGGCGGTCTGCTCGAAAGCCTTCAGGGCGTACTGCTTGCGGCTAGCAGCGGTGATCTCACCAGCCCCAAGCTCCTTGAGGAACTCGGGGTAGTCAGTGGGGTCCGAGAGGATAGTCACACGCTTGTGGTTCTTGGCTGCGGCGCGGAGCAGAGTCACACCACCGATATCAATCTCCTCGACGGCCTCGTCGATAGTGACGTTCACCTTGGCGACGGTCTCCTTGAAGGGGTACAGGTTGCAGACAACGAAGTCGACCTTGGAGATCTTCTGCTCGGCGAGGTCCTTCTCGTCCGACTCGATATTGCGGGCAAGGATACCACCGTGCACGGCGGGGTGGAGAGTCTTGACACGGCCACCAAGCATCTCGGGGGCGTTGGTAATGGCGGAGACGTCCCTAAAAAGGTATTTTTAGTATGACAATCTTTGAAAACAAGCATGGGCTCCCATGCATCTACGTCACTGCGTCCTGATGTGTGTTGGGATTCGCACGAGACCAAAGGAGCATACTTACTCAACGGGGAAGCCGGCCTCACGAATCATCTTGGCGGTACCGCCAGAGGCAAGAAGACGGACATTCTGCTTGACCAGGCCCTTGGCCAGATCCAGCAGTCCCGTCTTATCGTAGACGGAGACGATAGCTGTTCCAAAAGAAACACAAGCATGTCAGCATTGACTCCGGGCAAAGACCTCCAGACCACCGTGCCATGATCCGGGGAAACAATATCACGGCCACGCGCGCCTACCGGACTTTTGAGACATGATGTTGGTCGACACTGTAAGCTAGTCAGCAGGTCAGACCTCAAGACAAGCTTCAATTGAGCTTCAATAAAGATAAAAACCCGATTCAACATACCTGATTCCAAGCAACAATGGAGTATGAAAGCTTGAATGAGAGTGAGGAAGAAATATTTCTGTCCCGCCGCGGGGTTCGGCCGCAATCGGACAGAGGGGTAACATGATACGGGCGGAATACGATCAATACACACCAAATGATGAAGCACGTCTCAGAGAAAATTACGGTACGAACTACATCGTCGGGGCCAATCGCTGTGGTGGTATGAGTCATCAGATCAGGTGACTCACGGGCGCCTTCAAAAGCCAATTTTCGCCGCGCCCGTTTCCTCTTCTTTTTCTTTTCTTCTTCATGAACAACGCAAAATAACAACATTCTTCTCAAAAAGCGTTCCTACGAGGACTCGTCCAAGGAAGTAAGGAAATCGTCATAGAGAATGGAGACCAAGTACAGCTTGACTGGACAGGGTCGATCTTGGGTGCAGTACCTGCCTGGCCTTCGGGTTCATGTGGTAGGAATTGCAATGATTGATTCTACAACCCTCACGTAAATTTTCAAAAGTTATATATTTAATACAAATCTTCACATTACACTAGCTTCCAGCCTTTAACTTTTAGTCCGAAAGCCATTTCGTATTATATTTATCAGATGAGAACAGACCCCCGCATAATAAAACGTGCCGTGCCCAATATCAACAAATCGCCTATGCGGTGTTCCTGAGCCTCAGCGACGACAACTGCTCTGAACGAAAATCGAGAAAATCTCATCTTCATGACTTGAGGGTATCATTGCTGCGAGCACCAATAGCGAGCTGACGGCCAATGTTGCCAAAGCACATACAGGCGCAGAAAATAACACTGGCGACCCAAGTGCGGACCGCAATGCTCTCCTGGGAAATCTCTGCCCCCAACGCATGCTCCCACCCAGTTCCGTTCAGCAGAGTTGTGCCAAAGGTCGGACCGTTGGACGCGGGGATCAGCTCTGGCTTCAAGCCCAGAACCACACTCATTCCGGTCAAGCCAACCGTGGTGGAAAGGAGGAAGCCGGTCGAGGTGCGATCAATCAGGTACCAGAGCACGGGGTTCGCAAGGGCAAGGGTCAGTGAGGCTTGAGTGGTAGATTGCCAAGGGAGTCGTCGCTAGAAAAGACTGATAGTTAGCAAAAGATCCATGGCAAAAAGATACTGGAGGATGGGCAACCCGAGGGTTAGTAAAAAAAAGATACGAGGGACTGACCATGGCAAAGGCAATGCCGACAAATGCACCGACGCTACGAGCGACAGTGACCCATGATGGGGTGCGGTTTGCATCGTCGTCCTCCTTGGAATCATCCTCCGCGGACTCGCTGTCGCGCCAACCATCCAACCAGGGCAGAATGTTTCCTAGGGCGATGCCCGCCATGCCCCAGAAGCCCAAATATTGCCATGAGTCGTAGTAGTGGATGTTCTCCAGCTTCACCGGGGTAATCCAGTGGTTATCGTGCAAATGCACAGTGATCACACCGTAGACGATTCCAAAGCCAAAGAGAAGAGCACTGCTCAACGCTTGCGGCAGGACGACACCTCGGAACATGCCATGACTTAGTCGCGAGCGTGTCCGCCGCAAAGCCAATCGACGAGGTTCAATGGCCGACTTGACTGCCGCTCGCTGCGATGGCTCTGGGGGATGTTGTGCCGCAGGGGTGTGGGCCTCCGTGCCCCAGGGGCTAGACTCATCACGCAGACTGTCGAACGCGGTCGGGGAGTAGATACCGTAGAGAGTCGAGGAAGTCAGGTTCAAGATTGAGCCCGTGCGACTGACACTGGTCGAATTGGGTGCCGTGTCCGCGCCTGGGGCATTCAAGAAATCGGGGTTGGAGGGTTCGCTCGGCGTAGGAGGTGCGGAAGACTCGTTGGACGCAGGTGTGACCTCGAAGGCACGACGTGGACGCGGCCGCAGAATGCGAGGTTGTTCCGCCATCGTGTACGGGCGGTTGCAGGTGATCTGTTTTCTCGAGAGGGTTCCCTTTGCTGTTGTAAGGGATCGTGTCGAACGAGAGACACGGTGAATTTCCGAAGAGGCTCTGATTCGGGCGTAGTATTAATGTCACGAGTTCGTAACCACGCAATTCCGCTATGAAGAGCTTCCAAGCAAGGTGGAGGATAGGGCAGAAAAAAAGGGCCGGATTAAGTAGCTTCAAATTCCGGTCGTGCGACGCGGTTTCTGTGGCCGGATTGTTGTCAGCAAAATTCTCGGCGGGATGGTGTTGAGCGGGAACGGGCACGAGCTCGTGCGGAAGGATTCCCGTGGAAACCCTTACCGATACTGCAGTAACTTGCCAGCAGGACGGGAGATTTCGCGGTAGCCCGTATCCTGTGCAATGGATTCTGGGTGTTGGGTAGAACTGGGAGAAATGTGAAAGCCAAGTGAAACTGTTGGGGAAGAAAACAGAATACGTCAGTAACAGCCAGGGTCTTTCGGAGCGACTCCTCCGTTGGACGGAGACGGAGTCGGTGTTTGGCACACCCGAACTTTGCTTCTGTTCTTACTTTTCAGCCCTTGACCAGTCCCTTAGGAATCCACCCTGGATTCGGTGGGCGAATAGGAATCTGAAGAGTTCACTATACTAATGTGCTTGCTGCTGGTCTTCCCGAGGTCGTGAATCAGTAGGATCCGGTAGTCACTGTTCACAGCTGTCCGCCTAAAGGTTTCAGGTAGTTCAGAGGGTCTCACACGAGTAGGACTGAACAAGATCGAAATGAGAAGAAGACTTTGCGAGAGAAGAGAAGAAGAGGAGAAAAAGAGGGGCCATCACATGCCTTGATGTCAGTCCACCGCAAGCTGCAGCTTCGACGTCTTGGTGGCACGGTGGAGAAGGGGGCGAGGTGGAGAACCGTTGACTCGATGGGCACAGAGAGAGAGAGAGAGTGTGTGTGTGTATTGTGGGGGTATTTCCTCTATAGCGCTTCATTCTGACAGAAAGACGTAGATCCCTTCATATTGAGATGTGATGCTCGAGTATTCTTTAGCCCACGGCTCGGTGGACCCTTTTTCTACATACTTGAAGTGTACCATTGCCTAGAGACATTATTATTTTCGATCAAGAGCTTGCTAGGGACTATCAGTGCAAAACTAAAACTACCCTCAAGGCTCTCGAGTGGCACCTGACACCCGGCTTCTTCCATTTCGAAGGGCCTGAGACTCGAGATGCACAAGCCGCTGATCCAATAGACTCGGCAAGCGGCGCTTTTACGAGATGCACCCGGCTGCACGTCTGTGCAAGCCAAGCTTCGATCAAACAGTGAATGTCAGCCGCGTAGCTAATCATATCACGCGGAGATAATTGCTCTGTCTTCTTAAGGGCAGGGTTGATTCGACTCATCCAAGAAGCTTTAGGCGTGCGCCCGTTATGGCCGTCCCTGCTTTCCACCACGGCGTTTTTTCCCGATTGGATCTCGCCCCTTGAACATTACGTGCTTTATTTACACAGGTCTCAGGCTAAAATAACTAGAAGCTAGGTCACATCTGAGGGTTTGGCCTGTCCGGCTAATGATGTGAAATCGAGCTGAGTCGCTTCTCGAAATCTTAACATGGCAGAACGTGTTTGGTGATGAATCATTGGAGCCCTGTTGAAGATAAAATCCCAAAAAAAGGTTTGATTCAACTTAGTTCAAGATTATTAGGAATGATTTGTGTCTTGCATGGCCTTATGGAGCGTTCCATGTCCACGACGTGTTACTTCTGCTAAAGAAAACCAGCTACTAAATCAATATTAACTAGACCTAAACACAAGACACCATAAATATGGGGTGATATTAACGACACGACAGAAAAGTTCATGGCAAGACGAGGCCAGTCCTATTGAGGAAACCCCCCTTTCAATACAAAATGCTACATTCGAAATTCACAAAACACCTACCGAGTCATTATGTATAATGCATATTAATACTTCTCGTTAATATCTTTAGCGACTGTATACGCGATCTCTATCTATTTATCCCTCTAATAGACTAAGTTATTATTCTACTCGCCCTCCTACTATCACCCTTTTCAATGGTCTTTTCAATGGTCTTTTCAATGGTCTTTTCAATGGTCTTTTCTATGTCTTAGAAAAGATATAGGCTTATATATACATAAGGACTCTACTGGTATTTTGTAAATCTCAAATGTAGCATTCTGTATTGAAGGGGTAGCGCTCCTCATTAGGACTAGCCTTGTCGTGCCATGAACCTTTCTGTCGTGTCGTTGATGCCATCCTAAATATGATTATCTGGAGGAGTCTTCGTAAATCGAGATTTAGTTTCGAGACCTTGCAAGAGGTATAGATGCATTTTTCGCCACCTCTTATAAGTTTGATCCGGTAACCAGCCGCCGGAATGCAAGGGGAATTGATATCATAGGATCTCAGATCATCGTAGATCGCGCCATCGACATTTATATTTGGAAGACAAATCACCGAGGCTCCATCGTGATCTCAAAGCTGCAGAGCATGTTACCTTGTCACCCCTAGAAGATGAGGCAAGTACCATAATGAGAGCATGTCTTCAAAATGAACCAGTTAACGGCCGAACCCGGATTCTCGGAGATATGAGTTCATCCAATTGATTGACGCATTGGATAGCTTGACTTCGATATCATTGTACAGAAAAAAGGGAGATCTAGGCTCTCGATGGCTATAAGAAGCCATCTATTTGCACTGCTTCGTCAAGTCCACCATCCCATTCTGCTCGCTACTCTCACGGAAACGAAAGCCAAATACAAACCCTACAACACAATGCATACCTCCATTGCGAGCCTACTCACTCTTTTGATTCCCGCTACTCTCGCGATCCCTAGAATTAGCCCTGATAACTCGGGCTTGGATGCCTCAGTGATTCCTTCAGAGGTCCTCTACTACTACCGATACCACCACATCCCCCTGGATGTCTACATGCATGGACTCACAAACAATATGCTCCTCGACGAAGACCAGGACGCAGAAACCAAGGCTATAAACGAGATGGCATGCGGTCCCGAAAAACTCAGAACCTGCCCATCTCTACAGTGGTACTGCAACGCAGACATGGGCAAGTGCAGTATCAAAAAGCTCATCGGAGAGAGGTGCGACTCCGACATTTCCTGCTTCTCCGGCAATTGTCAATCCAAATGCATCAAGTCCGACGGTCAATTCGGTGCTACATGTATAGACGATTCTCATTGCAACCCGGGACTGGTCTGTCGGTATGGCTTGTACAATCGTGATCATAGACAGTGCCTCGACACGATGAATAGCTTTTATGGTGTCTCGTGCACTGACAACAATGACTGCGAGAGTCCACTGGTCTGCAATGAGGCCACCATAGGAGGGGCCAAGAACATCTGCAGACTGCCGGAAGATCTCACTGGCGTTGCATGCGTCAATAATGGCGACCTCTGTGGAGCGGACAGCCAGTGCTGCTCTAATAAGTGCCGAGTTACGGCCACCAGCCGTATGCCACGATGTATGGCATAGAATTGTGCTCGCTGGCAGTGAAGAGTGGAATCGGGGGAAATAGTCAAAGTTGCGCTCTCTGTTGGTCCCATTGGTGAATGAACTAATTTGTTTTCCATTGCACAACTCTCGTCTTCTTCTAAACTAATCTGACACGTTACCATCTCTTTGAGTGTTATTCATCTCATCCCACGGAGCAAAATTATCACAATGTTAAAGGATCAAACTCTCGATCAAGTAGCTGCTTCAAAAGACTATTTGAACCTAGAGCCGGACTTTGCCGGAATCGCTCAGAGTTGAGGTTCCCCTTGACCATGAGTTGTTCTAGTTCCTCACAAACCGAGTGGGAGTAATGGCAAGCAAACTCTAGGCTTATTACACAACGGAGTTTGTTCTGAAACCCGAGATCAAACGGTTTTCGTGGGGAACATCAATTGGACTACCATATACCCGTAGTACCATTAACTTTCATGCGCATCGAAGAACGTGTAGAGCAACTTCGGGCATGTGACCCAGCGAGACGACAATCACCAAGTGCTTGCAGAGCGAAAATATTTCCAACACTAGCAAAAGACAAAAAAAGAATATACAACGCTGCACAGGCATTCTGAGGTTGGAATTATGTAAACGTGCATCCGAGGCAAAGAAGCCGATCTGCCATGATGATTACTCTACTTCCGTTCCCGTCGGCCGGATTCATTTGCCCGAACCGAATTTAGAGTTTACATACATATCTGCCTTATCTTCAACGCCTCGAACGAATGCTCGCTCTAATTTGTATCGGATATCGAAGATTTAGCCTAGAGGCTCAATAACCTTCCAGTCATGTTGTCAATCAATATCTCAAAACATACCACGCCTCAAAATTACGAGCTCAGCGAGCTTCCCGCACCGACCGTGCAAGATCCCAATGACATCGTCATCAAAGTCCATGCAGCCAGCGTCAATCCGATCGATGTCAAAAAGGCATCCGGTGCATCAAAGGTGGTCTTGAAAGACTCGTACGTTCTTGATGCCCCATTTCATAAGATGATTGGTTCTGATTATCCCTGGCGCCAGCTTCCCGTACAAGATCGGCTATGATTGCGCAGGCACCGTCGCGGAAATCGGATCTCAGGTTACTAATTTCAAGGTCGGCGATGAAGTTTTTGCTCGGCTTCCTGAATGCCATCGAGGTATGACCAATGAAAGAAAAAAGTCGATGTCCAAGTCGCGACAATTAACGTGACCAACTCATGTATAGGGACGTGGAGTGAACTGGCCAAAACGACTGAAGACTTTGTCGCTTTGAAGCCAAAGAGCCTGTCTATGGAAGACTCCGCATCGATTCCATTGGCGGCTATGACCGCTCTACAGGCACTTCGGGGGTACCCTGGTAGTCTCGAGGGGAAGACGGTGTTTATACCTGCTGGATGTACGTTTCTCACGAATTGCCTTGTCGTACGACAGAAGCTTACTTTCCGGCAGTGAGTGGCACCGGACTATTCGCCTGCCAGCTGGCCAAGAACGTCTTCAAGGCCGGTAAAGTCATCACGACCGTTTCAACTTCGAAAGTCCCTCAAGTAAAGGAACTTCTCGGTGATGGTGTCGTGGATGAAAGTAAGGAATTCGAGTTCTCACGCTTCTTTTTCGATACTAATTAACGAATCGATGGAAAAGTCATTGACTACAGAAATACGGATCCAAAGACTGTCATCCCTGCGCAGTCCGTCGACTTTCTATTTGATACAACTGGAGACGCGATGACCTATTTGTCACAGATGCGACCGACCGGCGCCATAGTCTCCATCTCCATCATGACCTCAGGAGAGACCTTGCAAAACTCAAGTCTTATGCGGTTGTCGCCTGATAAAAACAACAGAGCGACCGTGCCCTATCCCGTCCGCCTTGCACTGAACGTCCTTGATCGAATCCGTGTCATGCGCGCCTCGCGGTATGGCGTCAAGTATTCATCCATCTTCCTAGAGCCGAATGCTAAAGATCTCAAATCGATTTGTGAGTGGGTTGAATCGGGCAAATTGCGTACTGTCGTCGGAACCAAAGTGTCGTACAAAGACATCAAGGCCGTTCGAGATGCGTGCCAAGTTGTGTATGATTCGAAAGGTGGTGTTGGGAAGTCGGTGATCACGTTTGTGTGAGAAGTGTGGGCTTCTCAGCGGCCAAAAGTGGTTCTTTGTATTTATACACGCATCAACTTTTAATAGAACTTTAATAACAATGGAACCGAATGATGACTTGATTTACCCATCATATTTGCAGCTGTCGGTAAAAGTCGCCACCCTGCCCAAGATGGGTGGCCAGCCCAAGCTGCCACCCCCGCAGGCCAGAAAGTCAAGGGCAGGGGACGAATCATAGCAGGATACCACAAATCAGCTTGCCTTCGAGGTCCAATGAACTAGCTCCAGGCCACCTCATATGTAGACTGTCAGATGATGGGCAATAAGCAAAGGGTAGACAATATTACTGGGCACGTTGTTTCTTATAAAGACTACCTTAGGACGTCACTTCCTGTTTCACGTCTCGTAGTTCCAGTCAAACACGTCCTCAGCACAAACGTCTCAAGTCTCATTAGAGATACTTCCTACTCAAAGCATGTCCTCCTTCGGTAACTTCCAAACACTCCTTGACTCACAGGTCGGGACGCTTCCAAAACACCCTTCCTGGCCGCTCCCTAAGGGTGCGTGATGCGGACCTCCGATAGCTTTCTATTCTATAAAGCCCTGAATCGCACTAATACTTCCTCCCAGATAATACAAGGAAGCAAAGGGCCATCCCACTCAATTCTCTACGCTTCCAGGGCGCTGCTTGGGCTGCTGCGGGTGGCAGCATGTCCGCGACACTTCTCGGTGCCTTCAAAATCTTCCGTAACTTCCGTGGCTTCAAATACATCTGATATAGGCCTTGCCCAGGGAGTTAGTGCATCACCAAGTTGTCGGTCTTTATTGTTCAAGCGTTATCCAGATTGAATGTGCATATGAAGGGCCCAAGTATACTATAATCAATTTAATCAAAAGTCTAGTAATGTGCAGTCTACTGAAAGTACTCGGCTAGGGTGTTGGTTTTAAACATTTGGTAATTCTGATTGATTCGTTACGTTCGTAGCATAAGCAGCAGTCCCATCATGAAAGCCTTCTTCTAATCAAGACTTTCTTGCATCAATCTTCGGCTGAGATCGGTCTGAACCCATTGCTCGATTAGCGACACGGTATCCCCAACTAGGTAGTCATAATTTGCACCCTGTGGCACAAACATGGACTGATGCGCCATTACTTCATTCATATCCTGCATCAGAACCGGTGTCCAGTGAGAATTGTCATTATACTTCCAATGGTGAGATGGCAAAAGGATAAACTTGCGAAGTTTCCCTTTCAATGTGTCTGCGTCGAGTTCGGATTGCGATGTCGAGATGGAGACGGCTTCGGAGAGCTTTTCGTGTTCTGGATCGAGAGTCGTCGACGATGCGATGCTAGAGGCTTCGATCGATGGGCGATCGGTATCTGAGCTCAGTTCTTGGGCTGCGAGAGTGGAGTCTGATGAGATAGACTTTAAGCTTTGGTTATCGGGTGATGAGGTGCTTGTCCCGGATGGGACTGCCTCTGATATTCGCAAGGCATTTGGTATCTCAGGAGGTTTCCGTGTAGGCGGAGGTGGGGGTATCGACTCGCTATCATCGCCGAGTTTAATTCCTTCCACGGAAATCTCTGGCATGTCTTCGATTACCTCCTTCTCTGCAGGCTCATCTGTAGCTGTCTCGTCGGACTTCTTCGACGTCTCTCCCTTGGCTTTCCGGGATATTCGACCGGTACTGGTGGTGTAGTAGTTGACGAATCGTACTCTTTCAGGCTTGTATTCGGCATCTTCTAGCTCTATCAGGCGTCGATGTCGCTGGCGAAGTTCGGAGTAGTTATTGACACAGCCTGCAAATCTCATGGGTGATACCAGACGGTCGAATATGGAGCGCGAGAGATTGTCGGTGTTCTTATTGACAAAGTGCATCACACCCTTCAGGAATCCACGTTGAACGAGCCGAACATCATTTCTGAATGGCGGGTCAAAGTTTGGGTTTGCAGTGGCGGGCTTATAGGCAGGCTCTAAACCAAGAGACTCTTGTTCGCCCGCAAGTTGGTCTTCAGGGGCTACATCTTTCCTCGGAACCGAACCCATGATCCCCGTGGGGATTACGCGGGGATGAAGCCCCAAGAAGGGAACATCAAAGTTCACAAGTCCCAGGATTCGATGTTTCGGTCGCCCATTTTGCTGTAGGAGAGCAACATCTGCGGCAAGAATCCCTCCAAGACTATGCCCCAGCAGGATGACATCCAAGTCATCGGCTTCATGAGGTGATAACCTGGAAGAATTGCATTAGTACATCCCATTGGAGCCTCTTCTGCCGGGTGAGCGATCACAATGATGACATACCAGGCGCTGAATTGGCTCACTGCTGTTTGTAGCTCGCCATGAGACTTGTATCGAGGATAAATGCGAGTGTATACCACATGCGACTCGCTCAATAAGCCCGTGACTAGATCATGAATATGTGCTGGGAAGTCATGAAAGCTGGCTTCGGAACCCATGAAGCCATGAATGTATATCAGTAACAGCCTGCGTTTGTCCATGCCTTGAAGCCCTCCCGGCAGAGCTAACGACAGGCTGGACAACGAGCGATTGGCATGATTGCGGATCCCTCCTTCCATCGCCGGGTCGGACAAGGCGAAAGATGGTGGTTGAGTTGGTTACTGGACGCGACCAGTTGACATGATAAAACAAATTCTCGATCGTGTCTCTGTCCTCGGGGGCACAGCCACAGCCACGAGTCATAAGAATCACTGGAGTGGGGGTCCGACTTCTGCACGGACCGATTTTCCACGACCAAATGAGTTGGCCAGGTCGAAGGTCCCACCTGAAGGAAGCAGTGGCTGGCAGTGCACGAAAGGGGTCGATCAAGAAATCCCAGGTGGGACAAGCTTATCGTTGCGGGCCAGAATGTTTGTTGATCCGTGATGATTGGCTGACCAACCATTTCCGATGGAACTCTGTTGCCTGTTTGGGCATCGCGCGCGAGTACGAGATTCGCCACTCGCAGATGATGTCGTTAAACTCAGTCAAAGGATATGAACAACAGAGTTTCCGGATGCCTTTTGGACGTGGATTGACCATCTCCCTTTCATCCTTTGGAATTTGGATGAAGATCGACCTTGAGCCTCACAAACATGGGAAAGTCACCATCCCCTGGATCTGAACCAGGGGCCTCCCAAAGCCCCCCACCTTATGCCCCATACCTCGACCCCCAACTGACTGCTGAATCCGGCGATGCACACAGTATGCCAACTACTTGGGAAATAAACTCAAGAATCGAAGCTGACTAGATCCCTTAGCCGATGGCCGTATTGATGTGCGTCTTGATTCCAAGCTCGCAAAATCCCTGGCTCAAATCGCCAACCAACAACAAGAGGATCTGTTTCGTCCACCACCCAAGGCTCAACCAGAAGGGCCAACCGGATGCGATGTAAGGTTGAACATCGTCATTCAGATTGTGGGCAGTCGTGGAGATGTCCAGCCCTTTATCGCACTGGGCAACGCCTTGCAGAGCCATGGTCATCGGGTTCGCATTGCCACTCACAATGTGTTCCAAGACTTCGTGAAGGAGTCGTTCCTGGAATTCTTCCCTATTGGCGGAGATCCAGCGCAACTCATGGCCTACATGGTCAAGAATCCCGGTCTGATCCCGCAAATCAAAACACTGCGCGATGGAGAAATCAAAAAGAAGCAGGTCATGGTCGCTGAAATGCTGGCCGGCTGTTGGAGATCTTGTATCGAAGATGACCCGGTGACACAAGAGCCGTTCGTTGCGGACGCGATTATCGCAAACCCACCTAGCTTTGCACATATCCATTGTGCGCAAGCCCTAGGGATCCCCGTCCATCTAATGTTTACCATGCCTTGGAGCAGCACCAAGGCATTTCCTCATCCATTGGCCAATCTCCAAAATGGATCCATGGAAACCCCAGGGACAGCAAACTGGGTTTCGTATGGAGTGGTGGAATGGCTGACCTGGCAAGGGTAAGTGATCTATCGAGTCAGTCTTTAAGATGTGTTTCTAAGCCACGTTTCCCTCAGACTCGGCGACGTAATCAATCGATTTCGGTCTTCGATAGACTTGGCGCCCGTACCAAGGACAGAAGGACCTTGTCTGGCCGAAGCTCTGGAGATTCCCATGACCTACTGTTGGTCTCCTGCCTTAGTTCCAAAGCCGAGCGACTGGCCAGCTCATATCGGTAAGACTGAGACCACACAAATCTCAAACAAGCAACTAATATCACGATGTTGAACCAGACGTTTGTGGGTTCTTCTTTTCAGATCCCCCTGAATACACACCACCTCCACAGTTGGCCGATTTTCTACAGGCCGGTCCTGCTCCTGTGTACATAGGCTTCGGTAGTATTGTCGTCGAGGATCCACAGAAGCTTATCGACACGGTCCTTGCGGCAGTCTCGAGAGCTGGTGTACGTGCGATCGTTTCAAAGGGCTGGAGCGAGCTGGCCGGACCAGCTGATACCAACGTTCATTACATCGGTGATTGTCCACATGGGTGGCTCTTCCAGCATGTTTCCGCTGTGATCCATCATGGAGGCGCCGGCACGACTGCGTGTGGGCTGCTGAATGGACGACCAACCACCATTGTACCCTTTTTCGGCGAGTAAGTCTATTCTTTCCATGGATATGGTGGACGATGTCCCAGATTCTCTTTGTTAGGGCGCACTAATCGAAGGTAACTCTAGTCAACCATTCTGGGGCGACATGGTCGCAAAAGCCGGTGCTGGGCCTGAACCAATCCCACATGCCATGCTAGATCCTGAAAACCTAGCAGAGGCCATACAATTTTGCCTCACGCCTGAAGCGGAAGTCGCTGCAAAGGAGATCGCTCTCAAAATGAAAACAGAGACTGGGGTAGAGACAGCTGTCAATTCCTTCCATCGCAACTTGCCCTTACAAAGGATGCGATGCAGTGTTATTCCGGGCCAACCTGCAGCATGGTCTTATACTCAGAAGAAACAGTCTTTGACTCTTTCCAAGGCGGCGATGAACATTTTGGTTGAATACAAAAGGATAGACACGAAGAATATCAAATGGTGAGTATACCTCTTTTGGTCCCCTTCCTCGCTGCGTGATGCTTATGATGCCAGCTACGCTATCAATCCGATCATCATTGAAAATCGCCGGTGGGACCCTTTGACTGGAGTGCTATCCGCCGCCACATCGACCGGCTCCAACATGCTACAATCGACCGGCGAGATGTTCTACAATCCGTACAAAGAATACAAGAAAAGTCAGACGGCGAAATTATCCGAGGCCGAGGACGGTTCGTCAGGCTCGACAGCTTCAGTAAACCGATCCAACAGTGATCCCTTCCAGACAGCCGCAAATATGGCGGGAGCCACATTACAAGGATTCGGCAAATTCTCAGCCACTTACTTCCGTGGTGTGATAGTCGACATTCCACATGCAGCAGCTGAGGGCTTCCGACGAGCGCCTCAGCTGTATGGTGAGAAGCCCAAAGAATACGGGACCGTGCATGACTGGAAATCAGGAGCGATAGTTGGCGGCAAGAATTTTGTGGGCGGTATGACGACTGGTGTCACGGGGATGATCAAGCATCCTTTGAAGGGATTGATTGAGGAAGGATCAGAGGGTGCAAAGAAGGGACTCATCAAGGGTGCCTTGGGAATGGCCACCAATATGCCTTCAGGTAAGTCCGTCCTCTCTTTCCATGAGAATGAATTCCGCTCTAATGGTTGGGATGTCAAGCTGGTATCGGACTCGTGGCCTATCCGTTCCATGGTATCTCAAAAAGCATCGAATCAGCCTTTAGGACGAAGACACCCAAAGCTATCGTTGCTGCACGGCTTCGAGAGGGATATGCTCTCACTGAACGAATGCAACTATCAAAGGAGGAAAGAGAAGAGGTCGTCCAAGTATTCGATGTACTTTTATCATCGATGAGCACATAGGCCTCGATAATACTGGAGTGAGGCCGTTTCTATCATAAGGGCTGGACTAACCGCCTCCAATCGCATCTGAGAGGGGACTTATTTCATTTGGTTTAATATCAGCCTAAACTACCAAAGACGCAGCAAGCATAATAATCCCACCAAGGCCATCCATGCCAGAGCACCATTCCTCCCAATTCTCAGCGCTCTCCGATTGAGAGACATTTAAACTAAAAGACCCCGGTAAAGTATGCATACGGTTTGGCTCCAGCCCGCCCAGCTTAACTACCTGACCATTTTTGGTCAAGCCAAAGGCAGGCTTGATTCTGTCAGCATTTTTGCTTTCCACATGCCATGACAGCCCATCGTTTGCCTCCCATAGTCCTTTCGGGGCTGGCAATGGGGCTACCACAAATACCGAGGACATATCGCACATGGACGCTGGTTCGAAATAAACGAGTAAATTCACGATCCGGCATATTGCGCATAGCCTGTTCAAGACGGGTAAGTAGTCTGCGATGGTTTGATTTTCATGGATAGATCAAGTAATCACCTTCGCTCCGACTCTTCGAAAATCCAATCTTCCCATTTTTGATCAAGACTATCCGCGCGGCTTGCCGATTGCGATTTACGTACAATATCGTAGCACTGCAGCTGTTTAGACATTGCCTATATAAGGAGTATTAGTAAGATATTGCAAGGAAGACGAAGAAGTTCAAGACACACAAATACTGCTGCAAGCAACAAAGAATCGAAATCATTCTCCTCAGTCGGACCTTCATCCAGTCGAACCAGGATATAAATGCAGACGGCTTGCATAGCAGTGAGAAGTTCCCACTTGCTCAACGACAGATGCTATATCATCGAATTAGCATGCCTTGCCGCTGATCTTTATCAGAACAAAATGGAGAACACACGTCTGAAAGCAAGCGCTCGCACTCCAGCCTCACATTCTTCCAAAACAGCTTTCGACTTCCCCTGACTTTCCTTCCAATCATATGAACCAAGCTGACGCAATTCACGAGTGGCTCTGTATTGCCTTGATCGAAGTCGGGAGATATCGTACGTGGATGGATGAAGGGCGGGAGTGTATGGTGGTGCATCATCATCCGGAGGTATGACTTCAGCGTATGCAATATCAAAGCTGCGGTACCTTCCCCTCCAATTTTGAATCTCACTCGCTTTACGAGTGATCGAGGGTTGGAAGTCACCTGTGCTGGTATTGATAGGTTGAAGTACGAGGTTGTTTGCTGTCCTTCGACAGGGTACCACCCCGACAAGGGAGTTTGAATATCATTTCGATGCCCTTCGAGACCCAAGAAGCTGGAAAATCCTAAATCCTGGTTGATGTCATCGATAGAAGCGTCGCCGAAATTCGTGGAGACGAGATCTGACGGTACAAGCACGCTATCAATGATTGCGTCGACATCGCTGTTGGTTGCCAGGGAGCTTTCGGCGAAGACATCACTTTCTGGAGGCGAAGGTATCGCATTCCTTCGTCCAGTTGATACGTTGGCAATCTTTTGAATCCTTGCTTCCGTTGACTGGCGCGAGCTTGCCGAATAGCGACACTCGATACCCTTGGTGCTGCATCTGGAACAAGTTGGCCGCTTGGTATCGCAACGAGTCTTTCCCTTTACACAAGAAGCACAAGCGCGAAGGCGGGGAGCACTCCCAATCTGTCGAGAACGACAATAATATCCATGTCGCTTTAATGTGGACTCTGAGATGTTATACCATGAGACTCTAAGGCTTATTGCGGGGCCGTTGTTGGGGGCCATATTGGCTCGTACTCACGCTTGTCAAATGGTTTGTTGCATAATCCGCAACGCAGAACGGATTGTGAATCCCCGACGGGCATTTCGAAATGAACGGCAACAATATGTAAATCGATCGGAGAATCTTGAAGAGAAGCTCTTCCATGACGTACGTTGCTACCTCGCCTCGCAGGGGGGTCCAATACTAGCATTTGTCAGCATGTCAGCAACCCAGCCTTGGAGAAAGATCACCGGCCGGAACATTTTGTAAAGCAGGGTTGAATCTGTTCAAGAACTCCGGCCTCCTCGTTCTACGCATATCAGATTGAATGTGTGTCCTGGAATTATAATCATGCATTTGCCGGACCTTTCAAATCGTAGTTCCGATGTCCGGCTTCACAATTTGTACTCTTCCGTTCGTAACATGATCTCGCTGTATGCCAACTTGTATAAGAATGGAGCTGATGAGCCGAGTGTCGTGTCTTCACTCACTCTTCAAATCATCCAAGTGAATATCTAATATCCATCGAACGCCATGGCAGCTCCATTCCCATCTCCAACATCGACATGGCACTCGAATACCTACCCGACCTTATCCCCAACCCGTCCCGAGCTCTCTGCCAAGGGCAAGACCGTTCTGATCACCGGGGGAGGTACTGGAATCGGTGCAGAAACCGCCGTATACTTTTCAGAGGCCGGTGCATCTCGGCTTGCTCTTTTGGGCCGCCGAGAGCAGCCTCTGATGGACACCAAGGCCTCTCTTAAGCAAAAGTTCCCCCACGTCGAAGTCTTCATTGCTCCCACGGACATCACAAACAAGAAAGAAGTGGACAAAGCCTTTGAAACTTTCCTCGGGAATGGCAAGCTTCATGTCTTGGTCAGCAATGCGGCAACCATCGGGCCTCAGGACAGTGTGGAAGATGTGGAGAGCGAAGCCTTTATGGAAACTATTCACCAGAACGTGAAAGGATCGCTTCTCATCGCCCAGGCTTTCCTTCGATACGCTGCCTCAGATGCAGTCGCTATCGAGACCAATTCATCGGCGGCACATGTGAACTTCGGCTCCAAATTTGCTGCCTATACCATTGCCAAATTGGCAGTATACCGACTCTGGGATTCCCTGGCTTCTGCGAACCCGAATCTCAGCATCTTCCATGTCCAGCCCGGTGTAGTGGACACTGCAATGAACAAAGAGGCAGGAGGGGTTGCGGCTCTGGGTATAGAAGATCACGGTAAGTAAAAAGGTGCTCATTGAAGGGGGTATCAATGCTGACTTCAACCCAGTTTCGCTTCCTGCCAGCTTCTATGTCTGGTTGGCCAGTCCCGAAGCGCAGTTCTTGAAAGGTAAATACCTGTGGGCCAACTGGGATGTCGACGAGCTCAAAGCTAAAGCTAAAGAGGTTGAGGCGGGCCCTCAGCTTACCATTGGACTGGTGGGATGGCCGTTTCAACAGAAAGACTGGGAACTTCAGATAATTCCCTAAGTCATGAACAAACCGGGAGCTGTGGGGTGTGATTGGATTGGAGAGGAGGGTCAATTTTTGTAGCTTTGATTAAGAAGGAGATGAAATAGATCGTTTCACTATGCATTTATGTTCTACGAATCTAAACTCTAAGATTGCATGGGACAAAGGATGCCCGAAAGCGAGATTATGCCGTTCTTAACTTTGCTGATTTGAGGGTGATAGCCACCTGCCCCCTCAAACTCCGCCGTGGATAGCAGAAAATCTAAGTGGTCAAAAAAGAGGTCATAAATTAACTTAAATGGAATCACTGTTCAACCAGACACGAAAAGTCCCGTTCCCAGCCAGAAGAGTATGATCATAACACAAATTTGGAAATTACCGAATTCCTTATTCCTCCATCGCGTCGTCTCCACCATCGCGCCGGCTCTCTGGAACGGGCGAAGAGCTTTCTTGTCGTGCATAGCCATTGGGTCCATCGTAGGTGGACGAGTTCTCGTCACCATCCACGTCGCCCTCGTCATCACCAGATTCGTCCGAGGAATCGCCTTCCCCATCGCCGGGACGCTGGGCACCGTCTTCCTCGCCCGAGGCTTCACCCAGGAGCTCGCGGTCAAGTTCGTCCAGCTCTCCTTCGATATCCTCATCACCGGCACCATTCTCGGCGTCCCAGTTCGGAGTGCCTGCGGCCGGTGTTTCGGGACCTCCCGTAGCAAGACGGCTGCGACCAGCCTTGGCACGAGATCCTGCGGTTTTCTTGGCCGTGCCAGGAGTGGAAGTCGGACCGGTGGACTTGCGCTTCGGAGCGGCACGAGGAGCGCGCGGGCGGGCGCGGTTACTGCTGGCTCGTACATCTGCCTCGATGGCAGCCTTGACCTTCTGTCGCTCTTCGCGCTCCTTTTGACGGTCCTTTTTGGGTCCGTTGGCATCTTCATAGTCCCATCTGTCAAGACGGCGCGCAGCCTTTCGAACCACGGAGAGGAAAAAACTGGCGCATTCACCATAATCGTCCTCTTCGCTGGGATTGGGAAGCAAGCCGCCCTTGCCCCATGACTTCTCCTCTTCCTCGGTATCGTAGCCATCTGGTAAGCCCTGTAGAAGACGACCATATCGGACGCAAGGAATCTCGTGGTTACGCTTGTGGCGCAAGACACGATAGGCATTGCTTTTGCGCTTTGCGAGCAAGTATTCAATACGCTGTCGGCGATTCTGTTCCACCGCAATCTGGTGCTGCGTGAGGGGTCGTGGCCGACGTCCGGAGGCCTGAGAAAGGGACGGCTCGGGAATAAAGCGGTTCAGCACGGGGTGATTAGAGCCCGGGGGTGCCGGTGAAGCATCTGGGGTGTGATCCATTCTCGTTTTCAAAATCAGCCGCTGCTGACCAACTGCCCGAGTCAGCGAAGAGTCGCGTTTGGCCTGCTTGTTCCGAGGTCGTGAATAACCAGGAGTCGACTCCTCGTCGTCATCATCCAGGCTACGCTTAGCCGATGGATGAAGAGGAGTCGACATCGCGGAGCCCCGACCTCCTAGGCCAGAGTAGTCTCCGGCAAAGGAATCCTCGTCTAGACCGTAATCTGGATACCGACAAGTTAGGACACGAGAACGTAGTGCAAGAGTCAGCATATATGCATACCTTTCCTTGAGCGCTTTGGAACACGAGGGAGAGGCTCATCCTCCTCCAGGATACCTGTGGGAAAGACATCAGTACACGATTCTGTCAAGCAAAACCGTCAGAAAGTAGGGTACTCACGCTTGCGTTCAAGTCTTTTGGATTCGCCATATTCCAATTCCTCTGGTGTGTCTACATTCTCTAGGTTCGCCTGATCCTCCGTCAAGCTCTCAAAAGCAGGGACCTTGATAGGGAGGCCATCGGTGCCTTCGCCATCTAGACCAGCTCCAAAGGGATTGTTGATCGCAGCTTCGCGCGTAAAGTCACTCTCCAAGTACCACCACATAAGCCACAAAAATGCCTTCGCACGAGTCTCACTGCTCAATGTGGATCTCATGACTAGATCGAAAAAGTCGCGAGGAGGGAAGAAATGCATCTCGGAGACCTTGGGTGCATATTGCGCCAAGACGAAGATGAGATTCACCGGATTCGTTCGAGGGAGAGCCTGGCGCTTGATCTTTTCCAACGTATTGGGTTGATCGACGTCCTCGGACGCACCCTTTAAGATGGATTTCAGCCGTGGGGCATCCTGGAGCTGTTTATAGGCGTTGGAGTCTTGGTGGGCTTGGAGGGAAGGGATGGAGTGGTAGGTTCGCAGCTGAGCACGCATTTCGGGGAAGACTAAAAGGGATCAAAGAGGTTGATGTCAGTATCGCCAAGAGGAAAAGACAAGGAGAGCGTGACATACAGTTAAGGGTTGTATTCATGCGACCAAAATTGACCAACAGGCAGACCATGGCCATGCTGATAGCGGCCGGCTTGTCATTCTGCAGCTTATCTTTCAGAATTTTGCTAGTCTTGCTGCTCCTTGCCATGGCGTCGATGTAGATGTCGGCAAAGTCGCAGTTCTTCTTGCCATCGGGGTATCGTGTGAACACGGGGGTCTTATCCTCAAAGACGAGTTTGAGGAACTGGTATTGGATATCTTTGCGCCAAAGAGGGATGCCATCCTCCTTTTTCAGATGCCTGATCTTGTTTCCAGAGTAGACAGAGCCAATCGTGCCATTTGCTTGACGTCTCGTACCGACCGTCGCGCTGGCCGTCACGTTGTGAGTCTGGTCGTCCGCAGCCTCGGAGGCTGCGACAGATTCGTCGATTGGTGGATTCTCGACTTCGGCCATGTTGGGGATGATTGTGATCGGGTCTGTCGATGGGTGCGCCGTGCCAGCTGTTAGGACTCAAAGAATCGAGTGTTGGAGGGGGTCGTGTTGCCCCCTTAGGAGGCGCGAGCAGAACAAAGATGGGGACGATGAAGGAAAAGGATGGAAAGGAACCAGGGCTGTTGATGGGATTTAACGATGAAGAGGGAGAGGTGGAGGGGAGAAAATGAGGGTTGCCAAGGGGAGAAAGGGAAGGACCGGAAAGGATGAAATTGTGCCGAGTGATCCTCTGCTGCTGTTAAGCTGGGAGAGGTTAACGGGGCTAATCTCCAGTAAGGTGGTGCGGTCCCAGTGATATCTACCCGCATCGGGGGCTCCGCGTAACGTGGTCAGGACGCGCCCTGGTGTCCTTCTAAGGCAGACAGATTAGCTAGAGTACGAAAATTGCGAAATATTAACAAGATCAACTATTATTAAATTGATCGATCAATCGGGTATTTTTATTTTTATTTTTTTCTAGCTTTCCCTATTTCCTTTCCTGACTGAGAATACAATGTCTGCGGCGGCATGGCGAAGTATAGAGACACAGCCGGCGCGTCACTCTATGTGTCTTCCGTACGAAAGTGTAATTACGGCACTCTTTGCTCAGGTAGTGGCCAACAAATCACTAGAACGGCCAACTGTTGATCATTTATGATTCTATGCGATTTCGTGTCTCGTAATGTATATCATGAGCGCGCAATCAAGCAATGTATGTTAGATAATAGGTACTTGACTAGCATGTCATTTCGGGCTTAGCTCCAAAGCACCATCGACGTCAACAGATCATCTACTTCGTACTCCAAATACCTGATGGACTCAAAACATTTTATAAATAGCATTGAAACTAGGTAAGAAGGCTTTCCTTCTCGCGGCCTCGAGAATTTGTTTTTCCAGGCCCCTCTGCCTCCTCCCAAACTCGAACCATGCGAGAGACCCATGATGCCTGGGAGCAAATTATTCGTCCAGCGCCGGCGACAGCGTCCCAATCCTCCGCGGATCCGTAAAAAATGATATGCATAAAAATGAAGAGAAACAATCAGCCTCCACGGACCCAGAGGACATACTTCGAGAAGCCAGTCAAGCCAACGCCATACGAAATGCAAAGAAAACAAGCCATGTCGAAAATAACCCATCCACCCTTTGCACAAAGACATCTGCGACGGTCCAGCAACATTAAGAGATCCCAGTGAGATCATTCCGAAGGAAGAAAAAAACAAGGACGCTGCACCTCCGATCGATGCACGCGCGCAGTTTGAAAAAAGAGAATACTTTTCGTTTGATTCGTCCTGAGATAGCCGGGAGAGAGAGGGAGAGCGAAAGCGCGGATTTTGAAGGGAGTTCGAAACAGAATCGACCGCGGAAAACACACGTGGGCAGGAACACAAGACAACGGTCCGCCATAAGATACCGACGCTGTTAGGAGTCTATGCTGCAAAACTCGACCGATGCAGCCATAACAACACCGAGAGAGATGAATGCAGATATAAAGAAGCACTTTTCATGGAGAGTAGTACTCTCCGCTCGGCGCGCGCGTCATTCGAGCGTGGTTCCCGAACTGTGGGAACGCTCGAACAAAAAAGGGGGTATCTGATGAGAGACGGACAGAAAAGACAACGCATTCTATGATGTTCATGCAGTGCCGATCACCGAGTTGCTCGAAGAAGGCAAGTGTCGTAAGAGATAGCCCGGAGCAACAAAAAGGAAATCAGAACTGCTCGAACGCCCCGTGTCTAACAAGGCCAGATGGAGAGCCATTGGAAACGTGCGTGACAGACAAATAGAAAAAGCAACATGAAGCACATACAGGAAAAAAGGAGATAAGTAGAAAAGATAAAGGAGCATCAGAGCGAGACGCGAGCAAAAAGAAACATGAATCTAAAACATGCATAAAAAAGGTCGTGGCAGTCATGACAAAGCCGTCCCTGAGAAACAGCGAGGCCGAAAAAGGAACTCAGGGTGTGTTCTGATCGTATCCGTCAACGAAAGACATAAGAAATAAGAGATGGGGAGCCAATCAGACCCGACGGCCTCGTCACCAGACCACGACTGATTTACCACCAGGAAGAGGGGCCAGTAGCGCCGCCGGGGTTGCCGTAGCTACCACCACCGCCGCCGCCGCCATAGCCGCCACCATAGCCAGCACCGCCGCCAGAGCCACCGTAGGAGGGAGCAGCACCACCGTAGCTGCCGGAGCCGCCATAGGAGGGAGCACCGCCATAGCCGCTGCCGCCGAAGGAGGACTGGCCACCACCCACGCCACCACCGCCGAAGCGACGAACATCACGGGTAGCGTTAGAGCTGCCACGACCACGGCCGCCACGACCACCACGGCCACCGTAGCCGCTACCCTCACGAGCAATGCTCTCCAGGAAGGAAGGAACCTCCTGGTGAGCCTCCTTGAGGAGATCGATCATGTCACGGACGACACCACGGTTACCACGGTTGAAGAAAGCAGTGGCAATACCGGTGTTACCGGCACGACCGGTACGACCGATACGGTGGACATAGTCGTCAATGTCGGTGGGCAGATCGTAGTTGATGACGTGGGTGACGTTAGGGATATCGAGACCACGGGCAGCAACGGCGGTAGCGACCAGGATGGGGCAACGACCGTTGCGGAACATCTCCAGGGCGCGCTCACGCTCACGCTGGGTACGGTCACCGTGAATAGCAGTGGCAGGGAAGCGCTGGTTGATCAGGAAGTCGGAGAGCGAATCGGCCATACGCTTGGTCTCGACGAAGATGAGGGTCAGGCCAGTTGTGCCGTGGGTGTGGAGAATGTCCAGGAGGACGGAGCGCTTGTCAGCGTCCTCGACGTACTCAATCTTCTGGGTAATGTTCTCGGAAGTGGAACCAACACGACCGACGGACAGGAAGACGTAGTCCTTCAGGAAGTCGCGGGCCAGCATCTGAATGTCACGGGGGAAAGTGGCCGAGAACATGAGGGTCTGGCGGTCCTCAACACGGGGCATATCCTCACCCTCGACGATGCGGCGAATTTGGGGCTCGAAACCCATGTCCAGCATGCGGTCAGCCTCGTCAAGAACCAGGTACTTGATGTTAATGAGGGAGATGCGGCCACGCTCAATCAGATCGACGAGACGACCGGGAGTAGCAACGAGCAAATCGCAGCCACGCTCGATCTGGCGCAGCTGGGAGCCGATGTCGGCACCACCGTACACGACACAAGGGCGGACCCAGGAGCGGTAGGCGAACTTGCGGGCCTCATCGAAGATCTGGGAGACCAGCTCACGAGTGGGGGCGAGAATGAGCGAGGTGGGGTAAGCCTTGCGCTGGCGGCCATAGAACTGACCACCGCCGGCCTGCTGAGGGGCGGCAGAGGGGCCAGTCTGGAAAGCCTGAGAGAGGATAGGGAAGAGGAAACCACCGGTCTTTCCGGAACCGGTCTGAGCGCAGGCCATCAAGTCGCGGCCACCCATGACAATGGGGATGGAGTACTTCTGAACGGGAGTAGGAACAACGTAGCTAGCAAGCTTGATGTTGGAGATAAGGTGGTCGTCAAGAGGGGGGTTAGTGAAGGTGTTGACGGGCTCGGGAACACCCTCGCCGGATGCCTCAACGGGAATGTCGTCATAGTTGGCGAAGTTAATGCCGGTGTGCTGCTTAGATGGGTCATCCTGACCGAGACCGAAGAGCTCGCGCTCGAGGCGGGGGTTAGCAGGGCCGGGGATGTGCTTGCCGTCGCGCCACTGGCCATCGCCAGAGCCACGAGCAGAAGCGCCGCCGCCGCTGAAGTTACCACCACCGCCGCTGTAAGAGCCTGCATGACCTGGATATCCGTAAGCAAAGGGATCGAAACGCCGGAAATTTCCATTTGGGTTCCAGCTGAAATTACCGTTGGCAGGGCCACGAGGGCTGAAGTTGGGGGCGTTGGCGTTAGCCCAGTTACCGCCACGAGCATCCCTAAAAAATCAATTTCGGGTTAGCGGGAGGCCTCAATACAAGGATGAATGGGATGTAGTGCAATAGGTTTCAGATATCGTACCGAGAGCCTGAGAAGCCAGCACCGGGGCCAGCACCAGGGCCAGCGGGGCCAGGAGGGGGAGCACTGTCCATGCTAGCACCCGGGCGTCCGCGGAGGTGAGGAGGGATATAGGCAGCACGGCCAGGGGGGCCACCCTGGGGGGCATGCTGGGAGTCCTGGAGGGACAAGTTGCCCATCTGCAGTCCGTCGGCCATGATTGCGATTTTGACGTGTTTCTGTGGACGGGGAACAAGCCTCAAATTAGTTGCTGGCAGGAAGGGGGGACGGGGGGAGAATGGAGAGATTTCGGAGGAGAGAGAAGTGAGGCGAGTGTGACAGGGAAACAAATGCGAGCAGTTTCTTGGGCTTCAACAGAAGTTTCTCCGTCGACAAGGCGCAAGCGATTCGAAAACTCGGTGAACTTACAAAGAGAGCGTGTGAGAAAGGACCTTCAAGGACAAGAGAGAGACGTAAGAAGGTAAGTTGTCAGGGTCCCTCGATTTTTTTTCCTTCCGCTTGATAGAAGAAAAAAGTCAAGTGGCAAAACAACGGGTATTTGGGAGAGAAGAACGAAAATGCAAAAACTCCCGATTCTAAGAACTCTATGAGCACACAAGAAAAGAGAGGGATGTGTTTAGGTGTAAAAAGGGATGAGGATGTAAAAGTAGGAAGTTGAGAAGCGCGACGGCAGGTTTTCTGTGGGAAGGAGGCAAATCGAGTACTTGCTGGGTACGCCCGCCCGTGTGCTGGCCCTGTGCGTCTGGCGGTAGTTCCAGTGTATTGGTGTATTGTCTGGTAAGGCCTGGTAAAGCCTGGCTGCTCTGTTATTTTTCAAGAGACCGTGGTACTTGCCAAACGCTAGTCAGGAACTAGTCGTTCTCAGGAGCCCTGCGGGCCCTGGAAATGTATCCCTGATGGTATTGTTACCGTATTGGGTGGCCAGACAAAAAAAAGAAAATTTTTCTTGCTGGCCAGTTGGCGCAGGATTTTGGGCCTGGCTGACTAAGAGCAGCGCCACGACTTTTGAGTGGCCGAGGCATCGGGGTGTGGGAGGCTGAGCCTTGGAAAAGTCTAATGCATATTTCTTTGCATGAGATGCTGAATGAAGGAAATAGGAAAATGATTGAGTATGATTAACGGCCTAACTATGGCAGCAGTAAATGATCTATATTTTCAGGACTGATTACCCAGGCAGGACCGGTATATAGATCATGTGCGGGGCGCAAAGCTACGACTCTTCACGACTTCTCCCCGTATTCAAATCTTGTAAAATGCGTTGTATTGACCCTGCTTTACTGTATCTACCTTCTTTTAGCTCACGCTTCAAACTCCTTCTCATCCTGCTGCTGCTGCTGGCTGCGGCGACGGCTGATATAGAATCCGATCACAGCCACAAGCACAAGGAAGATCAAGACTGGTTGCATCGAAAAGGAAGACTCGTCGTTTGCCGGGGTTTCTTCAGCGACTGGGGCAGCCACCGGTTCGTCGTCGTATTCTTTGATGAGGAAAAAACAAGCATGATCAGCCACCCTTCTCTAGCAGTAGAAGAGTAGAGTGAGGGGCCGAGGGACCGGCCTTTAAAGCTCATCGCGGCTACCTTTGTCTTCGGTTTCCGACTTCTCCACCTCGAGCTCACCGCTCTTCACAATAGTGACGGCCTTCTCGGGCTTGTCACCGCGGCCCTTGGGGACGTTCTGAATCTTGTCGACGATGTCGTAACCCTCGAGGACCTCGCCGAAAACTACGTGGCGGCCATCGAGCCAACTGGTTGAGAAAATAGTTAGCAAAGAACGCTAGCGTAGGGTCTATAAATCTATAGATCGGGAGTACGCACGAGGTGATGACAGTGGTAATGAAGAACTGGGAACCGTTGGTATCTTTGCCGGCGTTGGCCATGCCTAAATGTTGGTGAGTTTCTTGATCCACTCGTTTCACAGGGGAGCCGAGTGAAAGTGCGTACTCAGGAGACCCTTCTTGGTGTGGCGGAGCTTGAAGTTCTCATCCTTGAACTTGTTGCCGTAGATGGACTTGCCACCAGTGCCTGTCAACAGCGATTAAATTCTGGATCATTTGTAGTTCGATATAGAATAGAACGGACCGTCGTGGTTGGTGAAGTCACCACCCTGGATCATGAAGTCCTTGATGACACGGTGGAAGGTCGAGCCCTCGTAGCCGAAGCCCTTCTCGCCAGTGGCCAGAGCGCTGAGTATCGTTAGGGTTTAAGTGCATCAAGATGTATGTGTTCATGAGTATAGCCATACCGGAAGTTCTCAGCAGTCTGCGTGTAAATTGAATAATAAGTAACAGCTCTGTTGAAGTCGAAGATATAGATAGATCACTCACCTCGGGGACTGTCTTGCCGTACAGACCCATCACAATGCGGCCAAGGGACTCATCGCCATGCTGGATGTCGAAGTAGACCTAATTTATTGGGTCAGCCTTGAGTCGTGTTTCTATAGATCTCGAGGACAATTGATTACCTTGTGGGTGATCTTGGGACCACGGGGCTTATCCTCCTCGGCCTGAACCAGGGCGAAGGTGACCGCCAGGACAAAGAAAAGAGACAGGAAGATGTTGCGGAAATACATGGCTGCGAATTGCCACTGCTTATGCTGGATGCAATGGAAAGCAGGAGGGAGAGATAGGAGAGGCGTCGAGGGGGGAGGCCAGCTTGCAATGGCGTGCGGAGACGCCTCGGCGGCTGTCAGGTATGGTAATATCTCCATCTTTTCGCAAGGTATCTAATGATTGCGAGTATTAGATACCAATAATACGGTAATGCAACTCTGCAAGCTACGGCCGGGCTCCGCGAGATCTCTCGGAGAAACTTTATTGCCGGACAATTTCTCCCGCGATGCGCGGATTGCGACTCGATTGCTGAATTGACTATCAATTGTCTAGCTAGACATTCAGGCAGATCAAGATGGTAAGCATACAGTGAGACTCTCCTTCAAATCTGCCCTTACTCACATTCTCTTCCACAGGTCTTCATCCTCGGTGTCAACTTCCCTGAGCGGAACCTGCTCAAGGTCAGCACTCCCTCCATAGCATCGCACTTCCGACACCAGCACCTTGATTCGACCCAATTGGCGGTTGACTAGGATGAGACTAACTGGAACTAATGAACAGAAATCTCTCGAGACCTTCTTCGGAGTCGGCAATCACACCTCCTCCCGCCTCCTGGCCCGCTTCAATATCCACCCGACCTGCCGCGTCGGCGAGCTCGCCAATAAGCAGGTCCTCGACTTGACTGCCGTGCTGTCGGATATGAAGATTGAGAATGACTTGCGACGAGAGGTCTTGAATGACATCAAGCGCCTGAAGGAGACCGGTACCTACCGTGGTCGTCGTCATGCACTGGGTCTGCCCGTTCGAGGACAGCGCACAAGGACTCAGGTTCGTCTTTTCCTTCTTTCCGCATTCTTACCCTTTGAATACGGATATTCCCAACATCGGACCTGGCGTCTTCAGACGTGCAGGCATATTTGGTCACGGTGGCTTCCAGAAACTTCATGACCGGCCGCGTAGTAGACATCTCAGAAGCTAACAAACGAGCAATAGATCAAAACCCCCGTTAAGCTCAACCGGATGGAGCGCCGGCTATGAATTCGGCGTCCTTCCAAGAATATTTGGACCTTGTTATGGGGCAATCTCTCGTATCTTGCGTGGGAGGCATGGGAACGGCGTTTTTGACTTGAGGGCTGGCTTTTTCTCGCCAGCTATGTGAATGTACACTCTATCAATGTATTATATGTCAATTCAAAAGGAGAAAATAACAAATTCGACAACTTCTCTGTGTTCGCTGTGTGATTTTAATTGTTTGCGGTGATCTGACACTTCGGAGTCGTAGATCTGGACTGGGATATATATTGGCAGATCTCAATATGATACTCAGGATACTTGGATGGTAGATGACGAAACATAACTTTTTACAAAAACCACATCTAAAAACGCCGAACCATTATGTACAATCTACTGCTTGGTCGAAGAAAGGACACCCTCACCGCGGTTGATCTGGATCCGCTTATCCTCACCCGCGCTCACAATGCCCACCGTCTGGTCCCAGCATACGCTGAACACCTTAACACCCTCGCCACCAACACGCTTGCTATCCATTTTGCCTTCCTCTTCAAGACTCTTGCGAGCAATCGAATAAACGCTCTCGCCAACAACACCCTCCTTGTCATTCTTGGTGGAACGAATATCCCAGATCCGGCATGTGCCGTCGTGACTACCGCTAATGAGACCATAGGTGCTGGAGGGGTCACGAGCCAAGCTGACAACGGCGTTGGTGTGACCACGCAGGGTCATTGCCGCCACCGTTGTGGCAGAGGCTCGCGGGTCAATCAAGGTGATGTGACGGGCAGAGGTACCGGCGGCCAAAAGGCTGTGCTCGGGGAGGTGCTCGAGAGAAAGAAGAGAGTGAGAGGTGATACGGGTGTCGACAAGGGCAGAGGTGACCAGATCCCAAGTCCGAAGAGAGTGATCCCACGAAGCAGAGTATGCAACGGTGGAATCCTTGGCGTCGAAGATAGCGGCAGAGACGGGTCCCGTGTGCGCTGAGAGAAGGGCCAGAGGACCACGCTGTGGTGTGCTCACGGAGATGTTCAGCTTACGGCGCTTGGAGGTACGGGCCGTGTTGGGGAGAAGGTTCTCCGGAGCGGCGGGAGCATCAGCCTTCTTCGTCGACCAGAATCCAACATTGTGATCAGAGGAACCAGTCAAAAGGCGGTTAGACGGCGCGTGCACAGCTAGCGATTCAATGCCAGACTTGTGGCCGTACAACTCTAGCTGAGGTGTAATCTTTCCGACAAAGTCACCATCCTCGGTATACTTCCACAGTCTAACGGTGCGGTCCAAGCCAGCCGAAGCGATCTGGTTGGGCGAGACGAACTTGGCGGCCTTGATGGACGCAGTGTGTCCTCCCTCAGAGGCCGCAGGAGAAGTGGCAATAGTCTCGGACGACATGTTCCATATCCGAAGAAGACCATCGTAACTTCCAGACAGAATCCGTTCCTGGCCCTTTGAGAAGGTAGCGCCAGAGGCCCAAGATGCGGCGGGCGAAGTTGATGACAGCACGTCGGTGGCGCTGACCCAGTCGTCGTGCTGGAAAGATGCGATGTGAAGAGGCGGAATGAGGGCTCTGACATATTCAATCTCGAGCGTCGTTTCGGCGGAGATACCATTGTCGGTCAGGTATTCATCAATCGAAGTCCGCAGGAATGTTCCGTTAATCAAAAATTCGAACGGCACGGGCTTCTCGCTTCCCAGGAGGTTGTTGACCAGTGTCGACAGCGCATAACGTCGCAGGCCTATTCAAATCCATAATTAGCACCTTTGGTCATTACAGAAGTCTTCCAACGGAAGTTTTTGCATAAGTCCTTACCAGTGGGCACGAGAATAGGACCGGTGCTTTCGGGGAGGGCGATATCCTCTTGCTGGGTCGTGAGCTGCACACGAACCTGTCGCTGCGTAACCTCAGTGGCAGTTAAGTCCTGATCTCCACTCATGATGGGCGAATATTGTCCGGATTGTGGTTGTTTAACTCAGCACTGGTGGCTGTCGCAAAATGAACAAGCCTGCGCGGGTGAGAAAAAAATACGGTGGCCGGTGCGGCACACTAGCGCAAAGCGCGGAGATGGCCCCGCTGAGTCTACAAAGCGTCCATAGGTGACGTTACATAGGTTGAGATGGTGGATATAATTTCTAAATTAAATGAGGGGAAGCATAGATAGATAGTTGGCAGAGATATCTCATCCCCGGCGGGCACGCTTGATCTCTGTGATGGCCTGACGACGATGGGTAGATTCTGCAAACAAGGCCTCGATCAAATCCACCACCTCGTCGGTGGAGAACTCGAGCCCCAATTCACCCTCCAGCCAAAGATATTTGATGTCAGCCAGAGAGCTCTCGAGGATGTTGATCAAGTACTGGAAGCGTAGCCAATTTGGCACATAAACGGCTGTGACAGGTACAGCTTCAACCTCGCCACTTGTCTCGGGCATGAACAGATCCTCAAGTTTGGAGACTTGATTGCAGAGGCACACAAGTTGCTTAGACTGATCTTCGGAGATGTCACCCAAATCCTCCACATCAATGATGATCTTGTTGATCACGATAGACAGTAGTGATCCAATGGACTGTAGCAGAGCGGAGTGTGACAGAATGGGCTGCCACTCCTTGTAGACATCACGAATTCGATCAGTAGTTGCGCTTACGGCATTCTCACATTCGCTTTTGAACGGCTGTTCTGAGCATTGCCCAAAGCCTTGCGCACCATCAAGAAGGTCGGTCACAATCGTGCTTTGTGTCTGCATCTCCTTGCTGTAGGCGAATTTACCAAATTTCTCGAGGGCTTCCACATCCGAGCTGAGCCTAGACAGCTCATGTTCTTCCATCAACTCTCGAATTTGGCCGGCAAGGTACAGGCTATCATTATACAGGTACATTTGACCGGAGCCGAGCTTCAAGGAGTAGAAAGGGGTGGAAGTGGCCTTAAACATGGCCAGAATCAACGTGGGTAGGGCGAGTAGTCCGGCTCCCGATGAAGCGACACGAGAAGTCGAATGCCTATAATTATCACGTTAGAGGTGTCAGATGCACCAAATAAGCCCAGAGGGTAAATACTTACGGCGGCTCTGAGATGTTTTTCGAGTCGTGAATCTGCTGGCGAACAATATCCAGTATCGAGTCCGGGATATCGGTGACTGTGTAGACCTCTTTTAGAGTCATCTCTCTGGGAGCAGAGGATTGCGCTGCCTTTCCACCCTGTACTGCGTTTGCGGCAGTGTCAGCCTGCAGCGGCTTTTTATGGTTGCTCTGGGCTTCCTCGCCCTCGTCCTCGCCCCAACCCCACGCATCATCGTCGGCATCGTCGTCTCCACTCGGGACAGCTGCATCAGGTTTGGGCTCTTCTTCGGCGTCCTCATCAAGACCCCAAGCACTCACATCCTCATCTTCTTCAGGCCGGGCAGCCATTGCCGGTCCCTCTGTACTTTCTTCCTCTTTGTCGTCATCCCAATTAGCGTCCCAGTCGTCCGGAGCATTCTCTAGCAAGGCCTCATCAGCCCGAGAGACCTGTTCCTTTTCAACCCGCTCAACTTGCCTGGTGGTGCCTTTACTAGCTGCAAGGACTTTGCGTACACTGTCGAGTGAGTCGACGCGACGCCGAGTCAGCCACAGGCGAGGTGCTTGGTTGACCCAAGACACAAGCTCCTCAATCCCAGTCCAGCCCCAAGACTGAATTGTGTTGGCGAACTGCATGACACAGTCCAGAGTCTCTTCGAAGTCTCCGAGACCCTCAAGAGTGGTTGGGATCGAAGAGGACAGCCACCCAGAGATTGCCTTGGATGCAACAGATGGAACCAGCGATTGAGGGAGCTTAGCTGAGATGGGCAGTGGTAGGTTTTGTCGCAAATAATCCAGAACTTTTGTGGTCTGGCTCAGAGTCTCGGAAACGGTTGTGTCTGAATACTCCGATCGAATGTGGATGCCGGTGTCTGTAATATCAACAGTGCGGCTCTTCCCGTCAGCTCGTGGCAGTAGGATGGGGTCGACAATTGCGGCAGAGAGGTCCTTCAGGAGGTTCTCGCTGGCCAAATCCAGAATCTCCAATTGTGACATGGAGGCGATGGTGTTGTCTAGAGAATCGGCGCCATCGCCCTTGATCACTTGGAATTCCCCTTGCTGCCGATCCACCTTTATCTGCTCCTGCCAGCGCATGCGCAGAGTGTCCTCGATCTGCTCCCGAAACTGTGCTATCTCGAGAGTGAGAATGCTCATCACATTGGTATTCATAAAGAAAGCATCCTGCCCAATCGCCGCCTTCATACTATCCAACTGCTTGATCGCAGCCATTAATTGACCGCTTGCGAGCGCAGCTCGTCCATTGTTCAATTGCTGGCACAGGCGCTGCACCTCTTCCAGAGTCTCCGCCACAGCTTGATTGAAAGCGATTTCCGTCTCGATCAATCCTACTTTGGCACTCGCATCCTCTACTTTGGCTCGGAGGGGGCTCGTGTGCTCATGCTGGGCGACTATCTCCCTTGCGGTAACTCGTGAGCGCTCGATGTCGGCGTGCAGTTGTTTGGCTTGGACGATCCAATCATCGGCATCAAAGGTGGTGTTTTCCCGACTCAGCGAGCTGATCTCGTTCTATTGAGGATAGGAAACCCGGTCAGCACTAGCACAGAAAATTTATTTAAATGGCCTCGACGCCAGCATCTCCAGCGCACCTCTACTTGCTCTCGGGCTTGGGATATCAGCTCCAATTCCTTAGCAAGAGCTGTTGCGGGGAACTCCGCTGCGACCACGCTCTCCTCAGGATAGGCGCCATCGGTGACGAAGCTCAGGACCGCGTGGCACACCTCACCCTCAGATGGTGGCATTCTGAGACGAAAGTCCTGGATGAGATTTGGGGGAAGCTGTAGAGTGGAGGAGTCGAGCCCCCGGAAATGCGGCGTGTCAACAACCACTCGTGACCTTTGGGCGTCACCGCCCCACCTAAGATAAGTGAGACTGCGTTCATTGCCAGTGAATTAGGAAGAAGAAAATCCTCGAAACAAAAAAGAAAAGAGAAGAAATTTAGGCTTGTGCCATGAAAGGCGCCAGATAATAAGTGCAAGTACCTCTAATAGGCCTTCTATTGTATATCCCACGACAAACGACGACTCCGCGCCCGCTTTGTAAGAAGAACTCGGAACCCGACCTTTGGCTCCGCCTAGGGTCTAACACACAAGCTCTTCCAGGACATACTTCATCGTGTCTCGGTTCTATCTACGAAGCCTGAATCGGGTGAAACATACACAGTTCCTGTGAGTTGACCTATTCCGCTCCTCCCCTTGGCTCTTGGAAGAGTACCAATCCCTGCCTGAGACCCCTCCGAATTTTTGCCTGCCCCGCCGTCACACAAGGCCCATGTCGGAGGTAATCTCCTAGATGCGTCGCTGCAAAGTAAACGGCTGGCCGGCTTTTGGGTTTTCTTTGCTTCTTGCTCTTTCGATTCCACTGTGGACACGGTGCATATGACCCCTTCTACTCCCCTGGAAGCTGCAGCTGGAGTATTCGGAGTTGCTCGTTCTTGGGATATCTTAGCTGCGGTTGGATACCATTTTGCGGCCACATGGTGAAACAGTCCTTCTACGAATGAATGAGGCTGACGAGAAACAATTAGACTGCCAAATTTCAGGCGAAGTATCTTCTTTGGGCTTGCCCCATTGATCAACATGTCGCCTTCGGTGCAGAAGGGCCAGTTCAAGCTGCTTCAGCAGTTCAAGCCAGACTACTCCGCCAGCGAGTTCACCGAGTATGAATCGCAGCGCACCGGCATGCGGGTGGTGGTCATTGACCAGAAGGGCCCAAAGGTGAACGGCTACTTTGTGCTTGCTACGGAGATCCATGATGACTCGGGTGCCCCTCACACATTGGAGCATCTCTGCTTCATGGGCTCTCGTAACTACCGCTACAAGGGTTTCTTGGACAAGCTGGCAACCCGAGTCTACTCCAACACCAATGCTTGGACCGCCACAGACCACACAGCCTACACCCTCGATACCGCCGGCTGGGAAGGCTTTGCTCGCATTCTACCAGTCTACTTGGAGCATGTCATTGCTCCCACTCTAACGGATGAGGGCTGCTACACAGAAGTTCACCACATTGATGGCTCCGGAAACGATGCCGGTGTCGTGTACTCCGAGATGCAAGGTGTACAGAACAACGCCGCTGAGCTGATTGACCTGGCGGCTAAACGTGCAACTTATCCTCCCGGTGTCGGCTTCCGGTACGAGACTGGCGGCATGATGGAACAGCTTCGCGTTCTGACGGCTGAGCGGATTCGTGAGTTCCATCGCGAGATGTATCAGCCTAAGAACCTCTGCCTGGTCATCACGGGTGAGGTGGACCAGAATGACATGCTGGAAATCTTGGACAAGTTCGAAGACACCATCTTGGACGTCATCCCGAGCCCGGATGCGCCTTTTACGCGTCCTTGGACGGACTCCAAGCAGGCTCCGGCCCTGGAGAAATCCATTATTCAGAAAGTCGACTTCCCTGAAGAAGACGAGTCATTTGGCGAAATTGAGATTCGCTTCCTTGGACCGGATTGCAACGACTCCATTCAATGTAAGTTTTCTCATGAGGGACGTCTGGAAACAGCGAAGCTAACTTACTCATAGCCGGGGCTCTGAACGTGGCTCTCCTGTATCTTGCTGGATCGTCCGCGTCTCTCCTAGAGAATACGATCGTGGAGAAAGAGCAGATTGCCAGTGCTGTCTACTACGCTACTGAGGATCACCCTAGCATCGAGATCCGCTTCACCCTGACCAGCGTGGAGACTGAAAAGCTTGAAATGGTCGAGAAGCGATTCTTTGAGATTCTCAAGGATGCCATGGGCAAGCCGCTCGATATGAAGTACTTGAAGGAGTGCATTGACCGCCAGCGCCGTGCCTGGAAGTTCTCGACCGAGAACTCCGCTAATCCCTTCGCGGAATACGTCATTACCGACTTCCTTTTCGGAAAGCGGGATGGCTCGACGTTGCGGGATGTCGCCTCTCTGAAGGAATATGATGCCCTTGAGCACTGGAACGAGGATCAATGGCGGTCGTTTATCACCAAGTGGATTGCGGATGCCAACCACGTTTCCATTCTGGGATACCCTTCCCTGAAGCTGTCCGACAAGCTCAAGAAGGACGAGGAGGCGCGCGTAGCCGCCCAGAAGGAACGTCTCGGCGAGAAGGGGCTCAAGGAACTGGCTGAGAAGCTGGAGAAGGCCAAGGCCGAGAATGATAAGGAGATTCCAGAGGAGGTTCTGGCAAAGTTTGCCATTCCCGGCACCGATTCCATCCATTTCATGAACACCACTACAGCCCGTTCGGGTGCTGCCCTCAAGGCCGGTCGTCCCGAAAATCAGATCCAGAAGCTGATTGACACCGATGATGCGGGTCAGTCCCTGTTCATTCACTTTGAGAACATCCCAAGCAGTTTCGTGCAGCTGTCTGTCCTCATCTCGGCACAGTCTGTGCCACTACAGCTGCGTCCCTTGCTGTCCATCTACACCGAAGCTTTCTTCAACATTCCTGTCGAGCGCGATGGCAAGACTATCAACTTTGAGCAAGTTGTCGTGGAATTGGAGAAGGACACTGTCGGCTACGGAATGGACACTGGCCGCGCCCTTGGAAACTCAGAAATGCTCCGTCTGTCCTTCCAGGTGGAGCGTGAGAAGTACGAAGCCGCTATTGCCTGGCTGCAGGAGCTGTGCTGGAACTCCATCTTTGATGTCGAGAGACTGCGTGCTATCACCACTCGTCTCTTGGCTGATGTGCCCGACTCCAAGCGCAGTGGCGATGACATGCTGGCAGCAGTTCACGTCATGGTCCACTACGACCAGGAGTCTATTGCCCGAGCTCGATCTACCCTCGTCAAGGCACGCTACCTGAAGCGTGTCAAGCGCCTTCTCGCCGAGAAGCCCGAGGAGATCGTCGGCCGTATGGAGGAAATCCGCAACTCTCTGTTCCAGCCCGACAATGTCCGAGTTATTGTTATTGCCGACCTCGAGAAGCTGCCTCGCCCCGTCTCCTCCTGGAAGCCCTTCGCCGAGCGCCTCGGAAGCAGCGACAACCTGAAGCCCATTACCAATCGTCGCGCACTGCTGAGTGACGCCGGCAAGAACGTCGGCGGTCACTCCTACATCGTTCCCATGCCAACTGTTGACTCGTCGTATGCCTATGCCACCGCCCGCGGTCTCGATTCCTACGACCACCCCAAGCTCCCCGCCTTGCTGGTCGCTATTGCCTACATGAACGCGGTAGAGGGTCCTCTCTGGGTCGCCGTCCGCGGCAAGGGTCTGGCATACGGTACCAACTTCGCCTACAACATCGACACCAGCTTTGTCAACTTCGACGTGTACCGTTCTCCCAACGCGCACAAGGCTTTCGAAGCTAGCAAGCAGATTGTCGAGGATCATCTGTCCGGCGCTAGCCTCTTCGATCCTCTCATGCTCGAGGGTGCGATTAGCAGTATCGTTGTTGGCTATGCCAACGAGCAGATGACCGCCGCCAGCGCTGCCCAGGGCAGTTTCATTCGCCAGGTCGTGCGCAACTTGCCTAGTGATTACAAGGAGAAGATGCTCAAGAAGGTGCGGGATATCAGCGTTAATGATGTCAAGGGTGCCCTGCGCGAGATTATCTTGCCTCTGTTCTCGGCAAAGACTGCTAACCTTGTTATCACCTGCGGTACTGTTCTGGAGGAGGTATGTTTCTTAATTGACTTTTATTGCTCTACATTTGCAAGAAATGGTATACTAATTTTCGTGAACAGACGCTTAAGCAAGGCTTCGAGTCAATCGGCTTCACCCCGACTGTCCAGCCTCTCAAGGAGTTTGAGGATGATTACGGCCTCAAGCTCGGCGACGAAGACGAGGAAGAAGATGACGACGACGAAGATGACGAAGATGACGAGTCCGGCTCCGAGGAGGAGGACAGTGACGAAGATGATGAGTGAACGCGCTCCATGAAACATAGACACGGCAACCTAGGTAGAGCTTGATACAATAGCTAGCTAATACGACGGGTATGGAACTGTCTCGAAACACGATTACAAGGGAAAATAAACATATATCGGAAATAAAACGAACATAGCTGAAATGAGTATAATCTCCACAACTTCCCAATTCCAAGTGTTTCAACGCCACTGGACGGGAAGGTAAATATGGTACAAAAAGGGCCACACACTGGCCTAGCAAAATCCTGCTTCGAGTCTCTCAACGACCCTGTTCATCGAGACGAGACGATCTCCGCATATCCGTCCGTATGCAACCAGGGCGGCATGTCACCCTTCAACTCGCAACTCCCACTTAAACGAACTCCCATGTTTGGGGAACCGCAGCATATCCACATACAAAGCGCAATTACCAGCTCATAGCCTTACGCCCCTTCAACCGCCGACGAATAAGAGTCAACCGCCCTTTCCTATCCGTATTCCGGGCCAAGAAACCCGAGCGACGCTTCTGCACACGGCGCGAGGGACGGAACGTGTTACGCTTCACGCCCAGCGAGGCGGTAGCCGAGAACGAGCGGCTCTGAGGGGGCAGCAGCGATGAGATTGACGGGGTGGACAGTGCCGATGTCGAGGGAGTCCGGGGGGAGACGGAGAGAGTTTGGCTTGGTTGGAGGCGGGTTGGCGTTGAGAGGAGAGTCGTAGAGAAGGGTCGGGAGGAGAGCCTGGCAGTGGATGTGAGGGATGTTTGAGGTGTGAATTGGGTGATTCTGTATTTGAGGAGATTTGTTAGTTGGCTGAGGGATATGGGTTGAGTTGGGATTGTCGGAGCAGAACTCGCGTGCTTTGCGTACCTGGTCATTGGGGTGCGCATGGCGGACACCGTGGCTTGAAAGGAGGGCAGGGCCCTGCAGCGAAGACAGAGCATTGTGATGAGTCCTGGACGTGTGGGAGACTGGGGGTGGTTGTTGTGGTTGTAATTGAGGTTCAAGCGGGCTGGCGGACGTCGCTGGCCGAGTTGCGGTGGTTCGGAAGTTCGAAAGAAAATTAAGCGCGGAGCCGCAGGCACGGGGTCCCGTTGATACAGTAGACACGAACAGCCACCCTGCAATTGTGGGATTAATAGCGAACAGAATACTGCCGTGTTTTAAAGTGTTGAATTATAAACACACTACTCTTTGCACAAAATTTAGCGGAAGAATCTCAGAGTCGTCCTGTTGCAACCGTTCATATAGATTCGTGAATATGCTACCCGATTAGGCCTAGCGCCCCGAAACTTTTCTGTCGCAAATGCGCCGATACTTCACCAACGACTTGGTCCAAAGATCTCTCCGGACTCCATCTACGCTATTCCTGGTCCAACCTCCAGACACAGCCTCCAGTGTCTATATAAAGACCTTCAATTCGCCACAACAACCGGCCATTGACCACCCTCGCCCCTCAAAATGAGCGCTCAAGGCCCCGTCGCCCTCCCGCCGACCACGGTGCTCACCACCAAGCCAATCTCCCAATCCGAGGCCCACGAGTTCCTGGCCATGTACCTGGAGCGTGCACGAACCGATGCCTCCCTCCAGCCAAACGCCAGCATCAACGAGAGCGGTCCCATCTCCCGCACAACCTCCGCCGCGCCAAACTTGATCCTCCACAATCTGAAGCGCGTGCAGGCCGGTCTGGCCGGTGAAGTCCTAGGTCGCGATCTTACTGTCCAGAAGCAGAATCCCGGCGAGGATTACCTGGATATTCCCGCGGCGGGCGCTTCGACCAATCAACTTGAGAATGGGGAGGAGCAGGGTGAAGGCGAGAAGGATGATCTGGAGATGAGAGACGTGGAGATGGAGACTGAGGCGGAGGCCTTTGCTGAACAGGAGGAGCAGTTGGCAGCTGTTGATAAGGAAGAGCGTAAGAGGTTGAAGAAGGAGAGACGCTTGGCAGAGAAGAAGGCTAAGGCCAAGAAGGAGGTTGACTAGGATCGATTGCTTTTCTGTTTGGCTGGGATCTTTGAGCTATGGGCGTTGTCGCATTGGGTCGGAGTTTTTCTTTCTTCTTTTTCCCTTTTTTTACTTGATTACCCCTTCCTGGTACACGTTTCCCCCCCTGTTACTGGAAATATTTCTGGTTTTGGGAACGTGAGAACTGCATGCATTTCATTGCCTGGATGCAAAAAAGCGTTATTTTACCCCAATAGACAGGGTGGTGCCAAACCTCGGGAATGGCCCAATCCGAATCATGATGGAAGCCTCGAGCTTTTTTGCTTCCCTAAAAACCCACTCCTATATATGACCCACCATGTATGGCAAAAAAAAAAATCCGTCGTGATATGGTCACTGCATTGCCCCCGCGCTGTCGACATCTACAGCTCGCGATCCGCAGCCTTGACTGGCTGCTCACTGTCCTCTGCCTTGAGCTCGGTAACCCTGCCACCCTTCCAGCCAAGAGCAGCGAGACGCTCGGTCAGAATGGGGTGCGAGTAGTGATAGCTAGCATACATCCAGTCCGCATCCATGGTGCTCAGGTTCTGGATCTGCAGCTTAAGTAGAGAAGAAGCGAGTTCCTTGGTGTACCCAAGACCCTGAGCGAAGGCATCTGTAGAGAAGACGCGATATTAGTCAATAATTAGTCAATGAAATCCAGGAATGTTGAGATAGAAGATGACATACCGGCCTCGAACTCGAACTTGCGGCTTAGGATATTCATCAGGAGCTTCACAACGGCGTCCATGGGTGCGAGAGCATCCGAGAAGAGAAGGAAACCAATCATGATGGGCTGCTCCTTGACAAAGCCGAAAGATTGGTAGAGAGACTTGTTGTTGACAAAGACGGAGAACAGGGCGAATATGTAGAACATGTGGAACTAGAATTATCTTAGTAAAGGCTGTGATAAAAACAACACTGCGTAGCTTTCTGGAACATACCTGAGCAATGCCAAAGAGCTTGGTGGTGTGGCTCAGACTCCAGTGACCTAGCTCATGACTCAGGACGGCGACGACCTCCTGGGGCTGGCTCTTCTCAAGCAGGGTGTCGTAGATGACAATGTGCTTCTTCCAGGGCAGACCGTAGAAGTAAGCATTGCTGTGGGCACTACGCTTGCTGCCATCGATGACGTGCAGTTCCGAGAGAGGGAACTTGAGCTTCTTGGCAAGATTCTCCACACCAGTCTTGATCTCGCCAGGCTCCAGAGGGGACAGCTTGTTGAACAAAGGCAGAATAGCAATGGGGTAGATAGTAATGGCGAAGACCTGGACGAAGACACCGAAAAGCCAGAGGTAGTAGAAGAAAGAGTTACCAGTCTTCTGGACAATCTTGAGCACGGCACTGATAATCGGAGCTCCCAAAACGATGCCCAGCATCTGACCCTTTAGCATGTCCGTCACCCAAAGCTTGAGAGTCTGCTTGTTGAAACCGAACTTCTCCTCCAGTACGAAGGTGTTGTAGTAGGAGATCGGGAGCGAGAGGATGGTGCTGAGAATGTTGAAACCGAAGATGAACACAAGCGTTTGCGAGATCTCGCCCTGGAAACGATCGGGGAAGTACCGCGCCAGCACGAAGCCCGCGACGCCCCAGAGCTTGGGGAGGACATCGCCGTAGACGAAAACGAGATTCTGGATTTGACCGTAGAGACCGGAAACGAAGCCGAACTTAGCCTTGGCGCGACCATACGCCTATAATTTCAATGCATCTCCGATGAGCCTTCTGTATGTATACGTTCCATCATTTTGCTGCGCGACGACATACCTGGCTTTGATCAAAGACCTTTTGGGTGACCTCGCCCTCGAGGACCTTAGGGGCCTTTGTCTTCTGGAGAACCTTGTACTGTCGGAGAGAAAGGAGGCCCTCAAGGACGAACTGACCCAGGGAGAACCCCACGAGAACGTTCTTCCATGGGAAGAGCGGACGGTCAAGAAGACGGGCGAGTTGCTAGTGAACATAGCTGTCAGTCGAGGTTGCTCCAAGAAACATCATCAAGTGATGGTTGAATCACTCATTTACACAAACATAGACTCACCTCAAGAATCCACATGATGCAGATGCACGGCGTTGTCAAGGGAGGGATCTCCGAAAGGCCAAAGAAGCTACTTTGTTATTGCGGGTTGCCTTAGTCAGATTGCTGGGGCCCGCGGGCAGGCTCGGCTCGATGGAGATCAATGCAGGAACCACCACCTTCTGGATCCAGCTACTGGTAGTATAGTTCTTATTTTTTATCTATTTAAATGTAGGCTTTTGCTCACAGATCCGAATTCAAAGTACGAGATGCAATAAATTCTTCATTTTCCATAGCACACATTCCGCCTCGCTATGGGCTTTGAACAGCAAGACCTATATCCATCTACACAGAGCTTGGCCATGCAGACGCAATAACAAATGGGAAACAAAATCAGGTAAAAAGAAGCCTCTTCAATACAACTCCCTAGAACACACAAAAGAAAAAGAAGTACAACTCCTTCTTCATCAACGTGACTCATATCCTACCCCGTCTCGGTCCAAACCCACCAGCATCCTACGTTTAGCCATATTGAAAGGCCGCAGGTATATCCAAGGCGCATGATTGGACTAAGAGACGGTGTGAAAGTTTCGGAAAAGAAAAAAAAACACTCCTCTCTAATCAGCCGGGGGAATCTGTAAATGTCATGCCTTGACTTTTCCGACTCGTCATAACCGTAAAACTTTTTGCGATCGTAAACCGCAGAGCATGGACCCGAGTGAAAGCGAGCGGTTGGAGTGTCATTGGCGGAGGAATTCACAGCAATTTGTCTGTCGAATCATTCTCGTACAACATGTCTCTTTCCGATTTCTGACCACTCGGGACTGGACGTCACTTGAGACACACTAATTTAGTGTGCAATAGGCTCGATGGTGTTACCACTGTGAAAGAGCATTGTTAGCAATGGAGGTATCCCTATACGGTAGAAACTGGAGAATACATACGCAACGATGTTGGCCCAACCAATCAGACGCCAGTGCTTCTCGATTCTTCGGCTGATGGCAATCTTCTCTCCAATCTCCGTGCAGGCGGGGCTGGTCAGGCTGAGCTTGGCAGCATCGGCCTTGACACCCAGAACCTTAGCACCGGTGGCAGTAGAACCAATGTTAACCATCAGAACCTCGTTCTTAGCCAGCTTGGCAACCTTGGCTTGCTTGCCATCGGCAGTCTTGACACCCAGCAGGCGGCGGAGCAGGAAGTAGTTGACCTCAATCTCGGTGTAGATAGCGGGCAGGCGGCCACGGTGGCCGAGGACGAAACCGACCAGACGATCAGCACTTAAGGGGGGTTAGTGAGCTTCGAGAACCCAAATTATGCATAATGAGAGCAGCACATACCGGCAAAGAGTGGGATCAATGCGAGTACCAACACCGATAAGACCACCAGGAGTAGCGAAACGAAGGGGGTTGTTCTCGGCGAACAGAGACTCGATACGGGAGAAAATGGGACGGCACTGGATGTTGCCGGCCTCATCTTTGGTGACAAGACCGGGACGGATCTCAATCTCATCGTTCTCCTTCAACACACCCTGGAGAATGGAACCACCGGCAACTAAGAAATATCATTAGCCACTGATACCAGTCCAATGGAGCCGAGCATTTTCATAAAACTTACCACCACCCTTAAGCTCATCAATCTCCGCACCAGGCTTGTTAACATCGAAACTTCTGATGACCATAAGCTGGGGAGTCTCGCTGTAATTCCTGATGGGCATAGGCAGAGAAACGAGGGCCTCGTTGACAGCGTCGATGTTGTACTTCAACTGAGCGGAGATGGGAATGACGGGGGAACCATCGGCGACGGTACCACGGATGAACTTCAGGATAGACTGGTAGTGTTGCAGCGCGCTCTCCTCACGCAGCAGATCGACCTTGTTCTGCAGGATAACCATGTGGCTGAGCTTCATGATTTCAATAGCAGCCAAGTGCTCGGAGGTCTGGGGTTGGGGGCAAGTTTCGTTTCCGGCAATCAACAGGAGGGCAGCGTCCATGACGGCGGCACCTGAAAGCATGGTACTCATGAGAATATCGTGACTAGAAAGAGGCGAGGCAAATATATAAGCTTATCAAGCTTCCAAAACGGCATAGAAACACAAGTCACTCACCCGGGGCAGTCAACGAAGGACACATGACGGAGCAGACGGTACGTTCCCTCACAGCCGTCCCGCTCACAGGGGGGGTCGATCTCCTTCGCACTGTTGTAGCTCTTGTAGCATGTTGGCCGAGGGCAAGCGGGATTGTCACACTTGTAGATCTTGGCGTTCGCATAACCCAACTTGATCGTACTGTGAAGATGATCAAAGATTAACCACTGGCTTCTCCAAACCAAAAAATAGAGGGCCTCCTACATGTTTCGCTCCAACTCGTTCTTGAAACGGACGGTTTGAACCTCTGAAATAGCCTTCACAACCGTACTCTTACCGTGTGCGACGTGCCCTGTTGAAGTTGGACTTGGTTAATCACAGAGTTTCTGAATGACACATCCAACGAATGGTGTCCTTACCGATGGTACCGATGTTCTGAGTGGCCTGACGGGCAATAACTTCGGGCGACAAGGGCGTCAGTGTGGAGAGGTCCAGGGTAGTCGGGTCGGGTTGCTCAGGGAGCCAGGGACGCTTGGGAGCCTCGGGAGGCGGGGCAGCGGACTTCTTCATCGCAGACTTGAGAGGCTTCTCATCGAGAGGCTCCTGGTCGTCGAAGTCCTGGGCGTTGGTAGCGTCGAGGTTGGGGCTGCCCGGAAGGGACTCATCGGAGAAATCGCCGTTGGTAGCCATATTGAAAAAATCGATCGCGCGTCCAGCAGCGGTCTTCCCAGCTTCAAATATAGCAAGCGGAATGATCCTTACCCGTCGGAATTCGAGAAGGTTGGGCGGAAGAGGAGGAGGTTCCGGTGGTGGACGGAGGGAGAGTTTGGATGAAAATTGCTGGTGGGCGGCGATATGATCGAAGAATGTAATGGTGGGGGGTTTTGTGCAGTGGAGATCCAGCGGGCGGTGTCTCGGGAACCAAGGAGCCTACTAAAAGGAAGCTGAGGTACACTCGAGCTGTATATTTAGTGATAAATTGAATATTACTTTGTAATGAAGTTTTTTTCTGAGGTAGGAGAGTTGGCATTTTCTATTTGACTCCTTTCCGCCTGCATTTCGTTGCCTTGAATGTAGAAAAGTCTGTGGTCACGATCATTGCGAGCCTGGGTGCCTTGGGTGTCTTGAGGTACCAACTAGGTTGCGACCAGGTTATCAGTCAACTTTACACAGTAGATAGCTTGGATATGTCTTTTCTCTTTGATCAGAATAGTCAAAGTGGAAGCAAAACTGAACGGAAACGCTTCATGCAAACTTTTATTTGGCATGTCTGAATACATCCGAGTCTAACAATACAATGGGTATATACAATGGCCGATCACCAGCACAAGCAAATCACTCGTCGTCTTCGTCACTCTCGGACTCCTCCTCTTCCTCAGACTCCTCATCGGCGAAGTCGAAGAGAGATGAAGGATCCTCGGCCGGCAGCATAACGAACGCTGCCAAGCATGTGATGCGGTTTCCAGTCTCGTATGTCGTCAGAAGCTTGCCAGTTTGGCTGGTTGTATCCTTAGATTCCTTTGATCCCTTGGACTTCTTTGCAGGAACCAAAGACTTCCCGTTGACCTTCCAGACACGAACCACCCCATCGCTGTTTCCAGTCACCAGCAAGAAGTCGTTGCGAATCTCAGTTGCTTGTCCTTCCAAGCTCAAAACCTCGAAGTCCTTGATACGTCCGGGCAGACCTGCTTGCTTGCCACCAACCTGGGCCACCGGAGTAGCGTGGGGAATGGTGGAGTCGTCACCTTCCTCGGCATCTCGCAGAATCGTAGTAGAATAGAAGATGACACGGCCATCCTCTGTAGACACAGCAAGCACGTCTTTCTTCTCCTCGTCATCACCAAAGGATACATACTTCATCTGATGAATCTTGCTTCGAGGATTGGGGAGAAGTCTGCACTTGGGAGTCGAGTCCTATATTGAAAAGTTAGCGTGACACAAGAGAAGAAAGATAAACGCGTGAAACCTACGACTCCAAACACCACGGCACCCCATTCGAAAGCCACGGCAAACTCTTCGCCGGCAGCGTTCCATGCAAGACGGCGGCCCTCTCCACTGCTCCACTTGCCCTCCTTAACACTTTGGAGAATCTCGCGTCCAAAGTTCAACACACCCGCCTTCTTGCCCGTAACCAAATTCCAGAGACGCATGCACTTCTCTCCCTTGCCCACGCTCAGCATCAACTTCATACTGGGGTGGACCGCAAAGTGGTTCACCCCGGACGGAGCAGCACCCGGGGGCGCCGTGTCACCGCTGGGGCGGCCTTGGACCTTGGGGTGTGGGGCTTTGATAGTCGAGACGACGGACCAGTCACGGGTTTTGGAGATGGAGATCTCATTATCCTCACCGGCAGCAAGCAACTTGCTGCGCGAGGGGAAGTCCAGGGCGGTAATGCTGGCAGAGTGGTGCAACAGCGATCCGAGCTCACGGTTTCTAGGGTTCTCGAGAATTTTGTTTCCGGCCAATGTCGGTACGGAAGGATATTCGTCGCTCACGGCGGGAGGAGCGGCGGCAAGAGAGTAAAGCTGAATTCTCTCATCAGTCGATCCTGACGCGAGGAAGACCTTCTGAGCATCCGCCGAGTCGGTGGCCTTGGGCAGCGGGGAAAGGGCGAGGCAACGGATTGCGGAGCCATGGGCCTCGAACAAGAAGGTATCGACGCATTGGATTGAAGGATCAGACTCATCAGAAACCTCATCTTTGGTGTTCAAAGTAGAGGCGGGAAAACCAGCTGTGAATCCATGCAGCACGCGTTCATAGGAGCCGGTAACCACTTGGATAGTAACAGCTGCATCGGGAGTTTGTGATGCGGTCGGGGCCGATTTAATCGTTTTCGCGGGAGTTTCGACAGGCTTCTCCTCCTTTGAGGAGTCGTTGCGCTTGCGCTTGACCATGGCTTCCGAGGGTTTGACGGTATTGATTTTGGAAATGCAAAGGTTGAGCTGGAGGACGAGCGAGTCTTCCGCAGCATATTTTTTTTCTGCCGGTTATCAGCAGTGCTGATAGGAAAGTGGATGCCGTGTTGCCTGAATGGGATTTGAGTGCCTTAGTGCCTTAGTGCCTTCAAGCCTTATGTCATTATCGGTGAATGCCTGAAAAACCCTGATCCGTGTCATCGTGCCTGAGGTGTCCACCAGTTCGCAACCGGCCTTGGTTGGAATGCTGGTCATGCAAAGCCTGAGGCTGTACGGAGTAGAATTACACATTACATATGAGTCTCACCGTCGCCAGTTGGTCTTGCATCGCCAGTCCTGGCGTTGTTACTTTCTCACTGCCACCAAGTAGTTCATAAAATCTGCTAAGAGTAATGCCAAATTTCTTTGATCCTCCTAAATAGAATCCAAAAGGCGGTCGTGATTCCACGTTTGCTCTGCTTGTTTCCTCCCCTTGAAGCCCTTGGCAGGCTGTAATTTTACTGTACCATACCTTCACCACCATCCGCTCCCCAGCGCTTCCCTTTTTTCCCGTGCCAACCCGTACTGAAAAGTCCTCCCTTTCTTGCCTCCCATCGCTTCACGCGACAACCAGATCTGATTTCATCATTTCGAGCGATTTTTCCAATCTGAATGACCTCGGTCAATCCACTCCCTTTCTTCCCGCGTTAATCGGATGCTGTTTCCCCAAGTTAGACCTCATGCTCCGCGACGAGCTTCTCCGGTCTAAGAACGATGAGATCGCGTAAGTTTTAATCGCAAAATTCGAAATTCCTCGAAGGCGACCCATCTGCCCGACGAACGACGGAGTTTTGGCTAATTTTGGTCCAGAAACTGTTTGTTGTCGCGCAAGCGAAAACTGACCGAGTTGTATTATGCGACCGTGGGTTTTGAGGCTGCGACCACCGACTCCCTCTACCAGCAGAAAGAACAGGCCTTCCTTGACGCCAACGACCTCACTAAGTAAATTCCTCCCCTCCCTTCTCTCTCCTTACTCTTTTATGCTTGGCTGCCTGCATCAATTATGTTATGCGATTTCGAAATGAGCAATATGCTAATCCGTTTCCGCAGAGGACGCTACTTTAATGAATCTACGCTTCCGTTGCCCACCCATGCGCGCGCGCGTTCGTCGATCCAGAAGCCTGTCACGCCTGCTGTCACCGCGGAGGTGAAGGACCAGCAACCTGCTGGGATCACTCCGCCCCCGACAGTCGATGGTCGCGCCCCTCTGCTACCCACCGGGGCAAGCCCTCAAGGCGCGTCCACCTTGCCCTTACCGACCGCTGTCGCATCTACTACACAGCCTGCCCCGGCTTCAACTCAACCCACTGAACCTGGACAAGCCCCCTCGGTCGCCCAAGATCTCAAAGTTCCCTCTGCGATTGCACCATCCAATCAGTCTGTAGCCGATCAGACAGCGAACGTGCCCGTGCCAGCGACTCGTCTCGGCTCTCAGGACCACGATGGAGCAGAGATCACAGTCTCTTCTGGTGCAGCTAAACCCGCCTCGACGATTGGAACGGCTCCCTCTTCCTTGGAAATCCCTTCTACCGCCCATCCCCGAAAGAAATCGGACGCGCGACCCTCTCTCACACTAGGCCCCTCACATCCCGTACAACCTCTCTCACCCGCCTCATCGATCGACCCTTACTCTACAAATACCCCTATTCCTGTCGCCGCATCACCCGATACCAGCCCTGGGGAAGAGATGACTGATATCAGGAAGCTTGGCCGTCAAAGTCCCAGGCAAAGCCCCAAGGACAGCCGATCTACGCACCCCCGTCCAGGTCTAATTCCATCGACGCCGGACGAGCAACTACGAATGGAGGAAGCCCAGTCATTGCAGCAGGGAAGTATTAACGGCCTGTCATTGGGCAACGGGACCATTCAGGAGACCGAGGAAACCCGCGCCGACAAAGACCAAATGGATATTGATCAAGAACCTTTGGTCGCACCTCAAGACTCTAAGCTTCCCCCCAAATCGGCTACTACTGGGAGGGAGATGCTGTCTCCTACCGAGCGATCGGCTGATGAAGATCGGCCCGTTGGCGAAACAACTACTGAGATCAAGAAGCCGATATCTATCCCACCGACCCAGCCGGACATTTCTCAGCCGCGCATGACAACTCGTGTTTCGTCTGGAGCTATCCGTCATAAGTCCGTTTCTGAAATCCTGGGCGAGACACCAAGACACACGGCCCACGATAAAAGCCAGGCAACCGGTGAACCCCACACGCCCGAAAGTCTTGCTCGTATGCGATTCAAAGATCGCAAGGACCGGGAGAAGGAGAGGACTAGGGTTTCAACCGTCGTTTTTCCAAAGCAGCCTCCGTCTCTGCAAGATAAGGCTGAGTCTATGGATCTTGTGGGCCGGGACTCGGGGGATGCGGTTGCCAAGTTGAATGAAGAACAGGACTACCTGTTCACGTTGTTCTTGAATAGGGCGTATGCTCCACCGAGAGGAACCAATCTCAACACTCTTCTCGCATCGGCCCATAAGACATTGAGCACGTCCAACCATCTTCTGGAGTATCAAGAGCAGATGGACTGCCGCACACTTCGACGTATCTACGCGTTACAGAATGCTAATCGATGGCCTCTGCGGCAAATGAAGCGATCAGCTGAACCCCCTCGCTCGTTTAGCCACCAGGACGTCCTATTGGACCACATGAAGTGGATGCGCACGGATTTCCGCGAGGAACGGAAGTGGAAGCTAGCTGCAGCGAAGAGCTGTGCTGATTGGTGTGCGGAATACGTCAACAGCGACGACGAGAACCGGTCACTCCTTCGTGTCAATGCTAAAATCCCCACGCCCAAATGCGTGGCATCTGATGCATCGAAACTGGGTGTGGCTTCTCCCTCGGAAGACACGGGCGACGAGACATTTGCAGCATCTCACCCGACACCGGATCTGGTACCATCCGCGGAAGAGGAATCGGTCAGCGATGGATTCAATGAGGAGACTCGGCATGATCTTCACGATACCGTGGCCCCTGCGGCTATCTTCTCATTGGGCTCCGACGAGTTCAATTTCTCTATTGACATGACCCCTTCTGCGGAGAAGCTGCTGGACGAATTGCCACTTTACCAGCCTGTACACTATGTCCACGAGACTCGGACCCCAGCATTCAAAGACCTCCCCGACTCGGCTTGGAAGCATGACCTCCTTCCTGTCTCGAAGTTTGCTTCTACCAAGATTACTTTCCATAAAGATGAACAGCGCCCTCGTAAACACACCCGATACGACTACTCTCAATATGGTTCCGCATCCGAGAATCGCCTCACAGACCTGCCGCCAGAGCAGACCAATGTCGCTCTCTTCCGTCCCGAGAATAAACCTATTCGAGACCGCATTCACCCTGGTCACTCCTTCCGACCACCTACCGAGCATCCGATGCCGTCAGTTGGATTCTTCGAATCTCGACAGTCTTCTCAGTGGACTTTATCAGAAGATGACGAACTCCGCCGCCTGGTCAAGGAATACTCTTACAACTGGTCTCTCATCTCGAGCTGCCTAACTTCACCATCATTGTTCACGTCTGGAGCCGAGAGACGTACCCCTTGGGAATGCTTTGAACGTTGGGTGGGCTTAGAAGGCCTCCCAGCAGACATGTCCAAGACGCAGTACTTCCGGGCTTATCACCAGAGACTTGAAACTGCCCAGCGTACTGTCCTGGCTCAGCAGCAAGCTGCCCAACAGCAACAGCAACAAGCGGCTAACAATGGTCAACCACAGCAGCCTGTTCGTCGGAGAACCACTCAGCCCTTACGGGTGGATAGACGTAGATCGTCAAGACATCTGGCTTTGCTTGATGCCATGCGGAAGCTGGCTAAAAAGCGGGAAACGATATTGCAAAAGCAGCAGCATGCATCTCATCTCGCTTCGTTGAGGAAGGCAAATGAGGCCAATCAACCCAAACCTCCAATTTCCTCGCCGGCAGAGTTCAGTCGTCTTAAGCACGAGCGGGAAATGAAGTTGCAGGAACGCCAGGAGCAGTACCGACAGCAGATGATTGCTCAGCAAAGGGCAAGCATGGTCGCTCAGCGTGGTGGCCAATTGCCCAACCAGCAACAGCCACCACAGCAAATGATGAATGCTCCAGGCCGACCTAATAACCTGCCTCCGAACGGACCGAATGCCGCCATGGTAAACGGTACTCCAAATGGGATCCCTGCTGGGATACCTCCTAATGTTGGTGTTACTCAGGCTCGTGCTCAGCCCATGCAAGGAATGCCACCTGGGGCGGCACCCATCAATGGCCAGATTGCAAACAATCCGATGGCCTTGAAAATGATGCCTCAGGGTCAGATACCGAACGTGGGTGCCCGACCTGGCATGCCAATGCAGGCGTCTCCCGATAACGCCCGAGTTATGCGAGAGGCCAACCGTCTGCAAGAGCAACAACGCTTGCTGCAATCCCGCCAGCAACAAGTTCCTCAGGCACCGGGCCAGCCTCAGCAGCCCCAGCAGCAGTTCCACAACCAGCAGTTCGCGCCGCAAGGCTCGCACTCTCCCAACCTCAATGTGCCTAATGTCAATGGTGCTCCCAGCAACCCGGCTATGATGGCTGCTCTTCAAGCCCAGGGTGGGATGCAGAGCCCATCCTTCCACAGTGGCACCCCACAGGGGGTTTCGACTCCTTCGCCTCGCATGGCTCAGCCGAATCCGCTCTCGGGTGGCGTGGTTCCCACAATCAGCACCTTCCAGAGTCAAATCCAAAGGGCCAACCCCACCCTTCCTGCCGACCAAGTCAACAAGCTGGCCACCGAACGCCTCAACCAATACCAGCAGCAACGCATGTCTCAACAAGCTGCTATCAACGCTGCTGCGGGTGGGATGAACAACGTGCAAACCAATTATCAGGTTCCGCACGACGGGAACTTCCAGGCTCCCCAACAGCCTGGCATGCCAAACGGAGGTCCTGCAATGCAGGTTCCTCAGAATCAGGGGTTCTCTCCGTTGATGCGTGTCCCGCAAAACAGCCAACAGAATCGGGTCAACGTCACTAGCTCTCCAGCAGTGAATGGGGCCGCCGTTCCTCAGGCAAGCCGCAGTGCAACCCCACAAACCCAGCGCAGCGGGAGCGCTCAAGCTGGTGCAGTGCAAGGCTCGAGCAAGAGTCCACACCCCCCACCTGCACAGGCAGCGAGCAGCTAATACCCAACATGGTTCTGGGTGCTCCGCTGTTTTGCCCCCTTCCTCTTCAGATGTACATACTTCCCCACCTCACCCTTTTTGACTTTGGTTTATTCCCTTTGTTCTTCTGCGTCGGTGCGCCGGGATTCTAACGGCGCACCTTGCTATTCTTTTGACACCCCTAACGCCATCCTTGAATCCTTCCCAGCGCGCTCTGATTCTACTTTCAATCTTGTCCGAATCCCCCTTCCTCCTGGCGTGTTCATTAATCTAATGAACCAGATTTGGCACTGGCTCCATGTTACCAGTGCCCTTTAATTTTCTGGATTTGAGCATGTATTATCTTCTGGGACGGGCGAAAATTCTGGGTTTGTTTTTTCATTAGACCCACTGACTCACGAGCACGAATTGTATGATTAGTTTCAAATCTTATCACATTCCATATGGACTTGATTGTACTTCGTCCCCTAAGCTCTCATAGTAGACCCCCAACGCCTTTCTCTATTAATCTGGCAAGGGAGTACTCTTCGTCTGCTTATTACTGATTAGGCGCCCCCTCAATCTTCTCAGGAACTTGCTTGCTTTGTACCATGCTATGTCTTGTTCATGGCGCATCCGAAAGACGTTCTCATTGAAGCGTGATACGCATGCTTAGCTTCTGGTTGGGCCGTCTACTCTTCAATTCTTATTCACTCTTGCTACCTGATGATCACTAATCAGCTCTTGAGATGCACAATAACAGATCGACAGCAATCCATTTAGACTAGGACGTCTCTAGTTAGGCTGTTGTATAACGGCTCTGTCAATTCAATCGATAACAGACCTCTGACCGCCCTCATTCTAGCCGCGCGGGTAGTTCCGCTTTTGCCACCGCCTCCATGAAGAGCTCTCGTATCAAACTTTCGAACTTGCATCCCAAATAATTACCAACGCCTTTGTCACTCACTGTCCTGGCGGGATGTCTACGTCGAGAGGCTTTGCCGACCACAATGGGGGTGGCTCCAAGTCATCTTCCCTTTCTTCCACTTCCACTGGACCCGCAAAGAAGGCTGCTTTCGCTTTCCAATCTCGCGAACGCACCTTCCAGTCTCCGGCCAGCAAGAGTCGCTCCTTGCCCCGCCGCCCACATCAGCTGGGCCATGATGATTCCTCCGACGAAGAACGTGCACCCGTACACGAAGAGATCTCGGGCTTTGATACCCATACTGGCCGCCAGATTACCGCCGATGGTCAATCTGTTAGCGATGCGAACAAACCACTCGTGATTCCAGTCACGAGTAAAAATAACTGGCGCGATCGTCCGGGCATAAATGTGAAGAAGGGCAAGAAGAACTTGCTACCGCGTGAAGTGCAGGCTATGCAAGAAGCGCAAAAGAACGGACAGGCCCCAGCAGGAGGAGCCGTTGAGACTGAAGGCCCGGGCATGTCTTATGGTCTTAGCTTCGCCCAGAAACCGTCTGACCAAGATCAGGAGAGTTCCGCCGCTCAAGAGGACCAACCTATGCCTAATGCGCAACCAACTTTCAAAGAAGACCAGAAGCCTCTTACGGAAGATCAGATTGCTATGCAAGCTCTGTTACGGGAGACCACCGGTGAAGTGGAGCGTCGGACAGACCTTGTGATTGAAGCCTCTAAGTACGACGAGGATGAGGAACCCTTTAGACGCCACGATGAGACAAGCTCTTTCCGAACAGACGTGGCTTCTCGCCCCGAACCCGCTACTTTGGATCAATACAATGCTATACCTGTCGAAGAGTTTGGAGCTGCTCTCTTGAGAGGAATGGGTTGGAAGGATGGTCAGTCTATCGGACGTGGCGATTACAGCTCCAGCACGGCCGCGAAAAAGGCAAAGAATCCCAGTGTCCCAGAGCGACGTCCGGGGTTCTTGGGAATTGGTGCCAAGGATTCTGGAAAGGGCGCTGAAGTGGAGCTTGGCGCTTGGGGAAAGTCAGCCATGCGCAAAGCATCAAGGAAGCAAGGGGGAGAATCCGAGGGTGGCAACGTGGAAGGTGTATACATGCCTGTTACGATGCGGAACAAGAAGACTGGCGAGTATATCACGGAGGAAGAGCTCGCAGACCTCAAGAAAGAGTCCTCCAAGTCACAAGTTGATCAGGGCGACTGGCGAGAGAGACGGGATCGCAATCTGGAGAAAAGCGGGCGTGAAAGGGACCGGGATCGAGAGTACCGTAAACGGGACTACGACGACGATCGGTCTGGCCGAAGGACTGGTTCGTCGCGCAGGGATCGAAGCTCGTCTGCCGGCCGTCATTCATCCAGACGCTCAAAGTACGATGATGGCGACGACCGTCGGAGAGATGATCGCTCTCACCATGACCGAGACCGCGAACGAGAGCGTGATAGAGATCGCCGTCGAGATCGCGACGATGGTCGAGATTATCGCAAAGATCGGGACCGTGAGCGAGACAGCGATCGGAATCGCCGAGATGATCGGTACAGCAGCTCTCGACACTCATCTCGTTCGTCCCGTAACGATCAGGATCGAGACCGCGAATCTCGTCGAAGCCGACGGGACGATTAAAGGACAATTAGCGCATTTGACTTGATTGGCAAGATTGCCTTTGTACTTCATGAACGGCGTTATGGTTCTACAGATGTGCATTTCACTGAAAAGACATGGATCGCTTCTAGGCTGTTCCAAAATCAAGATACCCCAAACAAAACGAAGTCTATCAGACGATCTGAAATTAGTTTGTGAGAGCTTGCTTGTAGGATAGATGGACTGAACAAGTATTCTTTTGCAGCAAATCCTGACGAAATAGAACATAGCACCGTAGTAACCTAGCAGAGAGAAGCCATAACTGCCCCCTCCCTCGCGAATTCTAACACCCGCGCCAGCTTAATGGCGGAACAGAAATCTATTCTTCATACATGAAGGATACACAAAGGGTGATCGAATTGCAGATGTCTAAATTTTTGATAAAACCACTCCCAACCAGGTACTCCCAGGGATAATGCGCCAATCAATAGGTATACACAAGATTTTATGCCTCCAACATAATCACGTCCTTTTCATGCTCCTCCAAGTCTCCATTGACATCATCATCAGACTTGATTCCTAGGTTCATCAGACCACCAAGACCCACACCACCGTCCATCTCATTAAGCACCCACTCGACCAAGTAGCTGTCATCAGTCAGCTCCTCGATACGCTTGTAATGCCTCTCGGTATACGCGGCCAAAGCCTGCATGATATCCTTCAAGCCGCCTCCGACACGGCCATGCTTGCCCTGCACAGATGTCGTGGCCAGCTCGACGAAAGTCGAGGCGGGGTATGAACGGAAGAGTGCGTAGAGGATGCGTTGAGAGACACGAGCTGTGCGTGCGTTCGTATTCCAATCACGGACGCGCAGAAGCAGTGTGCGAAGGTTTGACGTGCCGAGAGTTTGCAGTACCTCGTCGATAGCGGGGTTTCCGGTCAAGCTGTTGGCTGCGGTCGCGCGTTCTGCTTCGGACCGGGTTGGGTCTTCAGCAGCGTCAATAGCAGCCGTGAACAGGGACAGCAGGCGTCCAGGGTGGTTGAGTTGGAGAGCAAGGGTGATGGCTTCGCGGTAGTTGCCGGCGCGAATGTGATTTTGCAGTTGCTGATCTTGCTCAACGCGCTCGGACTCGGCATTCACAGCAGCGGAGTAGGTGGCCGAGGTTGTATCAGTCCAAAAAGTTACCGTCGAGTCGGCAGATCCACTGACAAGGGCAAAAGGTGTGCTGTTGATCTTGGAAGAGCTTCGCTTGACATCGTTTCTAGAACCAGATGGCGTTGGGCTAGCAAGGGCCCAGACTCGATCTGTATGATTGTCCAGGGTTGTCTCGGCCTCGCCACTATAGGGATTCCAGATCTTAACCAACCCATCAGCAGCAGCCGAGGCTAGAAGGGGCCTTGTGTGAATGGCATTCTTGCCGGTCGATGCTTCGCCCGCCTCGTCCTCGTCACTCTTAGAGATTTGAGGAGGAGGGAGCCAGATCACCTTGAGCACGCTGTTTGTGTGGCCTTCAAATGTCAGAAGACAGGTGTAGTCGGACAAACTCCAGAGCTTGACTGTCTTATCACCAGACGCCGTAGCAACTAGACCGCGGCTTGTGCTGGTCCCTTCTTCGGTATTGACGATAGGGGTGCTCTTTGGAGCGAACCGCACCGACCAGACACCTCGCTTGTGCCCACGCAGAATACCTACTGCAGCTCCCTCTTCCACGTCCCAGATCTTGACGGTACGATCCTGTGAAGCAGATGCAAAGAGAGCAGATGCAGAGTCGATGTCCAAGGCGTTAATATCCTTCTCGTGCGCCTTGCGAGTGTAGACAGCCTTGGGAGAGTGAGGCTTATCACTCTTGAGCTGACCGAGCTTTCCCGTGTCCCATCGCTTAATGGTTCGGTCCTGGGAGCCAGTCATAAGAAATGCTGGTGGGTGGTTGACTGGGTCGTTATAGGCAGGAGTTCCGGCCGGGGGTGGCACCCGTGGCAGAGCAATCGCGCCCAGTGACTCGGCGTGACCAGTGAAGACCGCGAAAGCCTGGAAAGAAGAGGTCTTGGGATCGAGGCGCCAGAGCCGGGCAGTATTATCCTTCGCTCCGGTCGCCAGCCAATGACCGGACCAGTCTACGTCCAGACAGATGATGATATCCTCATGGCCTTCCAGATGCTGAATATCGGCGCCGAAGAATTCTTCACCCTGGACGGACGGGCGATCCTCCGAGGGAGCCACAGACACCAAGCGAATGCTCTCTGTGTTTGTGGCAAGAGCAAGCATCGAGCGATCAGGACCAGCGAAAGCCAAATCGATGTATTCGTCATCATTTCCAGAGATTCGTCGCGTGATCTCCAGTGGCTCAATGGTCGATCCTGGCTTGTATTCAGACAGCAGCGCGATGGAGTGGAGACGGATCGTCTGGTCCGCATGAACAGTCATGACAAAAGGCAGGCCCGGGGAGTACTGGATGGCCACAACGGCCTCAAATTCCTCGCCAGCCTCCTGCTCTGCGGTGACCTCACTTCCTCGATTGCAGTCCCAAACTCGCAATTTGCCGTTCTCTCCACCAATGACGCACAGCCCACTGTCGGCGATGAAAGAGGCAGCTTCCACGCTTTCGAGGACGGGAATAATGCGGCGAGTCTTCCATGTGCGTGCATCCCAAATGATCACGGTCTTATCGCGAGACGCGGAAAGGAGGGCATTCTCTGTCGGAGAGAAAGATAGGCTGCGCACAAGAGAGACATGCGACTCTAGTGCAGCAATGGACTTTCTCTTATGCAAATCCCACACGCGCACCTTACCCTCCTCAGAACCACTTGCAAGTCGGAATCCCACCGTGGAGTCCGTAGCAGTAGTGGCGACATCCTCCATTTCCTCGTCATTACCTCCAGATGCCTGCTTCTTGGACTTCTTCTTGCCACCGGTTTTCGTATCCTCTGAAGTAGAAGAGACCTCGAAGAAGCAAAGAGCAGAAATGATTCCGCGATCATTGAAATTATGCGTGACATAGCCCCCGCGTATGTCCCAGACCTTAATGCTGCCGTCCGCAGCACCAGTAGCCAGGAGAGTACTAGACTGGTCAACTGTGGTTGAGATGACAGGCGCGGTGTGTGGCTTCAGGGTCCGAACGAGTTCGGCCTCGATGGTCTGGGAGGCCTCGTTGAAAGGTGAAAGCGAATAAATGCGCATAGACATTGACCGGGAGCAGACGATTGCGTGCGACGCAGAGGGCGAAACTAAAGAACTGTGAGCAGTCGACCTGACCAGACCTCGTTGCGTAACATACTGGCCAAGCTCGTTATAATTTCCCCATCCTATGAGAACTGGTTAGTGCTTCCGGAAATCCGGATTGACTAGATAGCAAAACGTACTCCTTCTAGGCTGGCTAGCTGGTCACCAGTCTCCAGATCCACGATCAAAGCATCTTCGCCCACACAGGTTAGCAAGATGCGACCGCTGGCGTCGAGCGACGTGCTGCCGCCGGTATAGATAGGGCGCAGCGTGCGAGACGCCTCGAATGTAGTTTTGACAATGGCCTTGGACATGATTTGTACGACAGCCTGTCAGCACTTCACGCCATACACCCACTTGGAAAGTCGGAGACCGCGAAAAGCTCGGCCAACTTTTTTTTGAGTTTGCAGTGTTTGCAGAACGATAAGATAGGGCCCGTGCACGAAGCGCGGCTCCCGCTCTAGACGCTGCCAATAGGCACGTGGACGTCCTCGCCGCCTCACCGGCACTTGTTTGATGTCCTACATGTCTCATCCACGGAGGCTGCGACATGAGAGGCGAATGTTAGAGACCAGAAAGACGTGGAGATCTTGAAAACCGCCATAATTCTGGTGTGTGTTTCTCACGATGGGCCGACAGGCTTACTTGAACCGCCTCGCTTTGGTAAGCGCTCCCCTCTGTTATCGCCCATCGCTCTTCATCCTCATCTGCCTGCCATTCATTTGGTCGATGTTCTGAATGACTTGGAGCCTCTTGTTCGATCAGCTTTCCCCGAAAGTGTCCTTTGAAGTTGGTTGCAACAAGACCGTTGATCTGATCACGACTGTTCTGGTCATATATCGGCATATTCCATTTCAATGATTGCATCTTTTCGCATCTACTTCGACGGCTATTGTACTTACTTCTTGCCAAGGGGCGGTCACCATACGAACTTCCAGAAAATGCAACGGTGGATCCTTCCAATCCAGTGCGGAGGGTGTCCAGTGTATATTCGGATAACTACATGCAGCAGTATGACGCTCGGGGCCATCCGGTTAACCCAGAATCCAAAGTTCTTGGGCGGGAACTCAGGCGAGCAAAAAACGATATTCTTTCTACGATGGGGATCGTCGTCAGTGGCGAGGACCGTAATACCAGCCCTTCGGATGAACAGCAAAAAATCAACCAGATCGCGACCGAGAATGATTTTGGCCTCGTGATCACCACACTTGATCAGCTATTTGTGTTTTTCGGCACTTGGTGGTCCTCCTCTTTGACCGGAAGAATCCAGGTACGTTCAAAACACTGGCATTCCGATTCACGAAGGCTTATATGAGTATCTTCATGTAGACATACAAACATTATACCCACGATGCTCTGCTTGATGTGATTCGATCAGAACGTGGGGCAACAGGCGTCCTCGGCTTCTACTTTGCTGGTATACCTGCATGGGCAGTGTCCAGTGGGCTAGCGATAGCCCGAGATAATCCATTGAAGCGTGTGTTTGCGACAGCCCGGGACTACTTGCTTGATTTCAGAGGCAATGACAAGCTCTCACTTGGAGCCCGGTCACTGTTCATACTGACATTCACGACGTAAGCCCTCATCATCCTCTGATGGAGTCCAAGAGATTAATCACTTCACAGGGTAAGGAGCACACTACTCCTTCTTTCTGTCGAGGCATATATGTACTCGTTGCTTCAAACCCTCGCCCTTGTACCCCCAAACTCGACACCCAGCACTCAGCTTTTGATTCCCTTCGGCGAGGAGTCTCTCATACAGATGCCATCGCTACCTACTGACCTTTCTCTCGTATCCATCGGGGGATTTATCGTACGACTCTTGGCTTCCCCTGGAGTCTTGACTTTCCTCCATGCTTTCTATCTACGCCCAAATCTCGAAGAACGAATCTATAGACTGATCCGTCGCCAATTGCCTAAGCCAATGCTTGCAGATGAGCTTTCGATTCGGGTTGCGTATGATGAGAACCTCGTCGATTGGGTTGTGCCCACTCTAGGGCGTCGTTCAGAGGAAGAGACCCGCCGCGCGCGACTTCCTCTGCTTGAAGATATCAAGTGTGAATTATCTGTTTTCCAGCATTGGCTGTTCTCCTTTTTTGGCCTTTTGTCAAAACCGACCTTGGAGCAGCAAGCTCCCGATATCTTGAATCAGGAGAGAATACAGAATCTTCGAAATTCAATTGAATCTTTGCAGCATGAGCTTGAAGAAGTCCAGCTTCGGAACAACCTTGCCGGAGAAACATCTGATGCAGCTTTGAGCAGGCTCTCCGGTGCGCTTGCTCGCACAACCGCGGTTGATATGACACGTCTTGACCTGCCAACGATCGCAGAGGACGATCAAATGACAGAGGAGTTGGAACTGGGCATCAATCAAGTCCTCACAAACGAAAATCGAATCTCACAATCTCCTGGAGAGATGAGCAGCGATTACTTCTCTGAAATGGCAACGCTTGGTAGGACGAGTGCGCCCTCCCAAAACTCTATATCGCAAAGTCCTCCCAGCAATGCTCAACTAGGGGATAGCGCAAGTAGTGCAACGAGGGACCGACATAGTTCTCGTGCTAATACCCTGTTTTCTCGTCCATCATCTCCTGACACATCACCGCCTACTTCGCCACGGGTTCGGGCCTCGTTGATTCATCAGAGCTCCGACATTATCACAATGCAGCTAGAGCTTTTAGGCAACCGCAACCGCAATGCCCAAAACCAGACTCCAACCGGCAATTCGTCTCTTCCAAGGATGGGTCGCGGGACCACAGGGCTGCGCCCTCCTTCAACCTCCATGGATCGAAGATCAATTGCTGATTTCCTTGAAGCGCTGATCTTGAGTCAAGCCCAGCAGCAGGCTTCACAATCGCCGTTGTCAACAGAGCATGATGAGTTATCGAACACGAACACCCAAGCAAGCAGTATAAGTCCTCAAGAAATGCCTGCCCTTGACCCTATTCCCCCGAACCCAGCTCAACCGAGTACAACTTCCAACCAAACCCCTTCTGACCTTGTCGAAGAAACTGCGGCCTCAAATATACCTAATTTTCTTCCAGATGGGGTGGAAGTACCAGCCGAGGAGGAAGGCGATGGGCAGCCATTATCACTTGTGGAAAATACACAAAATGCAGAAACCCGAGCGGCCCCCGTTGACCAACTCCCACCCATTGGCTCTCGTATCTCAGGGCAAGCATTGACGCATGGTCTGTCTGGCGCTCATCGAGTTACCCTTCTCTCTGCCCACCCCGTGGATTCGCTCGCGTCTCATCTTGCCGCTTTCATCAGCACCATTATTCTCTCGCCGATAGAATCCTTATGTCTTCGATCATTGGCTCATTCTTATCTAACTTCGCATCCTTCCGCGATGGTCGGGGCATCGGATCTCCATCCCGTTGGGTTATGGTTTGGCGGCAACTCTGGGCCCGACATTCTCGCGTACAGCGGTAGAATGATCCTCATGCGAGGGATGCAGGCTGCTCTCAGAGCAGGTGTTTGGGGATTCTTGGTCGGCTCAACGATGAGAATTGGCCGAAAGTTTTGTGGTTGGGGGACGCTGTGATAGCCATGCTGGCCTAGGTTTGAATGGTTTATTTGGAAATCTTGCATTTTGTGGGGTGAGCAGTGAATTTGTGTGCATCGACATTGGATAGTCTACATGGTTCAAGGCGGCGTACTAGTAAGCGTTAATTCATCATATTTTCTAGTAGTACACCAGTTTGACAAAGGACGTGAATAGAAACTTGAGTCTGTCCATCTAAACGTCGGGAAAGAAAAAAAGCGCTGCCCAGTCACCCGTATTTGATACAATCATCCAATCTAACTCCCAAGTATGATCAAATTGATAGATTACTTTGCCTTGCCCTTGCTCTTCTGTGCGGGAGCTTTTCTCCGTTCCCAGACCATCAAGTAGCCCTCGCGTGTGAATAGAGTCTCGCTCTCCGCACGCTTGACGAATAGATCTTGAATCTCAAGCCACTCCGAGTTCCGTTGCTGTTGCTCTGAGCCACCGGTATGGTTCGCGTTCTCCGCGGATACAGCTTTGTCGTGCAACTGTACAAGCCAAGAGACCTTTTCAGTGGCTGCACCGGCTCCCGACGAGGAGCCACCAGCACCAGAGGCAGCGTTCACGCCCTTATCGGCTGCATCTTCGGTGGCACCAGGTGCAGCGATCGAGGGGTCGAGGATGATGTTGGCAACGAGATCGTAGAGAATTGGCTCACTAGGTGGGCAGACAGATGGGTTGGGCTCGACATATGGTGACATGTCAAGGGAGCGCGGGGAGGGGAAAGTCACGATAGTGGGATTGCGCTCGCTAACGAAACGGTTCTTGCTGAATCGTTTGATATGGAAGAAGAGGTAAGGCGGCAGGGGATGGAGGAGGCGATGTCGGACACGATGCGCCATCTTTTCGGATGCCTCGCGGCCGTTATACTTGTTCAGTAGAGTAGTTAGGGGCACCTGTGGAATGATAGATTCCCGGTTCGCTGATTGGAAAAGTGGTGTGGGAGGAAGGTCGAGAGTGAGGATTTGGAAGGGCGTGACTTGGCTTTTGATGTCACCAGATTCCGTGAAGACGAGGCGGGCATTTTGGGTATCGGAGTGTGCGGTAATAGCCTGACTTTCGATCCGAAGCCGACCCTGGAAAGCAGCTTGGATGACACTTGTGGGATTAGATGACGGTTTCTTGGAACCACCCAGAGAAAGATGGAGGTTGTTCAGGAACCACGATAGGAAGTCCACAGGGTCGGACTGTTGGCTGAGGGTAAAACGCTTCGATGACCGCAAGGCGATCTCTTGTAGCAGTTCGTGCGGCGAAACATGGGACCTGAATGCCTTTGGATTCCAGAGCTTGCGTACTAAAGTACTGAAGCGAAGAGCGAGCTCGGGGGTTCCAGGTGTGGGGAATTGGTGAAGAAGGAAGAAATTTCGGATGGGATGAACGTGTGCCAAAAGCTGGACGACAACATTCAGGTAGTCATTGGCCTTGATGTTGTTCATACCAACGAATCCTGCGACAATGAGTATACGGACAAGTCTCATCAGTGACAAAGGGGGTGGGTGTCTTACCTGGTCTGTATCTTGACCCTGAAAGGTCCCAAGCATCATGGACTTCCTTGTCCAGCTTCGCGACCTCCGATTTGGTGAAGACAGGATCGACCACATATTTGATATCCTCCAAGCTCTTATTTTGCACCTCGTACCCCTCCGGCAAGACATAAACCTTTTTCGTTCCCATGTTGATATAGACATGATGGTTGTCTTCGAGGGAATGAAAATATGCGTGCGACTTGGGTCCACGACCTTGGAAATATTTGCCACAGACGAGACAGGCATATACATTGATGTTAGAGAGGCTGACCGAGCAGAGCTTCTCGAAATCGAAATCCAACACTCCGCGATTGACGGTGTCAAGATAGAGGTCATCGTAGCCTTCCATGGGCTGAGTTTGTCGTTTTGGCGCGCTGAGAGCGGATATCTCTTCATCGAAATCCGAGGACTCTGAAACGTCCTGCACCCCATCCTGCAGCTCCTGGTCCTCTAACTCTGTGGTTGTCGAGATATCTGCATCATTGCGCTTCTCTGGTGCCAGCGCGCGGTCGTCGGGTTGTTGCGCAGGTACGCTGCCGTTGGGGAATTCAGCGTCATCCTCCACGCGTGCCTTTTTCGAGGCAGGCGATCCGGGATAGTTCTCGTCTAGAGGAATCTCAGCTTGTCTCTTCGACATTGTGGTGGGGAGCGTAGTCGTGGAAATTGAGACGCTGGAGTTGTTCTTCAGTTCCGCGCGACAAGCTTAAGTGGATGCAAACACTTCAAACAGGCTGGAGTGGACCCCGAAAGCCGTCTACAAGCAGCAATCAGCACAACCACTATTGCGCTATCTGCTGATGCTCTCAAGCTGGAGTTTACAAAGATTATTATTAAGGGGTTTTTAAAATTATGGAGCCCAGATTCCAGGTGGACGTTCCCATGCCTACGGCTTGAATACGCCGACAAATTGCAAGTTATCCTGTCATCAAGGGTAAAACGTCATAGGATATGATACAACAAACACCTAAGCATGTCGTCCATTAAGCACTCCGAACGATCTTGTCGTTGTCGTAGTCAACTTCTTTCACCCCATCTTTAGTGATAACCTTTACGAGAACCTGTAAAGAGAGATTAGTTAATCAGTATGCAAAGTGGTCGCGGGTGTACATGTACATACGCCCTTGTAATCGATCGGCAACCGCCGCTTGAGCTCATCTGTGCACATTCCGAGAAGCTTCATGCCTTGCTCCAGATCGATGTTGGGGTTATGGTGTTTGTCCAAAAGCGAAAGGCAGTAGTATCTGCAAAAGTTAGCACGGAGAACCCGACCTTGGCGGAATCGAGATCACGCGAGGGACACAACGTACTGGGCATATCCGTGAGCAGCGTATGGTACGGAAGCGAGGGAAGCCAGATAGTCAATCCAGTATAGATGAGGTTTCTCTGTGGTTGGATCTATGCCTCCAAGGAGCAAGTTGACTGTGTAGGGGCTTCGTGATCGCAAGCTGCGGGCCAGCTCTCCTCGGACAAAGTTGGCAACGGCGGCAGGGCTGAGCTCCGTATCGTTGCGCATCGAATACAGCTGAGTATTGGCTTGGATGAACTCGGCGAATTGCACTAGTCATGATCGATCGTCAGAATCCTTGCCTTGTTCTGTCTTCGCTTGCCGCGATGGTCGCTAAACATAAGCTACTCACCGGTGTCACCAGCTTCTCCGCTGAACGCCATCAATGTGTTCTTGTTGAGCTGCCGCGTCTTGTCGTCCTCGGCTTTGATGATCGTAGGGCCTCGCATTATGGCCTTGGATGCGGCCACAATGACGAAGTCCTTACCAGTGATGCCCAAGAGAATCTCCCTGTATGGTCTGTTAGCGAGAGAGGTCGATTGAACGAATGACGGGGAAAAATGCGTACATATTTGCAGCAATACAAAACACGGTTCCAACAAATAAAGAGAAGGGCTAAGGCGAGTGAAGGTGAAGGAAGGAAATGATAAGGTGGGTGGTTGATGGTTGATGACCGCGCGGCGAGCTTGACGCCTGGACTGGGGGACGGGAGCTCTCAGCTACCCTGCTGACTCAGCCGCCGCTTAGCGCCTTTTTCTCCGAAAAAAAAAGTTGTCTCCGCCCGGAAGTCCTCGACCGCGACGACGACGACGTTTACTGTGAGTTGAATTCTGCACGCACAAGTAACCAGGAATTTACATTGGACATCTTCTATTGAAGGTCACCATGTCTTCCTTCTTTACCGTTCCGGCTTCTCAGCGCAAGCGCAAGAGAGAAGATCGCACTGCCGCTCCAGCAACCAAGAAGAGAGGCGTCGATGCCAAAAATGAGGCCGCAGGAGGTCGCCGAGCCCGTGTTCGCGAAGAATCTATTTCTGGAAGTGATTTGGACGATGACGAAGACGGGATGGATTCCATTGACTCCGGTTCGGGGTCGGAATCAGACTCTGACGAAGGCGAAACGGCCGCAGACCGGAGATTGAAACTCGCTGAGCGCTATTTGGACAACATCCGAGAAGACGTCGAGGATACAGTGGGGTTCGATGCCGCCGAGATTGATAGAGACTTGATTGCGGAGAGATTGAAGGAGGATGTGGTATGTCGAGACTGATATAAATCTTTGAAGGCTTCAATGACTAACAGCAATAATTATTAGGACGAATTCAAAGGACGCACTTTCCGCCAGATTGCTTCCCATCTATCTTTCTCTGAACCTTCTCACTCATTTTTCCGCTCCGATACCCAGTCGACTACTTCCATCGCCGTTCATCCACCTTACGTTTACACTGTGTCGAAGGACAAGACTTTGATCAAGTGGGAGTTGGCCACGCCAACCGTGTCGGCGACTACTGAAACGAAAGGATCATCGTCACGGCCTCCCCGTCCGCAGCGCAAGAAGCCCAGACGTGTTAAATATGCTCGAGGTGTGCGCAAGATTGCTGAAACGGGCGAAGAGTCCGGTCATACTGGAAGTATTCTGTCTGTCGCTGTCTCACCCTCTGGCAAATTCGTTGCTACTGGTGGTGCCGATAACCGCCTAGTCATTTGGGATGCCGAGACCTTGACCCCTATGAAAACTTTTGCACAGCATCGGGACTCTGTGAGCAGTCTAGCGTTCGCACGACACATCTCAACTATGAGCTCTGGAGAACAACTTTTCTCGGGATCATACGATCGTACCCTGAAGACCTGGTCGATCAGTGGTGCTGGCCACGCTTATGTCGAAACTCTCTTCGGTCACCAGGATCACGTTACCTCAGTCGCGGCCATGACCATTGATCAGTGTGTTTCAGTTGGTGCTCGGGATCGTACAGCCAGGTTGTGGAAAGTTGTGGAGGAGTCGCAGCTTGTTTTCCGTGGTGGTGCATCTAAGAAAGCGCCTTACATTGAAAGCAACATCGATTGTATTGCTCCTCTTCCTCCCAATCACTTCGTCACAGGGTCCGACTCGGGGTCCATCTCGCTATGGTCCATGCACAAAAAGAAGCCCCTTTACACGATCCCTTTGGCCCATGGCCTGGATCCTATGCCTCCTCTGGACGAACTCGCCCCCGAAGTCGATCCGGAGACCGCTGCTCGCAATACCCGTCACATGAGGCGTATGCCTCGCTGGATCACTGCCCTCACAACTCTTCCCGGAACTGATGTTGTCCTTAGTGGCAGCTGGGATGGTTGGGTTAGGGCGTGGCGGATTTCTGACGATAAGAGGACTATCATTCCATTGGGCCCAGTTGGCGCAGGTTCCCTGGGTCAGGCGGCTCCCGATACGCCGTCGAAACAACTCAACAATGCTCTTGCACTCGACACGACCCCTGATCCCGAAAAGGAAATTGAGGCGAAGCCTGATAACGAACCTCAAGAGCCCCAGCCGTTAATTAAGGGTGTGATCAACGATATCGCCGTGTTTGAGCGTCGTCCCGAACAAGCTTCTTCGTCTACAAAATCTTCATCCAAATCTCAGAAAGATTCAGCCCCTGAGGCTCGAGGTCTTTGCATTGTGGCTGCAGTTGGCAAGGAGCACCGCTTGGCCCGATGGAAGTGTTACGCCAACAACTACGATCAGGGCAATGCTCCTGACGGTCGGAATGGCGCTGTTGTTTTTGAAGTTCCGTTTACTTCCACGGATGCTATTGTGGAAACCGATGTATAGAAGTTTCTAGCCTCGGGGCTTGACGACTTATTCTTCAGAGCGTTGCACGAAGTGGTTTTTGGGAGTCGGAGTTGGAAGTTTTACATGTATTCTACTCTATTGCATACATATTGCCGACGTCATCTTTAGAGATCATCTACCACCGAAAGGTCTTTCTTATATGACAACTTTGATTCCATCCATCGATTCTAGAGATAGATTCCTTAGGCAATGCTTAGATTGATCTTGTTATTCTCAACAAACTAGGCCTGATTCGGATGGGGTTCTCTCTGTCTAGAAGGCTAGCTAGAAACGCTTAAACTGCCTCTTTTCAAGGATTTATCTAGTGGTCTTCAAAATTGCCTTCCTAGATAGCGAATCATCTTTTGCATTATGACTAACAAACTCTAAATTCTACTTGGTTAGTATATTACAGTAACAAGAAGCTAAAGCGACCCATAATCATCGTTCTGATCTATGGATCACGTGAGGGCACCGTCAATGTGAGCTTGCTCCCGCTGATCCTCGCGGCCTTGGATCATCTCTCCAGCAGAGGTACATCTTCACAAGAACAGGCACTATGACGCTATGAAAACCTCAAGATATTCTGCATCTCGACAAAAATCATGCTACCAATGCTCAATCTCAAAGGCAAAATGCGATCGCCAGGCTCCTTGCGCAAGATGCGCTAAACGAGGCCTCTCGTGTGTCTATCCCAAAGCACCCTCTGGCTCTGGTGAATTCTCTAGTAGCCAAGCGCAGGATGATAGTTTCTATGACTCTGATTATGGGACAAAAACATCATTTACTAGTCCGCGGCAGGAGGTGCTTCCAGCAATCAGCACAGATGATTTGACCGAGAGTTCTCTCAACTTTGGGTACCTAGACTTGGTCTGTCCCATCAATGTGGAGGACATTAGCAATCGCTGGCTCAATCCCTACATTCCCGGTCCTGAGCAAACGTTAAAGTCTTACCCCGTCACGGTCACCAAGTATATTTGGAGTATACTGAACTCGTATGCTGCCAGTGCAACTCGTGGACGCGGTATACCACCATTCATCCACCCGGCGCAATTGAGCGACCAAAAAGCAAGTTTACCTCTGAATACTTGCTTGAGTCTAATCTGCATGAGCGAGCATCCCTTGCCCGGGACCGAAAGTGCTGCTGCTCTCATTCTGCAACGAGAAATGGAGAGTATAGCCGCAACTCGGGAAAAGTACGATGATATGGCGCTTCTAGCCGCTTATCAAGCATATCTCGTATATGCCCTGGTGTTGTTCTTCCGGCTGAATCAAGGCTCGAGTGCTTTCTTTCGCCAAGCAATGATGACACTACAAGAGCTAGCGTGCTCTACATCTCGTCGAGGCCTTGTGTGCGCAGCCGATCGACATCATGCGCGTCCTCAATGGGAAGAGTGGATTGTCACTGAATCGAAGAGACGTACACTCTACGTGATGTATCTTTTCGATAGCATACTCTCCTCACAGGAGAACCTCCCCACATTTCTGGGTACGGAGTTACGAGGACTTCCCGCTCCGGCAAACAAACTCTTGTGGCAGGCCCAGGGGCGAAAGCAGTGGGAGACGGAGTACAATGTTTTTCTGACGGAGTGGACGAAGCAATATCTGACTATTGACGAACTTTGGTCCATGCCACCAGGACTAACTGATACTGACATTGCCGAAAGACGAGATAGAGTCAATAGATGGCTTGAAAACATGGACGAATTCGGAACAATGCTCTTTGCAGTTACGAGTTGCACGCATGGTTGAACATAGAATCTTATTTACTTCAACATTTGCATTGGCCCCATAGACTGGTGCGGTTCTGTCAATTCACGCCCCCTGTTGCAATCAATTCAACCTCGTTAGGTGCTTCGCCATTCTTGGGAAATGAATTCTGATCAGGACCATCGACAAGGTCTGACTCTTTTTTAGAGGTACCTTTAGGACGTTCTGTAAAATGGCGTGACTGCACGAAATATGCTGAATAATGCTATCATCGAGATGGTAGTCTAATGTTGCCGATACAGCCCTAAACGGAGTCAAACGTTAAACTGGAGCTAAGAAACTAATTTTAGCATAGAATCCACGAAAAGATCTTATCCGGTATAAAACCTCAACGGTATTACAGTAGAGAGTTACGACAACCTGCGTATAGTGTGAACATACCGTCACATAGTTCGACTAAGTGGATCCTTACGGGAACGAAATAGAGGCTCTGAGCGCCGTAACCGTTAGACCAGCCTACTTCCACAAATACATGTACGCATACGCCCTCGACCATGACTTGAGAAGTATGTTAAGAAGGTACCGATCAGTGATCACTCACTCTCCGGGTTCTGTCACTTGGGCTTGGGCCCTAGCGAGTGCTAATGTAGTGGTGTTGGTAATTGCTGTTTGGCTTCTCCCTGTGGAGCATAGCGGAGCCTGGGGCGATACTCGCCTCCTCGGCAGTCCTGCTAAGAGTCCAAGCGCGGTACTAGTCTCCGCTGTTCAAATTCATTCTCAGCGACTCGTCACATACATACAGTCAGTGATGACCTTACCTAAACTGGTTAGATTTCCACGTGAGGTCCGATCGAGGGGTTGAGGACGTTGTGTCAAATGCCGACCAGGGGGCGTTTCCAGGAAGAAATATCTCCCTAATTACATCCGAGCCTCACTGCATAACTACCGGGTCTCGCTGGTAAGGCCCCCGTCGCCCTTTGGTCATGAAATCCAGTGTCAAACGTGACCACTATGGCGTCCGATCCCAAATTCGTGAAGGCGGTTCCGACCACCAAACAGCGAATAAAACGGGTATCAGGAGACTTTCTGTGGGTCAATTACCAGGATGATAAGTCCCAGAACCGTGAATCTGTCCGATCGAAACAATCGTTTGTACGAACGAGACATCATCGATTGCAAAGAGAGAAAAAATCGCTTCAATCGAAATTGATCGCAACGCCTGCCAGCAAGTGTCGGCCTTCATCATCCACGACCGGTGTCGTCGGTGAATCCACTTGTGGGCGCTATGATCTATCGAGCAATCAAGACGATGATGATCATTTTCCTGAGCAATCAGTCATAATGCCATCCGTTCAAGTGGGGGTCCTGGATGGAGTTCCCGATCTAGTCATCCAAACGAGGCAAAACCCGAACGTGTACTTCCAACACTGTGAGTATAAACCTCATCTGATTTAGTAAAGAGTCCGGCTCTTGGCAATTCAAATGGCAAAGTATCGTTAATTAATCAATTGCCAGATCATGTCTATTCGGCGAGATCGTGCTTTCCTCTTTGCCCAAGCGAAATGACCTTTTGGTTCTGGAGGAAAGTACTCGACTACCCCCCTTTGATGCAAATAAAGCTATCAATCAGCGCTTCTCACCGAGCGGCAATTCTCAGGGCTTCGGGAGCCCCTGCATTGGTTGTGCAGAAGCCCATGCAGGATACGCTTCGCCTTCGCCTTGGAATGATCAAGGCAATTCAAGATATCTTTCGGGATGAAAGCAAATTATACACCGAGTCAACCGCCTTCGCCATCTCTCACCTGATCGTTTCCGAGGTAAGTATCATCATACCTTTCTCCGGAGAGGAAGAAAGGGAATTGGTCCCTCAGCACTTCATCAGCTAACGCGAGGTGATTTAGGGCTTTGACGCTAATAAAGAAGCCGTCGAGGCGCATATGAATGGCATGATAAAGATAATAGCCCTGACGGGCGGATTGAATAATCTTGATGGAGGAACTCTTTCAATGATCTATAGGTAAGAGATATGACCAGTGCCTGGTTTATTTCTGCTGACCTCTTCGAATTTGCAGCTGTGTCTTCTTGCACGGAATGATACAAGAACGACCGCCGGCAATTCCTATGTGTGCCAAGTTTGAAAACCGAGTTCTTGAGCAATCCACGATTATCAAGGCGAGCAATAATACTATGAAAACGAAAGCCTCGACATTGGGAGCTCGCTTCTTCAACGCTCCATGGTCGAACCAGATTCAACCGAGGTTCAAGGCACTGATTTCCTGGTATCAGCAGCTGGTCTCATATTATGAGAATTTGGGCACTATCTCTGCTGAGCCAATGTCGGTTGAGAATGACTGCCTACTTTATTTAACGCATCGCCTCTTATCTCTGCCATATGAGATCTCCCTTACCCCCTTCGAGGAGATTGTTCGACTATCTATATTAGTCTACTCCTCCATACGTGTTTGGAGTCTGTATGGGATGCCATGCTTAGAGGTACTGGTTGGAACGCTCCGAAAAAGCCTGTGTAAGAGCTACCGCACTCTTCAAAGCACAAACAGCGACCTACTGTTCTGGATACTTTTCGTGGGAAGCCTGGCATCCAGGGGAATGGAGTGTCATTCGTGGTTTCTGGCACACCTCGTGGACGTTGCAGATCAATTATCTCTGGAGGGTTGGGGCAGTGCTATATCAGTATTGCAAGGATTTTTGTTCGTTTGCCGGTCAGCAGACGAACCGGCGAAGGAACTATGGAATTTCACTCTTCGTGGAGGCAGCATGACTGGACTAGGGGTCGTGACTACTCCGGTACACAATGATATGGTAATTAGATGAATGCAGTTCATCAAAGATACAAAGATGCCTCATATGAAACACTTTAGGCCAGATATCGCTTCCACCATTCTTCCTTTCGGGTGAAAGACTCGAGAATAGCTTTCTGACCATGCCATCCGTGACCCTCGCCCTCAAATTCAACGACCTCAGCAACTCTGCCCTTAGAATGCATCGCATCGGCCATCATACGCGCTTGCGCGATAGGAACAACCATATCCTCCGTTCCTTGCAACAGCAACAATGGTGCCGTCATCTGCTCTGCATAATAGCACGGACTGCGCTTTTTGAGTTCCGCCTCTCGGTCCTCAGGCTTGGTTTTGCTCAGAAGTAATCTATCCACGTCTTGACTCTCGAACTTGTATGAATCCGCTTGCAAAGCCTTGACGTCGCTGATGCCGTATGAGCTGATTCCCGCTGCCCAGACCTCGGAATACATGTGGAGAGCACGGAGAGTCAAGTAACCTCCGGCACTTCCACCATAAACTCCAACTCGGGTCTTGTCAACCAACCCCTTTTCTACGAGGAATTCGACCGCGCTGACTGCGTCTCCCACATCGACGAGGCCCCAGTATCCGGATAATCGCTCGCGGTATTCTCGACCGAATCCGACGGAGCCAGTGTAGTTGACAGCACAGACGGCGAAGCCGCGGGTAGTCCAGTACTGGATTTCGAGGTCAAGAGCGGGAGTGGTAGCCCCATTCGGACCCCCGTGCACATATGTCAGGAGAGGAGGAAGGCTGTTCCCATCAGCCTGGAAGTCAGGGTTGCGAGGAGCAAAGTAGAACATATGCACTTCGCCATCTGTTAGAGGACCATGTTTTTGCGGGGCAGTGTAGTCCGTCGCAGTTGAAACAAATTCGGGCGCTAGTTCGAATGACGCGGTAGAAGTGAGCACTTTCTTAGTCGTCTCGAACGAAGAATTGAACGAGACAAACGCTAGTTCCTGGGGTGAGGTCTTTGATGACCCAACAACTGCAAAGCTGGTGGCTGAAATGCGACAAATTGTATCAATATCGACGTAAGGAAGGTCGAGGTCTCGGGTGGATGAAGTAGTGGTATCGATGAGAACCACTTTGCTGGTAGCATGGGTAATCACCGTTGCCACGATAGTCTTTTCATCAAGCGATGTGTATGTAGAGCTTGAAATTGGTTAGTATTGCAGGAAAGACTTCGATTGTGAGTTGGCACACACCTTCCAAGCTCCCACTCAGCAACTGCAAAGTCCGAGTTCTCCATGCCCTTGAATGTCAAAGCACATACACGAGGGTCTTCAGGATTATATGAATACAACTGCCAGAAGCCGGTTGAATCACTCGCAAAGTACAGTTTTCCATCGAGACCCCATTTCGGCTGGGCAATACTCTCCTTCTGTGCTTCACCGGCAATTCGCGTGACGTTTTCCAAAGATCCAGATTTCCACTCCGCTAGGTAGAGCACAGTACCCGTCCAAGGCATGTCGGGATGACTCCATTGAATCCAGGAAACGTATTTTCCAGAAGGATCGAATTTAGGATGAGAGTAGAAATCGTCACCTTGGGCAATGGTAATTTCCTTACCAGAGTCTTTCGAATCAAGCTCGATGTCAATCGCCACCAGCGTGTTATGGACGTGCGTTGCTTGTGTTTCTGGGGTTGCCTCTCGGTGATCCTCCTTGATAGCAATGAACCACCGCGGGTCCGTCGGGTGGCTAGAGAAATCTGCGTAACGGATGCCTTTCTCGGCCGGTTGAACGAGCGTAGTTTGAGCTGACGCAGGATCCAGTAGATATATATTGCAAGAGTCTTCGTCTGAAAGTAGGATCTTTCTATCGGGTCTCATTGAGACGGATCCGCCTCCAAGTTCTTGCACGGTAGCGAGGGCACTGAGGTCTTTCGGGAGAACATCTTTGGTTTCTCCATTCAGATGCTGCACGATGGCAGAGCGGCCGTCTTCAACGGGGCGGCATTCAACAGAGTAAATGGCACCATTTGATTCCTGTCAACTATCAGTTTGGTCCTGAATTCGAGGTATTAGGTGTTGAGGGCTCGGCACTAACATCAACGACCACTTCGTTCAGCATGATGCTGCAAGTTGCCAGACCTTCCGCGGTCAACGGACTCTTCCAGTGGCCATAAGGCGCAATTTGAGGAGAACTCATGATGACAAATCTTTAAGAGACTACAAACGATGCTCAATGCTCTTGAAATTTTCTAGGAATAGAGAAAGATTCGCAGAGCTTTTGTAAGGTCGATGTCGTCGCTTCGTGCCCCGCCAGGGTCTCACTTTGATGAGTCACCCACCAGCACCTGCAGACAGGCAACTCTTTTTTTTTACAACTTGGGGTCCGTCGAGTGGGAGGCCTTACTTCTCATAGAACTCAAGATTTGACCACATTGGGATAGTATTGCGAAGGCAAGGAAGTACTAATTTCGTAATGGTAGATTGTGAATGTCCCTGGTAGAAGCCGGAGCCAGCAGACTAGACTAGAATAAGCCCTTGTAAACAGAAAAAAAATAAATACATGTACCTAGAATACCTCCTCGCTCGCTATGATCTCACAACCAGAGATAAGAAATAAATGGTAGAAAAAACCGACATACTTTGTCCGTGCCCAGGGAGAAAAATTCGAACCAAAGGATAGGGGTATTTAAAAGAAAAATGATGGGTCGAAGGAGGAAGCCAAACGAAGACAGAGAATTGTGCCAAAGAGGTCACTGCGCCGGCTGAAGAGATACGGACTTGGTAAATCAGACGAAGGGGTGTGCAAATCATATGAGAAGTGTGGAGCAACTTTTCTATTCCATCCGGAGCGCCATGCTGTTTGCAATCGAAATGGGATAACGCCGAAGCCAAGCAAGGAAGAAAATGGGGACCGATGTCCAGGGATGCATAGCCATGTTCAGTAAGGCGAGAAGCGAGCGCGCCGTGTTTGCGTCGCCCGCCGCACGGGACCCACCGGTTGCTCTTCATCAGAGTCAGCAATGGTGATAGCATTGTGGGTTGAAGACCCTGTATGCCTGGCAGGCCTCATAAGTCGTGGTGACGGGCTTTCCGTTACTTCACTCCCATCACTCGAGGCAGGGACTTCGAGTCGCTGGCGGTAACGCCCACGGCTGACAAGAGGTTCTTCATCGTCCTCGTCATCGTCGTCATCGTCGTCATCGTCGACTTCATTATCATCCTCGTCGTCGTCATCATCGTCACCGTCCTCATCTTCAGACACTTCGTTATCAAAGAGAGAAGAACCTATCGGTGTAGACCGGGTGTCGTGGTATTGAGAGGGAGGGCTACTAGACGCCCCTACTCCAGAAGGATGATGGGTCCATCCATCAGCGAATGACACGCCAGTAGTATCGCCGTCCTCGGGATCGCTCAGATCTTCATCCGAAGAGTCGAGGTTTACCACGGGTCGACCTTGTCTCCGGGTCGGAGAAGCACGATTCGGAGGTCCATTGGCGCCGACGACAGTCGAATGATCGGAGTCGTATTGCACGCCGTTTGTACGCTCCTCATCGTCAATAAAGGAGTCCATCTCATCATACTCATCTTCCTCCTCCTCAAAGTCGTCGTCCTCGTAATGACTATCATAGTCCCCGGGAGCAGGAACTGGCCCCCAGGGATGCGGGGGGTAGACATGGTCTCCAAGAGCATGGGCGAAAGGTCCAAAGAGAGCAGCAGCACTTGGGCCTCCCTCTCCGAAAAGGAATGGCCTGCCGTAAGCCCCGTACGGCCCCCAAGCACTGTCATCAACATCAATGTCCCCGAATTCATCATCTTCGGGGTCCTCTCCATCAAGCATCGAGTCATCATCGGTCTCGTCATCGTAGTCATCCTCATCAGATCCGCTGTAATCGGTTATATCTTCGTCCGGGCGATAAATCCATCCGCAACCCCCACATGCATCTTCTTCGAGCTCCCACTGACAATTCGGGCATCGCATCACCCCATCATCGACATCGATAAGGGGCTTCAATGCGGGAGCTTTGGGCTTGAAGAGACCTCCAAACAGACCACCAGTATGTGGGTGCGTATTTGCTTTGTCTTGGTCCAGTTTCTCCGATTCTGCTTGCCGGTTCGATAGATGTTCGGCGGTTGTTTCCCCTTTATCCAACAGCTCTGCTCGACTCGTGAACATGTGTACGATCTCTCGAACCTATAAAGGTGAGGTGTAAGAATGTGGTGGACACGATTTTGGAGCCAGGTTCACTTACCAGATACGCCGGCGCGGGCTGAGTCTTGACGGGAGCCCGGCAATCCGGACATGTCCGCTTCGATCTACCACCACTGAACCATTGGGCAAGACACTAGGAACTAATTAGAAGCGGGCCTTGTAACGAAGATGAACAGAAAGTTGATGGGATGGGCCACTCACGGTGTAGCAGAAGGTATGTCCGCAAGCAAGACTGAATGGCTCATAAAGAGGTCTGATGCATATACCACATTGCAAACGGCTTCGAATGTCATCCACATGCCCTTGGAGCGTGTTGACAAGCTATGATCGCGTCAATAAAGGTATTCCGCAACGCCTTTGGGGGTCCAGCGTATTCTTACCCCCGATGCCTCCGCCTCGGAGCCATCGCCACCCGCCATGTTGGCTTTTGGGGATGTCTAGGTGTCTTCAGTTGGCGAGGGAGCGCTCAAGCATCGATCAAATCGCGTTTGAAGGTCGTGAGGCGCGGGGGCGCGAAATCCGGGAGATGCGGTGGGGGTCGGATGAAAAAGTTCCCTGGGATGGTGGCAAGGCGGTTTGATGAAGGTACACTGGGGAGCCACAACAGAAGATGATTCGGTAATTCGAGGCAGAGGTGAGCGTAAGTGTAAACTAGAGGAAGGGGAATGCTGATTAGAAGCAGGATAGACAGACTTTCACCAAGCCAGGGACAATGATGTTTGTCACTGAAGGCCTTAGGCTGATGATTATATAATCGTTAACTGGCCCTGACATGGTGCATGTGACTGGTTACCACAATCACTTCCTGAGCGATTAGTGACAAGAAAGTGCGGAATTCTCTCGTCGCTAATTTGAGAATGCTTCGGCATAATCGGGCGACTTGCCACTAGCACATATGCTACCAAGTAGCTTCTTCAGGGAATATCGGGCCTCGATGCCATAGTCTACCCCCCATACAGTCGTCTATATCATATGGCGTCTTTCTTGCGTCAGTGTCGAGCTAAAGCATAAGGGCTTACAGACTTAGTGGATAATGATCAGATAAGCCTTGCAGACAACACGCTTAAGGGGTGCTTTGCTCTATACATTGGCTTTTTCCAAATGCCTGATTCTTGAGGTTATAATTCTCAATCTCACCAATCCGGCACCAGTGGGGCCACTATTCAAGATCCTTGACGAATTGTGCGCAAGTGTCCGGAGTACAATCAGCACTATATTCCCCTTTTACATTGAATATCCAAAACATATGGTTCAATACCGATGGCTCCCCAGTTGGGTCCCACCTAGGAGGAGACAATCCATCGACGCGGCTCATGAAGTTCAGACACTAAAACATCACCTCATCTTGGGAATTTGTACGAAGCTACCTAAATTTTCTCCCGATATAACGAGATTAGCAATGTTTGCGAGATAAAACTGCTCTCTTATCGCACAACTCAACGTTCAGAAGCATCAAAGTTCGATGGTTGGAACGAAGCTCATGCATCTCATGGTATATGTGGTGGCTAGGCGTGGACGACCTGCTGAGTAGCTGTCACTAAGGGCTTTCAAGGTGTAAGGCCGAACGCATGACAACATTTTACTAAGGTTTGACATGGTACTATGTAGCTTCTATCGCCCCTCGATATGATACAGGTGGTCTCTCAGCCAATTTCGAACCCGAGACAACTATGCGAATTATAGAGATAGTCAACACTAGAGACTACTTTAAAAAAGTTGGAACTGAATGAATTATATTAGTCTTATCAAAAGCCCAAGGTGGCCAATCAGTCCATTAATTCAGCTTTTATTACTAGCAAAAGTCCTGTGACCGTGGAGGCTTGCATTGACCCAAGACTCTTGGTAGACTGGCGCTTTAGATTAAGGGATGGATGTGTTGTTCGGAGGTAGAGAAGACTTTGTGCTCTTCCTGAAAATATTCAAGCCTTATATATACCTGGAGTTCGAAGTTTCAACGAATCAATCAGAAACACGGACACTTTTACTGGCTTCTACATTTTGTTAGAATAGTCAACGCCGATTGGACAAATGTCGGCGAACCAATCAGAAAGCGGAGAGTACCCGTAAGAGGAGGCATCTTCACGCCAAGACTGCACTGGTGATCATCCCCAATTCTTCCCGGGGCAACGCCAACCTTTCGTTCCTCCATCAACCACTAAGCTCTCTTAACATCGTCCCGTTCGATGAATAGAATTTCGAATTACTAGTCATTTTGTGATTCCTCTCAGTATCTTGAGCCCATTCATTTGTATCAATCATATCACAACCATGCCGGTCGACACCGTCCAGGATGAACAACACGACAAGGCGTGGGAGAAGGCTGAGCGGAAATTCTCACAGTGAGTGTCTAGCCCTTTTCTTCAGTCTCAATCTTATATTTGGACTTTCCGGGTCCTTTGGTATATTTTTTGCTCGTCTTCGGGGGTATCACTCGGCCCGGTGTTCCCAGCCTCGCATGAAGCTTTAATCTACATGGCTCCATCGTCCTTTTCAATTCATTCTATCAAATCCACTTTTGGACGGATGGAGGGCTAATATATTGATGTTCTAGTAAAACTGCTAGTGAATACTACGATCCTTGCCAGGACTTCGCTGACCGGAGTCTAAAATGTATGAAACGCAATGGCTTTGATCGCGAGATGTGCGGTGACTATTTTCAGTATGTCCATCTATCTTTTTTTTAACATTCCTCATGAGATCCAGGCCCACACCAATACTGGACTGTGTGGCACATTTTTCGATCCGCCCCAGTGCTCAACTCGCCAGACGGTCTTTACTAACATGGACTTCCTAACCAGAGCCTATCGGGACTGTAAGAAGAACTGGGTGAGTCAACTTCTCACGGAGTCAACACCATTTAGACTGCACCTATAAGCGGTCTATAATGTCGAAAACTCCAGCTGTGAGAAGAGTGTCGCTAACAACCCGTACAGCTTAACCAGAAGAAGGCAGCTCCTCAGTCAAAATAATGAGGCCATTGAGCTTCGGGAATGTTTGATATTGGCCTGAATCACGGCCATCTCTGGGTCTTCATGGCGCTTGCTCAGCATTCGTGTAGCTCACGCACATCGCTGCCTTTACTCGGCTCTTTTGCTTGACTATCAGCCTCTCCGAGGCGCTTCGGCAGCCAGGTATCCCGTCCAGATCTGAAATGGCCGAATTCTGTTACAACATCGCGCGCATTCGTTTATACCTTTTTTTGGCCCTGAGCACTGGGCTCAAAGTTTTATGGCGCATTGGTCTTATTTGTCAACCCTCGATAGCAATCTGAGGCTGTATACTATCCCACTCTGTTTACTTCTCATCTCTTAAAGCCTGCATTCTTCGTGGAGAGGGCCACCCACTGGTATCTCTTCCAAATTTTTACTCGGTTTTCTCTAGAAAAAATTTGATTCGGAAAAGTTATGTGTTTGAGAGCTGTTCTCATAATCTACCAAATCATGGAGTGGCCTTTTGAATGGGACAGAAGATATATCTCTGTAAGGTTCTGCTTTGCGCTTGGGACTTTATGTATATCATCAACATATGTAGTTGCATTTGGGAAATAGGAATATCATGGAGATAGAAGATTAATCTACGGAATAGCCCGAAAATTCATACTGCCAGTATTACCAATTGAACGAATAGATCTGATAAGTGACTTTTTACCGCGGCACGTCATTGGCGCGCATCACTGACCATCCCGCCAAAATTTACCGCCTTCCAATTGAATTGCTTCCCCGCCAAAAAACACCAGCACCTAATCCCCACGATTGACCTGTACACATTGCCCGCGTGCTGTACCCTGCGCAGGAGAAGGAAAAAAGTCAGTGGGGTCTTCAGGAGACGATTCGGTCTAAGGGTAGCTGTTCGACATGGCGCCTATCAACGACGCGGTGTTTCTGCGCCGCAACAACCAGATCCAAGATGCCATTGACGGGCAGAATCTGAAGCAGGCCCTGCAGCTGATTGAGAAGCGAATGAAGAAGGGCGAGGATACACGATTTCTGAAGGTAAGTTTCGCAAGTCTACGAAGAATTGAGCGCCTGTGCCCATGTTGTGCCCATTTCATAAGCCAATGCCCGAGCCTCGCTGACTGTTACTTGCACAGGCATGGAAAGCACATATCCTCTGGCGCCATGCCGACGAAGCTCACCATAAGCGCGGTATTGACGAGACGCTTGAGCTATGCAAAGCGGAGCCACCGACGACCGACATTGATACCTTGGATATCCTGTTCAAGACGTTGCAGAAGTTGGATGGGCAGGATGCGACAAGGAGCAATCTTTGGGAAAGGGCAGCCAAGGCGAAACCCCAGGACCTGGAGATCCAAGGCCGTTGGTTTACCTATGCATTCGAGAGCAATGATTGGAAGTCTGCACAGAAGGTCAGTCTGTTCGGGCCGTGGAATACTTGAAACCGCCCTGGGAAGCCTCACTGTAACTTGCTAACCATCGTTTTCTTTCGAGTATTAGGCTGCTATGAGTCTTCAAAAGAACTTCCCGAAAGACCGCAAATACTATTTCTGGGCTATCTTCCTCAGCCACATGATTGCGATTGATGATGCTAGCTCAGAGACCGATCGAAAGCTGTTCGGCACCTTGGCATATCGTATGATTTCGAAAGCTGCCGCTGATGTCCCGGAAGGCGTAAGTCTTTCACCGAGTTTTGACGCATACGGCGTTTTTGCTGACTTTGTGGTCTAAAAAGTCTCAATTGTTGAGCCCACCCCGAGCCATTCAAACCTCTGAAGAGCTGCGCTTGCTCATCAGAATCTACGAGAATCAAGGACGGAACTCCGAAGTCGTGAAAATTCTGGACAGCGAGAATCTTGGTCTCAAGTCTCGGATTGTGCAGAATGATTCTGCGTTCCTCGGTTATAAAGCGTTCAACTTGGGTGTGAGTAAGATGTGGGCTGAAGGAATCTCCTTCGTGAGGGACCTGTACACAGTTCCCGATGATAAAGAGAAACTTAAGGCTCTCCGCGAGCTTGATGATTGGAGTATCTGGAACCTGTTGGTTCAGGCGACAGAGCACACCAACACTCCCGGGTTGGTTTATTGAAAGTTAAAATACTGAAGCTCAACTGACCTCTTGCTCGATAGGACTGCCGCCGAAACGAAGAAGTTTACAGAGGAATTCGTCGCAGCTAGCCCTAAGTCTCGTAATGCGGCTCTGGCTGGCCTTGACGCGATCCTCTGCGGGATCGAAAGCGGAGATATGACAAGGGATGATTTGCTCCCAGCCTGCCAGAAATACATCGACAATCACATTCACAAACTGTACGCCTTCAACGATATCCGAAGGATTATAGGCCCTGACAGGGATGGCCTGGCCAAGATGCTCAATTACATTTTGGTAACCCATGCTGTCGAGGAGAAGGTATTTATTCTTGACTAGATTGTCTAGACCTGGATTTGCATGTGTACTGACAGGCACGACTAGGGGTCTGTTGCTAAGATTAATGCTCTCAAACTGGATTACTGTTTGAATATTTCAGGATCGGAGAACAAGCCTTCCCAGAAGAAGATTGACGATCTTGTTGCGCGCTGCCTGAAGATATACCAGACCGCATATGAGGAGGGCAAGGTGAAGAAGTCGAAAGATGGCGCTCAGGGAGCGTCGTCTACCATCGAAAGCCAGCCGATCGATGATCTCTGTATCCTCGCAGCCATGTGTCTCCTCCAGCCTACCGATGCGGGTGATAAGGAGGCCCAGGTCCCGGCTACTGCCCTCATTCGCGCCGCAGGCATTCTGGAACGCCTTTGCCGTGACTCGCCCCATAACTACGAAGCGCTCCTCCTTTTGGTCAGAGTTTACCTCCAGTTAGGTGCTGGATCTCTCGCCTTGAGCACTTTCAGCAAGTTGTCCGTCAAGCAAATCCAATATGATTCAGTGGCTCACATTCTCTTCACGCGCTTGTCAACCGTCCACCCTCATTCTGCACCACCAGTCGAGGGTGCGGAGTACAAGGACTTCGATCCTCTGTCTGCATATGTCCAGAGCCTCAACTTCTTCCGAAACTCAGAGGTTAACACCATGCGGTTCCGAACTGCTGGTCTGGACGAGGGAGCCTATGTGAATACAGAAGAGATTATTGAGCTTCGGAGACGCTTGTTGAACAGTATAAACCGCCGCATGTTTGCTCTTGATGCACGCCGTACTCAGAGACTCGCTGGAGGCGATCCTATGTCCCGTTATGACGAGCTTGGTGAGTTCATGGTCACGTTCAAAGCTATTTTGGTATTAGCCCTATATACTAACAGGTTTCGTAGCCCGGGACAGCTCCCCAGTCGTTGATTCGCGTACTTTTGGCGCTTTTATGTGCTGTGAATTCATAAACAAGCCCAAATTCGAGGAGCGAATGCGCTTAGGACCACTTCCTAAGGTACGTCCACGAATCACAAATACATCCTAAATCCATGAGAATTCGCTAATAGCCCCCTTAGACCAACTGGCTGGCTTCAGCCCGAGTCACGGACCAGCTCTTCAGCGTGTTGAAGGGAATTGCTTTACAAAGACCATTGACTGCGGAGATGGACCTGCCTTCCCTTGACACGCTGTCCCTTTCTGAGACTGAGAATGATCAGACTGACAGAGAGAAAGAGTCGGCCAAGATCCATGCGGACCTGCTGAAGGTGGCAACGTTCATGGCTGGTTCCAAATTGACCAGTTCCGAGCAAGTTGACGCTGCACTTGGTCGTGTTGAGGAATTCTTGGATATTAAGAAGCAGGGCCTGAGTATTCATGAGGCAACGCTTTCTCCCCTCATCGCGTCTACGGCAGTGTACCTCGGCGCCGACACTCCGGTCGGGCCTACTTGGGAATATCTTCACAGTACCTTTGTCCTTCTTGAGACAGTCAAGGCATTGTCGCAGCTCGTCGGTTTGGCAACCAAAAAGGGAGGCAAGGCCGCCAAATTGCCCAAAGAACGCGTGGAACGGCTTTCTACGCTCGTTTCTCAGATCTACGAACTGGTCCGGTCGAACACACGAGCTTTGAAGCAGCGTGTTTCTGCATCAGGTGTGCTTTCTTCATTGGTCGACCTCGTTATTCAAGGTGACCAGTCTGCAAATTCCGAGAAGGAGCTTCAGGACATTCTGGAAACTACATTGGACCCGTCTAACGTCGAGTTGTTCTGTGGTTCATTGATGGAGAGTTGGGAGGAAGCTCTCGATGGTGTGTTGGGAGTGAGGCTGTAACGAGTACCATCAGGATACTCGGCTGTGTAGGAGCGATGTGATACACCAGAAAAGTAGCCTTTGTCAAAAGGTTGATGACCATAGAATTTAACGAAGCCAAGCTCGGTTCATACCACGTGATGAAAATAGACTCTTTGGTGCCTCAGGCCGCAAGATAGGGTGTCACATGCTTACTAACCATATAGAGTAATCTGCCCTAAGCCCTAAAGTTTCGCCTACGCACCAACGCCCGTGCCAAGACCCGCAGTGTGCGGTTCCCGAAGCATTAGGGGATTTCCACAAGACTTTCTTCATTCCCTTTCCTCGACAACACCGCCAATCCCCCCAGTCACCAACCGTCCAAATGGCGCAGGAACGCACCGGTATCGTGGTCGGCACCAACAAGGGCCACGTACGTTCATCTCCAATACCTCGTACATCGTCGTTGCCCCGGTACTCTGTTCTTTTCAGTTCGTTTTTCGAGTTGCGCCCAGTCGAGATTTCAAGGTCCATTTCACCACCGCAAATATACAACAGACCGGAAGAAAGATACCAGAAAGTCTATTGAATGACAACGGAAGAGGAGGGTAAGACGGAGGAGCAAATTCGCCATGGGTTATGAGGTGGAAACAATTCAATGATCAATCGGACCTGGAAATCTCGAACCCGGACCGCATCTCGAAGATACGCACCGAAATCAACAGAGCACCCCTGGGCAACGACATGGCTACCGGTTACGCACGGAACAGTCAGACTGACTGGCATTATAGAAAACCACTCCCCTTAACACCCCCAAGAACAAGATTAGCCGTTCCAAGGGCCAGTCTTCCCGCCGCACTGCGTTCGTCCGCGAGATCGCTCGTGAGGTTGTCGGCCTTGCCCCCTATGAGCGCCGTGTGATTGAGTTGCTCCGCAACGCCCAGGACAAGCGTGCTCGCAGTACGTACCCTCGACCTTCAAATCTGAAAATCTCGTTATAGGAGACTAGATGCTAACTACAATCACAGAGCTCGCTAAGAAGCGCGTATGTCTACCGAATCCCACCTCCCTTTGAATTCTTGTACCTGCAACTAGATGGGTTGGCTCTCTGGCTTGTTTTGTGGATTCGATGTTGGATCGGCGGAGGCTCTGGGAGGGTGAAGTGGCAGATCTACCAATGCGTGATGACATTTTCAAGAGAGTGGAAATTCTCGATTGGAAATGCTCCTTGCTCGGTTCATCAAACTTCGTCATCCCTATCTCGCCAAGTCCGACGGTCTACGTTCCATCGCCATCGAACCAGCAAGCATACAAGACCAATTATCTTCGATCCAAAAGCTAACATTTTCTTCTACAGCTCGGCACCTTCACCCGCGGCAAGAGAAAGGTTGAGGACATGCAGAAGGTCATCGCCGAGGCCCGCCGTACCCAGGCTCACTAAACGCACCATTCCGTTACTTTTTTTCTCTATCGTTTAACGACTCGAATACCTGGCGCGCGCAAGGGAACACGAAGAAAAAATTATGGTCGAAGTCTGGCAGGTCTGATGTGATAATACCTACGGCCGCCATTCAGCATATGGCTTCGAATCGGAATATGGGGTTTTTTGTGTGGCTTTTCGGTGGATGCATGGGGATGGCAAAAGTGGAATCCCTTCCCTGTTTTTCGGAAGCGAAACCATAATGAAAACAAATCTTGTTCAATACCTTCACATGCTGTGCCTTGATCGTAGAGTTCTGGAGTTCGTGGTCGCAGGGTAGAGCAGAGTATGGCTTGGCGTAGATCAGGAGGAACATGTGTACTTGCGACACCTTTCCTGCTATTTCCAGCGTGGTTCCCCTACCCATCCAGCGATTCAACATTCGGCAGGCCGCCTCCCTGGCGGACCAACGGCAAATTGAAAAGGAGACCGGTTGGGCGAGAACATAATCATTTATACTTGTATATTTTGGATATCTAATCTTGCAATACTGCAACTCGCAGATTGGAATTATCAGTATTCAGATATAGCGTTCTAGGCGGTCATGAAATCCAGGTTCAAATAAGATCTATCGAGATATCTGATACGAAGTTCTAACACGAAGCGGTTAGATTCCATAGTCAGGGCCATCATTCACCCAGGTTTCACATCATTCATATGCAGATAAGCATTGTTGGTCTTGAATCATTTCTTTCCCGGCAGCTTGAGCCACTTGGGCATCGCCCCCGGCTTTCGCGTTCCGCCAGGCTTGCCACCATCGTGGGCACCACTTGGTTCAGCCTTTTCCGATGTGGAAGCGGATGGCTCTTCCACCGGCTCGGGAGGCTGCTCGACCTTCAGCTCTTGAGCCTGGCTGCGTAGCTCTGGACGAAGAAGGTTCGTGCGGCGCTGACCAGCCGCGGATGTATCGGTCCATGAGAAGTTGACAAGTACTCGACCAGCGAGGCCAAGGTCCTTGATCAACAGTGATTGGTCCGAGTCGGGAATTGTATTCGCATGTGCCGATCGAACGGCAGTTGGGCTGGAGAACACATTCAGAGTGAACTTCTCTGCCGCGAATGGAGGGGCAAGACAATTGCGAACGAATCCGTAAAGCGTTGATCCAGAGTCCCGAGGTCCAAATTTGGCTATTACCTGACTCTGATCTGGGAAGCGGACTTTCACGTCTATTTCGCGAAGTTCTGAGCGACGCGCTTCCTCTGCGGCTGCTTTCGCAGCAATTTCCGCATCTGTGAGGAGGCGTTTATTGCGCGAGGCTTCGTTGAGGAGCCGCTGATGAGCTTTCGCGTGCTCAACAGAGGGGATATAGTCTTCTTCATTATAAGATAACTGTGCGGAAGATGGTGTATCGTTAGTCGGGGGAGAGAAGACCGTGACGGCACGGCCAGCCGTTAACGCTGCAGGTTGATCTGAGACGGAGCTTGGGAGCTCTTGCGCAGTAGCACCTTGAACGACGGGTTCGCCGACGACCTCTGATGTTGAAGGAATAGCTGCCTGGTCTTGGGGCTCGCCAACAGTCCCCTCTGCAGGCGGAGTGGCGGATATATGACCTGGCTGTGCACCTGGGAGCTCGTCCTCAGGCGACTTGAAGTATTCAGCAATGTTCGTCATTGCTTCTTCGAGCGGCTTCTCTGTGCGCCGGAAACTGAGTCGAATAAGTACGTTTCCACTATTAAATCCAAGCTGGGCAAGGGATTTCTGTAGATCGGTGAAGCTTGATAGCTCGCGATCCATGATCTGGAGCACCGGGATCTCATAGAACAGCCGCCCCGCACCAGAGTCGCCAGATATAGAGGGAACGCCGCGTGCAGTGAGATTCCTTGCCGGTCCGCTTCCTGCTACACCAGCTTCAAACTTGCGCAATACCAGCCACAATGTTGTTGTACTTGGGAACTTGTCCGTTATGCGGCCATTTGGAGCCCCACGTGCCTCCGACTCGGGAAGTTGTAACGCCACCGTGACAATAGAAGGAGAGCGGGATAGCTGCACAAGCTCGAGCTTTGCTCCAGAGCTGAGACCGGAAAGACGAAAGGAAAGAGAGAGGTCGAGTTGCTTGCGGTTGTGCCTGTGGCAGTATAGCGTCAGTTTGGCTACTTCTCAGCGGGGTAGGAGGTGCTCATCATAACATACTTAAGGCCATATTGGCTTGCGTTATAGCCGAGCTTTGAACATGCTTCTTGTAGAATATCCGTCAAGTATTTGCCTGGTGTGGTCTTGACTGTAGCTCGCCGGGCTGTCGCGTCGATCACCACGACGTGGGCGCTCATGATTGCGGTGTATATATGAAGCTCTCGATGGGGTGCCAAAGCGTAGCAAAGAGGAGTATGTCGTAGAAAAGAGAAATAGAATCGGTTTGTATGATGACAAAAGCTTAAACCGACCCGAAAATCAAAGCGTGGGGTAAGAGAGCGGAAGAAAGCAGTCGAAGGTCGAAGCCGAACCAAATAGGCAGCGGTGCGGCGTCATCCGAGCTCTGGCGCTCTCTCGCGTCCTTCCAGTTCCCCGTCATCTCCTCACCTTTCCCCATCATCAACCCCCATCCTCCCTCCGCAACCCCCTTCGTTCAGCCAGATTTTCGTTGCTGAAGCTTCAGAATACTTCTTGCCAACTGGATTGATTAGGAAGAACCGCAATAATGGTAGGGAATCGTGTCCCTTGACCCCGTCATTCATTGTCGCCGGACCTCAAGCTAACCACCTCCTGCCATCACCAGGGCTCCCCCTTCGACATCAGTATGATGAACTCTGACATTTGACCTCCAATCGATTAACATACTAATCTGTACCCAGATGGCGGTGCCTGTGTCGCCATGGTGGGCAAGGACTGCGTCGCCATTGCCTGTGACCTCCGCTTGGGCATGCAAGCCCTGACTATCTCCAACAACTTCCCCAAGATCTTCAACTACGCCCCCTCCACCTATCTTGGCTTGACAGGCCTTGCAACCGACGTCAACACCGTCTCGGACCTCTTCCGTTACAAGGTCAACATGTACCGCCTGCGCGAGGAGCGCGATATCTCCCCCCAGACCTTGGCCAACTTGGTTAGCTCATCGTTGTATGAGAAGCGCTTTGGTCCATTCTTTGTCAGTCCCGTTCTGGCAGGAATCAACCCAACGACCGGAAAGCCCTTTATTTGCGGGTTTGATAGTATCGGTTGTATCGATTTCGCCAAGGACTTCATTGTCAGCGGAACGGCGAGCGACCAGCTCTTCGGTACCTGCGAGGGTCTGTGGGAGCCGGATCTTGTAAATATAATCCCCTCGAGTGCACGTTTGCGAAGCTAATTGATGATATCTAGGGCCCCGAGGACCTGTTCGAGACCATCTCCCAAGCACTGCTGAGTGCCGTCGACCGAGACGCCCTCTCCGGTTGGGGTGCTCAGGTGTATATCATAGAGAAGGACAAGGTCACCCAGCGACTACTGAAGGGACGTCAAGATTAAAGAGAGGGATGGACACAGGGGGTTCACATCGGTTATTATTGGGCATTTTGTTGGTCTGAGGGCAAACTCCGGCGTCTGTGGTCTCCACGTGATGATGATATTCCATCGACGGTCAGCTATGGGCGAAATGCTGCAGCAGTGACGCGAAGGCAGACGGCATTTCGATCCAGAAAGTACCGAGCCCTCGACTATATGTTTCTCTTACTCCTATCATGATAATACAAGCACCACCATCACGTCACGATTTTGGCTCCGAGACATAAAGATTTGTCTAACTTGAGACGCCTCGATATCGATACTAATAGCGCTGACCTTGCTCATAAGTCAATAGCCATCTTTCCCCTGGACAGCTTCGTACGCTGCTCCATCTCTCCCAAAGAACTCTTTAAGATCCCCTGCGAGCAATTCAGGCACCTCCCACGCCGCAAAATGGCCGCCGCGGTCAAACTCCTTTTCCTTGACCACATTCCCGATGGCATGGTACCAAGCCATGGGCCACATCAAGATTTCCTCCTTGAACTGTGCCACGGCAAATCGTATATTGGGCGGTGCATGGGCAGCCAGGACTTGTTCAAGGGTAATCCAGTTCTTCACTTGATCAACCTGGATTCCGGTAGAGCCCGAGTGCTCAGGTTTCTTCGCAGAAGCCTCGTAGTAAATCCTGATCGAAGCTGCCGGTCCCGCCCGTGAGAAGTAGTAGGTACTCACCCAAGTCAAGATTTCTTCGTCAGTCCATTGATACTCATCGGACCAGATATGAAGCTTGTCGTAGATCCAGGCTAACAGTGCGACCGGACTATCCTGTAATCCATATCCCAGAGTCTCGGGTCGACTCTCCTGCTGCTTCATGTAGGCATTACCACGCGTCAGGTAGTCCATTGTGCGAGCTATGTATGCTCTATCTTTGGTCGAGAAGGGAACACTGGCGAGAGACTGGAGGAAGCGAAGAGGGCTTCGCCATGGGTATGGGGGAATGACTGGGATGAAGTTCAAGTGTATGGCTTGAATATGTTTGGCATATAGTTGTGCCATGGCGCGGGCGATCATGCTGCCCCAATCGCCTCCTTGTATGACTGAAAGTATCATTAGTCTTTTCCTCATAAATGACTAGGCTCGATGTCTTTGTACCATATTCATCGTACTTTAGGGCGATCATCACCTTGTGCAGAGTTTCTGCATATTGGGCTAGGCCGAATCCTTTCTAAGGGTGGAGTTAGTATATCTCGTGGATCTTCAAAAGCTCTGAAAGACAAACCTTTGATACACCTTGTGAGAAGCCAAAGTTAGGCAACGAGGGTACAACAATATCAAATGCAGGTCCTCCGTCTTCCTTCATGAGCAAAGGGATCAACTTGGTTGCCTCAAGGAAGCTGCCGGGCCCTATATGACAGCATTTCGTTAAGCACAATTGATTAAGGAGATAATAAAATGGTGGTATCGAAAGTGTAACCTACACCCATGAATAAAAAGCAGCGGGATAGCATTTGATTTCCCGCTGCGATGATGAATAACGTGGATATCAAGTTCCCCAAACCCGTCCACTGAAATGGGCACCTTATACTGCTGGAGCTGCTCGTTCAGCTTACTCTCCTGAGCTCGCCAGTCAAACTTCTCCCGCCAGAGAGTGACTAGTCGCTTCATTTCCGCAGGGGGAACACCCATGCCCCAGCCTGCAGTATCGAATTCATCAGGAAAAGTTGCATGCTCAAGCTTCTTGTGGAGCTGGTCGATTTGAGAGTCTGGAACTGCGATGGTGAACGAGGATATGGTGGTCATTGTGAAAACCCCCTGATCTATTGTATAGACAATTTTGTATGAACAGCTGAATTGTATTGTATTGTGAGAGGAGTTTGTATAACAATAGCCTCGGGTGGCGAGGAGTATCGCAGCGGAGGACTGTGAATTACCTTAGGCAGTGATTAGCGGCCGATCAACCTCGGTATCACGATGCCAAAGGAGCTGGCGGCGTCGGGCTCCGCGGAGCTGCGAAGAACCATAGTTGGCCTGGATATAATCTTCAGAGCATTGAACCCAGAAACTAGAGATATATCCCAAAAGTATATGCTTCAGCTTCTCTTATGACAAAGTTTGTTCCATCCATACCACCTGGCGGATCGTGTATTGGTACCTGATCATTCAACCTCTGACCAGTTGTATGGAGATTTATACGAGCCTGCGCCTGAGTACTCCCAATTATTTCAACAACATGATGGTTGTTTGGAACCTTGTTCATATTCCTATCTAAGTAAGATAAGTCTGGGACTACTCGTAGGTACTGTCCGCAACTCAGGTCCGTCTTGACTCTTTGGCCACTAAGTGTTCTCGATAAAATACCGCATGTCTGTGCCATTTGCACATCAGAGAGTAATTTTTCCATCATAACAGCAACGGCGATGATTCCATGGGAATCCAATGCCTACTTACCCGTTCGATGTGGCTCTCTCGACACGCCGGACACCTTCCACCTCCACCAGATGAATGAACATCGCGGCCAATTCGAATCGCGAGAATCCCTCCCTTCCAGGACCAAAGATCCGTGCGTTCTGGCTGGTCTTCAGATACTGGTCTCGAAATACCTTCCATAATGGCGAGTTGGATTCCGGGCGAGGCATGAATGGTTCACTCCACCAATACGCGTTGACGGCTTGGTGAACACCCTGGATGTCCATGGTAGTGTCTTGGCACAGATCAAAGTCCAGAACCCACATGCAATGCTCACCGAGGATGTTCGTAATGATATCTGTTTCTTTGAACTCCTTGCATTCGGCGGGCGCGAGGACGAATTCGATGTCGCGGCCATCGACTTCACCAATCCAGTGCATGGCAGCAAGTGTCTCGCCCATGATGGCGGCGTATGCCTTCATGCCTGCCATTGGGATACCAATCTCCTCCATCTGATCCTGATGAAGCGGGAAGTTTCTTAGAGTGAATCTGTACTCATGTGGGTTCACGGAGGGCCTTTGGGATCGACTGCCGAGATAAGGGCGAATGAGGCAGTCCTTGTCCTGTTTGTTGGTCATCATGTGAAACTCGGTGATCCCGGGTGGGCAATAGTTCTTCACAAGAAGATACTTGGTTGCATCTGCGAAAGGGAAGATTCGCTCTGACCTGATCAAGTTGCACGGGAGGAATCCATTGGGAAACATCTTGAGGTTTGCTTTCCACCACTCATCGTCGGTGGGCCTGATAAAGCGGTGGCATTCCGAGATTTGGACCTGTGGAGATTGATCGTCCTCGAAATTGAGGGCCTTCATTTTTCTCAGGATGTGAAGAGTTCTGATGACCTGCTCGTGCATTTTGAAATCATTCTCAAGTGAACCCTCTCGTCCACGGTGCTCTTGCTTGAAGGCAGGTTCCCCTCCGCGAGGAGCCCAAACTGTACCAGAAGAGCCGGCACCAATGGGCTCTACCTCATCGAGGTATTCGGCTTCGTGGTGGCGCTGGTTCATGTTTCTGACCGCGCTATTGCCCGGGTAGTGGTGAAGTTTGTTGCGTGAATGGTTGGTAGATAGATGAGGAGAAGGGAGGAGAGGTGGGAATTTCTGATCATAAAATAGAAAGATAAAATTAGGCTGTAAGCCATAGGGCTTAAAGAGAGTGAGCATGTACAGAAAGCAAGATTCTTGCCTTGTAGTTGCTGGTTTGATAACGATGGAAAGCTCCAGGTGCCGTGGGTCTAGGCAAGCAAGAGCAGCGATGCCTTAACCAAGCTCACCTACCTAGATCGAAGACTTGCATCCATACAAGAAGCTATGAGTCAATTTTACCACGTCTTTCAATAGTTATTTCCCATGTGCCTCTTGGGGAGGGCTTGTACTTGGTATCCTGCTCTGGTCTCCTGTATGCTTCAATACCCTGATACCTGATACGCCGATAAGCCCCTTCTTATCTTATCACTGCCACATTCCCCCGCGCTCTGCCAGCGACTGCTTGAACTCGGCAACAATGGCCTCCTTTCGGGCACTTCGATCTCAGTATGCTTCGCTGCTGAAACAATTTATTGCTTCAGCCAAAGAATTTGAAGTCCTTGCTACAGTACCCTCTGATCACGCCCCGCCCCCCAAGATACTATACGTGCTGGACTCGTCATTCAATCCTCCTACCTGCGCCCATCTCCGCATTGCCAGCTCCGCACTCCTGGAACAACAAGAGCCAGGCGCACGTCTACTTCTTCTACTTGCCATCCAGAATGCCGACAAACCGTCCAAGCCGGCGCCCTTTGAGGATCGCCTGGCCATGATGGAACTCTTCGCGCATGACATACGATCCCACATTGCTGCCAGACAATCGTCGAAGTCGGTCTCTTCAAAGGAGCATTTTCCCACCATTGACATCGCGGTCACAAACAAACCTTACTTTATTGATAAGGCAGCGGCTATTGAGGCTTCGGATCACTATCCGTCCCCCATGGAGCAATATCATCTCGTAGGCTATGATACATTGATCCGCATCTTCAATCCCAAATATTACCCTCCAGAGCACACGCTACAGCCTCTTAGGCCCCTGTTCTCTCAGCATCGGTTGCGGGTGACGCTGCGACCTGGCAATGATTGGGGTGACAGGGAAGAGCAGGAGGAGTTCCTTGCTAGTCTTGCTCGTGGAGATCGAGAGGCCGAGGGCGCACCGAGGGAATGGGCGCAGAAGATTCAGTTCATTGAGGGCAGGAAGCCTGAAGACCCGCCAGTCAGCTCCACCAGGGCTCGAGAGGCGGCACAGTCTGCTCCTCAAGATCTGGAATGGCTAGTCCCAGACAATGTACGGCAATTTGTGTTGTCTGAAAGGCCATACTCGAAGGATAGCCCAGTACTAGGATATGATAGCTCGAAGGATTGAATTCTAACTTGTGACATTAAATGCAGCCGTGTATCGCCAATGTAATAGCTACGATCACCCCGTACTCCCGGAGATGAGTGAATATAAGCACACTAATATGTGAAAGCCCTCGATGACCGCGGTAACGCCAACTCCCACAGCTTGTTTTGAATCCGACAAGCCAACTTTTGAAACGTATATCGTACACCTCCCTCAGATATGCCAATACCACCATCCATCAGCACCAGCCACATTTAGTTCTCAGATTTGGCTTCATCCTCCTCCTGCTTGCCCAGAGTATAGGCCAATCCACCGCCAATCATGTTGACTAGACAGAGACCCATGGTCGCGCCGCGCACAATACCGCGAGCTCCAAACTTCTTCATGAGGGGCTGTCGACGGCGACTTGCGAGGAGTAGATATAGTCCAGACCAGGCAGCACTGATACCGGCAGTCTCGGTCTTGAACCCTTGAAGATTGGCGTAGCTGGTGAAAAGCAGGATAGGAGGGAACAGCATTGGGAAGACCTGGAAAGGACGAGCATGTTGCGCAAAGATGAGGGACGCGAGCAGGGTCGGTGGGAATGAGTTTTCTGGAGAGAATAAGGTTAGCTGGATCTCTTTGACATCTCAAGCTCTCTGATCGGCCCATGGTGATTCTTGGAAAACCACATACCACCCCATGCTCTGAAGCGCTGCACCAAAGTTTGCTTGGTTTCCTCGATGGTGGAATCCTTTGCCATGGTGATTAATAGGTACACGGGCGGGATGTAAGGTGTTCTGATTTGATACTAGGCAGTATCTGCAGGCAAGACAATGTTGGAGTCGGTTCGCAATCGGCCGTGGGAATTTCTTTGGCAGTGGATGGATTCGGAGAATGTGGAGGTGCGGAGGTACGGTTGCTGGTATACCAGCCGACGGACACCGCAGGCGCACCGCGAATGGCGTTCCCGCGCTTGGCAAAGACACCTATCTTGACTATACTTTTTCCTCAGTTGACAGCCCCCCAGGGCCCCCCGTTCCTCCGCTCGTTTCGACATTTTCTCACTGAAACTGCACGGGATCGGCTTCCTGGTTGATTGACCTGTGCTTTGACCTTCGCTTGACTTGTCTCTTCGACTTTTGGAGAATTGGAATCCCCTTTCTCCGCGGTCCCGCGCCACCACCAACCCACCTTCCTGCGCTCTTGTCCTTTCACCATCCCACAACGTTTGTGCATTTAGGTTCTTACGGCCTCTCATTTCCCGATCGCCATGCCGTCTGCTACGGCGTCTGGCTCCGATGCCAAAGGCGGGGCTGCGCGGTCGCGCGAACACAACCAGGGCAACCAAGATCGCACATACACCCCCGAGCAGAAGGCCGCGGTCCTACGAATCCGAAAATGCGGGCCAACCGATTTCTACGAGATCCTTGCGGTTCAGAAGACTGCCACGGATGGCGAGATCAAGAAAGCCTACCGCAAATTGAGTCTGTTGACACACCCGGATAAGAATGCATATGATGGCGCAGACGAGGCTTTCAAAAGTAAGCGTTCACATGGCACTGTTCCTACTGTCTTGATCCTTGATCCTAACTAGTTGATTTGATAGTGGTTTCGCGTGCTTTCCAGATCCTCTCTGACTCCGATAAGAAGTCCCGATATGACAAGTTTGGAGGAGACCCCGATAGCAGATTCAACCCCGGACCAAGCGCCTCTAGTGGTGGTTCTCCATTCAGTGGCGGTGGATTCCCACGCTCCGCAGGGGGCGGCCAGGGCTTCGATGCTGAGATCTCACCAGAAGAGATGTTCAACCGGTTCTTTAATGGCGGGTTTGGAGGCATGGGTGGGGGTGGTTTCGGTCCATTTGGTACGCTACATTTTCCCTGCCACAAGCTATATGTTCAAGACTGACTGTCTTTTCAGCGGGGCCCCAATTCGTTTTTAACATGGGAGGCGGCCCCGGTTTCCGCGTACACCAGTTCGGAGGCGGCGTGCCGCGCCGCAGACCTCGCGCAGCCGCCAATAACGAGTCGGAGCCAGCCGTTGACGGTTGGGGCTTTGTTCGTCAACTACTGCCTCTCATCCTTCTTTTCGTCCTTCCGCTCCTATCATCCCTTCTATCTGGCTCTTCCAGTCCAGCTGGTCCTTCCTACCGAGTCGATACCCCTCAAAGCCCCTACACCATGGGTCGGACAACACCCAGGCTCAATCTCAATTACTTCGTAAATCCATTGGAAGTGGAGGATTTCAGCGCACGGAAATTCCGACAACTTGACCAGCGTGTGGAGGTGGATTATATCGCGAAGATTCAGTACGACTGCGAGTCTGAGCAACATATGCAGGAGCGAAAGATTCAAGACGCACAAGGCTGGTTTTTCCCGGATATTGAGAAGATGAAGGAGGCGCGAGCAATGGAGCTCAAGGCCTGTCGCAGGTTGGAACATCTCAAACGCAAATATAGAGCTAGTTGACAAGCCTGTGTCACTGGGAGTCTCGCTCTAGGGTCTCACCATTCTGTTCCTCGTTCTCCAGAGCTATAGCACGAAGGATGGCGTCTATTGGGTTTTTGTTCGTCTTTGATTTGTCACCCTGTATAGTGTGTTTGAATTGCATACAGCCTTGATGTATACTCTCTGCCCGAGCTTGTTGGAGTTAGCTACGCTTGAATGGACTAGCTAGATTTGGTTTCCTTGATTGTATCCTGGAACTCCTGTCTGATATCGTCAATGATCAAGACAAGGAGTACAAAATAAAGGTTTTGTTAGTGTGTGTTTTGCCTACACCAGTTCCTAGGGCTGCCATGCCCGCCAGTCTTGGGCGGCCGCTTAGTCAACTGGCATCATGGCGGGCAAACGAATCTCGGAGATCATGAAGGAATCCCCAGCTTTGTCCATTGCATATCCCATTTCCACCGTTTTCACTTGAGAGGCACCGAAGCTCACAACCCTATATTCCCTGACTTATCCGCTCCGGTACACATCGGTGCTGATATGGTCTTGTGACCCGCGCTGAAAGACCGCCGCCCGACTCCAATACTGTGATCAATATCGTGCCGCCTTAGTGTTGGCTCCGCCCCGCTAGACACAACAGCTCTTCATACATCGGCAGCATCTGGACCTCAACTCGACCCAGCGCAAAGATGTCCGACACTCTCTCCGATGCGGAAAAGGTTGGTCGGCCCTTGTTCTCCTCCCGGTTCGCTGTTGCGGCCTGTTTTTCTCCGCCGATGGCTAACACGACGCCCTCCCACGGCCTTTAGATCCGCAACAAGCGACTTGCGAAGCTTCAAAATCCAGTCGCGTCTGCCGGTCCTTCCTCTGGCGAGTCTTCCGGCTCGCCTCCGACATCCTCAAACCCTTCACGAGCGCAGTCGCCGGCGTTGCCAACCGAGCTTGATGGGGCCGCAAATGACAGTTCGGTGCCCGCTACACACAGCTCGCAGCAGCCAGAAGGGAAGCGAATTAAGATCACACCGACTGTTTCAGCCTCGGTTCCTGAGCGACCGCGCTCTACTGGACCGTCTTCTTCCCAACCCCATTCACCTGCACGGTCGTCATCACAATCCATCGAGGATTTCGAGGATCAGGTCTTGGGGATATTGTTCAACATCACCCTGAAGGAGGGCACATTGGGGACAAAGGATCGCCGGATTCTCCTCTCCGGCTTGCGGGATGAGCTACAAGATGAGGGCAAGGATTTGCGTTTGAACACCGGAATCTTGGATCAAGCGCTTTTGGAAGCCGCGTCCAAAGTGGAGCAGCAGAATCCGCTGGATTACTTGCTTCCTTGCTGGAACAGGATTCAGGAGAGAATGAAGAAACAAGACCCAGACACGAGAAAGTGGGAAATCTATGGTGAAGCGAAAAGGCTGTGCATGAGCTATTGCATTTTCGCGATTACGATGCCAGAGATGTTTGGGTACGAGAACATGTTCTATTTTTGGTACTGGTCAAACGATACTGACTATTTTCTGTGTAGAATCGATTCTTCCGAGGAATCGCCATTGGCTCGGCAGTTACTGTTGAGCCCTGACGATAGCTCGAGGAGAGGAATCACTCCGGAATTCCTTCAAGAATTGAGCGCTAAATTTGATGAAGATGACAGCATTAAGCCAGCCTTGATTGCTGCAGTTGAAGAACTTAGCGTCAAGTTGTCCTCCAAGGATGCCAATGGGGATTTCCAGCCATATTTTACGGTTTGTCAATGACCCTTCCCAAGCCTTCCAAGTCGCAGTGTTGATCGCGAACGCAGGCCTTGAGAAATCTAGTCGACAATAAGTTTACTGCCGCGGCTATCACCGAGTCTTCGATTTTCAATGCTTCGGAGGACCCAGCTCAATTCGAGAAGACGACCCTTTTAGGACCATGGTTCCGGATCTCTCCTCTTCAGCCGAGCGTGACATTGTCATACTTTTCCAGTCCCAAGACGAGAGACCCGAGGTATATCTTGAACTCGCAAAGCTCTCTCCGCATGATGCAAAATATGATTCAGTGGGAACTCGACTTCATCACAGGCAAGATTCTCCACGCATCCTCAGATGCTAAGAACCGATTCCTGGACTGGGTCGCAACCGCCATGAATATCAACCATAAAAGACGTGCCATGCAAGTTGATCCGGAGCAAGTCGCCTCTGATGGCTTCATGTTCAATTTGACGTCGACCCTGGACAAACTTTGCGTTCCTATCATGAACATTGACTTCCGCAAAATCCACACCTTCCATGGAGAGTATTTCCGACGGAATCCTCGGGTCGACATAAAAGAGGAAACAAAGATTAATGCGGATCAGCATGCATCGGATGAATTTTATTCCAAGAAATTGGATGGCAGTTCTAATTTTAACAGCGAGCTCTTTTTCCTCACGATTGCTGCTCACCACTATGGCAGTGAATCCCTGACATCCAAGCTGGATCAGCTTGACAAAGATCTGAAGCACATGGAATCAACAATCGGGAGGTTTGAAGGTGAGCGGGAGCGATGGATGTCAAACCCAGCGCAGTTGCGCTTATTCGAGCAGGCGCTTAAGAAGTACCGCGATAAATTCGATCTGGGTCTAGCATTGAAATACAGTCTCCAAGCCGTGCTTCTTGACGAACAGTGGCAAGTTCGCTCAATAGAGGTTATTCGGCATATTGCTCTCTGGCTCTTGAGAGTCGCCTCGGGAGTGAATTTACCCCAAGAGAAGCTTAAGTTGCCTCTGCCGCAGCAGCAACCCGAGATGTTTCAGAATCTGCCGGAGTACTTCCTAGATGTCATCATCAGCAATTTCAAATTCGTCAGTTGGGCTCTGCCTCACACTATCACCGCTGCCCTGGGCGATGAGCTGGTGATGCTGTGTATCACATTCCTTGAGAGCTCGAGCTATATCAAGAACCCATACCTTAAGGCTGGCCTCGTTTCCATGCTCTATCGGGGCACGCTAGACCGCCCCGGAGGACAGCGAGGTGTCCTTGTCGACCTGCTCAACTCCATGCCGTTTGCCAATGAGTACCTTCTTCATGCTGTCATGAAGTTCTACATCGAGGCCGAGCACACTGGAGCCCACACCCAGTTCTTCGACAAGTTCAACATTCGATATGAAATTTTCCAGATCATTAAATGCATCTGGCCCAACACCCTGTATCGAAAGAAGCTGTCCAACCAAGCGACGCAGAACCAGGACTTCTTCGTTCAGTTTGTCAACCTCTTGCTGAACGATGTGACATACGTTCTTGACGAGTCGTTTGGCGCTTTCAAAACCATTCGTAGCATTCAAGAAGAACTCAGACGCGAAGGCGATACGATGGAACCCAGCATTCGGCAGCAGCGCGAAGAGCACCTGGCAACAACGCAACGAAGCGCCAAATCCTACATGCAGTTGACCAATGAGACCATGGCCATGCTGAAGCTTTTCACTGCCGCCCTTGCCGACTCGTTCACCATGCCCGAGATTGTCCAGCGTTTAGCTGATATGTTGAATTACAATCTCGATGCTATGGCCGGACCCAAAAGCTCCCAGCTCAAAGTGGAGGGCAATGTGCAGCTGATGGTAGAGAAATATGGCTTTGATCCAAAGGTAGTTCTCAGCGAAATCGCAAAGATCTACCTCAATTTGATGAACAAGCAAAACTTCATCACGGCCATCGCTCGTGACGGACGGTCCTACAGACCAGAGCTTTTCAAGCAGGCTGCCGATCTCCTACGACAACACAAACTGACACCCGAAGAGGACTTGCGGCGCTGGGATCGGCTGCGGAAGCAGGTCCAAGAGGCCAAGGAGGCCGATCAACAAGCGGAGGAGGACCTGGGCGAGATTCCGGACGATTTCCTGGGTACGTTTACTTGTCCGATAATTACTATCAAGCAACCACTAATGTCTCTCCAGATCCTCTCATGTACACTCTCATGGAAGACCCCGTTATTTTGCCAAGCTCGAAGATTTCAATTGATCGATCGACTATCCGCTCGCACCTGCTCAGTGATCCTCACGATCCATTCAATCGTGTGCCCTTGAAGATGGAAGACGTGTTGCCTGGTAAGCTCGACTCCTGAGAAGCCGTACGATCCCGCGCTAACATGGGTCACTTTAGATACTGAGCTAAAGGCTAAGATCGAGGCGTTCAAGGCTGAGCGACGGGGCAAGAAGGAACCAGCATCCGAGCAGATGGACACGTCTGCCGACTAACTTACATGAGAACTCATTCGCTTCTCTTCTTTCGCTCTGCTGCTCTGACGTACATAGAACTCGCCCGCGGCGATAGATCGTGTAGCTTCATCATGACCGCTTGCCTGATTTGGCGAGTTACATCATGCTCCCGCGCAACAATTTAAACTTTACTTTTAAGCTTTAGCTTCCTTTCCTTCACGCTTCGTAGTATCCCTCCCCTGCAATTGCCCCGTCCGCTTCTTCATTCCTCACCATGGGCACCGCCCTGTCCACCTCGTGGGCGTCTCTCCCGTCCATCGCCGAGTTCTCCCCTCCAACCCCTGCGGCGTACACTGCCGTGGTTACGGTCTTCCAGTACTTCCCGGTGGTGAGTAAACAAAGGACCCCTTGATCATTGACTTGACCTCGAAAACACGACCCTTACCAAGATCTCACAGTGCACTATATTGCAATGGCTTCTCTCGTGGCACCCGGCGGGCAAAACGTCCCTCAACAACTCCATCTTCAACATACCAGGCCGAGTAGCCTGGTGCGCCATGGAGATCGTTGGTCCCATCAACTTACTCTACAACCTCTCCCAAAGCACCCCCTCCTTGACTGAGCTGCCCGCAATCAACCAGCTTGTTGCCGCTCTCTATTGCGTGCACTACGCCAATCGTGCCGTGATCTCACCCTTCTTCTCGGCACCGAGCATGTCACCCATTCACGTCTTCGTGATGGTCAGCGCCATGGCCTTTAACTGGCTGAATTCTTCTTGTCTTGCTGGGTGGTTATCCGGCTACGAGATCCCTATCGCCGGTTATCGTACCAACGGCGCCGAGGCTCTGGTTTCTTCGTCCTTGTCCTCTGATTCCCTCTCGCTGGTTCAGATCCTCCCCATCGTCGGAACTGCTCTGTTTGTCATTGGCATGGCTGGTAACATCTATTCGGAGACAGCACTCTTCAATCTCAGAAGGGAAGAAGCTGAGAAGCGTGTCACAAAGAAATCAGACGACAAAGTTCCTGCTAGTGGTGACAACAAATTCCAGAAGGTCTATGTCATCCCGCCCGTGAAGGGCGTCTTCCGATCTATCCTGTACCCGCACTATGTCTTCGAGTGGCTGGAGTGGACTGGGTTTGCTCTCACTGGAGTCGCGGTGTTCCCCCTTTCTCTGTCTACCAAGATCGGCACTGCCACTAGTGCGGTCGTTGCTCCACCGCTCCGGCCTGCGCCGTGGATTCTCCCTGCTGTGTGGGCAGCGGATCGATTTGGGGTGCCACTTCCTCTGCCAGCTGTGCTATTCGTGATTAATGCCGTTGCAAATATGCTGCCCCATGCCCGGTGGGGCCGAAAATGGTATGTTGAGAAGTTCGGAGACAAGGGCGTTTCTGGAAGAGGCGCTGTGGTGCCTTGGTGCGAATGGATGTGAGGCTACATGCCTTTTACAATCAGGATCACACAGCTTCAAGGAGAAATAACACACATTTCAAGCATCTTGCTATCAATTTGCAATTTCGCCCTATTCATCTCTATGTAAGCCATCTGCATATTGAGGAGTGTCCCACTCAAGCCAAAAGGAATTTCAATGCACCGAATAAAGCTTGTCCGGGCGTAGAGAGTATAGACAGCCTCCCAAGTGATCTCAGGCGGTAATTCAAGCTTTCCTACCCACCACCACGTAAACCTTATAGCTAAACCAGCAGCCTAGATCACGCAGATCCTTCTCCGCCGCCATTCTCATTTCCATGACTTGATCAACCGAGTCAACAGAATCGAACTTGCGAATCTTCAGTGCTGCAATCATGAAATTCTGAATTCCTTCGAGGACAGCACTGTTGAGCACGTCTCTAACGGTGAGATTGTCCAACTGGTAGATCTGCTCTTGACAGGCTTCGAGTCCACTTTTCTGGAATAGACCGTGTAGAGACGCCACACTTAGGACTGTGCGTTAGATCTTCGGTCTTGCCATATGGGGTCTTGAATAATCATAGCTTACTTGGGTGTTTTACCAAGCGTGTTCGCGGTCGTTTGCAGAAGTTCAATCCACCGTTCAGCATTCGTGGGAACCTGATCATTCGTCGCACCTTTGACAACAAAGTCTGTCACTGAACAGTCGAGCCATTGTACAAATCCACCGGGCTCTACAAAAGTTAGAGAAGAGACTATACTATTAAACGTGTGGTTGGACTGATTTTATCATACGGAGAAGAGTTGTCAAATTGCGAAGCGCAGGTGCCCATTCGTCATGGGATAATGCAACAACCAATGCACGGGCATTGACGACGTCGTACTGCCCGATAAACTTGGTTGGAAATGGCTCTAGAAGATTATGTTGATAAAACGACACGTTCGAGGGAATAGTGGTGTCTTTGAAGAACATGGATTCGGAGAGATCGAAGCCGTCGAGTTGGCAATTTTTTGGTAAGGTGTTGGCAAGATCTCGTAGCCATATACTTCATCCGTACCTTAGCTTTTTGTCCCCGCTTGTAAAGGGATATTATCATGATATGAGATGGATGATAAGAGTTCTTACCCAGTTCCCGTTCCTACATCTGCGATGCGCATCCGCTGTTTCTGCGCGATGGTTGGATGTAGCAGGAATCCGGTATTAGCTTGCCAGACTCCATACTGTTTATCTAATCTGAAAAAGATAGAGTATGACATCGTCAGAGAATATATTGCAAGGTATTCTTAATATGTTAAAAAACCCACTTACCTTTCGCCTTCGCTCTTGCTGCGTATCATAACATACTCGCCTGGAGAATCGGCCTGTGATTCCGACATGGCTTCTTTTAGTGATGAAAACGAAACTTGAATACTGAAAAGAGTAGTTGAGCACTAGAGCAGACTATATAAGTTCCGTGGCGATGAGCTACAATAAATTACCTATTCGGGCTTATTTCCGCTGCCTCTCCAGCATCCTGATTCATACCATCATCTTCTGGCACTAGGAGAAAGACGCGTACCAACCATAAAGTCTAAATTGCAAGGATTCTCCCAGTGATGCATAACCATGAAGATATGGAAATGATCGTCCTATTTGGGGCATTTCTTACCGGCTAGTGCCACGTATGTCTTATCTTTTGCGGCTCCCGTGGCCCAAATTCCTTGGCTATGGAGATAACCAAATAGTATGTCGAGAAATCGTGCTAGTTCTACTTGGAATCAATCAAATCAAGGCAATGCCGTGGGTCAAACACGTTTAATTCCCCACCATCGAGAGGGTCATTTGGCTGTTTGGGGAGTATATACCCCATGCTTCCTAAAAGGGCTGTTGAAGGACTTGGCAGGCATTGTTCACGTCCCTCCTCCACGAGCCTGCAAGCAATTTTGGACTTTACAACCTCTTTGTGGTAATACATTCTAAATCATACATCAAGAGACCTAGGGGGTTATCCAATCTCTAAAAATGGTAAAACGGTGTTGCATAGAAAAAGTATATTCACAGCTAATTCTACACACGAAAAAAAAGGTTCCTCGTTCTCCAAGGTCCAAGCGACAGCAACTGCTTCGCAAGGACGGGAGAACAAAGCAATTGTTGAAAAATTGGCACCTAAATTGGCGGCACCCATGTTGAAATCGTTAGTCATGTTGAAACTCCGTAAACCCGCTTTTTGGTGCCCTCTAATCCACAAAACCGTTGAAACCCGTATGTTGAACTTTTGGTATCATCGTCATAAACTCATCACATAAAATAAACAAATCAGTAAAACTCCCCGTGCTGGAGACGGCGGGGTTGAGAGAGCCGCCTCCGTAGATTAACACATTATAGGAAGTGAGTTGAAAGAAAATCAGAAGTGCCCAGAATCTACTGAGCGTGCTTCTGGCGGTAGAACTTGGCGGCAGCAACCACTATAATCGAGTTAGCAGGAGAAGTGGACTGGAGTGAAGTTCAGGGCGCTTACTGTTCTGGAGAGCCTTCAGAGTCTCGGCCCAGGCGCGGGTCTTGAGGCCACAGTCGGGGTTGATCCAGAGCTGATCGGGACGGAGGTACTTGAGCATCTCATCGACGCGGTCCTTGATCTCCTGCTCGCTGGGAATACGGGGCCTGGATTTGATTGGTTAGTTGAGACATGAAGAGAAGTTAAAAAGGACGGAGAAGATCTGCTTACGAGTGAATATCATAGACACCGGGTCCGATCTGAGCCTCGAACTTCTCGTCGATGAAGACCTTGAGGAGCTTGGCATCAGACTTGCTGTTCTCGATGGAGAGAACATCGGTGTCAAGGGCAGCAATGGCGTGGAAGAAGTCCTGGAACTCAGAGTAGCAGAAGTGGGAGTGGATCTGAGTGTCGTCGCGGGCGACGGCAGTGGAGAGCTTGAAAGCATCAACGGCCCACTTCAGGTAGGCATCGCGCTCAGAGCCCTTGCGGAGGGGCAGACCCTCACGGAGAGCAGGCTCGTCGACCTGGATGACGGCAACACCGGCGGCCTCGAGGTCAGCAACCTCGTCACGGAGAGCGAGGGCGAGCTGCTGAGCCTGGACGGACTGGTGAACGTCATCACGGGGGAAGGACCACCGCAGGCAGGTGATGGGACCAGTGAGCATGCCCTTCATGGGCTTGGAGGAGATGGAGACAGCGTACTTGGACTCCTTGACGGTCATGGGGGCGGGGCGAGAGACGTCACCGACAACGATGGGAGGGCGGACGCAGCGAGAACCGTAGGACTGGACCCAGGCCATGGTGGTGAAGGCATAGCCGTTGAGGCGCTCACCGAAGTACTGAACCATGTCGTTACGCTCGGGCTCACCGTGCACAAAGACATCGAGGTCAAGCTCCTCCTGGATCTTGACGACCTCCTGGATCTCCTGCTCGATGAACTTCTCGTACTCCTCGGCGGTGATCTCACCCTTGGTGAACTTGTTACGGGTGACACGGATGTTCTGGGTCTGGGGGAAGGAACCAATGGTGGTGGTAGGGAAGAGAGGGAGCTTGATGGTCTTGGTCTGCTCAGCAATACGAGTGGCGAAGGGAGACTTGCGGTTGTGCATCTCGGGGGTGACGGCAGCCTGGCGAGCCTTGACAGCGGGGTCGTTGGTGCGGGCAGAGGTGGCACGGGAGTGCATGGACTTGGCGTTGGCCTCGAGCTCAGCGCTGACGGAGGCGGGGCCCTGGGTGACGGCCTTGGCGATCACAGCAACCTCGGTGAGCTTCTCAACGGCGAAGCTGAACCAGTCACGGATCTCAGGGTCAAGCTTCTTCTCGGACTCGAGAGTGTGGGGAACGTGGAGGAGGGAGCTGGAGGTGGCAACGACAACGCGGTCCTGGCCGAGCTTCTGGATAGCGGCCTCGACCTTCTCGATGGCGTTCTTGAAGTTGGTCTTCCAGATGTTACGACCGTCGACAACACCGGCGGACAGGGTCTGCTTGGGACCAAGGGCAGCAACGACGGCGTCGAGCTGCTCGGGGTTGCGGACCAGGTCGACGTGGATGGCGTGCAGGTTCTGGAGGGAAGAGAGGACCTCGATGTTGTGGACAATGTCACCGAAGTAGGTGGTGAGGGTGAGGCGGGGAGCCTTGCTACCCAGGTTGCTCAGGACCTCGTAGGCGGGCTTGAAGGCGGCCTTGGACTTGGGGGCAAGGTCGAAGACAAGGACGGGCTCGTCAATCTGAACATCCTCGGCACCAGCAGCCTTCAGCTGGGCAAGCAGATCAACGTACAGGGGCAGGAGGTCGTTCAGCTTGTCAATGGGGTCGACGGACTGGCCACGGTCGGCCTTTCCGAGAGTGAGGAAGGAGACGGGACCCAGAATGACGGGGCGGGTGGTGATACCCTGGGCCTTGGCCTCGAGGAACTCGGTGACGGGCTTGGGCTCGGCAGCGAGGGTGAAGACCTGGTTGTCCTGCAGGGTAGGCTTGACGTAGTGGTAGTTGGAGTCGAACCACTTGACCATTTCCAGGGCGGGGACATCAACGCCCTCCTTCTGGAGACCACGACCCATGGCGAAGTACTCGTCGAGGGGGTGGAGCTTGTACTGGGAGTAGCGCTCAGGGACAACGCCGAAGAGCTGGATGTGGTCGAGAACCTGATCTGTTTAGGACATTAGAACGGAATCCTCGGTTTCAAATGGCATGGAAAAAGGGGTTTTTGCTTACCGTAGAAGGCAAAGTCGTTGCTAGGGATAGAGTCGACACCGGCCTTCTTGATCAGGCCCCAGTGCTCGGCACGGAGACGCTTGCCCTCAGCGAGGAGCTCATCACGAGTGGACTTGCCACCCCAGTAGGCCTCAGTGGCCTTCTTCAGGTCACGGACCCGACCCATACGGGGGAAACCGAGAACGGCGCTGGACAAAGGTCAGTATGAGTCAATAAACAGATGCATTTGATATCGAGGGAAACGTACGATTGAACCATTCTGACGGATGTGTGTGGAAATGAAGGGGGAAAGGGGGTTAGGCGGGATCTCAGGAAAGATAGAATGATGGAAAAGAACCCAATTGCCTTTGGAGAGAGAAAAGAGAGAAGAAGAAGAAGAGAAGGAGGGAAAGCTGAGAAGAAAAATGGAGGGAGGGGAAGCGGGCCTAAACCCCAACGGGATGGAGGGGCAGATGGGATCAACGTGGTAATATTACAGTTCGGGTGGTACACTGGCGTGACAATGAGTATTACGAGTAATATGGGGAGAAGCGTGCCATCGGGGGGACGTGCAGGGACTGCAGTGACTGCAGCGACTGGGAAAGTCGGTACTCCGGAGTCTAGTTCGGTCGGGGACGCATTCCCGAGGGGGCGGTAAGTACGGACTATCGTAATCCCGATGACAGGACTGTTCACAGTACCCCACTATAAACGTCCATACGGTAAATACGATACGGTCTCAGGGGGGCGCTCACTCCAGTCTCCGTGATCGGCGGGGATCACGCCATCTGCATGGGGCGATAAAGAGACGATAAGACCGTTGGTGTTTTTTCTTTTTAGCTCGAGCTAGAAGAATTGACAATAGCGGGCAAGGGATGCAGCAGTATTGATTCTACGAGAAGCTGTAAAAGCTAGAGACCGAAATAAATAAACCGAGTATGAACTTCCATCTAAACATCCACACCGCTCGAGAAGAGGCCAACGAGTCAACTTGCACATCCAGCGGGGTCAGCCGGAAGCCACCTTTCGGATCCCGGTCAATGGACTATTTGCTCGTGCAGGATACTGCAGAATCGCGCCAATTGCAGGCGAGAGATACTCCATGGACTTGGAACGGTATCTGTCGATGGTGAGGTGTCAACTGGGCCGAGAAAGGTTAGAAAAACGGAAAACCAGAACTTTCATTAGGTAGGATACCATTGGGACCCCAGGGGTAGTATGCATGGCCTAGATATATATACATGAACCTTGCAGTGCTAATAGAACACCATCAATCCCGAGCATTCAATCAGATCTCTCTACCTAATACTGTAAGATTCGCAGCGTAATAATTTTCATTCCTACTACTCAGCAATTTACCAAATGACCAGCTGTCAACAACCCAAATCGGCATAAAATCGGGCTCTGGGCGAACGAGACCGGATGAAAACCTTAATCGGGCCCATTCAATGACCGTGATGTATTATTCACATGAACCAACCAACAAACAACCCGATGTGTCATAGAATCCTAACACGCAAGGACTGGTTGTTTCTGCTCTGAACAATTCTCCCAAAATGAAAGCAAATGGTTCATTTCGAGGTCGTTCATCTGCTGACAGGGAACGGCACAGTATGACACATCTGGTAGCATGCATGCGGGTGCAGAAATTGGACTCCCACTGGGGCCAAGCCAAATCTCACGGCCTGGCGAGCTCTTGCAGAATTGAATGATGTAGCTTGTTGACAATCATGTTCCTTCTCTGTCTTCAATGGCCAACGTGTATGGCAAGACCCGGCAGGGTCATTCTTGTCTTAATGGGGAAGGCGCGATCGAGGCACCCCCAGTCCAAACAAATACAATATCGACCAGGATAGACTCCGTCCTCGACAGACCACATCTTCATCTGCCATAACAACAGACACATCATGTTTCTCCACTGTCCTCCATGGCGAAAGCCACGACCTGCATCCCCTTCGGACGTGGCTCGGTCATACCAGGTCAGCCAGGTCTGTGATGTAGAGGCGCAGCGGCACTGGACTCGAGGTACGAGGCACGATTGAACTCTGATCTTGAAACTCCGGCTCAATGACCTGGAAGAGAAACCATTCTAACAAGCCACAGAAGCACATCCTGCACAAGAACATCCACAGTCTCCACACTCGAAATACCACCCTGAGGGCATATCGCGCATCATTCGGCGTCGATTCTCTCGCGAGTCCAGAGCATCTAGCGCTCACCATGAGCCAAGCAAGTTTATGTTCCCATTCCCTCGCAAGTCGTCAAGATCCGCTTCAAAACCGGCGACCGCGCTTACGACATTGGGAGGCTATGGCAGCAGCTTGATGAGCGAAAGTCGGTATGACAGTGACGCGCAGTTCATTTCCACTCCCAGACGTGACCTCGTAGAATCTCCCGCCCATCGCGCCCGTCGCCGGATGGAACTGAGCGACTTGATCGAACGGAGTCAGGAACAGCAGGACTCCGAAAGTTGGGCCGTTGGCATGGGTGATGATATCCCAGAACCTCCAGAGTCGGTCTATGGGATGCGGTTCATACAAACCCCACCTAGTACCCTCAGAAGCCACCACGGCCCCTACCAGAAAGTCTGTCATACTGTTTCCGGTGAAAGAGATTTCAAGCATGGTGTGATCCCGGCAAAGTCCATGCCAGACCTTGGTTCGGCCAGTCAACGAGGCAATGGTTCGAGTGCGGGACTTTCTCCTGCCGTCGACTACGTCCGAGATGGTAATGTTCAGAAGCATTTGACGACCAGCCAAAGTATGGACATGAGCAGTCACAAACACGGAGTGGTTCTTTCAGACCCATCATCGAACCAGGGTCTGGACCTTATCGTTTCCAAAAGACGGCAGCGGACCGACTCGGGCATGTGCTTGATGGACAATGAATCAGTTTACCTGGAAGATATGGGCATTTCCCATCGACTGGCTTCCCAATCTACGTCGTCCGCGCCCATGTCTTGCAACCCATCGATTGCAGAATTGATTCGCAACAACAGATACGGGGTTTTTATGAACGCCTCACGAGAGAATATGCCAATCGCACTGAGATCAACCGCTTCGATCACCTCTGGACACAGTCTACAGGTCCCGGTCCATCACCACCCACAAGCATCGTCATATTACTCTCGCCAGCCAAGTTATCCGTCAACCAATGCGTCGCCTCAATCCCATTCCCTCGCACTTGATGCAGAGCAACATCCCGGTATGGTCCATGGAAGCAGGTACAATGTGTCAGCCGAGGATCTTAACCCACAAAATGGGGTTGCTCTGGCGAGTCCCATTGTCAATAGCAAGTTCCGTGAACACTGCGACAATGAGGTACCACTGGATCCCGGCGGGCATATTGAGTCCGAAGGTTTACATGGAGCGGGTGCGCCTCGCAAAGTCAGCGTGGGTTGGATGTCTGGAGGTCGGCGAGTCGGCTATGGTTATAGCCCAGTCACCGATGATGAGACTGCACGGTATCAGCAACACGAAGAATGCAACCCCAAACTGCAACAAGCACCTGAGCAGAATGGAGACGCGGCAATGAGCTGTTCAAATGTTGAAGAAGGATATGTTCTTCAAGGTCAAGTGCAAAGAACCGATCTGATGCATGTAACTGCCCCAAACACACCAGAATCACAGTCTAAATCAGCCATCCACCACGCAAACCGCGCTGGACCTGCCCCAGCGACTCTTCCCAAGGTACGGAGTTTCAATAAAGCCAGCAATGAGTCCCTCGAGCCCGCTTACCCTCAAGCCATCCTGGCAGGCCGTCATAGCCGTGAACACGATGGTGGATCCGGAGTATTGGAGAAGCGAGGCACAAGAAGTCTTCATACCGCCGAGACGCTTCCAATGACGCAATCCGAACATTTTCACTCCCCGCAGAGCTCGAATTGCACCAGTCCACAATCGGATACTGCCGTGCACCGCTGCCCTCGTCTCAGCCAATCGTTGAATTCCAATCCACAGAGTTCAAAGAACAAAGGGGGCCGCAGAGCTGGGATAAGCGACCTCATCAGCCCGGAGAAAGAGCGAAAAGCTTCCACCCCTGACCACAATGCAGTGGATATTGACCCAGATTATCTTGGTATAGAGCACGACTTTAACGCCGAGGACGTGGCTCGTTTGTTACGCCCAAGCAATCCTCGAGGTGCAAATTGGGTCCGCAGGCTGTCCAAGCACAGGGTCAGCAAGCGGCCCTCAAATCCACACCAGCAGGAGGTATCGCAGATGTCGCTAGGTCTACACCAGGGCTACAGCTCTAATAGCGTCGAGCGAGCAAATTCTACCAAGAGTATCGGTACTAATGCGGAGGAATTGGCCAGTCTGTATCAGGGATGTCTTGACATGCCTGGATCCTTTGAGGGGAGTCGATGGGCTGGTCGTACTAGTCGAATGTTGTGGGATCTTGTTACGACGGATGATGGATGATGGGCGTTCGTTTGGGATGAATAGGGTAGGTACACGGAGTGTGAGTCTGCAGGCTCTATTCATATCGAGAGAAATTAAGCAATAGGCTCTACGTTATTGTTAATCGGCAGGCGAGCAGCCAAATTGTGAATTGAAGATGCAACTCCCCCAGAATGTCATTAATCGTACATGAGGTATTTCGAATCCAGCGCCGAGTTATAATACAGAACACATGTGTGAGAACAAAAAATTGCAAGACGAGCAACCACTTTAGCGCCGCTGACGCTTCGAGCTCTTGTCACTAACACTGCTCAAAACACTAGCGGACCGCTTGTGATTCCCGTCGCCTTTAACGGGCGTCTCCGTAACTGCGGTATCAGCTGCAGTTTCATCTGCCTTTGCATGTCCCGGCTCGCCCTCAGCGGGGGTCTCAGTCGCGTTCGCAGCAGTAGACCCCAAAACACCACTCGCACCATCATCCGCCTCAGTCTTCACTTCCGGATGTTCAGGATCCTTACTCGTCTCGGGGGCATTCTTACGCTCACGCTCCGCCTTGGCAGCTTCCAAGACCCGGATTTCACTTTCGACCTTTTCGGAGACCTTGCGGGCGTCCAGGAGTAGATTGACGGCTTGGATAAGTTTCTCAAAGTCCCTGCATACGCGCTCGGTAGGCATGAATAGGCGCACGGGGATCTCGAGCTCGGCCAGGGCGCTGGCCAGTTTTTGGGTTTGTACGTTCGACTTGGCCTGGGTGAGTTTTTGGGCGCGGTCGCTGCGGAATTGGACGCCTCCCGAGAGACGCTCGTGGTGTTGGACGCCGTATCGGGCTTCCTCGGCTGGAGTGAGGGTGCGTATGGCGGGTTGGGTCTGCGGGGCAGCTGGGCCTTTCTTGGTATCCTTTGACGCTGCGGATGTGCTGGGTGTTTCGGCGCGGCCGAGGGCGGTGGCTTGTGTGGGTGTTTGGCCGACAGGACTGGGGATGGCACCTTCGGGGCCGAGGATGGAGCGGCGCTTCTTGCTCTTGTCGGCTTGCAGGAGGGTTTGGAGGAGTTGGGAGAGGCCTTGGCTGGACTGGTACATGGCGGTGTTGCCGACGCTGATGGGGACTTCGAGGCGGGAGTAAAGTTCGCGACGTTCGGTGATGAAGTTTTGCTCGTTGCTTGTGATGCGCTTCAGCTCTTCGAGTAGCATGGCTTCCTCGCGCACCTCGTCTGCGGTGCGGTTGAGTTGTAGAGCGGCGAGCTCCTTGCGGTCTCGCTCACGGTCTGGATCGTACTTCAACATTTGTTCGTGTAGAGCGAATTCGGCCTCGGACATCTCGGAGGGGGGGTGCTCGATTGCCAGCATTGTAGCGGCGATGTAGTAGAACCGGGATTTCATCTGCTCCATCGTCCGGTATTGCTTGGCTGGGACGATCGCGTTGGCGTCGGGCTCCGAGTCCAGATGTCGTTGGTAGTCGTAACGATCTGCAATGATCACCCAGCGCAGGTCGTATTCGGTAGCGAGATTCATCAAATAATCCGTCTCTTCCCGGCTCCAATCGTCGCTCTTTAGGTGTCGGTTGTACTCTTCGTCGGTGTATCGCCGGGGTACGCGGGCCTTGATGTTGTACTTGGCGAATGCATATTCTTGCTCCTTTGGCTTGGTCTCTTCTTTGCCTTCTTCCTTTGCCCCATCCAGTTCCATCTGATTTGGTTCAGGCGCGGGTGGTCGAGTCGACTCGTGTTCTCTTTGCCAGTGGTTCAAAACTAGATCGTCAGACCTGGCTGTGTTCGTGAAGGGTGTCATGCACCTAGAGAGAGCCGAGTTTAGTCTCCATCGCGTCTCCTCACAACGGATAAAGTGCATACCATTTCCGGACTCGCAGCTTGTTCATAAATTTTGGTCGCCCCTTGTACTTGTTCTCGTTGATCGCGATCGGTGGCGCTCGTTCGCCGAGAAGCGCGTACAGTTCGCGGGTGATACCCTCTGCAGACCAAATTAGACACCTATCAAAAGCGAAACGAATCTATCTCGCACGAACCTGGTCGCTTCTCGACAACTTTCTGCTTCTTCGCCGGTCTGGGCTGGCCCTCAGCGGGCAAGTCCAACATGTCGCGAACATCCGCGGCGGCCGCCATGATGGCTCAAGCAAGCCTTCTAGGGCGAGACAGGTCGTTGTAAAATATAAGATCGTGTAACAAGGCAAGGCAAACGAATAAAGCCTGCCTACTTAGATGTATTCTCTGGCCGATGATGAAATAGTCAAGAGATGAAAATCAAGCGCGGCTTCTGGACAAGGGAGGTCCACGAAAGCAGCAGGCGGTGTGGGGCCGCGATGGTGCCAGATGGTCAACACTCCGCCTGTTGACAAGTTGACCCAGCAGCAGCGTTCCTTTCAATTGCTCAATTTCCATTCAGCCATGGCTTACCAGGCATCTTCGCCGTCATGGCTCGCTGCCGTTCTGGCTCTATTCTCTATCTTCTCTCTTCTTGTCCCCGCTAACGCCTTGTACTTTTACGTTGATGGCCGCCAAACCAAGTGTTTCTTCGAGGATCTCCCCAAGGACACCCTGGTAGCAGGTATGCAAACCATCCTATGAACCTACAACTGAAGACAATCAGAGAGATATTCCAAGGGCGCGATTCCACCACTCACCACCTCCTTCTGAACAGGTAAATTCTCTACCGAAGTAATCAACCCCAACACGAACACCTACGCGGTCGACCACAACCTCAAGGTCCAAATCACCGTCGACGAGACCTTCGACAATGACCACCGCGTCGTCAACAAGCGCGAAAACCACTCCGGCCGCTTCACCTTCTCCGCCGCAGACGCCGGCCAACACCGTATCTGCTTCTTGGCCGAAACCGACGTCTCGACCTCGGGCTGGCTATCCAACGGTCAGAGCGCCGTCAGGGTTACTCTCGACATTGCCATTGGCGAGACGAGCAAGATCGAGACGGAGGATAAGGACAAGATGAAGGATATCGTGCAGCGTGTGCGCGATTTGAACAGTCGCTTGCATGATATTCGTCGCGAGCAGGTGTACCAGCGGGTAAGCTCCCCCCTTGGCCTGGCCCATTTCCCGATCACCCTTTTCTGGGCTAAAGGAGCTCCATACTCTCCACTTGCATTTGTTGCACGCTTGATACTTACCATTCTTGCTTTTTTACAGGAGCGCGAGGCCGAATTCCGCGATCAATCCGAGACCACCAACTCCCGCGTTGTTCGCTGGACCATGATCCAATTGGCCGTCCTATCCGCGGCCTGTGCCTGGCAACTGTCCCATCTGCGGTCATTCTTCATTAAGCAAAAGTTGACCTAAACGGTGTGGATGTCGGTTGGAATTTCCCATATTTGACACGAGTTCTTTCCTAAAACCCTTTCTATAAGCCTTGCATTCTTGCTTCGAGTCTCTTTGTACCACACACGCCCAGCTTATGCGAATATTGATCTTTGGGGGTTTATCTCGAGTGTAGGGGTTGTTTCCCTTTATTCTGGTTTGGGATGGATGGTTGGTGATGGTGTAGCTGGACGATGGCCATTTCTCTTGGACTCCTTCGAGTAGTTCTCAAAGAGGGCCTTTTCTCCAGCTACCAATTGTGGGAAGCTTGCACTTTCGTGGAATAAAATGGACGGTCGTGGATTGCTGAGAGCTCTATGATCAGAGCGATCTCGATTTTGATAATGGATATAATGAACAATTTTCCTTTCCATTGTTTCAAGTCTCTCTTACTTTACTGTGTCGAATCGATGTAGAGTAGATCTACGAACTGCGATGTATCATGTCCAGAAATAAGTTTCGTTGATAGTGTGATATTGATTGATTTTATTGGGGTCATGATTCATATATCCAAAGCAAAGGGTACTAAAATGGTAGGGCTGGAAATGTCCACAGAGTGGTATAAGGCATGGCCAAGAAATGAAAATGAGCCGAGAATGAACGAGAAAGGATGTCAATAGGTTCCTTGTTCACCTCGACAGGTTTATACCGAGTTCCTTGTCAAAGAAAAAGGTAGACTGAGCCACATAGAGAAAGACACGGTAAAGGTAATTCTCCGGGCGAGGTGGAGTGACGCTGCAAGAAAGGCTTTCATGCAGCCGCCACAACTGTCTCCATAGGACCGCAGAAGCCCAGAATTAACCGTTCCAAGTCAGACAGTTTATAAGGCTTCGTCATATAACCCTTGATGCCTACTTTAGAGGCACGGTTCAACGCTTCGTCAGTAACATCCGCACTGACGGCCAGCACGGTAGGAGGACGATGCGCCGAAATCGGACTGATGGCAGAATCCATGTCAACGTCGGAGTTCGTTGTGATGCTCATCCGGCGAGGGTCATCGTCAGCACTGGAGCACTGACTCTGGTGGTCATCCACCATCTGGAGAATGCGAGAGGTTGCCTCGTAACCATCCATTTCCGGCATCCACAGGTCCATCAAGACGATGTCAATGGGCTTCATCTCCGGTGTAGATGGTTGTGTTGATGAGCCGGCTTCACCCGTTGGAGAGTTATCAGTAGATGACGAGGCAGATAAGATGTCTTGCACGATTTGCACGGCTTCTTTGCCATCGGCCGCCTCGAGGACATCCCGATAGCCCAACTTGCGTAGCATGTGCACCAGCACACGGCGGTTGATCCGATTATCTTCAGCGACGAGAAATCGGAGAGGGTATTTCTCGCCGAGCTTTTTATCATGCGTGTGTCCCAAAGGCTGCTTGAACCGGGTCTGGGTAAGTGTCCGCGGCGGAGTCGAGCTCTGAGACGTGCTTTCATCACCGGTGCTCGGGGTGGGTTGCTGTATTGGTTGATTCTGAGTAACCGTGGGTGAAGAAAATGAGGTAGGTTCCCAGATGAAAGTGCTTGCACTTCCGTGTCGGGAGGGATCAGTGATAATCGGAGGCGTCATATTTCTATCGCTAGGGGTTCCGGGCCAGGTATATGCTTCACGTTGGTTCACAGGTATCCGAATCTGGAACTCAGAACCATGATCGGGCCCCGTGGTCGAAGAGCGCACGCAAACCAGATCACCGCCCATCTTTCGTGAAAGGCCCTTGGCCACCAGCAGACCGAGGCCGAGACCGTCCTTGCTGCGGGTGGTAGATGCATCTTCACGGGCAAAGGCCTTGAACAGGTTGGGCAAAAATGCCTCAGGAATGCCAGGGCCCGTATCCCGAACGAGAATCAGGACGTCACTGGTTCGAGAGTCGACCGTAGCACACACGGTGATAGTGCCATTATTCGTAAATTTGATAGCGTTCAAAAAGACGCAGGAGATCAGCTTGGCCAGATCTCGGTCGTCTGCAAGAAGAGTGTCGGGCAATGCGGGGTCAACGGACCAGTCCACAATTTTGGTAAAGACCTCACCGTTTGAGGACCGGGATCGAATTTCAATTGTTTCGCCAAACGCAGTTGCCTGGCTGGTTGCTGAATCCGGTCGACCACCCACATGCAGGGACTCGTTGATCACCAGACGAAGCAGGTCTCGCAGTTTCGTGGATCGAAGGGCTGGGCCCCGCATGTTCAAGGTGATCCCCTCGAGGAGTAGATGAGGTGCCGATCGTCGAACTGCGATCGAAGGACGGGGATCCACCATGTTGGCCATGACTGCTTCAATCTGGCGAGCTGGAGTAGCGTGGACGATCTGATCACTTTCATGGACGGCGTTTTTGACTTCCTCACTGCGCGGAGAAAGCTCTTGTCGCGAGGATGCTGCTCGGAGTCTCTGCTTTCGGGCCGGGCGCGAGTTCATGTCCAGAGGAAGGCTGCGTCGTCGTTTATATGGATTTACGGCGATGTTGCTTCCTTCTATAAAGACGCTGGGACGGCTCTCGGTAGAATCGGTGGCAAAGTCTGGGTCGAGAAGTCCGTTTTGCTGCTCCCGCTGGGGTGTTTTGGGAACTTGCATATTGAGATCATACGCATGGACGACGTTGTCGGCCGCTTCCACAGCGCGCCGAGCGCTGTCTTGAACCATCTCGATACCCTCTTTGAGAGCCTGGAAAATGCCGCCCGATTTGACCGGGGTCTTACTTTCCATGGCCTCCCGCACGGTGGCATGCAGGACATCCAGCATGCCGACCACACCTTGCATTGGAGTTCGCAGCTCATGGGAGAGGCTTTTGGCGAACGGCTTGAGGGGGTGGGCAGTGAAATGAGAGGAATCTCGAATGTGGTCGTGGCCGGCGTCCAGAAGGGTGGGAGAGTCGAGAGTCGGGAATTGGGTGGTCTCGTGATCTGGAAAAACTTCGTCCAGCAAGAGTCGTTGCACGATCAGATCGTCCAGGGAGTGTAGAATCATTTCGAGGAATGACCAAGACAAGCTTCGACTACGTACACCATCCTTGGACCACATCAACCCGAGATGCGCCAGGCATTTGCCGGCCGAAAAGAGAGGAATCGCGAGGTATGCGTCGGCGGGGAAGGGCAGTTGGTCGTCACCGAATGAGACGAGGGATTTGAGGTTTTCCGGGATCAGACATGGTCGTTCATGATCCATATGTAGCAGTGGGTTTCCGCCGGCGAAATACCGATTTCGTTGTAGCCCGACATTCTGAAACCCGTCATTGTAGTAAAAGACCGCCCCGAAGAGGGACGGCCGGCGTCCGCCCAGTTCCGGCATGGGCTCGCCGCCATGTACCCGGCGAGCCACAAAGCCGTATTGCGCCTTGGTGATGGAGGTGATATCCTCCATGAGCCGTTTCCAGAACAGCTCGGTGTCCAAGGCTCTTAGCCCCTGCTTGAGCGCCACAAGCTGCTCAATGGCTGCGGTCTGGGCGACATCGTTCCAGCACCGGGCGGACGCGTCAAACTGTGCGTCTCCGTCGTCGTGCACCGTCGGGAATCCGTCGGTGAGGCATTCCGATTTGCAGGAAGGGAAGGCCATGGCGGGACGAGGGTGGGCGGAGTTATGGACATCGGGCTTGGGCGACTCGGACATAGTCCATAAGGGATTGGTGAAATATGCGAAGGGCTCGCGATCTCTCTCTCTCTCTCTCTCTCGCTCTCTTTATCTGGGGAGGACGGCAACCATGATTTTCGGAGGACCGAAAAGGTGCATGGAAGGAGAGGACGCGATAGCTGAAGAGAGGATCGGGATAGAGAGAGAGGGGAAGGTCAGGAGGGGACGGAGAGACTTGGGGATGGGATTTTCCCGTCTTGGGGGGAGGGGAATCGCCGGCGGTTTGGGCGGGTTTAAGACTTGGGCGGTCTAGACACCCGAGAGAACACTGTGGTACTACCACTACCCGCTGGCACTGAGCTACCGCGACTCTACAACAAGTGAAACGGCGGAACCGGGCCAGGCCTTAGAAGACGATCACGCCTATTCTTCCTCTTTACGGTTTCTTTACTACACAAAGCACCGCTTTGTCTTTTTTAACTCTCCCCTTTCAAAGACTAACCAAATCCTTTTTTTTTCTTCTCCTCGGCTTGACCTCCAGGTCGCTTACGACCAATCGAGTGCGGAGACTACACGATCGGCAGATCTAGACCGACCACTGGCATTCCGATTCTCCAGTCGACGGCCATCCATAGGCCCCAATTTCAGCCCCCCCAAGTCTCCAATACACCACCCGAACACGAAGACCCTCTTCGTCCGAGTCTCCAGCAGGGTCACGAAACAAGTCTCGAGTACATCTAACTACCCATCTCGAGCCTTGCAGGTGGCTTGGCCCCAAATCCTAGTGGAGGCGAACTCTTCCCCCTCCCTCTCGGAAGCTCGGCCAGCCCCAAATCGACCTATGATCTATCACGATTCCACCTGTCATTATGTATGTCCAATTGTCCATAATTGGCTCCCTTTGAACTCTACGACATCTCGGTTATGAACTGCCGACTGCGACGTACCAGACACGGTGCAGGGAAATTGCACTTTGGTGGAGCCTGTAAAGAGCCACACGCGGGAGTCATTGGGGGGCAAATGGCATGTTTTTGTAACATCGAGATCGCTTCAGATGCGGGGCGGCTGGGAATCAGGTTGGTTGACTGTGTAATGCACCCGTCCCAAAGTGGCATACGAATTGACGCGAGGCCAATATATGGACATGGGAGTTATTTGATTATGACTATTATTGGGGCCCTTGTCTCCGTATGGTGTGGAGGAGATTGATTACTGTAACCGGGTGAAATTTAAAACCGATTCATTCAATCAATGGACAAGAATGACCCATGAGACTCTATGATCGCTCAAATAGTTCAGTTCCGTCGTTACTTGGTTGAGCGCTGTGCATGTGAGCGGGAACGAATCTGTGGCCGATTCAATCTAAACAAATCATCGCCCCACTGCGGCCCTCGTTCGACGCTGCGATTCGCCGGACCCACGAAAAGCAATTTCCTTGCGCCAACACGGCTCAATGCGAGACACATTACTCCGTACTGACCATGAGCAATGGAGATTATTCAAGTGCCGTGCTCAAAATGGAGTCTCGAGATCTTACTGGATGGTTGATCACTTTTTTTTTTTTTTTTTTTTTTTTTTTTAAAAAAAAAGAGGGGGCTTTCTAAGAACAGTATAGCAGAATGCAAGAATGAGAAGGACGAACCTAAACTACTGTATATCAATGATTTTTGTAAAACGTAACTCATGAGATTCTACATATCCAACCCTAATCATTCATAGCATTAAGCTCCGAATCCCAATCCCACCGCGGCGATCTTCCATCCTCCGAAGCCATCGGTGACATGATCGACACTGGCCACTGGATCAATATATCAGGATCCACCGAATCACCATGTTTCTGGTGACCCGGCCCAACAGCGCACTGAGACATCTCCAACCCCAACGTGATCCCCTCCGCTGCACACGGCGTAGGTGGCGTCAAATAACCGGGCCCGATATCAGACAGATCGAGAAGCCCGTCGGCTCCCTTTTGCGCTATCTCGAAGACGGGGTTGTGTGGGTCCATCATGGCCCAGTAGTCGATTACGGAGCGGAGGACGGCTGATTCGGTGGTGGTGAGTTCGTCGAGGAGGGGCGGGGAGCGGAGGAGGAGGGCGCTGTAGCGGGTGCATTGGAGGGCGAAGGATTTGAGGGCGTTGGCCTGGATAGTGCTTGTTAGATGGTGATCTTGATTCGTGGTGATTGAGTTTGTATTTGGAGTGGAGTGGATTGGATTGGAGAAGGGGAAAGGGTCGTCTTACCATCATTTGTGCGTTGGTCCATAGTTCGGAGATTTCGCTCAGGTACTCGAGAGAGGTTCTGAGATAATCCGCCGAACTGTGGCTGACGACTACATCGTCGCTGTGTAGATAAAGAGCATGAATGGTGCTCGCCACGAGAATGCAGTAGCTGTACACCGAGGGAACGGGCATGTATCCCGCCGCCTTGGCTTCGACGAGAACGGTGATCAGAGAACCAGCATGTACCAGACACGATGCGCGAGTGTCCTCCAACCAGGAAGGTGGCATATCGGATGATGAGTGAGACTGAATCTTCAAACTCAGAAGATATGGATGGCTGAGAATGCAGTGGCAAAGATGGTATAATGTATGGGAAAGCACCATGTGCGCAATCCGCTCGCGATCGCGGTCCTGCATCTCATCTTGAGGACGAGCTTGGCCCGGCGCAGCAAGAACGGGGCTGTTGTTCACGGCTAGTTCTTTCAAAAACTCCAAGTCGCTGTGAATTCGTCGGTACTCTGAATCTTCCTGCCAGGCCTTCTCTTGATCGTTCTCCGTGTTCATCATGCATTTGATCGTCCGCCCGAGTACGGACACCAATGCAATGCTGATACCGAACATCCCTGGACGAAGCGAGGTATCTCGGTTTTTCTCGTCTAATAGACTCTTCAATGTCAATTTTAACTCTCCTTTCCCCGATACCCGATACGTGGGTAACGTAAGGAGACAATCCGAGTCCTTGATAGCGGGCGGTCGCTGAAAGGAACAGCACACGAAGCGATCAAGGAGGTATAATGACCAGAAGAGATTCCTTCGTTCATCACGCTCCAAGCCGGTGAAATTTGTGCTTGGTTCAAGCATCAATTGTAGATCTTGGCTGATTCGCACCGCCATACCGATTTTCACCCAAGCACCGCGCCGCCGGCCAGCTGTCAACTGTTTAGTATTTGATATACCGACAGGTCCAACACCGACTTGTCAAGTCAAGACTCACCGGTGGCATCGATCACGGCAAGTAGGGCAAGCGCTTGAATCACCGTCACGTCGTCGGTATCATCTAGTCCGTTCTGCGACATCACGATGACCTCCCAAGAGCATCGGGCGTAACCATCGATCGTGCTCTGTTTTCTTTCTCTCCATTGCGAACAGGAGGAATAGCGAGTGGCGGTTGCGATTAATGCGAGTCGAAGGTGTAAGGGTATGTGATTATTTGCTGCCTTTTGTTGAAAGAGATCGGCGTTGAAAAAGCCGTAGGGTTTATTGTGGCAGTGTTGGAAGTAGATGTCGCATGCTTCTAGAAAGACTGTATCGGGGGTAGGGGAATTGCTTTATAAAATTTCACGTTAGCTGGAACTAACCAAGCAGGAAAAAGGTAATCTCGTCTTTTTACTCTAGACCAGTCTGCGGCTTACCTTGGTGATCTCTTACGAGTGTCCATGTGGTTATTAAGCGTTGACAGTGTCATTGCATCGGTGGAATTATTGTGGAACATAGAATCCGGCGCTGATCTGGCATTTTCAATGGTTTTCAATGTTTTTTTCTGCAGGGTCCCTGGTGACCTCTGGAAAAGTTAGAAAAACCTGGCGGACCCGCTTCTCCAGGAATTGAGACTTTGAAAGGGCAAGGAAGTGAGATTATGTTACTCAATCCTTATATTCTGGTTTGTCGGAGTCCGGGGCAAGTGGGGGTTGGACTCGGCCCGGTGTTGCACTGGCCAAGGGCTCTCCGCGTTTAACCGGGCTTTGGTGCTTTGGAAAGCCGCAAAACACGACTTGATTGACTGCGTCAAGCAGGGGATGCCTTCTCGAAGCACATTAGCTATCCCTGGCTGAACTATAAAGAATTTTAGGTAGTCACATGGACTTGCCCGTCGATCGAAAGGGGGCAGAGAGTGACGCAGTTGCTAGCATGCCGGTTCTACCATTCCATGAAAGGTATACAGGGGGTCTGGGGAAGGGTCATGTGATGGGGGGATGCCGGTGGAGTCTCGTGGGGCAAATCAACTCCCACAGCAAGAGTGCATTGTGTCATGGCAGATCGAAAGAAAAGGTGTTGGTGTGCCTGGCGAATGACGGGTCGCACGGCCATGGTTCGTACGTTAGTTGACGAACACACTACATGATCCATTGACGTGAAACTGAATGTACCCCATCCCATTGGAGTATGGTAGCACTGCATGCGCTATCCAGGCGCTTGATGTATGGGGTCAGCATTGCCAAAATGGCCCAAAAGGCCGAGGTTCTTTATACATACAATATTCATGATACATGGCTAGAAGTAATAAACAACATAGATATCACATGGCCATTAGGTCGTTCATAGTTGCAGGTAATGCACCATCATTACCCACTCGAATCCAGCAGTTCCAGCAAAAAGTCCAGAGAAGTTGAGCTAATTCCTAACGGGATTGCCTTTCTATCCGACGAGCACGGTCCAATCCTGGGGTCAAAAGGCCGCACAACCCAATCATCTCGAGAAGGCTCTTTGCCGACAAGGTCCTGACCAGGCTGACCTTGCAGCAAAGTAAACTGTTCTCGGAATCGTGGCAGGTGTTTGTCAACGAGCTCGGCATACCGAGGCAAGTAATCCAAGTCATCAACGCCGCACGATCGCAACCCAGCAATGCACTGATCCAAGGTTCCCAGCGAGACTTTGACTTCATGCAAGTGGCCCCCAAGACTGATCGCCTTCAAGAGGACAATGGATGCTGAAATGATGCTAAGACGGGTTCGAAGGGGTGTGTATCTCAATCTTCCTCCTACTTGCATAATAGTGGCAAGATTGAGGACCTCACAGCAGGCGGAAACCGTCATATCGATGAGTTCTCTGTCATCTGGAAGCATAGAAGGTCTTTGACCATGTGTGTCGGGTGTTTCGGATTGGCCGTTGCTGTGGGTTGTCGCTCGTTCAACAACTGCTTGAATGGCCAAAGCACTTATGCATGCCTCGAGATGGTGGAATTCAATGGAAAGCAAGTAGCCTAGGTCAATGGGCATTCCTGTGTCATTATACAATGTGAGCATGGTTCCGACGACTGACGCGAATTTCAATGATTGTAGGACGTTTGTGCTGACCTGGAATCTGAGACTTGAATTCCACGTTCCAATGAGCGAGAGAGGGGAACCAGTCAAGATGGAGCAAGTCGTAGTCACCTGCGAATATCTGTTTCAAAGCAGGTCCTGATGGAGAGAAACAGACAAATGCCGAATTCACTAGTTTCGTCAAGTCCAACCATAGGGTTATCCAAGTGTCCCGCCATCGCCACATTGGTTCGTCGTCCTGTGGCCTAGAGGTTGAATTGAAATTCAAGTTTTCTGGGAGGAGATTTGAACAACCTAGCCGACTAGCCACCTGGGCGACGTAAATATAAAGAAGTTTTCTTGTGCGGTGAAACCGGGTAGCATGTCGAGTATCAAAGCCAAGACATACAAGGGGCTCATCGGAGAAGATGTGGGCCTCATTAGCAAGATTGAGAGCAACGCCTAGCAGCCTCCAGGACTTTCGTGTCGACTGCGCCATTGGGTCAAAGACATCCTCTTGCCACCGTATCGATGTAGGATCACGATTTCTCTGTTTGACTTTACGGCGATCACATTCTTGCATTGTCATTCTGCCCCAATCCACATTATTATGCGGAAATTGAAACGAGCGGGGATGCCAGTCGGATATCAACATCAGACTCTCGATCGCTCCCAAAACTCGGGATTTTGCAGCAAAGTAATTATCCTCACCGCGCCAAGCACGCTGGATAAATACTTCGTAATGCTTCCATAAGTGATCGTGAATAGAGTGACTTCGAGATAAGCCTCCGGGACCTGGAAGCACAAAGAATCGAGACGATATCACCAGGAGAGCGCAGCACAACATCGGATCTTCTTTTAGTAGCTGGTCGTGGTTTTTGTGCGAGAGTAAGTCCTGGGATATTATGTATGAGAAAGGAGCTAGATACTCAGAGAACCTGGAGGAAAGTCAGAGGAATATCAAATCACGAAGCGCTGAAGGAGACCTTACAAATCCAGATAAGTTACTGCTTCTTGTGCGGTCAACCAACCATCCCGAACGAAGTTGCAATTATCCCACCAGAGATCGAGAACTTCTTCACTGGGTCGAGAAAGTCTGGATACTATCGTCTGGCCAAATTCAGAGGCATGCAAGCCGAGGTTCGTGGATAGGAATGGCTCAAATCCTGAAGCGGCTGATGGAATAGTCGGTGATTTCATGCGCGAATATTGTGTTCGTTGTGTTGCACTCGCTGCATTAAGGATTGAATCAATATTTTCATTTGTCTCAGATATGTCGGGTGCCAAAGCAGTTGGTTGCGTGGTTACCGGCTCCGGGGACGGTAATTGTGTTGGCCGCGTTGTATCAGACAGTCCGCTTACGCCGTGGTCGATAGCAGCACGATTCTCATCATGTTGAGATGACTCGGGTTCCGAAGCACTTGGCTGCATGGTTGCCAGTTCCGTGCGCGGAACGAGTGTTGGTTGTGTGGCAACAGACACTCCGTCTATGGCATGGCCGCTAGGAGCAATGTTCTCATGATGTCCAAAAGCTTGAAGTCGATCCAAAAGCATCGGGCTTTGCGACATTTCCCATTTGACGGACAAAGAGTTACTCCGGCTCGAGTCGATGTCGCTGGTATCAGTGTCGCTAGAGTCCCTTCGGCTATGCCGGCGAGAGAGCCTCGAGCTGGAGGGGAGAGAAGTAAGGTCGGAAATCTCCGAGATGAGAAGAAATGGATCCAGTGACGGCAAAGGCAGAGAAAGCAAGGAGCATTTGCGGTGCTTTTTGCGACACTCTGTGCAAGGTGGCTTACTGATGACCTCACACCGTGCTTGCCGAGTTTGACATGCGACACAAATCTCAGCTGTGTCCGCCGTCGTACTTTCAGGCAGAGAGCTTTGTGCCGGAATATCGCCTTCCAAGTTATCGCCTTCCAAGTCTCGCAGCACACATGTTTGTCTTTTTGCATGGCATCTGTTGCACGGTGGTCCATTGCCCATGATGCATCGTTCAGAAGGGGAACACCGAAGGCATGACACACCCTTCTTTGGCACGTCGACTTCCTTCTCAAACATAGATTCATGATTTCCCCGACGACGTTTTGTGTAAGGTGGCTGGTCGACAATCTCACACTGGGCCTTTGGGGCTTGGCAGCTCGTACGGGCTGCGGGTGTAGCTGTAGCCGTAGCCGTTGCGTCCGTAGTCCTTGGGGGTATATCTTTTCGTTTAGAAGGATTGTTCACAGCCCTTTTAGGCCGGGATGTCTTTGCAGACTCGTCATGTGTTTTGGGCACACAACTTCGGCCGATACGGCGACATCTCGTGCAAGGAGGTCGTCCATCGATCATCTCACATCGACTGTGTGCGATTTTACATGGCATGCATCCCATAAGGTTTCTCGTGTGCGCGACCCTTTCTTGACGGGGCTGCTTCTCCTCAAACCTGCATTCATGGTTTTGCCGACGGCATTCTGTGCAAGGTGGCTGGTCGATGATCTTACACTGGGCCTTTTGGGCTCGGCAGCTTAGACAAGGTGCAGGTGTAGCTGTAGCTGTAGCTGAAGGGCCATTGGTCTTTTGGGAGACATTTCCTGTCGTATCTGTAGCATCCACGGACTCTTGGGGCACTGATGCTTCTGCGGTCTTTGGCTCCCAAGGCCCTTGGGGCACACATTCCCGGCCACCCGCCAGGCATATCTTACAGGGTCGTCGTCCATCGACCAGTTCACATTTGGAGTGTTGGAGAACACATGTCCTGCATTTTAAGGGATTCCTCTGGCGCGTACGCGTACGAGGTTTCAAGGTTGCTGACTCGTTAAACACGCATTCGAGACCCTGTCGGGTACACCTACGGCAAGGCGGTTCGTCGATGACCACGCATCTTGCCGAGGAGGCTTGGCAAGCTATACAGGCACCAGCGCCCTCTGTCGAGCGTACTCCATGTTGATCGAAACCACCCAGTGATTCTTGTGTCTGCAAAAGAGGTTCCGGCATATCCTTATCATTGATAAGTCTTAGTGGAATATGGAGGAGCTTGGATGAATAGCACTGAAGAGGAAGGGCTGGTCAGGGCGACGGGAAAGCGGTCGGCGGCTTCTTTGTTTACTTTGAGCGGACGCCTAACTAACTTACGGCGGACTTCATGGCCCTTTGTCAGCAAACTTAGAACCAGCAGATCTCGATTTCAGGTATTCTTTCTCCCATACAATCTACGGATATCCTAATTACCCTTTGTTAAGTGCAATCTATGTCAGGAAAACGATTGAAATTGATTTAGATGATCTAATCTGAGATTACTAGAGCCGAATTGTAGATACAATCGTTAATCAAATGTTGAATCCTCTCTAGTTATTTGATGTTGAATCCTCTTACGGCCGAAGTAATTTACCAAATCCTATTGAATATACGATCGTAACTAAGACGGAAAGGTAGAACTCGAGGCCTATATACGAATGTAATCTAATGAATTTCATTGATATATTAATCAAATCCTTGGCGGTAATACTATCGAACCAGTACGTCAATTAAACCGCTGACAGCGGAGATTTACGGGTATAACCTCCGAGATAATTTCCTAGATAATTTTCCATAAAAAATGTACTTGGGCTCACTGGGGTAAAGGGCGGAAGAAAGGCAGGAAATAGTCTATGAAGATATTTAGGGTTGTGGCCATCTACCCCCTAGTCCGCTGTAGATGCCTGAGTGCCTGACTACCTAAAGGATTATACTCCTGGCCCTACAAGGATTTTCTACTATTCAGTGCATGGGACAAACTCAGCGAGTGGTTCCATTAGGTTACCAAGCCCTTCCTCGAGAATTGCATACACCAAGGTGCATTTATTCTCGTTCAAAGTGAGCATATCGGGGCATATTCTAGTACAAGCAATCTGGGGTTATGCTTTGAACGGTATAGTTATATTCCGGCCCCGTCTACGGTTGACTAAATGGTCGTCTTCTCGTGTGTATAGTATGCATCATGTGCCTCGAATCTTACGTACTACCTGATCTAATCCGAGTGAGTGCGGAATTTGTTATCATCAAATAGGCAACTTGATTTTGCATTCGAATGGCCGATAGATCTAAAAGCGGCCCATCGACTAAATATTTTTGTACGAGAAAGGCAAAAGCGTGTAGATAACGTGCGCTGTACAAGCCGCAGGCCGAAGAAAAAAAAAAGCACAAAGTCTATCCAGAAAGAGTGAGCGCTTTGCAAACAGGCGATAGATACGGGTAGTCTTCTGGTGACGAATGAGAAAGATGAAAGAAAATCAATTCCATTGATAAGAATAAGAGAAAAGGATGCAAAAAGTGTCGTCAAGAGAAAGACCCGAAGTCCCATCCCAGGATACGGATGAGACGGTCCAGAGAGATCTCTCGAAGAGCCCACCTTGCAGAAGAAAGGTAAGATATGCGTAGACATAGATGGCAGCATAGATCGACCAGATTAGAATCGAAAAATTCGCCATCCCATCTGCCCATATGAGAATAGGTACAGCACCAGCGTGCGACGCACGGAAGGCAAAAATCTAAGGCAGGAAGAAGAGAATTTGAAACGACCACAACGCTCTTAAATTATCGCCAGGATCGCGTTACACACCACACCTTCAGGGCGAGTCATTTCTATCAAACTCCACAAGCTCGTCGCTTAGACGTAGCGGCGGCGGAAGTTGTGAGGGAAGGGCTTGCCGCTGGGAGCGCCCGAGGGAGCACCGGGGTGACCGCTGTGGCTGGGGAAGGGCAGGACACTAGCCGAGCCCGAGGGGATGGGCAGCGAGCTAGTAGCGAAGCCGGAGGGAGCCCGGGAGGAGGAAGGGATCGGGTGGCTGCCGTTGCCGTAAGGGGTGGGGCTGGGGATCAGAGTGGCGCTGGGGGTAGGAACAACGATCACGGTGGAAGTCGTCTCAGAGTCATCATCCGCAGTGGAGGTGGTGGTGTGGTGGTGGTGATGACCGTTGTTCTCGCCATTACCATCCTGCTGGTGGTTGTTGCTGGGGGCAGAGGTGACGGTGGCGCCGCTCTATCAAGCTAATTAGCATTCCGCAACGTTTGAGACATAATAGGCGAGAGGAATACGTACAGCATACACTGTCTCAGTGACGGTCACAGTAGCGGGGCTGCAATTGCCCTCGCCGCCGCTGCCAGCAGTGACGGAGGTGGTGGGAACTTCGACCAGGGTGACGGTCTTCGTGGCGGTGGAGTGCAGAGTGGTAGTCTGCTCGCCGCTGCCAGCCTGGTTGTGGCCATTGGCATCGGGGCTTTCAGTCTGCGCCAATTGAGTTAGCTTGATATTGGCTATCGAGGGGAGGGGGTTCATCCGAGAGAACACTTACTGCAGTCACGGTATGCACATCCGTAGTAGTGCGGTGGATCGTGGTGGTGACAATGCTGGTGGAGGTACCGGTGCCCACGGTGTATGTGAGGGTCAGATCACCAGCGGAGCTGGAGCCAGCGCTCTCGCCGGCACCGGAGCTGGGGACACCAGTGCTGATAGGAGGTGGGCGAGAGAAGGGGATGCTGGAGGGAGTGCGCGAGGGAGCGACACTGGAAGATGCAGGGCCCGAGGAGGCAGGGCCTGAAGCAGCAGGACCCGAAGGAGCAACAGCCGAGGAGGAGGAAGAGGAGGTAGCATCAGATCCGGAAGGCTCAGCGGGAGTTGGGACAATGGTGCGAGTGATAGTGGGCAAAGGAGGAGGAGAGCCGCTGGGGATGATGCTGCGGACTCGGTGGACCCGACGAGCGTGGTGCTCGGCCTCACCGACGGCGGCGAGACCGGCGACCAGAGCAATGGTCAACTTGTTGAACAGCATGGTGTGTGGTGTGAAGTGAGTGCGAAAGTTTGAGAATTTCTCTGTTTTGCAATCTCAAGACAGTCAATGTCTTCTTTGATAAGCGAATGTGGGATATGCGTTGGCAAGAAAGAGCGTGGGTTGCTACGAAGTCGATTCGTAGGAGAAAAGAAAGTCAACGTTAAGCCAACGTGAAGGAAAGTGAAGATTCTCGCAGAGAACCGGAAGAAAAAAAAAGAGGGAGCTGAAGGTTGAAGAAGAGAAAAGAAAGAGGAGCCAAGAGGAAGTAGGCAACAGGCGGTTAATTAAAGGCGGGTCACTATCTGAGAGGAGGGGGGACTAGTCCTCCGTGGATGACTTGGAGATTGCACTAATCTACCGACATTAAGGTACATAATCTACTATTTTACCATGATAATACTTGAGTATTGGTGTAATATTAATCTTACCACGTTGATACTGTAGGAGGCCAGATCACTATATTATTGTTGTAAAATGCTCGAAGGTATCTTGAAAAAGAGCCCAAACCCAGGCTTAGCGGGCAGCAAATTTCGGTATTACCGGCAGAAGCTGCGTGGGGCGGTGGTTGGATAGAGTCGGAGGGCATCCGTGCAGATGAGAAACTAACCAGAAAAATAATGTCATGATGCGGAGACTTAAGCCAGGGAGGTACCCGGTACACAGTCCGAGTATATCAGAAGGTACTTCCCGGAAGCCGTGCAAAGTGTTTTGCACGGCACAGACGTAGACAGTACAGATACTCAACATGATATATTGTCCCATGGACTCCACAAGTATTCGGTACACACCAGCCCTTTCTTCGGTCCGACTCCACCGGCCCAGGCACCGCCCGCTGACTGGCCACTTTCTTCTTTTTCTTTCTCCGCCCACTTCCTCCCTCTACCAATCAATCATTCCACTCGACTCCAGCAGGCGCTGGCCTTTAATCTCACTTTCGCTTACCAAAAGATCCTGAACGAGTTGATGCCATCTCAACTTCCAGGCCTTCCATCAGCCATCGCTGGTGGCGCCAGTCAATTTGCCCCCTATCTGTGGTGACAGCCCCCACCTGGCTCCGGACGGCAACTTGGCAGTCTTACCGAGACACGGTGATGTAACACTGCAGGATCAAACGGCAACAAAACCAGGCCTTGAAAATGAAAGGGCTGTAGCAGAATGTCTGAACATCCGACCCGACCAGCAAGCTCTCAAAGACACCAACTGATCAGGCTGTCGATGACTTCCAAATACACAATCGAGTCTAAGAGCCGAGAGCCCAAGGATGTGTACTAGGGACATACTTTCGGCCAGTGTCTCCGAGTGGAGCAGGTTAAAACAGCCTGAACCGTCCATTCAACGCCCACTTCAGGTACAACCCGGGCCCGCCATCGATCCCGACCGTCTAGAACCAAGCCCTCCGTTGACCCTGACTCGTCCAGCCCGCAAGCGCACCTTTCCCAGATCGCCCAAGCGGGCGTCGCAGCCAACGTTTCAGTGTTTCAGACCTGAATTGCTTCCCCTGATGCGGATTCCCTCCTGAACCACCTTCTTCAATGACCCCTTGTGCGATCCTGCTCCCGTATGGAAACGAATTTCCATCCGCCGTAATGGTCGTATTGAACCAGTCAAGCTACAGTTTCACATAAACCACCCCGTGCCATTGATTTGAAAGTCCCGCCTTTCTACTCCGTAGAAGCCCCCCCCTCCCATTGGAGTCCCAGGGTCCGCATCGCACGGGCGAGATATTGCTCCTGCCGCTGGTTTATATGATGATGTGCATTGCAAGACGCCTCGATGGAGAGTCGAGAATATTCTCCTCGTAGTTCGTTGTGATTCTGGACTCTGCGCTCCGGGGGTGGATGAGCGTTCCCAAGAATCCAAAGAGAAGATCACAAATGCCGCCCGTGGCCCCTCACCCGCGCTCGGCCGTGTGGGGGTGACGGCACGTTTTGCGCCGCATCACAGCACCCCGTCTCTAATTTTCGCCGCTCGCGCACGAAAGAAGCACAAATTTACGAGTCCCTCAAACTCACAATGTTTGTATACTTGAATAGTTTGGATGCTCGGAAATACGACGCTGAATCTGGAATCCTGTCACTTTCAACAGGCGAGCCTGAGCCTGAGTCCCGGATAGCCTTGTTGAAGCGCGATTAATATTGACTTCCTGGACCATGCGTGCGATTGTTACCCAGCCCGGTCCAACTCATTTAACTGGGTACTTTTGCCCGCGCCAGCGCATATTGCCTCATCGGATCTATCATACACAACACCCATCACGACAGACAGTCAGTCCCCGGGGAAAGAAACGATGACCCGAATCATGAAGTGATTCCGTCATCACAGGGTCCGATATTCATTTCCCTAGATTCGATTTACCTATTTCCCAGCTCGTTCTGTTTTCTTTACAGGGTCTGGCCGAACCCACGGAGAAGCTTTAGCTTGAAACGCCAAAGGCCTCACCATCGACCCCTGATCCCGTCCTTGGCTATTCAACACCGGCTCGCTGGATTGGAAAATTTCTTCACTCCCCAAAGCTTTAGCATCAGGACACAACGATGCCATTCTTGGGCCGTTCGACCGAATTCAGGGGACTTGCCCAATGACTTGCACGAAATGAGGCTGTCATAGTTCGCCATATTTTGCGTTCACTGAGGCCATCCTGAGACGAGCGCTCGCAATCGCCGGGATTTTAGCGCAACATGTCATCTCGATCCGAATTATTGTGGAGTCTCCTCTTTCTCGATTGTCAAGTACAAGTACGACGGTCGCATGATGTGATTCAAGCTAGAGCTTCTGTCGACTAGAGTGTGCGATCGCGTAGATCTGACCGATCTTGACTGGCTTTTCTTGAGTGCCGTCCTCTGGGACCCAATGATTCAAAGAGAAGCGGAAGCTTGGATTGAGCGTAGGCCGCAACCACTGGAGAGAGCGGTTCTGAATGAGCTTCTTCATGTCTAGTCATGCCTAGGACCAGTGTCAGTAGTCATGAAACCATCCGAATACAGAGGCCTTAGGCCTACAGCATCACGGTGTTGGATATGGCTCAGAGACCTCCGAGGATGACTTACCAACTCCTGCGCCTATCCATTCAATGGCTGATTTACTAACTATCTAGGTTGCCAATCTGGTGGTTAATTGGCTCTCGAATTGGGTGGTAAGCGAATTGATTATCCCAGGAAGCCGATTGATTCTGCTAGGACTGGCTAGAGAGGGATGTGAATTAGAGTGAAGGTTCTAAAGATTGCGCTCCTACATTTAACCTAGATTAATAGTCAAAGGCTCTACTCTTCTGTGCCTCTTATGCAGATTTTCTTGGGCCCGTGTGTCTTAAAACCATCATGGGAATCAAGATCAGGTCGGCACATGCGCAACGAAAGCAGACCTTCAAGTTCACGGAAAGATGGAAATGGGAATTAGATGCACATGCCGGGGCACTGCACCAGGACTACGTAAAGATATCCACGGCAGCCGCTCTATTGAATTTGTGAGCATGAGTAAATTGCAGGGAATCACCGTTTCCGTAATCTAAAGTTCTCTTTTTCTTGGAGAGATAAAGTGGTTTATGTCGGCTTGGTATCTTGCTGTTTGGCCTAGGAACTGTGTAAGCAACATAAAGAGAGCCGTAACATCAAGAAAATTACCCAGTAGATTGCCACGCTCAAGGTGAATTTTCGACCTTTGACTTGGTAGTGTAGGCTCCGGGTAGAGATGTGTCATGCTGGTACCCAGAATGGTCTTGATCTGGTTCCAAGCCAGTGATATCCGAGAATGAAATCGCCGGGGCATACATCTCCCATATCGGCAAATTTCATGAGCTCTAAGGCCATATTTCCTTCCCATAATTTGGAAAAAATGTGCCGTGAAATATGTCATAAACGAAGAACGAGAAGGTCTAAATAGATTATGGGAATGTTTGGAAGGTCCAAAAGCCCATCGTGGCCACACAGTTCTATTCGTTTCATGGAGTGTAGTAGAAGCTCAAATGGGCTTAATGGTCACTGCTCCAAGCACGACTGCGCTCATTAGTGGTGCTTCCGGCAATAGTCAACCCAGAGCATTCAGGGAAGGGTTTCGCCAACGCCCGCCTTGTTATGCTAAATCGGTAATGGTCGATTATCCAAAGCTCCAAGGCTCACGACATAGATCAAATGTAAATTCTTGAATGTACACGTTCGACGAATCCGTTTACAAAATGTCTTTCAATAGGAATCTAACCTTCAACATAGTCTATACCACGCTTACATTCTATAGCTCAATGGAGCAGACCACAGTTTCGACAGGTTACTCAAAAGGCATGCCAAGTTACTCGAGGGAGCAGTAAACTCCCTCGGATGGGGCTGAATTAAGGCCCGCCACCCGTCAGCCCATCAGCAATGCTTGGCATCGCTGAAGATGAGCTGGGGATATCCAGAAAGCATTTGGTGAATGCATCGCATCATGAGAAAAATTCATGCAGGCGTCTTGAAGGTTATCACCAACTTCCAGTTTTTCCAGTCACTCTTCCCCCTCATATGGCCTAGTTGGACATACCTTCAGTGGATGGACCATTTGGGTGTGCCCCATGAGGGGAAAATACAAAGTACCAGTCTCCCGTGTCGAGCATGATCTGCATGATCTCCACGGGTGACCGGGTACATCCCTAGGCGGGGAGAGTGGGCGGGTGGGATGTGAGTGAGGTGGTTCACCTCACTCGCGGAACTTCTTCTTTTTGTAATTATTTTTTATTTAATATAATCTCTTATATGTGGAAGCCTCTTTAATCAAGATCCTACTTATTTTTGAATGATCATTATTACTAAGAGAAGTGTAGAGGGTGTCTGATTATTGGGTACGGCATCGGTTAAGACCGAGCCAGCCTCTTAAGGATGTACTCGAGCATCGTGGGATGGCGATGGAGCATGATAGTGAAGTAGATAGGGAACTGGAGGCCGAGGGTTCGATACATGGAGCGGACAACCGGTCTTATACTTAATTTGCGTTTTATTGAATCTGCATAATCTGGAAAAATCCCCTCGATTGACCTCTGTTTGATGCTGAAATCATATTATTCTGGGTATTCTATCAATTTTGAATGCTCCTTTATTTGGTCGTCTCAATGACATCCCCCAGCAACGCAATTCCCAGCTTCGCCTTATCCAAGAACTTCTCCTCGTCGGCGGCAATCTGCGCAGCGGCATCGGGTGCATAGATCTTGGCACCGAAGGCTTGGAACGCAGCCTGGTCGGCAAAGGTAAGCTCGGCGTAGGCATCAAAGTCAAAGTCCGCCTGTTGTCCGACGATCACCGTGGCGGGGGTCAGGGCATTGCGCTCGCTTGCACTCTCGGCGGCCACCTCGACGGTGTTGCGAGCGATGTAGCTGCGCTTGTGGGAGAGAGGGAAGTCGTCGCCGGAAAGACGCTTGATGAGGTCGACGTGGGCCTCGTAGTGTGTCTTGAAGTCCTCGAGGGAGAGACCGGGCTTGCGGTAGGCGTAGATGAAGACCTTGACGGACATGTTGATGGGTGAAAGATTGAAAGATGGAGTTGGATGTTTGATGTTTTGAGAGACTTTGAGACTGAGGATTGATTGTGTCCGTTGTTTGGTGGAAAGGGGAGCTTCGGGAGCTGGTTAAATAGAGGATGAGTTGGTGTTGTACCTCGAAGAAAGTACACAAATTCAATCTGCTCCCCTCTGTGGATGTGATCACAAAGCAACAAGCAAATGTGGGGGCCAAAGGGGTAGCTGCGTTAGATGCGGGGGCCAAAATAGCTCCCAAGGCACTCGGGTGCCGTCATGTCTCCGGGCCGAGTGGCAGAGTCGACTGGTCCTGTTCGGGTATCCTGGTTCCTTGCAGCTCGTGATACTACCTCACAGCTTTCACAGCCCCCAAGGCATGCTCGTCGCGACACACTTGACTGACTGTACGGAGTTGATTTCCGGACTGTACTCCTCGGATGCATGCCATATCTCCGTCTGCCCATAACTGGCCCCCAGACTGATCTATGTTTGGGGGCTGACTGCCGCTGATCTCAAAGACGGAATGTCAAGTGCCGATAACGAGTATATCCACGACATTGAAACTTTCAATACCCATGGCCATACCCGTTTGAACAGCGAAAGATTACCACACCATCGCTGCGTCATCTGTTGGATCAACATCGTTCTCCCCGGCCCCCGGACCCCAATTACTATCATCTACCCGCCGCAGCAGTCGGCATGGATTATCCGGCCGCTGTCATCCTGTCGGAGGATTGTACGTTCGTGGACAATCTGATGGACTGGCAACATGGGACTGTGGGCTAAATCCGTCTCTCGGGTCGGGAAATCTTGGCCATTGGCGACGTATATAGATGGACGGTTCGGTCTAATTTGAAGCCATTGACCGTCAATCATCAAACTTACTTCTTTTTGTCACGATGTCTGGAAAGTCTGTCGAAAGTGCTGCTATCAACTCATTTCACAGGCTTCTCGACTTGCATCGTCAAGAGATAGATGCATCGCTACGGTTGCTTGAGATTGTCCGATATCATGCATATACTCTTTGGCTCTTCTGCTTCAATGATCTCAAAACGATGGTCTTTCCGAGTATTGCCTTTGCATTCTTTCATTCAAGCCACCTATATGGGACAATATTCCTATCTCGTCTACCTCTGATGTTTGCCTACACCTGGTTCAACCTCCTCGGTTTCACAGTCAACAACCAGCGACATCCAGGCTCGGTAGCTGAGGACAAGCTGAACAAACCATGGCGACCCATTGCAGCTGGCCGCCTGACTACGACGCAGGCGCATACCTTGGGCCTGTGGTCTCTTCCAATCGCCTTGGCTGTAAGCGCTCTCGTTGGGGGTGGCGTGGTCCAGAGCGCACTCTTAGCGATATTCGGCACTATCTATAACGACTTTGGGGGCGGTGATGGCCACTGGCTTGTTCGAAATTTACTCAATGCGGCTGGATTTACCTCGTTTGCCTCGGGTACGCTTGAAGTGGCCTTGCAGTCGTCTCTCCCTCGATCGATGATCCCATGGATCTTCCTCATCGCCCTGGTCGTTGGCACTAGCGTTCATGTCCAAGACATGTACGATCAACCCGGTGATGCTGCGGCGGGTCGACGCACCCTGCCATTGGTGATCGGTGATGAGATGGCTCGGTGGAGCATCGCCATTGTGGTCACTGCCTGGAGTATCTTATGTCCGCTCTACTGGTCTTCCGATCTGGTTGGATATTTGGGTCCATTAGGGTTGGGACTTTGGGTGAGTTCACGCTCGCTGAGGAAGCGGACGGTCAAGGAGGACCGAACCACATTCCGGATCTACAACGCTTGGCTTGTAGCGCTGTATGCGCTGCCGATGACCTATCGATATAGAATCTCTGTATGAATGCTTCCAGCGAGCCCGCCAATTGGTCATGGTTATCTATATATCAGTTCTCTACTTTAGCTTTGCCCTCAATGCAATTTTTCATCCTTCGACCCTCTGTCAGAACCAAGTTCAATCCTACGAAGATCATTGCGGGACAGCGCGTTCGACTCAAGGGAACATTTACTTTCTGGCGTATCCACCAGTCATGATTGGCTTGAAAGAGGTTTATCAAGCCCGCTTCGTAGGCTAGTACCGAATCAGATTGGGGCTTACTTTTGAGGTTGGGGGCGCTGCCGCCTAAAGGCTTGCATGCACCAGCGCCTCGGCCCTATTGGGTTGCCTTAGCTGCGGATGGTTCCACAAGGCAAATTGCCAGCTTGGTGATTCGTTCTCGGCTTGGGTTACATTGACGTCTTCACTACACATTATACCCTGCAGGATTCTAAGTAAAGAAAGTCGCGCGCGCAGTCGGGCTCGCACTTGTTGCAATCAACCAACGGCCCACGTACCCCGCCTGGGACTTGATCTAGAACAGCGGATGCGAATAGGAAATTGGAAAAGACTGGATGAATGGAATACAAGGCATTATAAATTTTTGGGAAATGTATTCGAAACAATGGCTCGTAGTGATTCATGGGAAAAAAAGAAAGATTGTGGTATTGTATTTCCGTTCCACATCCAGGCGTGCTTACACCCGGTTATGCGGGTCAGACTGCACCTCATATTCACGCCACACGGCGATCTCGCCTTGTCTGACTTTGGCCGGTGTCAGGGGCGGGACTTGGTTGGATATTTCGGTATACTGCATGTTTTGTCGCTTGTCCCAGCCTGACCCCAATGCCATCTCAGTGCTACCTTGGCTATCGCTATGTTGCCGACTGTGCTTTTGAGATGAGCCATAAGAAATGTGGTTGGGTTTGTAGACATAACGCTTGTCGAAACGGCGGCGGCGCTCTGGGAAAATCACCGGACCAAGCATCGGAACGCAGGCGACGATGATCCCGACAGCCATCTCTGCTACGGTAAGAATTGCACTATCCGCAGTGCAGTATGTAAAGTCGAGTAAGCTGCAGCGTAGGACTTGGATGATGCGCGCTAGATTGATGGCGGCGATGCTGTACCACGTTAGAGGATGCAAGGCGTCAGCAAGATGAGAAACAATCATACCCCAGACTCAAACCAAACGTGGCTATCACGGCAGCCTTTTTTTGTTTGCTCATATGCAGACCCCAGATCACCGGCACGGGCAGCACCACGATTCCGATGTCGAGGGCCATGTTGAATGCAGCTGCGGCTAACTCGGCCGTTCCTTCGTCGCCGCATTTTCCTTGGATATTGAGGTCCCAGTTGGAAACGATTGGGCGACACATCGCCAAGGTTGTCGTGATACTGCCTATAAAAAATAGGCACACGATGGTCATAGCACCGTAGGCACAGTACTGAAAGACCTTGGTGGGGAAGGCTTGGACGTAAAAGTCCAGAATAGCCAGTCGGAAGCTGGCGATTGAGATAGCCCAGAAGAACTGTGATGAGAAGAACGCCTATATGTTTCCAATTAGCAAATTCCCGCGGTCGCTCCTCTGTGGATCGTACCTTCAGTCCGGTCTCCATTGTTGGTATCGGGACTTGAAGCCGGTGGAGTCCGATTCCGCCAGCAATTGTTCCTGTCAAAGTCAGCCTTGATAATGGGGTAATGGTAAACCAAGGATAGGACTTACCAATAAGCAGACAGATGGTGTACGCAATAAGCATGACCAGCGATACAATGCACAGAACATCGTGGATTTTGATTTTACGATGGACAACCTTCATAGAATAGAAGCGAAGACCCATGGCGATCACCGCCAACAGGTCTAGCACCGCAAAACATACGATCACTGTGATCTGCTTTGACACGAGGGCAGCCATGGCGAGCAACGATCGATGCGATGACTTGGATTCTGTAAGACCAGAGTCAACTCGAGAGAGACACGTTCTAAGCCCGAGATAAAGTATTCAGCCGAGCTGCAAACCATTTCTCCGAGCAGCTGTTTTCCCCTCCCCATGTAGCCCCCAAGAACCCGTCATAACCCCCGCCAAAAGACTGGCATTCCTGCATTCTTCCCAGCACTCGGTGATTGCAGCTGCATGCATGGGCCCGGGGCCAAGGCAGCCCGTGTTACACTTGTTTTAGCCCCCAACGAAAATAGGTCAGAAGTAGCTTTGAGTGACTCTTCAGCTATCGACGAAACTGATGTCACTTACCAAATCGTGCCATTCGTCGATGATCAATTTGGAATGGGTACCTAAGTCACAGCCCGCCGCGATGGGGCGAAAGGTCAAGGTCGTGCTTCGCTCCCGTTGCCAAGTCCAGTTAGTGACTCGGCCAAGGCAGATCTTTTATGGCCCGTGTGATTCATGGACAGTCTGCAGAGTCGACTTGCAGACTCGCTGGCCCCCACAAGCAGCCCCCACAGGCCCACCAGCCCCTCATTCGTCCACTTATTAGACTTGGCCCAGTTGAGTCCGGCCGATTGAATGTACTTTGATATCACCAACGGGCAGTGCTGGGATATTATCTGCAACCTCAAATACCAACTGAAAATAGATCCCAGCAGATATATTTCGCATGCTGTGCCTGCTTCAGGTTAGGCGCCATGCGTCTCTCCGTTGCATTCGGGAAAATTGGCACCTCGTGGGGGCCTTGTGGGACCACGCCATACTGTAGGGCTGCTCGGTTGGGGCCGTTCATGTCCAACACTAATGATCCTCAGGTTGGCCAGTGCCATCTCAGGCTCATTAGGGTGCTGATGACGGCGCGAAGGAGCGTACTGACATGTGAGAGTATTGTCTAGTATTCATACAAACCAATACCGCCCCCAGAAGAACATCAGCCAACAGCGCCTAATTGTTCGTAGTGTTGGATCGCAACGACCTTGTGGTACACTTGGCTCACGGAGGGCCTCTAAATATCGACCTAGGAACAAGCCGAATGAAGGGAGATCACCGAGACTTTCATTATATGCAGCCTTTGAGGACTTAATTCGCACGCATTCCACTTCTCTGCAACCGCAAATTATTCCCTCTTTTCAATTTGTTGAGCTACAAGTCCTATCCCACCATGTCTTGGGAAGAAAATCTTGCAGCAACAGCACTTGGTGTATTTGCTCATCTGGGAGTTTTCATTCGGGGAGAGTGGCATCTTCGAGCGCCCAGTGTTGTTGCCTGCCATGTGGCTGCTCTCGCCACGGGCATCTCCTTGCATACCCTTAAACGCCCCGAAGCCGTAGGTGTCATCGCCGTATGGTGGCTACGATGCTTTTCATACTATCTGTTAGGCATGTTTACCAGCATTGCTGTCTATCGTCTGTTCTTCCACCGCATTCGACACTTCCCCGGTCCTCGAGCTGCAGCCGTCAGTAAACTATGGAGTGTATACCAGTGTCGGGATTCGCGCAACCACCTGTTGCTGGATGGATTGCACAAGAAGTATGGCAACTTTGTGCGAACGGGTCAGTACATGATTGATGCATTCTTACAGTAGGGAGTCAATCTCACACCAAAAGCAGGACCTGGTGAGATTACCATCTTCCACCCTAAAGCATGGGAGGCCATGGACGGAGCTGGCAATGCCAACATCCGCTCCGATTGGTACGATATCGTCCACCCACGTATTTCGCCCATCTTCTCTCGGAAAGTAGAAGATCACACAGAACGACGTAAAGTGTGGAGTCGAGCACTATCTACAAAATGTGAGTTTCATAGAAGCTCTCCGTGATTTGCAACTAGCAACTAAATGTTCGCTTAGCAATCCGAGAGTACCTCCCTCGCATCCTGCAACAAATCGGAACGCTAGAGTCAATCATTGCGCGTGCGAGTGCAGACGGCGAGCCAGTAGTACCAAACGATATCATGCAATGGTTCGCTTTTGATTCCATGGGCGAATTCGCATTCAATGAGAATTTTAGTATGATGAAGACGAAGACGTGGCACCGCGCTATTATGCAACAACGCTCTGCACTCGCCATTCTCGGTTCTCTGAATCACACTGTCTGGGCCATTCGACTGGCTTTTGCCTTTTTGGGCCGCTTCTGGCGCGTCAAAGACTGGATGGGCATGATCTCATTCTGTGACCAGTGCATGGAACGGCGACTGCAAACGGAGGCTACCCAGCCCGATATTGCTTCTCACTTCATCAAGGAGTTCCATGAAGGTAGGAATGAACAGAATTGGGTAACAAAAAAGCAATTACTGAGTGGAAACACCGTTTCCGTGATTGTGGGCGGAAGGTATGTTGATCCTGAGACTTGGATTGTACAGAAAGTCATGCTCACTTTGGATAGCGACACGACCGGCCCCAGTCTCATCCTGTTGTGGTACTTCATGGCTTTGTATCCCGAGCAGGCGGAGCGCGTATACCAAGAAGTCAAGGACGTTGATCCTTCCGATATCAATACACTGGCAAACCTGCCATGTCTCAATGGCTTCATCAATGAGAGTATGCGGCTTATCCCCGCCGCGCTCACTATGGGTACACGCGTGACTCCCCCAGAGGGCATGACAATTGACGGGACGTTCATTCCTGGCGGTATCAAAGTTGCAGCGCCAAAGTATACAATTTTCCGAAGTACGTTTGCTAGACATCGCCGGCTTCAAATTTGACAAAGCTCACCCATATACCTCTACTCTAGTGGAAAGTGCCTTCGAAGATCCCCTGTCCTTCGTTCCAGAACGCTGGTATAGCCGACCGGAAATGATCCGCGACAAGAGCGCCTTCGCACCTTTTGGTGTTGGTACGTTTCTATTTCCGAGACCCATTCATCATTCACTCTCTAATTCGCATGTCTCTAGGTCGCCGTGTTTGTGTTGGAAAGAATCTAGCCCTTACCCAGATTCGTCTTGTAGCTACGATCTTACTCTCCCGCTATCGAGTCCGATTTGCGCCCGGCGAAACTGGGGAGGCTGTGGAGCGCGATATGCGAGACCAGCTCACAGCGCAGCCTGGTCGTTATGCAGTAGTCTTTGAGCCAAGAAGTCAGATGGCCTCGGCATGAGATTGAAAAGCATAGTCAAAGATCCTTAGAAATAGAGGAGGCTGAAGCCTAGCTAGGCCTTCCTTTCTAGCTCCCGTCTCACAATCGTTAAACTATCAGTGTACATATATAACGGCATGGTAGGGATTATACAGATGTTGGATGTACTCTCTGCTACGACTTAAGGTACGTGCGTCAGTTTTTATACTATACACGAGGCCATCAGGTCATAATGCTTCCAACCCTTCCCGGGCAAGCCTCTTTCGCATTGCCTGCCACTCCACCCAAGTGACGCCTTGCAATAGACAGTCCGCTAGATCATCCAGCTTCGTAACTGCACTGGTGGAGTCTGTGGCAGAAGATTGCTTTTTACTCGTCCTTTCACCACGCCATTTACGCAAGTACGCACCCGCGAGATCATGAACTGCAGGTTTATCTGCCGCCAGACAGATCTTTCCGTCCACCGTGGTGCGGAGGGCCTCCCCGTCTGCAAGGATAGCTCCATCTGGAGAGCCGTTGTTCTCGAGAGAAGCACCCAACCACCGCCCTACGAGGTCAATTTTGGCCTTCTTGACTTCTCGTGCACTAACTCTGCCTTTTCTAGTACCTTCCTCGACCTCTCGGCCGGTATCAAGATCAATGTCCTCCCAATATCTGACCACTCGCTTTGGTTCAATACCCTGCACTTCAAGTCCAGCGAGACCACTCCCACTTTCCTGTCGGAGCGTGTGTAGCACCGCATGTAACATACCCTCCAGCACGCCAACACGTATCGTCCACTCTTGCACGGCACTCCCGCCACCGGAGCGGAACCGCTGGCGTTCGATCAATACATGAGTAGGCTTGTAGGCAGAAAGAAGGGAGGTAATCAATGTATAAGCCATTGCAGCGTACAAAGCTGGCGAGAACGCCTCCTTCAAGCCCGCTGTCAGCTCGGTCTCGACAGGCTGCGTGGACTCAGACATGAGTCCAGCATTGCCCATACCATCCGCCTTCACACCCGTACCCTCCAAATCCAGCTCTCCAATTTCGGAGACTTTCAATCGATGCCAAGCCGTGAGCACCGGTCTCGACGGCGCCCGCGCCGTCGTCTGCGTGACGGAAGCCCTCGGCACGCGCAGGTGTGCGAACGCGAGATTCTGAATCCCCATATCGATACTCAGCACGCTCCAGTCATCACCTGTCTTTTCTCGTAAGGGGACAGCTAATTGCTGACATAGCGCTGCCTCAATGCGCGCCGTGAGCACGCTTTTCGTTCCAGAGGATTGAATCCCCGTTGCACGCGCGATGCGCTGGAGTTGCGCGACCTTTAGCGGTGCGAGCCAGGGAAATTGAGACACGGGGGTACGAGACGTGCGTAGAACTGTGGTGAGACGCATTTCATCGCCTCATCTTAGCCCCCTTCTTGGACTAAGGGGGTGTGGGTGGGCGAGGTAGACTTGCTGCACGGGGGCGAGATGTTTTGCTTTTTCCCTTTGCGGGAGACTGAAATGTCAGATGGAGATACAGATGGAGATATGAGCCGGTAGCGAGATTAGGTTGTGGATACGATGATGGCGCAATACAGGATAGTTCTGACTTCGGACCGGGTCCTAAGGGGAGTCTGCGAGGCGCGCTCTCAAGCCTTCCTTCGATCGCAACCGGCTTGCGGGGCTGTCGAGGGCCCCCTTCGGCAGGTCGCGGCGTACGGATTTGACGTACGGGCGCAACCCATTTGGGGCTAGTGCACCGAACGCCAGTTCGCAGCCACCATGTCTATTCTGATGCGTCTCACACCTTATCCGTTCTGGAACTCTTGTCCACTTACGTTACTCTACTCGAGTCGCGTTGCTTACTCCTTTGTTTAGGTGACACGCAGCTAACCTCACTTCACTTCGACCGCCCCACACGAAAGGTGCGTCCGACTAAGTACCAGCATCACCCACGAGTTAGGAACCCATCTCGCTACCTTTTTAGCAAGAAATCCTGCGCCAAAACGTACGGATTCTCATATCTTCACCTTTATTTCCCAGGTTCCAACTTTACCTGAGGAGCGTGGTAGTTCGAAGCGCTCAGCTCCGCAAGCGTTACCCTACCCATAGGACTGGGTATTCGACATCTCGGCGCTGCGGAAAGCCTTGCCTTCGCAGCAGATAACGCGGATTCTATCGTGCTTCGGCTGCAGACGAATCTCAGTCTACGCAACCCTTGGCAGATCTGCTTCAACTTTAATCACCCCCTCACGTTTCAGACTCTTGCAAAGAATTCAAGAATTCAAGAATTCATATTGACGCTTCTTGCTAATATTATCAGCGGCTATTTATGGTAGAACCGCGTGAACTTTGCTTATCTATCTTCATTAAGCCCTATGCGTATTTAGGTGAAGTAGATAGCTATCAAAGACTTTAGAAAAGGCTTTAGAAGAGACCTTGGAAAAGATTTTTGAAATGACCTTGAAAAAGACCTTGAAAAAGACCTTGAAAAAGACCTTGAAAAAGACCTTGAAAAAGACCTTGAAAAAGACCTTGAAAAAGACCTTGAAAAAGACCTTGAAAAAGACCTTGAAAAAGACCTTGAAAAAGACCTTGAAAAAGACCTTCGTAGAAAAGATCTTGGAAAAGACCTTAGGAAAGGGTGATGCTCATGTGTCGTTGGGTCAACTTCTTGGTCACGTCTTTCGAAGGGAGTTTGTAGCCTGGCTCTACCCCTTGCTGTAGGCGAAGATACACGGAGTCGTCTTTGTTGAAGAAGATTGGCTGGTGCCGGCTGTCGTGGCGCTTCTTCATGACCATTGCCGCGTACTTGGTGCATTCGTCGGCATCCTGGCGTTCGGCCTGAGGTGACCCAACGACGGCCTGCCGGAGGAGGTTCCACGGCATGCGGAGGTCAACACCGAACATCTGCCGGTGTGGGCTCGCGCCTGTGGACGCGTGCGGCGAGGAGTTCAAAGATGCCTGCATTGGTGCGAGGCCCTCGTCCCAGTCGGCATTCCGGTGCTTATTTTGCCAGTGTCGCCAGTACCAATCGAAGGGCAAGCAAGACCTGGCCTACGCCGAACTGGCTTCCCTGCCAGGCTTCCACGGGAGTGTCTGCAAGGTGGTAGGAAGGAACGTAGAATAAGGGGTCGTTCCTTATTAGGACTAGTCTTGTCGTGCCACAGACATTTCTGTCGTGTCTTTAATGCCATCCTAATTCTATTTGAGCTACCCTCAGGCTAATACCATATCTTGGAGAGAGCTATCTCAGCAAGGCCGGTATCAATAAGAGCTTTGATTAAGCGATGGTTTCTCAAGGCTTAGAGTGTCCCGAGAATGGAACGTTCTCCTTCAAAATAGATGAAGGGCCTGCGTGTCGCTCTCGCTCTTGCCCGAGAGATTGACGGCGGTTCGTGCTTGTCAGGTCCGAAATGAATGTGACTCCGGGATAGCCAGCGATATTCGCAAACAGCGTATGCGCGCTTTGGAAAATCAGAAGAGTCGAGGTTGTCTGGTAGACAGCGTCAAGCTCCATACTATATCCACGTGGAAGGATCTGGATCCACGTGATTAACCTGTCGATCTGTTCCTGGCTCATATCCTCAACGATCCGAACTGAAAGGTCAGAGATATATAGATTTCGTTCACTAAGAATCTGGGTGTACTGGGATACCAAGGTCGCCTTGGATAAAATTGATCAGTGAGGGATCGTGTAGGTATGAAGGGAGGAAAAGTGAGGTTGGGTGTAGATCAGAAGATATGGACTTCGAAGAATATATGATTTGGGGGGTAGAAGTCGTTCGTAGTCCTGGGTAAGTTGGGAGTCGTTAGTTTTGATCCCGCCGATCAATGCACGGGCCGAGTTGCCGCACCCATCGATTCGCCTGGTTACAGTGTACCGAGGACTATAGGGGGGAGAAGGCCATAACCCTTTGTCCGCAATGACAGAATGAGTAGAATCTCATATTTAGGATCCTTTCCCCCAATATAATCTACGTATATAGTTATCTTATTGGTGTTTAATATTTTCCTATACGGTTTCCTAGACGCTTTCCTAGTTAATCTCCACGATGATCTCCTTGTGATATACTGATAGTAAGCATGAAAATGTACTTAGGGCGGAAGAAAAGCGGTGAACGGTCTGAGAGAAATTCAGGGTTATGGCCTTCTCCCCCTATAGTCCTCCCTATACAGTGGGAACGATCTTTTTCCACGCGGGAAATCTGATATGATCAGACATTATTGATCGGATCTGGTTTGGATAGTTTATCAGAAAGTGTGAGAATTCTGGTATGTATTTTTCCGGATCAGATTGAGAGTGCAGTATACTAAATCGGGCATATATACTCGACAAGAAGAAAGAAACCGGACAGATAAAAAAAACGCCATAGTCTATATCCCAAAGAAGACAAGTCAAGCCAAGCCAGTTCCAATGCTATGGTCCTATCCGAGGCAACTCGCACGAACGCCTTGCTCGGTACTGGTGCCTGGCCATGGGCCTATGGGAAACGCCATAGTAACAATGATGCAAAGCGCTGAAAAGCAGATCAAAAGATTCCGAAGAACAAAATAAACCAACCAAAAATTGCATACTTAATAGGACAGATAATCAATCCCAGACACTGTCGGTGAGTCTGTGGGGTGTGAAGTGTGAGATGTCTATATGAAAGCTGACGGCTCCGGCCTTGAGTCGGCGGTATCGTCTCGCAGATATAGAAGGGATGCCCAGACACGCCAGTGCAGGACACCTATATGGCCAAGACGCATGCCGATACGTTCAATATCATATTGTTGTGCGGACATGGTCTGGGTTGAGGATGAGGCTGAAGATGTCGAAGGAGTAGGAACTGCAGACGACGACGGGGGGTTGGGTGCAGGACCATTCGCAGTAGATGGTGGAGGTGCCGTGCGCTGAGACTCACAGATGGCTAGTGGCGAGAGTGGTAGGTATCTCCGAGCAGAAGCGAGCGTCGCGGTGAGGACCCTGTCACGCATGGTATTTTGGAAGTAGCGGAAAAGCTCGGACTCGTTTGACAGGTGCCACAGGAGGGCCTCCTCAATCGGAGCAATCACCTCATCAGCAACGACGACGTCCAGGCAGCACGCAGCACAAGCAAACCGAGCAATTTCCAGTGCGATGCAGCGCATGTTCTGCAGCCAGCGCTTGCTACCCCGTAGATCAGGGTCGTCATCTGCACTGGGACTCCGCCCATCCGAGCTCAGCTCATCCTCCATGAGTGACCAGATACGCGAGCGGAAAGTGGAATAAGTCTCATCACGAGCAGAGAGATACCGTTTCTGGGTGTGGACATATGACTCAAAGATGTACCACGCAATCTCAAGATTGATAAGGTTCTGGATGGTCGAGCGTAATTGCCACAGCCGGTCTGTGTCAAAGAGAAATGTCTCCGGGTAGTCCGCCGGCGGATTGAACTGGAGAAGCTGGTCTGAGATCCCCCGGAACAGGGCTTCGAGGGGCTTGAATGTATCATCAGATTGTGTTGCTGTTGGGCCCTTCGCCTCATCTTCTTTCTGGGCCCGTTCCCGTGCTGCAAGATACCAGATCCTGGCGGGCTCGACTTGGAAGCTACCACGGCTGATTTTGCCTTCAAAGTACTCTTGCAAGAATGGGACCGTGTCCTCAATTAGAAGAACACGGAATGTCCGTATTTGGTGATTAGCCACATCCTGGACGCCTTGTTAGCTGTTTGAATTATAAGAACGAGGATTGACTAGTTCTTTCTCACCAGTTTCATAGCCTCCAAGATAGCAAATAGTGTCTGCAGCCCATTGACAATCTCCTTTGGTTCCTGCGACTGCGAGCCCTCAGTGATCTGCTCCACCATCCGGTCCGCCCATTCATCACGCATCGGCGCGCAATGCGTCTTCAATAAAGCCGCCATCCATGTTGCCAGTGCCACCATATCGAGAACACCCTTGCGGACTTGTTGCATGAGCAGGGGTACTTCGAGGTTCTCCATGACGCTTGGATGATCACGCTCTGGGACAAGAGTTTTGATGACTTCTTGTAAAGTTTCAAACATGGCAGGTAGTCGGGGCTCGAATGTGCGCTTCGAACTGCCATCCCGAGGACTCATCTCATCCACATCGTCATCGGGGTTTGCGGCCCGATATGCGTAGATTGAGATTTCCATAGCCATAGAATCCCAGTAGTCGGCAGCCTCTTTCCGTTTGCGCTTTCCTTTTTCGCCATCTAGATCGGGCTTGAAGTGCAGGTCACGATCGAAGTTGGCGTCCATCCGGAGATTAATATTGCTCATGATACAGGGCAGATCGAGTTCGCTCAATGTCCGCTTCGTTACGGGAGGCTGTCGGCGGGCCTTACAAAGGAGCCGCTGGTTTCGTGAGCCGAGGCCTAGTGCTTGCGGGATACTGATGGCCTCTGGGGAGGGTGATGGGTCTCGTGGCCGAGGTGCAGCGCTAGATGTCGATCCCGATCCCGATCGCGAGGTTGCCCCGGGCTGGCGGGTACCGGGCGGATATGCAAATGGTGGCTGCTGATGACGACGAAGGGTGTTCACGTTGGATGAGCTCTCATGGCTGTGAGAATCGCGCCTCTCATTCTTACGAAACTCTTTTGAACGGCCACTGCTGGCGCCATAGGCATCCAGCGGGCCATCAGCACCCTCCTCCTGTGTACGAGCCTCTTTGGTCCCCTGGAGATCCATGGCCGAGAGCCGTACTCCTTTCCCAGGTGCTACTGGTCTCGCTGCACTCAACGTTAGATAAGGACAATTCTGAACAGAGCAAAAAAAGGACAGGGAGGGCCAGTTGTGGCGGAGGCTGTAGCCCTACGCCAACATCACCCTACCCTCTGCGCACCGGGAAGGGCGATTGGTTGGAGCGAAACAGAAGTAATCAGGGAACAAAAAAAAAGAAAATTGAGCGAAACAGCGGTCCAGCCCCTATGTGTTCATTGACTTACAATGTTATTTTTTTTTCTTCCCACGCGCCCCCTGTTTGCCTCAGGCAGGCAGCCAATCCCGAGTGGCCGACAAAGTGATGCAAGTGAGCTGTCAATTGTAGTGGAGCCAACAGTTGAGCCTTGGATCTGCGGACGATCGGCCTCGTGGTGATGGCGACGGGGAGGTAAATGAGGTACAATTGATGAAGTACAGTAGAAGTGGCTTGAGCGATGAGGATGTGTCTCAATTATCCGACAGACAGAGGAGCAGGATGAAATCGCGGTTCTCAGCCACAGCGCAACAAAATCATACACATACGGTAGGAATCGTTGCAATATTTCGGGATGGGATAACACTAACCCATAGAAAACCCGAAAAGATTGGTCAGTTTAGGTCCAGAAAAGCCGTGGAGAGCAAATCAAGAGAACGAAACAGAGAAAGAGGCCAAGAAAACCGAGGGGAATCGGAAAAGCGACCGAGTTGGCCTGATATAGGCGCATCGTGGTGAATTGTCCTCCCAGTGTTGACCGTGGTAACTCGCTGTCGAGAGCAAACGTTTTCGACCGATTGAATCCGGGCAGACGCAAGCATCCACGGAGATCAACAGTGGTCCTCGCAGCTTTGGGGGGAAGGGAAGAGCGAGTAGTGATGGATCGGGGGGGGGGGGGGGGGACGATCAGAGCTCACATTCCAATCGTTCCAAGGAGACTGCTGCTACCCGCTTCCAGTGCCTCCTCGAGAGACACACTCGGCAGACGCTCCATCACATCGAGTCGCTTCCCCTATTTCCATTACCGATCGTGCGGATCGGCAATCTGGGCTGGGGATGGTTTGCTTCTTTGCCCCTTTCACGGTGTATAGTTCGGGAGGGGGCCGATTTTAGGGCTTCCCTTCCCTCCAGATTAACCATTCATCGTCAAGACCATTCGACCCCCTTTCACGCCTCACTTTGAGACGCACCGGCCACGTGAGATACTCGCGCCCCGAGATCTCGGAGAACCACTGGCTCAGCAATGGAGAACTGCAGCCAGTTTGGTGATGAGACCAGGATATACTGTTGGTGGAAGGGAAGACGGATTTGGGTCGAACAATTGAATGTTCACTTTGCTGAACGGTTACTCCAAGTTGCAAAAGAACGGAAAGTATGGAGTACCACAGGAGTGGAGCTTGGGGACTTTGGGCGGGTGGATTCAGCAAGTGAGAACGTTCGAACCAAGTTTAATCCGCAAGGGTGTGATCACCGAAAAGGTGGGGCCCCTACGGATGCGGTGTATTGGTGGCCTCGACACCTGGACACCTGGACACCTGGAAGGATGAGAGCCTTGTCGCCCGATTTACCAGGCCACAAATTCAGGCGAAATCATCCAAGACAACCACTTCTATTCAACGCCATTCTAGGAAATTTTCGAAACTTGCCGGACACATTTAATTTCCGATGTACCAGAAGCTGCCACTCCCTTTTTATGCTGTTTCTCGTCATTCCAGCCTTCTTCGGCCAATTGCTCGGTCAGCCTGTCGCTTTCCAAGGACCACCCGCTCTATTCACACCCAAATTAGGAAAGATGGCGTCCCGCTCACTAAGAACTTCCCCCCACTAGCCATCATCGCCATGGAGGGGACAAAGCATTCAAAAAGGAAGGGTCATGGCTCCCTTACAGCCGTCTATGTTTGATAATTTCTTCCTGCAAGATATCAAAATCAATTATTCGATCCGTCGTCGCTGTTGAACGGCGATTTTTGCTAGAGAACTCGTAGTTCTACGAGTATAGCTCCGGCGTCGCGATGAATATCGGCCCTTTCTTGTTCTTCATTCAACTTCTATGGTCGATCCCACACTTGCCAATATTCAAGTCGACTAACGCATCTCGCTTCAAAGTTCGCTCATTACCAGATAGTCCGGCTCTGCCGACTAGCTGGGCCGGACGATTGCCAGTGCCGGGAAGAAAAGATGGGAACGAGATCTTCTTCTGGCTGTTCGAAGCAGAGAATAAAGCATACGATGATACATTCATCAGTAGGTTGATCGGACATGTTCAATTCGGCTAATGAGACCCCTGCTAACACAAGATCTTGGTTGTATAGTTTGGTTCAACGGCGGACCAGGTTGCTCGTCGCTAGTAGGACTAATGGGCGGCAATGGTCCTATTTCCTTCGACGGGAATTCAACCTTACTCGAACACAATCCCTACTCCTGGACACAGCTTGGCCATGTCCTATACGTGGACCAGCCGGTTGGCACGGGGTTTTCCACCGCCAGCAATCCTTACCCTGTCACGACTAACGAGATGATCACAGCGGACTTTGTGGCATGGTTGAACGGCTTTTTTACATACTTCCCACACCTCCAGTCCAAAAGAATTCATTTGATGGGAGAGTCCTATGCAGGCATCTACATACCCTACTTCACTGCCGCCCTAGTCGAGAGCAATACTTCGCATCCGCTTGACATTCGCTCCATGTCACTCGGGGACGGATCTTGGGGGAATGCAGCAGCAATGTCCTCTGTTGCAATGGGCGCATACATGCGTTCACAGGCAACAGCACTCAAATTGCCCAGTGACATCCTCTCAGCCTTTAACGCTGCAGATCAGAGCTGCGGTTTCGATGATGTCCTCGCCCAGGCGCAGATCTACCCGCCCAAGGGTAAAATCAATATCCCTGGAAACCCGGAGAACTTCAATTATCGGCGACGTCGGCGGGATATGACGGATGTTCTGAACGCTTCGTGCAGCATATCTCCGAAGACAGTTGCGGATGTGAATGAGTCGATTTTCAACTCAACATGCTACGGTCCATGTGCAACGTACTCCACCGCGATGGACTATGTAGATACTGCTTCCGCTGGCGGAACGGGGATCCCATGCTTCGACGTCTATGACATCCATCATGACTGCAGCACAATTGATACATTGACCCTGATGGCTGAATACTTCAGCCGTGCCGACGTTCAGGCTGCCTTGCACGTTAGCGGTCGCGGGACCTACGGTGCTTGCAACTCGACGATATTGGGTACACTGCTCGGTGCGCCGTCGGCGGTACCCCCGGCGTACTCAATCCTACCAAATCTGGTCACAGAGCGCAGTATCTCACTGCACATCTACAATGGCGAGTGGGATATGTTGCTCAATCATATCGGTACCGAACTGTCTATCCAGAATATGACATGGCGTGGCGCACAAGGGTTCTCCACGAAACCGCAGCAGTTGTTTTATGTCGACGATGCCATGCCAATGAACAGCTCGGATATGACGGGACCAGGAGGGAGGAATGCGACGACTAAAGTGGCCGGGAACTGGGCAGAAGAGCGAGGTGTCTCGTATCATCTGTTTCGGGGGGCAGGGCACAGTGTATTTGCAAACAAGCCCCGCGAGATGTTCGCATACGTTCGTGACGTGGTGGTTGGAGCGAGAAATGGTTGGTAGGAGTTCATTTTCCTCGATGATCTTGGAATGCGTGGGATGGAGAATGATATTGATAGATCAAAACGTTCTTTGCTAGTTTCACTCAAATTTTCCTCGTTAATAATAAGTCTGAACACTTGTAGGTGTGATAATGTGCCATGTAGATGGGTATGATGGGCGATCGGACGATGTCGACAAGAAAAGTACATCAAGATGATAGACCAGAGATCCTTTTTCTGGTTTCAGAAAGAAGTCTTCGTCATTGCCTCGAGAATTCCAGCTTCGTAGTGCTGGGCGTGGATATGGTTGGCAATTGATAGATTGTACTTACAGTCCAAAAGAGTATTCAATGGGGAACTCTAGTGCTTGAAAAACACAAGTATTCATTCTTTGTCTATTTCAAAAAGTGTACTACATCTCCTACAATATATACTAAATCTCTGGAAAGATCGACACTGATTCGTACAATCTCACGGCCTTCATCGGAGTCCCATAGCTCGATACTATTACATCGTCGCACTATACAGAGCGGACCACCACAAGAGCAAGCAAGAAAATTTGATAAGCAGTTATCAGAAGCTGTCAACGTGATTCCAAAAGTTGTAATTGTGAGTTATGATTACATCTTTTGCTTTCAGACAGTGTCGGTTTATGTTCACCGTGAGCCACCATGAGTCATAATGAATCCAAGTGCGGATCCCTTAACGAATCAACCGACCTAGATAGAGCCCAGCGACGTGTTTAGGTAGTTGTCTCATGAGCCAAGAGGGAGTGAACGCTAACATTGTATGAACATGTATAGATAAATATAGAATAAGTGGGCTTGAAGCTTGGTCAAGGATGTGTGGGTGGATATTTTGTAAATCAGAATAACGAGAGTGAAGGGTTTGTTACACCCCCTCTCGTACCTCGAAGGAAGCCCGTCTTGCCCAATACCATCAAAGCACCTAAGACACCGCCCTTCACGGAGACTCCTCGTTCTCAGATTCCTCTCGCGACACACACGCCGGGAGTGGAACTCCCGGCTCTTGCGAATCCGCACTCTAGGCTCTCAGATATTTACCCAATCATTACCCAGAAGACGAAGACAGACATCGCCAAATGGGACGGCGAATGGGCGCCGCTGCGGGACATACACAACGCGAGTCTAGTCGCGCCGACTCGTGAATATACACTTTCTGTCACCGGGACCCTTGAGGATACATATGCATTGTCAAATTTGATTTTTTGATTCCAGGCGTTTTTAATCATCTATTTTACAACCGAAAGTACAAACATATTCTCATATAGGCAATAGTACGTCAATACCAGGTATAGTTTTCTACCGATGGCTGGCTGTGTCCGCTTCGCTCTGTTGCTGAGGAAGGATTTGATCCAGCTATCATTGTAGGGATTTGGGTCAACGCTACGAGCTTAACCCATGGAGCTGTCCGTGTACCTCGGAGATGCGAGATTACCATCGCATCTGATGCATTGACCGGGAGCCGAGTGTGGGTGAAGGGATCCACACCTAGATAAAGAACAAATGCATTCGCTTCGTATAATCATGAAATCGGGATAAGGGAGGAATGAGATGGAGACCAGACTGAATATGGGGATTGGTTGTTCTGGACCTCAAGCTTGAAGATACAGAATTGCCGAACAGTGCGATAACTCGATTATCGGCGAGCGAAGAAAGGTGCCTGATTTGGCATGGACAGGAGTGAATCGGCTCGCTGAAAAACGTCACCCTCGAAGAACTTGTCGCTGTATGCACTTGCCGGGGTAGAGGGTACGGTGGCCTGCGCGGCAGGGCCCAGCGCAGCGCTCAGCGGAGTTGCAGGCACGGTGACCGATTGTGGGGACATGCTTGCAGCCAGCTGATACGCAGTTGAATGAGACCCAATGGCCGAAGTTGACACCGAGGTGTGATGTTGCGAGTGCGGGCGAGGCGGTTGAAGAGGCGGCCCATACAGGTTGCTTGGCGTGTGGGTTGGAGCCATATCTGCGAGATACGACCAAGGAGATGCCTCGATTAGGCGACCCGCTTCGCGACTGGCTTTCTGTACGGGACGTAGTATAATGATAATATCGCCAGGGAGAAGTTGCATGCTCCGCACCTCTCGCATATCGGTTACGAGATCGACGAAAGACTGCATGAAGGTTTTGCACAGTTGCCAAAACTCCCGCTGGTTACGTAGTCCGCCGCCCGGCTCCTTCACCTTCATGTTAGAGAGGCGCATTCCCAGTGCCTCGGATACTTCCAGGCAGAAGCGACACCGGCGGATGAGATTGGTCCAAAGGATTTGAATTCCCTCCGACTCGCGCGATTGCTCTGCCACTTCAAGGCATCGGCTAAATTGTCGCCGAGCGAGTGGGAGTGCCTGGAGAGCCGAGCTGTAGGCGGAAGTGAGTTGATGGAAGATCTTCTCAAATATTCGTTCCTCCTCAATCTCGTCCAGGCCGGTCAGTGGATTAATTCGAGGCACGCCGCCGGATGTGGGAATGGGAGGGAAGGCCTCTCCGGAACGTGGCGTCGCTAAAGAGGACGGCACCGAGGTGTTGATGAGGTTTGACCGACTGCTTGATCGACTGCGTGCGTAATTGAAGGATGGAGTATTGTAGCCGGGCGATCCAGTCGCTGAATGGCTGGTGGCGTTCAATGGTAATGGACCGCCCATTGCCATCTGAGGGTGTCGGATTGTAGTGTCGCTTCGTAATCGCCGTGTTGGGGGAGCTGGGTCGCGAGTCGGGGTGACAATAGATCGTTGGAACCGGTCAGGGGGAGGGCCCTTGATGGGTTCTGGCATGATTGCCTTGGGAGCCGGGGTAGATTTTTGAGGCTGGTACAACGGGATATTGAGGCTAGCACAAGCATTCCGTAGTTCCACCAGACTGCCATACATCATCAACATGAGCGAGCGCACATAGCGCGAATCACCATTTGAGACGATTTTGGCAGCACTGTTCCGCAGCTGTGTTCCAACGTGGGTATAAGCCACGATACATGTCTCACATTCGCGCTTGACGGTCTCCGTGATAATTCTTGCTGACTCGGGACTATCGGGCAGTGAAGTTTCGGCATTCTCGAGGGCTTCATTGAGCCGATCGACGTGGGTGGAAGCATTGTAGAAGACGAGCTCCAGACTATGGCGTCGTGTGTCGTCACGCTGGATCACGTTGATGAGGGTAGAAATATGTGAGTGAATTTGGAAGAGCGCAAACAGAATGCCCTTGGCACTCTCAATAATAGGATCATCAGATACTCGTTCGCCCTTTTGTTCCGGAAGACTTGACATCCGGTTGACCCAGCCGTCTCGTACACGTCGCCGTTCTCGTGGGCTACTCGGGCTTGAAGAGCTACTGCTGCTGGTAGGACCAGGTGCTGTTGGGTGTGCTCGGAGAACAGATCCGTGGCTCAGGCCACGCAAATGACTGTTTCGATATGGCCGAGTTTCGTCCAGCGTCCCCAGATCTGTGTTTTTGCGAGTAATGAGGCCCATACGCTTATTACGAGCTGAGAAAGAAGCCTGAATAATTCCCTCGCTGTTACTTCGGTTGCGTTCGTTGACTGAGTGAGGGTTTACACCGGGCCGCTGAAGACCAGGCATGTGATAGCCTAGGGGTTGTTGGCCAGAGGCCATTCGGAAGTGTGATTTGGCAGGAATTGGTGGTGCCCGCGAGATAGAGGGAGATCGAGATGAGGGTGCCGATCCATCACCAGTGCTTGGGATGACGGGAAATCGACTACTCAATTTCCGTTTCACCGGTACGGGTTTTGGCATATCGAATGAAATGTCGCTGCAGTTTGGAAATGAATTAGCTTCATATGCTTTATGAGATAAAGGTGTGTCAACAAATGAACAAACCTTGTATCGCCACTGCTCTCTGGCTCAGGTGTTGTCGCTTGCTGTCGAGTTCTCAAGAACCTCTTGAGCTCTGCGGTCACCGCGACTTCCTTCTCATTGTCCGTCATATTTGGGGCTATTTCAGCCTCTGACGCCTCCAGTACACGACGGAGAGGATATCGCAGAGGGTTGCCCGCTATTTTGAGAATTTGGAGCTTGTTCATGTCGGATAGCCCAACTGGGAGGTCATCCAACCGATTCTGCATGATCGATAACACCCGTAGCGATCGCAACTTGCTAATCTCATCTGGGAGTGCATTGATCTTGTTCCGACTGAGATCAAGGATCTCCAGCAGAGGTAATCTATAGACCTAAATGATATCAGTATCAATAGCCATAGCCGAGGGAGACTTCAACATACTCCTTTAGGAAATTCACGGAAATTGTTTGCTCGAATATTGAGGTATCGGAGATGGGAGCACTCGGCAAAGCGGTATGGAATATGAAATAGATGGTTGTTCGATAGAGAAAGCCTGAGAAACAGAACCAAAGTCCACTTGGTTAGTTTCGAGTTGCATTGTGCCACGTGTAGAGTTCTAGGGTATAAACGTACCTTTCCACCTCGTCCTTGATAATGTCCACCACGGGCTCCGGTATCCTGACAATATGCGAATGGCCCAGGTCAATAGTAAGCTTCGGCTTGACCACATCCGTGACAGCCTCGCTTCCCGCCAAGGACCGTTTAGTATCTTGAATTCCACTTTCCACAGCACGCCGGGCGAGTTCGATTGTTTCCTCATGCGTCAACAATTTTTGATTTGATGAATGTTTGCCACCACTGCCAGGGTGGTCGCTCATCGCGGTACCCGGTCTGGATCCATCTTCCTCCGTGCGCGGTGAGCCATCATTGTAGGACAACGGAGGGGGAACCAGGGAGTCGGTCGAACCCTTTTCTCCCTCGTCCTCATCCGTCTCACCCCGGTAGCTGCGTGGCCCTTGCACGGTATCCTCTGGTCGGGTCATGGCGGAGAACGTAGTCGATGGAGGGGTTATGAAACGACGACGACGGCAGTGAACGCGCTGTCGATATGTTGATGCGGGATCAATATCAATCAATAGGCGTTCCCAAGGGTCTGGCCACTACCGATGGAGATATTATACCGGCGTGAATAGAACATCGCCGACTGGTAAGCAGTCTCGAAAAGGTGGCAGGTTACCGGTCGTGATTGGTGAGATGGGGGTGTGAGGGAATCGGATCGCGCGCCAACGGTCGAGGGGGGCAGCACCTCTGAACCAGCAAGGAAGTTGTAGGTTCCTGCTAAAAAGTCTTAGGGGCCGTAACTCTTCAACCCGGGGCGTCGTCGTTCAGGTGAAACCGGAGCGCGGGAGCTGCGCAACGAAGCTCGGGGAAAGGCTCGAGGCGGAGGCCAGCCACGCCGGAGCAAGAATGTTATTATTGCGGGAATCAAGGAGGTCTGACGGATCGCCCTGCGGGGTGGGTCGTTAGGACAATGCAGATGCAGTAATAAGACGAAAACAATGGGCGCAGACCAGCTTCAGTCGAGTCTGCAACTGCGACGAAGTTGGAAAGACTGGAAGTGTTGTGATTGGGCAAGAGACAACCTAACGGAGCTGGGCGATCAACGTCTGTCTGTGGGCGTTTCAGCGTTGGCACGGCCCACGGATTGAAATCTGGGGGCCGAAGATCACAAAATGCAGAATATTTCCATGACGTTTATGCGCTCGCGAATCTCGCTCGATTGCAATTCAAGTGTGACAAGTACCTACATAGTTTGAGAGTTGAACTGAGAAAAGCCACGAGCAGATCCTATTCTTGAGACAACGGCGTATTATTAGCCTGTGGATTTGGACCGGCTTCACATGGTCAGTCAATACAATCTAACATACGGGTCTTCTTTGCAAGAGACCTGAATAGTATGGCAAGAAGTGAATCTCTGTTATAAAAAAAAAGGCTATGGGAATACAGTGTCCAGCAGAACTAATCAAATAATATACATGACCATCAACACGGGAAGTCTGGCATTTCAATCCAGCTCCTTCCCAGACAAGCAATGCAAAGCAGGGTAATGACTCTTGGAGATCAAAACCGATCACGTTTTCTTCTAGACCGGTACAGTCTCGGGCTGCTCGATGAAAGTCTCCTCCTGCTCGGCCTGCTGCTCAAGCGCGAGCTCCGGGGCCCCGGAGAGCGCAGCTGACCGTTGTTCAAACATTTGGGCCTCTGTCCGAGCCCAAGCCTTCCACTTCTCATACTGCTGGTTCTCCAAGTCCATACCGATCTCCAGGTACGAAGGACCGAAGTTGGCACCGGTGGCCTCGGCCTCCTCAGCAGCAACCCGACGTTCGATGTCCTCCTGTAGTCGCAGGCGATAGAATTCTCGACGTGCGGTATCGTATGCGTTGCTCTTGGTCATATCGGGTACATTGTTCAGAAGCCAAAGCTGACGTTGGACGACACTAAGAAGAGAGAAAGGACGCGTTAGTAAAGGAATCTCGTATTTCCACGCGAAGAGTGGCCTGCATCCGGATATGGATTTCAGAATCTGGAAAAAATGTCGAAGCAAACGTACCTTTCGCCATCCAGTCTCTTTCCAGGCTGCTTTATCCGGCTCCAGTCGTAGTTTTCGTGGTCCTTGCCGGTGCTCTCAAGCAGCACGCGAGGCCGAGCAAGCTCCCAAGGGTGATCCCGGAAGAAGTCTTGTCGTAGCTCATCTTCCTCGTACTTGAGTTCCAGCGGTTGGAACAGCCGACTGGGCTTCTTGGACTTCCGGCGCTTCTCCTGGACCTCGAAAACGACCTGCGGCTTCGATGATCCCGCAACGGTCTTCATCCGTTGTCGGACCAGCTGGTGTTGAGGGGGTGGATTGCGGATGAGGGTCTCGGAGGGAGGAATCTCGCCAACGACGTCAACCCATTGAGGAAGCTTGTTAATCTTTCCACTCGCGAACTGGTCGAGCGCAGTCTTGCGCACCCGCAGTGCTGTGAGGTTGATTTTGCCCATGGTGGCTAGGACACGGTCGATGGGCTATCGTCAATCGCGAATAACTAAGAGATTAAGTGGCCGAGAAGACGGGTTCCCGTCGTTAAAGAGACGCGGATCACTCCAATGGGATGAGAAGAGAAGGGCGACGAGGACGTGGAGGTCGTGGGAGTCGAGGTGTTGCGATACTGCGGGAGCGAAAAAGATGGGATTGGGCAAAGCGCGACTCCGATTGGTCGAGGCGGGTCCCGCTGCAAAGCCAGAAAGTCCGCCCGGCCTTCAAGAAAAACACCCCAAGCTTAACCTACTGCTTGCCCTTCTGGCGTATCTTCTCCTTTCATCTGCTCGCCGTCTGCTTCCTGGTCCGAGAAGCAGTCCAGGCTGTCTCGTGCGATCGGCCTGCTTACACTTTGGACATGCATGGCTAAGCCAATGCCACGATGTCTGCTCTCTCATGCCTCCTCCCAATAGGTCTCCCAGCTCGCCGAGCCTGCGCGATCCCCCCAAGCAGGCCTTGGACGAGCTACTTCTCTCTCGACCGTCGATGTCTCCTCCGAAACCATCTCCCTGCCATGCCTCTGTCCGACGCTTCTCTACCCGCCGTCTTCGACCGTCCGTCACGTCAATAGCAGACATTTTTGTCGGCTCGCTAGTCCTAGCAGGTTTCTGCAATCAGCACACACCACGACACCGAAGCCTGTCCACAATGCCACTAAGGACATCAGAAACGCAACTTCAAAGGTTTCGCGGCAAGGGTGTCACCAATCAGGGACAAGGGGCACGATCTGCCACCAAACGTTGGGAGGCCATGAGATCTTCGATGCAATCATCGCGAGCTCGATCATGGCTAAGTACGGCTTTACATCCAGCGGATGAACCCTCACATGCGCATGACTACACAAAACCTACACAATTGAAAAAACAAAGGGAGAGTGACGATTTTACTCGGGCCGATTCAATGGAAGCGGCCTGTGACGCATCACATCGACAAAGTTGGCCGCAGATGCTCGACTCAGTAATAGATTCTGCACAAACGGCTGGTCACACGAAGGATCTGTCTCCAATAGTACTATCCACGGACACGGAGTTGCTCTCGGCCCCCGAGGGTGAAGCGGGCCTTTCGTACGACGAAAAGATGCATCGCATGAATTCAAACCTTTATCGGCGAATTCTGGGAGACGACTACGAGTGGTCAGAACCCATGGATGTCGTTTTCCCGAAAGACCGAGTGCATCCAAAGAGAGAGGTGAAGGAGTTCCCGGGCGAGGAGATTGCCTTACACAGGCTATCAGTTGCGAAGCTGATGCACGTGCTATATCACGAAAAGTCACCTTCAACATCATACCTATTTCGCCTGTATAGAGAGATTCCTTCGCCGGCAATGGCGAAATTACCTCGAGAGGTTCGCGGAAAACTTTTGCGGATTTTTGCCAAAGCTCCTAATCGACGATGGGCCGATGCTCGACGCTATCTTGCCTTGGTACAAGACATGATTGCTTCAGAAAATAAAATGTCTCGGTCAATGTGGACTTCTGCTGTGCATTTTGCTAGTCGAGGGAGTGGCAGCGGCAGGGTTCTGAAGCGGGATCTTGTGCGTGCAATTGGTGTGTGGCAGCAGATGGAACATGTGGCGGGAATTGAAGCGGACGACGTGGTCTTCAATATCCTATATGATGCCGCCGTTAAAGCTAGTCAGTTTACTGTTGCAGACCGACTTGAGCAGGAGATGAAACGGCGCAAGCTGGACTTTACTCGCTTTGGTTTAGTTTCCAAGATCTATTCTGCCGGTGTGCAAAAAGATCTGGATGGCATTACAGAGAATTTTCAAAAATTCGTCAAAGCCGGCGACATTGTCGATACTGTTGTTTTGAACAGCCTGTGCTCTGCGTTCATTCGAGCAGGCGACCCCTCCGCAGCAGAACAGCTATACGGCCGCATGATCGAGGCTCAGAAAGCCAAACTAAGCACTGATCAGTTACTCACCACTGACGCAAACCGCGTTATTTTTGAGCACTCCCTATCATCTGGCTTCTCCCAGTACCGAACCAACAGCAGGGCACTTGGCGACTTCCTTAAACGATCTCAGGCGCTCAAGCGCCATTCTCCTAAGCACCATCAGGCTCTCCAGGACTCCATTCCAATGACTCCAGACACACGCACTTTCTACATCTTTCTGAAGTATTACGCACGCCAAAGTGGTCAGTTCGATAAAGTCGCGATGATTCTCCGCGATATGGAAAACGCCTACGCTGTGCCTCCCAACCAAATCGTCTATATGATGCTCTTTGAGGGATTCTCGATCCATGGCCTCCAGAAAAAGGCCTGGTCTGCTGAACGGCTTCGCCTGGTCTGGTACGCTTACCTACGGGCCTTGCGTGCTTCAAAAGCGAAATTGGATGCGCAACAGCGGCACCGAAGTCCGGGGAAGATGGAATGGGAAAATCCTTTGGCCAATGCTATGCATCTGGAAGATGGGCTGGATGAGGCAGTGCCCGATACATCTGACCAATTCTATATGCATCTCCCGTCAGCGAGCAACGAGACACATCCAGATTCCGTGCCTCGATCCGAAAAGCAAGAATACGCGGAGCATCATATAGAGGATGAAACTGCTTTCGACATGGATTCCGAAGCCTCTTGGAAGCCGCAGTCCGAGGATACTTCTGAACCCGAGTCTTCCGTCACTCGGAGCCAAACAACACTCTCCGAATCAGGTCTATCTGATCAAATCAGTATCGGCTTGCACCAGCCAGACGACCTCGACAAGTACCTGGAGAACGGTGTCTTTGTAGGCCGCAAGATGATTGTTGTCATTTTACGTGCATTTGGCGCTTGTTATGGACCCAAGGAGGTCATGGAGGCTTGGCTACAATTGGAACGGCTTTGGCACCCTCATCATCGCAAGGCAACCGACGTGCTTGCCGTCAAGGAAGAGCTCGACAAGCAGATGTCGAGAGGTCCTCGTCCAAAACTGTAACATAACATAGATAAGGTGATGGGGTGCATTGTGATTGATACCTGTACATTATACTTAGATTCTGCCATATACCGATTCAATTCAGCGATATCTTTTACCAAACCCTCGAAGCGATTACGCAAATGATGAATCCTCAACTTGCTTCAAGAGTAATATAGTCAGTACGAACGTTTCCTAGACATTCTCGGGACGGTTCCCTAGACGGTTCCTGGTCGATCTCTACGTACGTTGAGAACCTTATGATATAGTAAGCTTAAAAATGTACTTAGGGCGGAAGAAAAGCGGTGGATGGTCTTTAAGAAATTCAGGGTTATGGCCATCTCCCCCCTATAGTCCGCCGTGCTTGCCTATATAAGAAATGCGATTCCAGAAGATCAAAATAAGGGCACGTGATATCGCGTCTCTCCAGCCGCGACAACGACGCGCTCTAAAATAACGCATCAACCATCGGCCATATATGACAAATTCTGGGGAATACTGGCTTTGACATGCTAGCAAATGGCTAGTCGGGGAGGTCTACCGCGGCGAAAGCCAGATCTGGAATTTTATCTGCATCGCGTCTTCCGCAAAAAATCGTTCCGGTTGGTTCAGCAATTGCCGAAACCCACGCTACTATACTGACTTGTTGCCAGTCCCCTGCAACGAGAAGTCATCGCTGCAGTTGTTGAAGGCCATGATGTGTTCCTTCAGGCGTCTACCTCATTTGGCAAAAGTTTATGCTTTCAACTGCCCGCTGTCATCAGCCATGGGCGTAAGTCTTGCATGACGATTCTATTTGTACTCATACCGGCAACACCTCATTGACATCCTCCCAGTCACCATTGTCATATGCCCACTTCTTGCTTTGATGGTATGTTAAATATGGCTAGATGCTGATTGCGATATACTAATAGCAATCTGGGCAGACGGACCAAGTCAATTCTCTTCAAGCTATCGGCGTACCAGTCCAGACTATCAACTCGAGCACTCCTCTAGCGGAGAGGCGCTTGATCATGGATGACATGCTCTCAGGGCATCCTCGTACACGTCTTCTCTATGTTACTCCAGAGTTGTGTCAAACAGATAGCTTCCGTCGCAACCTTTCCACTGTCCATCGGCAGGGCCAACTGACCCGCATTGCGATCGATGAAGCCCATTGCATTAGCGAATGGGGCCATGACTTCCGTCCAGCCTACCAGGAGTTGAGCTGGTTCAGGAAGAACTTGGATGACCCGGCCGTTCCTATCACAGCCCTCACAGCCACCGCTACCCCCCGGGTTCGCTCGGATATTATCACTATCCTGGGCCTGAACTTTGCCAAGCTCAAGCTCTTCAACACCCCATCTGCACGTCCCAACATCCACTACGAAGTACGGTATCTTCAAAACTATGATGAAGATGACGATATCTCCCCGGAAGATCTTCGAGTGCAAGATCTACTAACTTGGCTAAAGGCCATCAAACGCCGTCAAGAAGCTCGCATCGGTGCAGACGCAGCGCAACGACCGCCTATATCTGGGATCATCTATGTCGGACTTCGTGCAACCTCGGAAGACCTTGCCAGCAGATTGGACTCTGAAGAAATGATATCTGCCGTGGCCTACCACGCGGGACTCACCTCGCAAGACCGAACTCGGATTCAGGCAATGTGGACTTCACCACAGCCACCTCAACAGCGCAGCGATGGAAAACCGCCTCCCATCTTCTCAATAATTGTGGCAACAAACGCTTTCGGTATGGGCATTGACAATTCCCAGGTCCGTTTCGTCGTCCACTGGACCCCGCCACGCAGTTTCGAGGGATTCGTCCAAGAATCAGGCCGCGCAGGTCGTGACGGCCGCGCAGCAGCTTCTCTCGTCTACTACAATACCCAAGAGCGTGACCGAATCGCCGATCGCCTCATGCGTGACGCTGATAATGTGCGCAATCGTGGCGGATCCAAATCTCACGTTGCCGGGTTACTCAAGAATCAAATGGCACGGCGCGAAAGCTACCAAAAGGTCGTCCGCTACTGTGAAACAGTTACGAAATGTCGGCATGCATTGATCAAAGATCTCTTTGGGGACTATGAGTTGGAAGAGATGGGTTCTCAGCAGCCGCCGTCCATCTTTGGTGGTGCAAGGTCTGATCGGCTCAGTCCATCTGCATCTCCTTGTGACTATGCTTGTGACTTTTGCAAAGAGGGTTCTTCTGGCTTGGCAAAGCGTAAGGGAAAGATGCAGGCTGCTGATGCTCTTCATGGTTTTATGATGGATCAAATGAATGAGCTCCATCAATATTATGTTTAGTCTGGATACAAATCCACTGAGTTGGTGCTCTTTTCTTTTCTATTGCATGTATACCCATGTTATCTTTCCCTCTGATATTTCTTCTTACTTGCATTGTTCTGGTGTTTGGGACTAGTGCTTTTCATTCAAACTAGGGGACTACTCATGACCAAATATAATCGCTATTGGAGCGTGTTGAGTTAGACCTCCATGACCGGCAAGAGTCAGGCCTTCAAGCTATTTATGCACATCAGGAAATCGAGAATAAGGTGGTTTTCTGGGCATATGACCAAGGTGAAGACGTCCAAATCTGGGTTTTAGCAGAGGCAGGAAGCCACTCAATCAATTCCAGAGGCAACTGAACGCTTATGAGGCGATAGTATACCCGTTACCTAAATTATCGAAGATAAAGAGCACTAGAGAAATTTAAAACAAAACACCCTTTTTGAAAAGAATCCACGAAGGCCAGCAAGACCTTAGAAAAATTCGCAGTGGAAAATTGAGATCGCTGTATCGTTTTAATCAATTTTGAGCACCGTCAACCAAGTTCATGTATATTCCACGCCCCCTATTGACCATGAAAGGAAAGTCCAATCGGCGCGCTTGTGCGGTAACTGTGTATTTACAGACCAGGTGGGGGTGGGACCTGAAGATTGATGTCAGTCAGATCAACGTCCAGGTTTAGGGGTCTAAAGACAAGATCACATACCGCACCATAGCTACCTCCGCCAGGAGGTGGAGGGGGAGCATCAGAGCCCGGGGGAGGAGGAGGGGGCGCTTCGCTAGCAGGGGGAGGGGGGGGAGGCGCCTGGCCCTCGGTCGCCTGTTGTTGCTGCTGCTGGGCCGCAGCGGCTTGCTGGTAGTATTGATAGTAGGCCACGTAGTTTTGGTATCCACCATAGGCGGCGTAAGGGTCGGCAGATCCATAGTACTGGGCATATGCGGCGCTATAGTCGGCACTGGCGGCGGTCGAAGCACCTTGATCAGTGGGGCTGGCGGAAGGACCAGGGGATTGCTGGTGATGTTGCTGGTGACGATCGTTGTATCGATCCCTGTAGCCACCTCCGCCTCTATCTCCACCTCCACCGCCGCCGTGGTAGCGATCTCCACCACCGCGGCCGTAGCCACCGTAATTGTGCTGTGGTGGGTTGTCCTTGAAGTGCTGGTACTGTTCCCGGACGTTGGCCAGAAGGTCTTCACAGAGCTCCTTAGCAGCTTGAACGTCATTGGGGTCGGGACCGCTGTTAAGAATGATGAGTATAGATCTTTCCTGAATCAGGGTGTCTGTTGAAACTTACGCAACGTGCAAGAACATCGGTTCGTCACTTTCACGGCCAGTGCTCGATTCGATGAATCCAGAGCCCCGACCCTTGATCTGAACGCGGCAGCGAGTCTTCTGCTGGATGTGCTTCACATAGGCGCCGCCCTGGCCGACAACCTGGGCACGCAGGTTGAATCCCGGAATAGGCTCAAGGTCGATAGGAATCCGCTCATCCGGCCATTTGCGCTGTATCAAGTCAGCAATGTTATATTTCCCTCCCATTCAGCGGCAGGAAATCATACTCGACCAAACTCATCACGCTCTACTTGCTGCTCAGGCTCCCTCCTACGGAACCGTCGCTCATCAATCAGGTTGGGAAGTTCCTTCTTCATCAGATCATCAATGATCTGCACAGCCTTTTCAAGACCTTCCTTGTTGGTGCTGGTTACATGAAGGTAGAGGGGTGGGTTCTGCGACAAGATCAGTAACTGGTCCCGTGCCATGAAGGGGGGAAAATACATACGGCAGCGGTCGCCATATTCTTGTCCGGGTAATAGTTTCCTCGGGTGGTGACATCTTGAAAACGAGTAAGTGGTAAGTCTCTTTATCCATATGAATACACGAGAAGAAGGCGTACCGGCGCCAGTTTCATCTTTGATCTAAAAGTCACGCAGCCAAGGTTAGCAGATGCCACAGAGGGGATGTAAGATGCTATGCATTGCGTTGTTTGAGTAAGCTTCATCCAACCACACACAAGAGATATGAGATCAAGAGAAGGGAGGAGAGAAGGTGATGATCCCAAGCACAAACAACCATGTACACCAATAGTGGAGTGGACAGAGGTCTGGAGAATCAGCCAACGACAACAGGAGTAATTACCATCTTTTGTGTAGAGCCCTTGGTCAGCGTATATCGGTTACGCAAATCATTGATCTCAATGTCTTTGATGTAGTCTCCGTCCGCGACGTAAATCTCGGTGTTGGGCTTGCCGTCTGCGTTCGTGTCTGAATGCGCTCCCGGGCTATCAGTCTGGAAAAAAGGTGTCAGCTTTGGCCTGGATTCAAGCAATGGCTTATAGTTACTTACCGAGCGAATTGGCGGAACGTCAACATGTTGGATGCCCTTCTTTGCCTGCAACTGAGCATTGATCTTCGCTGCGGCTGCAGCTATCCAACCCAGAACAATAAGTGTTAGCTATGCGAAATTCTTTCCAGACATAAAACACAGCATTCAACCTACCAGCTGCTGCTGCGGGATCAAGTGAAGCCTTTGCCGTGCCGTCTCCGGCCGGACTGCGTGGCTCGCGACTCAAAGGACTGCGGGTGCGAGTCGACTCGGACTGTCTAGCGGACGGGGATCGCGAGCGGCGGTCGAATCGAGAGCGTCGAGGCTCAGGATCAGTCTGATCGAAGCGCGAGCGCTTGACTCGGCGGTCGTCGTCGGCCATGGCGACAGAGGTATGTGAGGTGGAGGAGAAATAAGTAGTCGAGCCGAAAGGTGGTTTGGTAAAAAGGCCTCAGGCGGGAAGGGGAAGTTTCTAGGAGGCAGAGGAACCGGAGTCGAGGCGCGTCGCAGAAAGTGGGCCAACACCGATATCAAGAATATTCTCTGCCCACACCGGCTAAAGTGCTATAATTGACAGCTAGGTAATCTTACCGGAATGATACTTTTGACTATTCGTCTCTATGAATATCAATTGCATGGAAAATGCTCAAAGTCACGTGGATATACATGACGCTAATCCCAAAGTGGCAATTCAATCAATGCTTCAATCACAAAAATTCTTTCTCGGACATTCATGAAAGTTTAGTGAAGGAATAAATGGCTGGATCTCAGCATAACTTCAAGTCCTTATCTTAAGTCTTTCAATGCGAGAGCTTGTTTAGATCCGGCGGTTGGCTGTCAAGGTCATCCGCCCTTGCACATTCATCGTTGCGCAAGGCCGTACAGAGTACGGAGAATAGTGCTTTGTAGGCTCAGACTTGCCCCATTTTATGGTTATTAAAGCCAACGAGCCACCTCAAAGGTAGAGATTCTTATCCTGGGGTTTTTCTAACTACTTGGTATACTGGTATACATATCTAGGTGCTCCTCGGGGATACTTGAGAGACCTTCAAAGCTATCTACATTTGAATAGTTGATCGACACTATCGGCGGTCAGTTGGGGCTAGTCCCCATTCGGTTAACACGCAGTGAGTCAGCTGCCCCGAGGTCGGAAGAGCAGCCCCAGTATCTGCGAAAAAGAATCCGGAGCATCTGCAGTGATTCATCGCACAACTCTCGGTGATCCCTGAACCTACCATGGCTTTCAGGCGCCCATTGACGCTTTCCTCGGCGTCAGCGTCGCTACTGTCGCAGTCGACAGCGGCCGCTCGCTCTCGTAGCGCCGCAGCTTCTCGTTTCAACGCTTTCCGCGCCTCATCTAGCAGCTCGACCTCTGCTCTGGCCTACAAGGCATTGCACCGCCGCTCCCCTCTCCCCCTCCCCGTTTCCGACGCCTCTCCTCAGTGGGATGCTCCTACCGCCGTCTCCTCTATTCTGTACGAGACTCCCGTGCCTCCGAGCAACCCTCCGAAGCGCCATGTTCTGAACTGCCTGGTTCAGAACGAGCCCGGTGTTCTGTCCCGTGTGTCCGGTATTCTGGCCGCCCGTGGCTTCAACATTGACAGTTTGGTCGTTTGCAAGACCGAGGTCGATGATCTGTCCCGCATGACTATCGTGCTCCAGGGCCAGGACGGTGTTGTTGAGCAGGCTCGCCGCCAGCTCGACGACCTCGTCCCCGTCTGGGCCGTTCTGGACTACACCGACTCCGCTCTGGTTCAGCGCGAGCTCCTGCTCGCGAAGGTCTCCATCCTTGGCCCCGAGTTCTTCGAGGAGCTCCTCCAGCACCACCGCGAGATCACTACCCCCGCTGACTCTCTGAAGGAGGGTCAGGGCCATGGCTACCAGGAGGTTGAATACCACCCCCGCAACCTGCCTCCCAGCCAGGCTCTGCGTCACAAGCACGAGCATCTGGATGCTATTACCCGTCTGGCCCACCAATTCGGTGGTAAGGTTTTGGATATTAGCAACAACAACTGCATTGTCGAGGTGTACGTCTCCTAACCTCTCTGTCCCTGATGTGTAATACTTTGTACTACGCTGACCTCTCCACAGTTCCGCCAAGCCCAGCCGTATCGACTCCTTCCTCAAGCTGATCGGTCCCTTCGGTATCCTCGAGTCCACTCGTACCGGTCTCATGGCTCTGCCCCGCTCCCCTCTGTCCGAGCACACCGAGGAGATTGAGAAGGATGCCGCCGACGTTGTCGATGCCAGCACCCTGCCCCCCGGTTAAGCTCATTTCCAACCCCAAAGTCAAAAATATACATACCCAATACGATTTTGGTTTCTCTGCTGCGCAATCCTTCAATCTATGTGTGCGAACTTCGATTCAGTCTTCTGTCTAATTCCGTGGTCGATGCTATCATTTGTAAAATGTCACAATCGTTTGTCTTTTGGTTTCATCCAATTTCCCACTCTAGGCATACTCGAGCGTAAACCTAAGTCTCTGAAATCTCGGACTCAATTGCATACTGGACGTCAGCAACTCTTGACCACATGAACGTGTATTTCATTAGGTATCATAAATGTAATCAAAACCTAAACGCCAGCAAGATTTCCCAGAAAAAGACAATCCATTATATCCTTTTGCGATGCTGAGCCATCCACCCAAAAGCAACCCAACACCCTCAAATCCTTACCTTCGACGTAATCCCATTCCCGTGATAGTGAACGATATCAGTGTAATTTTTAACCCGCACCCCCACCTTAGCAACGGCATCCAACACCAACTCCTGGCCCAGAGCCTTACGCAAAGCATCATAGCCCACTCCGTCTAGGATTAGTTCAACCGGTAACCGAGGTGAATGGGAAACACCGGGCGGGACATCGAACGGTATGTAGTAGTTGATGTGGCCCAATGGTTCGTCTTCATAATATGATGTCGCCTCCATTGAGGTGACGGTGATGCTGGTCTCGGCTGAGGGGGAGAATACGGTGAACTCAACTGTTGAAGAGAAAAGGTGGAGCTAGGGGCAAATTGAATGTCAGTATCAGATGTTCGTGGGTATGTAATCTTCTTGTTCACACCCAGGAAGACACATAGACCTACTGTTGCCTCTTGTATATATTTGGGAGGTTTATCATCGTCGTCGTCATCCCCCGGTGCTCTAGGCATTGACATATGTGGGACAGGAACGTCGAATGACAAGACTGAAAGAGCTTTGCCAAGGTCTGGAAGTGTAGGGAAAGTCCCTTCATGGGTCTTGATCGTCACAGTTGTGTTCGCTCCTGCAATTAGTGAGCCATCAATTCAGTCATCTGAATCCATTGGGAAATCCCACCTGAAATATACGATGAAACAAATTTCCGCCCGGCTTCTACTCCAGCCTGACCTCCGTTGCTATATGGATCCCATGACATTTGCACCGAGACATTGGTGTTGTTCCCAGGGACGACCGAGAGATTGCGGGCGAAAACATGGCCTATGGCCGTGTTGTTGAATAGAAACTCGACGTCAAAGAAGGGAATAGTCGCAGAGTGGTTGGTTGGATTTGTGAAGTTCATTAGCACAGATACGGCCAAAGAAGTTTCAGTAGTGTCGCCCAACTGCATGGACACGATGGTGGGTTTCAGGTTGCCAATCGAGTTTCCAGCCGGAACTATGAGGATGTCAATCAATTGAACACAAAATACGCTGCCTGTATTGATACTAATCTAGTTCATGAAGAATACGAAAACATACTGTTAACGGGCACGTTCCCTTCTCCTGGAATCCCGTGCACGGCGAAGCGACCCAACCCTGTCTCGACCTTCGCATCTACGACGGCAGCAACATGTAAGACGACTCCCTTGCTGCCGAAAAGCATCTCTTGGACAACCTTTGCCAACAGATCACTGTCCGTTACTTGTAATGGGGCGTCCTTGATAGGGAACTCCACAAGCAGCGCGGAGGAGCCATCCTCGAGCTCCACCCTGGTCGAGTTGGCGTCTTGCCATTTGTCGATGTTCAAGACGCCTAGTTCCTTCCCAGTGTAGTATACGTTTGTAAGAGCTCGAACGCTCGGGACCTCGACTTGGACATTCATCTGATCCGGCAAATTGATGAGCACCTTCACCAGGGCAGATACTGTCGGCTGGGAGTCTGGAGATCCTGGTTCCGCAAATGGATTAGGAAGGGAAAAATGCGTGTCTGTCATGGTGAAGTTCTTCATAAGGTCATCCAGAGGACTCCCCGAAAAAGGCAGCGGCACAGTAACGCTGCGTAACAGATCGGCAATCCATGCTGGGGTTGCAGTCGATGGAGAATCTGCACCACGAATATAAATGGTGGACTGAAGACCTTGGACGTAATTCGAAACCAAGAAGTCCAGTGGTGAGCCATTGCCTCCAGGACAGGTAGTGGTTAACTCGTCAGGCAGTTGATTTACAAGGCCTTGAGCGCTGATTATGGTTGGCGCGTCTGGGTGCACTTGAACCTCGGCTGTTTTGGCATCGGCAACCAGAATATGAGGATCACCGGGTGAGCAGTTTGGTACAAAAACCGCAAATTCAAGGGCGGGAATCGTAATGGCAACGGGAGAATCAATGCCTGCTGACACTTGAACGTCCACGGCCAAGGCTCCGTGTGCAGCATCATGCACATTGAGCTTGGTGATGTCAATCTTGGGAAGCGCTGGGAAATCATTTTCTTTTTCAACAGTCAGTATCAAGCCGAATACATCAACTCATGAGAATCTTACCTTCGAATGTGACGGTATCCATCAATGTCTGAGTCCCAAGGGGGAGAATGCCTGATTTCAAATGCAGCGTTGCCTTGCCTCGCACACTCAGGCGGGCTAACCTTCCTTCTATCCAATCTCTAGCAATTGAATGCAGGCCCTTGATGTCTCCCGCAGTCAAGTCGGTCAGAAAATCAACATGGGTTTGATGCCCATTGCGAATATTGACTTTAATAGAGGGCAAGTGCGCATTTCCAATCAAAATATTCCCATACTCTGGCAAATATACGTCAACTTCTGATTCGCCCGTCTCAACCTCTCGAGCGATCCAGGTCATGAAACGCCCAAAGTCACGCATCGATTTGGTCTTCACACGACGGGCGTCCATGACGAAATCGCCTTGGACTCGAGCCCGTACGCCATCTTCTGTTGTAGAATCAATCGAAAGTGCGGTTGGTTTGAATACTGCTGCTTCTTGAGCATATTCTTTGGCCACTGCCGGTGCAGCAAAGGCAAAGACCAAGATCCCCAGGATGGTGGTGGTAAGGGCCAAGAGGGATATCACAATTGGCCACCGCACTCGGCCCTGATTCTTAGGGGTATCCTCATCGGCCAACTCCGACTCTGATAGTCTCCGTTGGGTTCCATATGGAGTAATGTCGTTGTCGCGACGATGAAGTAGCGGTGTTGACTCAGATGATAGTTCAAATGATCGGCGAGGCTGGTCGGGACGAGTGGTGGTGCCTGAGGATGGTCCAGGAGAAGAGGATCGGACCTGCTCGTCCAGCAGCGGCTGGCTCTCCTCATCAGCCATCACGGCCAGATAATCTATAAGCAATGAAAGGCAGTAACAGAAGTCTCTCTCTCTTCGTTCCAGGAAGATGTTGAGGGAGGGGGAAGAGGGAAGGGCGATGACGATGTCGATAAGCTCACGATAACGGAAGTGTGGAGAGGTCGGACCTGACACCTAATTCTTCAGGTATCCAGGCGCCAAAGGCCAAGAATGCCCTCTCCGGATAAGTTAAGTTAGTTAACCTTCTGAGTTGAGTCATTGCGGTTTCCACTCACCTAGTTGACTAGTTATCTTGCGTTCCGATCCCCTGCCCTTCTGCCTCTTCCTCCCTCTTCCTCCCTCTTTCCCTCTTCCAGTTACACCCTACACGCATTCCCCCGGCTTCCCTCCCACCTCTTTCCAATCTCCAAACACACAGCCCACCATGGCTAGCGGTCTGAAAGCTGCTACCCGTTATGGCACCCAAAGTGTAACTCAATTGGCCAGCTCCACCTCTTCCCTGGGTCGAACACTCCCGGCTAATGGACTCCGACGGTTTGCCCACCAGACACAAACTACTCCTCCTACCTCTCCCTTCGCTCCGCGCCATCTTCTCTCCATTGCAGACTTGACGCCCACGGAATTCGCGACTCTAGTGCGCAATGCCGCCTCGCACAAGCGAACCATCAAGTCCGGAGCTATCCCACAAAGCCTCCTGGGATCCCTGTCCGGAAAGACCGTCGCCATGATGTTCAACAAGCGAAGCACCCGTACTCGTGTTTCCACAGAGGCCGCTACCGTACAAATGGGCGGCCACCCCATGTTCCTGGGCAAAGACGACATTCAGCTCGGCGTGAATGAGTCAGTATACGATACCTCCGTGGTCATCTCTTCTATGGTTTCTTGCATTGTTGCGCGAGTTTCCAAGCACTCCGACGTGGCCGATCTGGCCAAGCATTCTACCGTCCCCGTGATCAATGCCTTGTGCGATTCGTTTCACCCCCTGCAAATCATCGCCGACTTCCTCACTATCTACGAGACCTTCACACCCAAGGCCCACGGCCTCTCCAGTCTCGGCCTGGAGGGTCTGAAGATCGCCTGGGTTGGCGATGCCAACAACGTCCTCTTTGATCTGGCCATTGGTGCTGCCAAAATGGGTGTCGACGTGGCCGTCGCTACGCCCAAGGGTTACGAAATCCCCGCCGAGATGCTTGAGATCATTCAGCGTGCCGGCGAGGGTGTCGCTACTCCTGGCAAGCTCAGCCAGACCAACATTCCCGAGGAGGCCGTTAAGGATGCTGATATTCTGGTGACCGACACCTGGGTGTCCATGGGCCAGGAGGAAGAGGCCAAGAAGCGCATGAAGGCCTTTGAGGGCTTCCAGATTACGAATGAGATGGCCAAGCGCGGTGGTGCCAAGGAGGGCTGGAAGTTCATGCACTGTCTGCCCCGACACCCCGAGGAGGTCAGCGACGAGGTCTTCTACAGCCCGCGCTCCCTCGTGTTCCCCGAGGCTGAGAATCGCTTGTGGGCCGCTATCTCTGCTCTGGAGGGCTTCGTTGTCAACAAGGGCAAGATCGTGGAGTAAACAAAAGTCGTTACACCGTTCTACCAGGAGTTGTGCGCGACCCTGTCAGGAGTTTGGACAGATTACAGACCTGGCGTATGCGCGGATAAATATAGTTTTCGGGATTGTAATTAAATTGAAAAATGTTCCAATCTACAAGATCATAACGCAAACGCTTGACCCGAAACGTAGATCATGGTAATTTTCCTCTCGGAAAACGTTCATCACATAATGTAGGAAGCATGGAGCTAGCTAACCGCCAATGACGAGCAAGATGATTTTAAGGTTCGGCTGACTCGGCACGCCAGCACTCGTTTCTTCGCACTGAGTCGGCTTTCCGGCCAGCTGCTGACTAAGAGGACCCCCATCCGACAGCAGTGGGGGCCTTCGGAAGCTGGACGCCACCAAAATGGCGGGGCTTCCGATCCCATCATGGTGCTGCGAGGTTATGTTGTGTAGGGCTGACAGGACTGACAGGACTATAGAGGAGCATGTTGTTAGAAATGGTACATGAGTGAACTTTTGATGGGGTTTGATCAGAATAGTATGATATTTCTCAGTATTCCATCTAACATAAGTTGTGGATTCTCGCGCTCGATTGGCTCCGACGCTATATATATCCCCTGGCTACTGCCATCAATCTCAAACCTGATAGCTGCGAACAAAGACTAAGAACATAGGTACGTACAATTGTCCCACCTTCTGATGACTGAATGATCACTTCCAGCGTCCGGGATATCCGCAGACGTTTACAGTGGTTCTACACTCGGGAGAACCAGAAGGGCTATTACCCCACGTCCAACTCCACGCTCCGAAAACCCACCTTTAGCTTGGACTTAATCGGATCGGTAATCCTCCAGGCGGGGAGATGCCGATATCCCACTAAACAGGCTTGATATATATAGCTCGCTCGAGGGACATTGTCAACCCCTCCTTCACACACTGTATATTTATATTTCCCTTCACCTGTCTCCTATCCGATCAATTCGTCAAATTTCTCGCCCCCTCCATCTACCTTGCCAAATGGGCTTCGAGGACAAGCGCATCGCCATCATTGGCGGCGGCCTCGGCGGCATGTCATTCCTGAATGCCGCCTTGTATGCCGGTCTGAAGAACATCCAGCTCTATGAGCAGGCACCACAGTTCGCCGAAGTCGGTGCTGGCGTGAACATAACCTCCAATGCCAACCGCGTTCTGGATGCCTTCGGGCTACAGGAGAGCATGACGCGAAAGTCCTCGCGCAAGTTGCCCTGTTATATGGAGTACCACAATTACAAGAATGGAGAGTACCTGGGTCACATTGAAGAGTTCTCGCAACCGCCTGCCCGCTTGTTACACCGTGCCCACTTGTTGGATTCACTGAAGGAGCGCGTGCCCGAGTCTTGCTTGAACCTGGGCAAGCATCTGGCGTCGATTGAGCGGAACACGGATGCTGGTGCCGCACCATACACCCTTAAGTTTCAAGACGGCAGCACGACTGAGGCGGATATCGTGATTGGTTGTGATGGTATCAAGTCCAATGTGCGTCGGGACATGGGACTGGCCGACTCACCCAACTACTCTGGCCAGGTGGTGTACCGTGGCTTTGTCGACTACAAGGATCTTCCCGAGGAGACGGCACAGTTGCTCAGGAAGACTGTCAACTTCCGTGGTCCTCAGCGCCACGTCTTGATCCTGCCAATTGGCAACCAGGAGACCGGGACCGATCGTGCGGCCATCATCGGGTTCATGTCTGAGACGCTCGACTCCTGGGACTCGGAGAGTTGGATGTCGCGCTCTGAGATCTCGAGCTTGCATGAGCATGTGCGTGACTGGTGTCCGCAGGTGCAGGATATCATCGAGGGTCTGCGCAAGGGTTCTCCCGATGGTCGTATGTTGAAGCAGGCGCTCTACGTTCGTGATCCGCTGGATAAGTGGTACGAGATGAAGAGTGGTCAGAAGGATTCTGGTATCATTTTGCTGGGTGACTCTGCCCACTCCACTCTTCCCCATCAAGGTAAGTCTTTCCTTCATCCTGATATGAATCTATTTCCTTTCTTATGCCGATTCCACAGGCCAAGGAACTTGTATGGCCATTGAATCAGGAATCGCTCTCGCCACTATCCTCCGCCACTGGAAGAACGATGACCTGGAGTCCGCATTCCAGTTCTATCAGAACCTGCGCAAGCCCCGGACGGACCGGGTTACGCAGACCAGCTTCGAAGCCGGCAAGCTGGCTAGCTCTGATTCACCCGATGAAATGAACAACACCTTTAATCCCGATGCATTGTCCGAGCGAATGAAGTGGATCATGGAGTATAACGTCCTCGAAGACTTGCGGGCCAAGGGAGCGGATGTTTTGGATTTCCATGACTCTCGGCTCTAATTCAGCACGAGGATGTTGCACATATTGTATATATTTTGGCCTTTTGATGTACAAATTTTTGTTTGATGAATTAGACATGAAATACTTGAAACTGTGATTCTCCTTATGTAGATCACCTCGGAATGTGATCGGAGTGTGGTGTCATGCCACTGGGTTTGAAGTACTTAAAGTATTGAAGATGGAGAGATTGGACGATCACTTTGACCAACCACCACTTTCATCTTAAATAATATCCATATGCCTTCGAAATATTATTCTTGTTACCTCGAGTAAATTATCGATACTCATTTTCATCTATGGCTTACCTTGTAAGAGATGACGATGGTCGGTTCATCAACCGTCCGAATCAAGGCCGAAGTGCACGGCCACTTTCACATGCCACCCGTGCAGTGACTCCGCATTTCCACGGTTGTCAACCATCTTTGCTTCCTCGATCATCTTGGAGCTCGTCAATATCCATCATGGATGTAAGTATCGCCAATTCGCAATGCCCTACCAATCTAATCTCTGACATTGCTTCAAGTTCTCCAACTCGGGCGGGTTCCCTTCTCGCCGCTCCTACCCCAATCTAAATCACGTCTCGCTTGCTCCACTTACACCGCGGTTCCCCATCGACGACGACCTCGAACCCGAAGACTACTTCAACATCCACCACGGCACCACCGACCACGATGGCCACGATCACACAGCCAGCGGTACCAGAACAGCCCCACCACGGAGCTCCTATCTCTCCAGCGTCTCCGTACCCAGCACACCGCCCATCCTTTCGCACTCACGCAGCTCATCGCGCACCCGCCACGCCCGAAGCAAAAGCTCCACCCGAGCCGGTCTTCTAAGTGATACGAATCTACACAGTAAAGAAGTCGCCCTGGCACTACACCACCACCAAGCCTCGCACAAGAAACAAGCTAGCTCCGCATACGCACGGCGCCAATTCAGCGATGCAGCTCATACATCCTCCAAGTCTGATGCGGAATGGATGCTTCGCGCCGGCATAGCTCTTGCTTCATCCACCCGCGAGGAAAAAGGTCAGAGCTGGCTCTCGAAGCGCGAGAGCTCCACAAGTCTCGTCGATATGTCGCTCGACGACGCCACGACTCCACACTCACAGCGCCACCACAACCACACCAAGTCGGGCGCGTCATCGCGCAAGTCTCGCTCGGGAACGTCCACCCCGGGGGCGTATTCCCGTCGCAGCTCGCGCTCGCGTGGTGGCAGTCGACGTGGTAGTCGGGCCGGGTTAACTATGACGACTATCCCGCCGCTTTCATCTGCTTCGTTGACAGCCGAGGGAGGGAAAGTGCCTAGTCCCGGAGTCGGCACGACGAGTCCCGTATCCCGGGGTCGGGGTTCGGGACTGGTACCTGATTTCGTGGACGAGCGTATTCGCGCGGAAATGGCATCTTTGCAGCGGGAACGAGGGCTCTCGGATGAAGAGTCCGAGTTCTGGGATGGTGAGGAAGATGATGAATCGGAGTATGAGTCGTTCTCAGATGATACCCCGGATGAATTCGATGAGGCGGATTTGCAGCGGCTCACGCGTGAACGTGGGTTTGGGCTTGGTAGCTGGATTGATCGGTTGGTTGAGTGGACGTTGTTCGGCGTGGAGGAGTGGCCGGCTCCTGCTCCTGCTCCTAATGCGGGGACTGCCACGAGGATTGGGACGGCTGCGACGTCGACGACTGTCACGTTTGAGGAGGGTCCACATGTCCGATCTGAAGAAGAGGAGCGGGCTCATGATACGTTGTCGCTGGCCGCTGCTGAAGATGATGATGCGGAAACCCTTTCACATACGGATGGCGAGTCCTTGGGGAGCGTCGAGAAGCCTGGTACTCAAGGCGGGTGGGAGGATGCGAGGTGGTTGTTCCAGGTCATGAAGCGTGCTTTAATTTGATCTGCCCCGGGGGAGAGATCGATTCACTAGTCTTTGTATAGAATATTGTTGCTCTAATCTCCCTCAAACATACGACGTGGACGGGATATGACACTCTGGTTTCAGTTAATTGATCGCGAATCTCTTCACTACTACGAATCTTACAAATCTCTAAGCCGGTGCACAAGCAGTTGAATTTGAGGTTATTTCAAATATATTTCATTGAGCTAGCTAGCTTGCAACTGTCATTGCTGAGTTCCTCTTCATGGCAGGTAGGGAGATCCCAAAATGCCTAAAGTCTTTGAGTAGAACTCAATTCCGCCCGAGGGTTCGGTTGGCATATTCCCGGCGTAACCACAGGGGTTGCAGGGTTCATGCTGACGTAGACAAAGCTGAAGATGACGACCGGGACCAAGCGGATAGGAAAGCGGAAGGGATATACATGACTCCAAATAGCGCCACACAAGGCAACAAAAGGCAAACATGAATGTAAGGGAAGCATGCCACCCGAGATTTGAATATGATAAACAAAAGAAACTGAGGATAACGGTAGAAAGAAAGGGAAGGAGGGAAAACCATAACTGGAAAGTCGGAATAGGAAGAGCAATAGCATAGAGAAGGAAACAGCAACGCCCTAGTAAGGCAAGCGTGGGTTGATGAGTGTCTGGTTCATTCGGGAGGGTATTATTCAAGGACAAGCTTGATCAAGCTTGATACGGCACGTTTGTCTTTTCCCCGAACATCCCCAAACAAAAAAATTGCAGAAAAGGGGGAAATGAAAAATAAAAGGAAACGAAATTGTCGGGTTATTCGCCTTTGCATAATATAAACGCCATTCTGAGACCTGATGGTTTCTCTAAAGGTCATGCAATAGGGGGTCGTGATCGTGGCATACGTCGAACATGGTCCGGCCGGGTGTTTGGTTGGGATTGTTGCAGGAAGCCCACAACGAAACCAAGGGGGTCGATGCAGCAGATGGAGGTGCGACGTGAGTGCATATGGTATATGCGAAATGGTGTTTAAGTGGTCGTCAAATTGTTTAGCTTATTGGAGCTTGAGTGCCGAGAAGTGAGTCACGGGACAGTCCTCTCGCTCACCAAGGTCCAACCTTGACGGGTGTGCCCAGGCCGTAGGTACCCGACAGAAGCTGGTCTCGAATGGAGCCCATTTCAATGTTGCCAGCGCCGTGGGACGGCGAGTCAGGTCCGTTCATCCAGCCCAGGCTTTGCCCAAGTTCATTGACTGCGGCCTGCATCTTGCCCCCGGAGTTTTGGTTGTGTTTTGCCAGCTTTTGATCCCAGCCACCGTATTGTAGCTGAATACCTCCACCTCGCTTTGCCGCTTCCCTGATCACCAGGATCCAGGCTTTGCAGATCTCATCATAGGCTGAGTCCCGCTCGAAATTGTTCTGTGGCGTACTCCAGCGGGGCAGGCCGTGGATGATATCAGTCGCCCCGTCCAGGTAGCTCAAAGAAACCGACGGCTGTGATTCGTTTGGAGGGAGGAAGTTCGGCGTGAAATCACTCAGAGCTTCCAGAAGGTTCGTAAGCGGCTGTCGTACTCGATTGTAGGCGTAGTCGGATTCGGTGTTGCCACCCAAGGGGAACGAGGACTGGAGGGCGGCTTGATAGTTTCGCAGCACCTGCAGAGTAGAAGAGACGCTTGGACGGGGAGAGGTTTGGGCGACCTCATCGGCCAGTTGAGGGTGGCGTTCGCACATGGTCCGTACCACTGTCCGTAAGGCATCGGTATCGAGGGTCTCTAGGAGACGAGGTAGGGAGAGAGGTTTCCCGGAGACATTCGGTCGGGAACGCTTGATGTTTCGGAAAGAAGGGAGCTGGCGAGGAGTGAAGGCAGGCGAGTTGGTGGGAGAGGCGGACATGCGTCCATCGTGATCATTGCCATCGTCGTCGGCTTTCCGCTTTCGGCTGGTGTAGGACGACGAAGGTGTAGACACTGGGACTTCGGTCAGCATGGATGTGTCAAAGGGCAGCCTCAAGACACGGAAGTCAAGATGAGCTTTCAAGGAGGCAGACGGACTTATACGGGAGGGAGAGAATCGAGGGTTCTCGTAGAAATGAGGAGGGACAGGAGGCGTGGCCACCAGACTGTTCATGATGACAGCCGGATGGCGAAAGAAATGACCTGAACTAGCAGATCTAGGAACGATCGAAATGAGTGAGAACCCAACGGTGAGAAGCTGGGCAAGATGAAGAGAGAAAAAAAGGTGCCCAGAAGGGTGAGGTGGGGAGAGAGAAGTGCAAAGAAGGCAGAGAAGCGGTGGAGAAGAAAGGTGTTGGGCGGTAACGCCGCCCAGGGATTTAAGGTGACTCCTCGACGTTGCAGATGCGGATTTTCCCCTACAATTTCGACCGTGTCATGAATCAGCTAAATTAACATGGCAGACAGGATTTATTCCGATAGGTTATTATTGATTTTTAAAACATACGGAAGACTAGAATTTCCTATACTCTCAGTTGTCTTACCAGTCAGACAACCGCTCAAGCCTCCGCGTTCAGGCGAACATTGCGGCTTTCGCCTTGTCGAGTCTAGTCTATGATTCGAAGGCAAAAAACGCACGAAGAGATAATCAGACAATAACTTCATGTTTTCATACAAAGAACGCCCATGGATATCGTATTTACAGATAGAGCGACTGAGCAGCCACAATGTCACGGCGGACCTTGGTCAACGCCTCCTCGAACTTGCTCTCGAGGTCCTCGCTACCCATCACCTTGGCAGCCTGCGCCATCTGACGCAGACACTCTTCTAGTCGTCGGAAGACACGGATCAAGCTACCCTCATAGACATCCGTCATACCACTGCTAACAGTTAGCTTAAAGCCCCGGCATGGGAGTAGGGGCGGCGGTTAGTGTGGCGAGTACGTACCAGATATCGGCAAAGGACTTGCCGTGTGCCCAGTCATAGACCACCTCCATGAGCTCCCAGTGGAAGCTCTGAACGTACTCGTCCTCGTTGACAGCCATTTTGGACTCCTGCGAGACCTTGGCAATGATCCGAGCTTGTGATTGAATCTCCTTGAGGGGCTTAGCAAGCTCATCCTTGCTCAAAGGCGGGGCCTCCTTGACCTTCTCCTCAAACACGAAGACACTGACGACAGCCGCCACCTGCTCGGGGGTGAGGTTGTTGAAGAAACCATTGAAAAGCAGCTCAGCCAGCATGAGTTCATCACCGGTACTAATCTCGCAGGCGACCCGGGCCTTCAGCTGCACCACTTCCGCCTCGTTGATAAAGCCGAAACGACGGAGCACACGCTTGCGGCATTTCAATTCGTCAAGTTGCAGAATCGACATGGCTTCGCTGATGCTCTTCTTGGTTGCCTTGATCTCATTGCTAATATTGACCTTTGCAACATATTGGTCGTACAGCTCTGGCAGTCGTGGGGAGTTGTGGAGCGGATTGCCCAGCAGGCGAGATTCAAGAACCTCAATTTTCTAGAGTTGATCAGCATTTAGAAAGACTAACGGAAATTAACGCAGTAACGGTCATCAAATCTTACCCGTAGTAACTTTTTAAAGGAGTCATCCGTGATTTTCATTTCCTGGACGGGGTCAAGGAGCGGGACACCATCAGGGAACCGCCTTCTCGTTTCATCCAGAGCCTTTCCCACTCCTGATCGGGCGTCATCAGACTTGAGATCCTTGGGCAGGTAGATGCGAACATGTCCGATGGCATGGATACAGCTCAGCACAACGGGAACGATTTCGAACCGAGAGGGTTCTCCCTCCTTGGCCGGTCGAATGCCTGCGGGGATGTCTTGGAAGGACTTGGTCCCAACAGCCGGCCCAGCGGCAAGCTTCAGAAGGACATCAACAACCCACCCCTTATGAGCATCGACTTCTTCCTTGTGATCCTTGGCAGGTTTGCGCTGCGAGAGCCTGACGACCGCCCCCCATCCAAAATCTTGGCCTTGGTGCACGATCTGAATCAGACGGCCGGCCGTGATGAAGGGCCGGCAATGGTTTGGATGGGAAATTACGGCACGAACATCGTCAGAGAAGGTTTCCAACTGTGTGCGCAAATCATAATATTCCCGGATAGTTCCTTCGTCGGGAATGATCATGTTTGCCTTCTTCGCCTCCTGCTCACGAAGAGTTTGTTCCAAAGTAGCGACGTTGCCGGTGCTCTGGAACTGTTTAAAACACCTTTCAAGCATAAACTCTGGGGAAATACCCTCCACTCTCATCAGATTGAGAACCATGTTGTATCCAAGGTGGAAAGCCGAGTTCAATCGATCCTGCTCACCGCGAACGATCTCCTTGGCAACGGCGGGATCCATTTCCTCACCAACCATCATGATGACAATACCACGGTCATCAAGACCTCTTCGACCAGCTCGTCCGGACATCTGAATGAACTCGGATGGCGTGACCCAACGCTGGCTGGTGCCGTCGAATTTGCGAACACTAGTGAAGACAACGGTCTTGGCAGGCATGTTGAGGCCGATGGAGAAAGTCTCGGTAGCGAAGAGAACCTTGATGAGACCTTCTTGGAAAAGGATTTCGATAGTCTCCTTGAGGATGGGAAGAAGACCAGAATGGTGAACACCAACACCTCGGCGTAGGAGGGGAAGAAGATTGATAATCTGAGGCAGTTGGCGGTCTTCCGGAGACAACATCTCCATAGCACTGTCGAAAACCTTCTGAACCATCTCCTTTTCGGAATCGTCGTTGAATGCCAGGTTCCTTAACTGAAGCGCACCGCTCTCGCACTCTCTCTTGCTAAAGCTGAACACAATTACCGGGTTGAGCCTCTTCATGATGATCATCTTTACGATTTTGAAGATGTCAGAGGGACCTTTCTCTCCACCCTTATTGAGCGTCTTGTCCTTGCCCTTTCCCTTTCGCTTAGCCAGAGCATTTGCCGGGTCGTCGCCCTTCTTGTCTGCAATGGAGCCCATAGCTTTCTGGAAGTTCTCCTCCCGGAACACGCCATTCTCATCCACAACCAGGTGGATTCCTTCTGCACCGGCAGGGTGGAAGTAGTGCTGGAGGGGAGTCGGACGGTAATTGGTGTAAACAACGTGACAGGGCTGGTTGTGCATCTTCACGACCCATTCGGCAAACTGCATGGCGTTGGGGATAGTGGCCGACAAGAAGACGTAACGGACCTTATCAGGAAGGAGAATAAGTGTCTCTTCCCAGACGACACCACGGTTCGGGTCGCGCAGGTAATGAATCTCGTCGAATATGACCCATCCGACTTCACGCATGATCTCGGAACCACGATACAACATCGACCGAAGAATCTCCGTAGTCATAACGAGACAGGTGGCTGTAGGATTGATGGTAACATCACCAGTCATAAGACCAACGTCGCCAAATTCAGCGGCAAATTCACGATACTTTTGGTTGCTCAGAGCCTTAATCGGACTAGTGTAGATGACTCGCTGGTTTCTCTTCAGACTTTGCGCAATAGCATATTCGGCAACCACAGTCTTTCCGGCACTAGTATGCGCCGAGACCAGTACGCTTTCCTCTCTTTGAATCGCATTGACCGCAAGCTGCTGGAAAGGATCGAGTGTGAAGGAATATACCTTGGCTGGTTCCTCCGGTTGCTTGTGTTCGGAGAGAGGCACGTAGGGGTAGTCTGGCGGGATCGCAACTTGGTGGCGCACTTGGTGAGACACCTTGATAGAGGTTGCATTTTGGCTACCTTGCAGGCCAGGAGCTGCGGCAATCTCTTGCTCTTGTTCGGTTTCGAAGGAATCGGCGACAACAGGCTGAGGTGCTTCGTCGAGTCGAAGGCGCTTGGTTTCGGGCTGCTCGTTCTCGGCCGCAGGTACCTTGGACACTGTAGGGGTTTTCTCAACAGGTGCACCCGAGGGTGTCACGTCCTCCATTTTATCTGGTACAGTAGCGTCATTCTTCACATCACCGTTGGCGGCACGCTTCTTGCTCTTGTCCTTCTTGTCTTTCTTGGAGCGCTTGGGCGCACCGCCAGGAGGCAGCACAGCCTGAGGCTGATCCTCAAAGACATCGAAGAGCTCGTCCATCTCCAAAGGTCACACTTGACGACGAACCACAAACTCGAGTGGTCAATAACGGGACTTTTTACAGCAAGAAAATTGAATGTGCCAGATTAAGAAGGCGGTCTGGCCGGCGATCCACGTACTTGCCTTCACTCATTGTTACGGCATACGGGTTACGTTACGTTACGGTACGGAGGGGGATGACTACAGTAATCTCTAAGGGAGAGTAACTAACTTACTGTAAGAAACCCTTTTTCACCGAGCTGGAGTACAGAGTAGAAATCAATGAATTCATTATCCATTTTATACTCTTCTAAGCAGTTTTCTATTTGGTTTACAAGTTCAAGGTCGTGCATCCATATTAGTATCGAGGGTAATTTACTATTACTAAAGATCTCCCTGACATGGAGAACGGCCAGTCTTTCTTCATGTCTATTTCTAGTAGTTCTTTCATTTTCATGATTTCTTGATTCAAGTGAACTATGTTCGCCTGTTCCTGTCTGTCACATGGACGATAACCTCAATAGAGCTACATTTGAGCATGTTACGGTAACGAATTGCAGTGAGTCCTCACCCGGGCATTGGATATACATCTTTTGTTAGTCCTCCTGTTAATGAGTTCGCTTTCAATTCGGTTTTTGATATATCAATTAAGACCTCTTCTGACACCTCTTTCGATACCTCTATCGATGGCCCTTGTTGATTGATTTAAATGATATACTAAGCACCCGGTGATCAGCGGCAGAATGATATTAATTCGGAAGTTGGAGTGCTCATGGCGTCCCGATGCGCTGTAAGATGTCATGTGATTCAATAAAGAATCACGTGAGCCCCATCGACCCATTCCGCACCTTGCGATGTTCGCTCTGGCTCCGTCCATCCCCGATCGTCCACTCCCTCCACTCTGTACCACAAGGTAGGTGCTGTCTTATTGCAATTGAACATGCCAGAACTCCAGAATAACTGATATCATCATTCAAGATGTACGCCTCCTCCGCTGTCCGCGCCCGACTGGCCACCGTCGCTGCCCGTCGTGGCTTCTCCACCACTCGCGCCCAGCTCGGCAGCCCCTACCACTACGCCGAGGGTCCTCGCTCCAACATCCCCTTCAACCCCCTGACCAAGCACTTTTTCTGGCGCTACTGGGCTTTCATGGGTTGGTGATCCGCAATTCTCCGGGTTGGAAAGACATGAGGAACTGACTGAAGACGTTTTTAGTTACCGGATTCGGTGCCCCCTTCGCCATTGCCGGTAAGCTTTCAATTACTCTGAGATTATACGACTGGTGTTCTAACGAGATTCCTCTTCCAGTCTGGCAAACCTACAAGACCAAATAAGCTGCTCTATACGTCTTCTCGCGTGTTCGCAGTGCGGCAGGCTGATCAGTGGAAATCTTGGATCGCGGACTACAGCTGTTGAAATATCATGTACAAAGTTAGAGGACAACGTTGAAGTTTGATTTTGCCCGAAATTAGTCCAATTGTAGCCGTGTAGAGGTGGTGAAGCGTAGCTACTTTAGACGTTGAAATGTGGATGAAGTCATTGGCTGAGCGGCTGTGGAAAATCAAAAATCTTTGGGTCATTGATAGAGAGTCACAGCTCTCGGAGCCACAACCACATCGCATTACACCAACCAGCAACCTTCTGCTTTTGTATCGGACGAGCTTCGTTTCTCAAGCTTGGGCGGATTTTTTACCCCATAGGATCCAACCATCTTCGACTTGACCGTCCCATGGCGGGGTAAATTTAGTGAAGCGATAGAAGGAAAAAAAAAGTGATACCCGCCGCCAAAGATGCGCAACCTCAAGAGCGTGCGTCTCCAGGAGACACAGATCGAGGGCGACCTTCCCTTGACTGCAACTGCTTGGGATACCTCATCTGACTCAATTGTGTGTACTTTTGGTCCGGCAGAGCACAACCCCGTCATCGAGTTGCGGAGGAAGCGCCCCGAAGTCACTGCCGCGGAGCCTTTGAGCCGCGATGCGCTGGAATGCATCGCATCTTGGGATGCCCCAAGCCCTTTGCCCGATCTTGCATGCGATCGAGTGCTTTCTTTGCACTACTTTGCCGACAATTTGACAGCGTGCCTGGTGCTGGAGGGTGGTGATATCATTATCGTCCGTGAAGAGCCCCTCCCTGGTGAGGATAAGATCGAGATTCTGGGCTCCGTCGATGTTGGAATCACGGCTGCTGCGTGGTCTCCGGACGAGGAGCTGCTGGCTATCACTACTAGAGCTCGGACGTTCTTGTACATGACCCGCGAGTTCGAAAACGTTGCTGAGATCACTTTCTCCCAGGCTGATCTGCAAGCCTCGCAGCATGTTTCTGTGGGATGGGGCAAGAGGGAAACCCAGTTCCAAGGCAAGAGAGCCAAGGCTATGCGGGACCCGACTGTCCCCGAGAAGGTTGATGAAGGCAAGCTGAGCACTAATGATGACGCCAGTACAACCATTAGCTGGCGAGGTGACGGCGCCTACGTGGCGGTAAACACTGTTGATGAAGGCCTTCGCCGTGTCATTCGGGTGTACTCTCGCGAAGGTACCCTCGACAGTGTGAGTGAGCCTGTGGATGGCCTCGAGGCAGCCCTGAGCTGGCGCCCCTACGGCAATCTCATTGCGGGAATCCAACGGTTGGACGACCGCATTGATGTTGTCTTCTTCGAGAGAAATGGCCTGCGCCATGGGCAGTTTACGCTCCGTCTGACTGAAGAGGAACGTCAGTCTTGGGCATCACAGATCCAGCTGTCATGGAACATCGATTCAACCGTACTTGCTGTGCGATTTAAGGATCGAGTCCAGCTCTGGACGACCGGTAACTACCACTATTACTTGAAGCAAGAGATCCCCATAGACGTTGACCCTACATGCTCCCTCCCATTCTCTTTTGAGTGGCATCAGGAAAAGGCATTGCGTGTGGTTGTTGGGTCATCTTCCTCTGTCCTTGACATCGACTATGTCTTTGATGTTCACCTTGGCTCCACTGCGATTCCAGACGATGTCGGTGCTGTTGCGGTTATCGATGGAAAGACTCTGAAGTTGACTCCGCTTCGACTGGCTGGCGTACCGCCTCCAATGGCACATAACGAATTGCAACTGGACTCAAACGTCATCGATGTTGCATTCAGCAAATCTGGTACTCGAATGGCAGTCCTAATGGACAAGAGCTTCTCCATATTCTTATGGCCTTTGAAGAATCGCCCAGTTCCAGTGCCAATACTCGAGTCGAGTTACCCTCTTTCAGATGCACCCACCAGCCGGCCCAGGCAGATTGCAATCCTTGATGAAACAGAGGTGTACATTCTCAAGGACAGCGCTCCCGGCATCAGCCACATTGAGCGCACGACACTGGAGACTCGGTCGACTCGAGAGATGTATCAAGCACGGGAGTCTGAGCAGCTATACTCTATTTTTGCTGGAGTAGGCCGTTCAGCTCTCTGGTTCTCACATGCTCAGCAACCTGGTCTCCCTGCCAGCTACTCTACTCTTGATGTAGTCGCTGGTGATGAAGTTGAAGCTAGTCTTTGGAGTGAGAGCCCTACTGTGGAAACTCACTGGGCCCGTGCTGTATCAATCTCCGACGAAGAGGTAAATACACTCCGTTGCTCACTGTCAGTTTGAAAAATTAAAACTAACCTGAACAGCGTATTCTGATTACTCTTACGCGCACTGGTGCTTTGTACGCAAACAAGCGAGTCCTAGCTAAGAACTGCACCTCCTTCTTGGTGACTCCATCCCACCTGTTGTTTACCACGTCCCAACATCTGTTGAAATTTGTGCATTTGAATCGTGTGGACGGTATGTTGAAATTGCTTAGAGAGTCATCCGCTACCATACTAATAGGCGATCTCACAGACATGGAGGTCCCCGAAGATACGCCTGAGACCGACGAGAGATGCAGAAGCATTGAGCGGGGATCAAAGCTGGTATCTGTCATACCATCTATCTTCGCCGTTGTCTTACAGGCCCCCCGTGGAAATATCGAGACCATTTTCCCACGTGCCTTGGTGTTGGCTGGTATTCGCACATTCATTGACCGGAAGAACTACCGGGCTGCTTTCCTCGCGTGTCGCAGCCAAATGGTTGATACGAACATTCTTCACGACTATGCTCCTCAACAATTCATGGAAAGTGTTCAGTTGTTCATTGAGCAAGTCAAAAAGATCGAGTTCATTGACGACTTCCTTTCTCGTTTGAAGTAGGCTTTCTCTCAGTTTCCTGGATACTGACCAACGAGTGCTGACTTGGTGTTAGGGAGGAGGATGTTTCGCAAACGCTGTATAAAGATACTCTCAAGATCTCCAAACATGAATCTGCTGTTGTTGCTCAGCCGGATGGCCCCACGGTTCCATCCTTGCCCCAGCTTGCAGGCAAAACCAGTAAGGTTAACGCAATTTGCGATGCATTCCTTACTGTCCTTCAAACCCGTCTCGACACAAACTTGCAGAATCTTGTCACTGCACACGTTTGTAAGGAACCACCTGATCTTGAGGCCGGATTGAAGCTCGTCGCCAACCTCAGAAGTAAGTCTGCTCATATCGACCCATCGGAGTTTCCCATAGCTAACAGTACTCTGTAGCTCAAAATCCAGAGCAAGCACAAGATGCAATTGAACATATGTGCTTCTTGACGGACGCTAACCGGCTTTACTCCCATGCTCTTGGATTGTACGATCTTGAGCTTACCCTTTTGGTGGCTCAGCAAGCACAGATGGTAAGTCATTCAACAGGTGCTGAATCGAGAGATCATACACTAATAATATTGTAGGATCCCCGAGAGTATCTTCCATTCCTCCGCAAGCTGCAGAAACTGTCGGAGACTAGACGCCAATTTGAGATTGACAACCATCTCTCTCGGTTCGATAAGGCCCTGAAGCACCTGTTTGCCCTAGGCGCCCATGAGGAAATTCGGGCCTACGTCACCCGGCATGCTTTGTATAAGGAGGCACTCGAGATCTACAAATATCAGCCTGAGCAGTTGAAAGAAATCACGCAGATATATGCTGACTACCTTCAAAATGACTCGAGGCATAAGGATGCCGCTATTGGTAAGCTCGAGCACTCTTCTCGAATGGCTAATGAAGAGGTTGGCTGACTGATTTTGGTAGCTTATGAATCACTCGGAATCTACGAGGAAGCATACAAGTGCTATAATCTCGCTCACATGTGGCGTGAGTCTCTGTATTGCGCCATGATGGCTTCTTTACCCGAGGAAGAGCTCACGGCCTTTATCAACGAGCTCGCCACGACTCTGGTCGACGAGACGCGGGACTACGTATCGGCCGCTACCATATATGCAGAGCATTTGCATGATATCGTCACCGCTGCCCAACTGTTGTGTCGTGGCTCGAAGTTTGCCGATGCTGCGCGCCTTCTGACCCTCCACGGAAAGAAGGATTTGGTTGAAGAGATCGTTGACTCTGGCCTTGCCGAGGCCATGGGCTCAATGACCGATCTATTGGCCGACTGCAAGGCCCAGCTGAATGCGCAGGTCCCGCGAGTTCGTGAACTTCGGCAGCTCCGCGCCGCCGATCCTCTTGCCTTCTTCGGGGGTGATCCTACTGGCGGCGAGGGCGGCGTTGATATTCCTGATAACGTGTCTCTTGCCCCGACCGAGGCGACAACCTTGGCTGGCCGTACTATGTTCACCCGGTATACGGGCAAAACATCATCGTCCCGCGTGACATCGCGCACGCGCCGCCGCGAGGAGCGAAAGCGCGCAAAGGGCAAGAAGGGCACGGTCTACGAAGAAGAGTACCTCGTCAACAGCATCCGGCGCCTCATCGAGCGCGTCAACTCAACAGTGGCAGAGGCAGAGGCCCTCGTAGACGCACTGCTACGCCGAGGTATGCGCGAGCGCGCTGCTGCCGTTGAGAAGGCGCTTGCCGATGTAGTGACCATGTGTGCGGACTGCCGTGACGATGTTTTTGAAATCGCTCAGCCCACGGCACCTCGGAACGAGGAGAACGAGGACGGGGCAGGCTATGAAGAGCCCAGTCTGCCACGGCCGACTGGGGGCTCGGCGGTTCTTGCAGAGAGCATTGGGATTACTCTCGGTGGAGCTGGACGTATGAAGGAGCCACCGGTCGTGAAGGCAATGAGCAAGTCCTCGCTTCTAGTGTAGGCAAGGGAGATAGATAGAGCAGTGATGACACGTCGTCATGTCGTATAGACATGGATTGAGCATCAAAAATCTTATGTTTGGCGTTGCAGTAATCTTTGCCCCTCCTCCACTTCGCTAGCTCTTAGCCATATTTCTTAACTCTATCGCCTCGGTCCTAAAAAGCGAACACTTGCTCGGTTCATGCGATGGGACCTTCCCTTTTCGAATAGTCTAGCAGCTTAACCTCTTTTGGAAGATCTTTCTAGGGTAATCTTCAGTCGTCTTCCTAGTGCGCTTACATACAAACTTTCTGTCAGATTTGCAAGACATGAAAAGGAGCGAAAAGCTGGAAGTTCTGTCCAAGGCCTCAATTTTTACATAGCCGATAACCTAGCCTAGTACACAAGGGAGGGGTCGTTATGCAATTGAAGCCCCGCTAGAACAACAAGATAGCGAAATACTGTATAGCAAGGCAATTACAAGTTTCTGCCCCTGCTCGTTAACCCCAAACCTAGACTTTGTACTAAATAACGGCGCTAGTCAGGAGTATTAGGATTTACCCCTCTGATGGCCAATCATCTGCCTATCATCTCATAAATGGCTTTGTTCTCCTCATTATCCCCACCAATGCCATCGGCAAACGAAAAGAAGAAAGACTAGGGGCAAATTCCAATGCAACCAAAGCCGTTATAAGACCAGGAACTGGACTGAATGAACCGAGCTTCTAGCAGCACCTTCAAGCCGTCGGACCTCCGCCCTGACCTGCCGTACTTAGTGCCAAGTAGCGCAAGCCATTTCCCCTCCGATAACACGCGCCTTGCGTACCCCAACTACCGTGAAATGGCAAGCTATGTCGCTTGGATGTGATTTCATCCCATTACACGATAGCCCGGCGAGGGGTGGGGGGAATAAGCCACACCGGAAATAACACCGGTGCACCGTGAGACTCCAATTTCGCGCGGCTCGATAGTGAACACACACAAAAGCATACCTGGATCACATCTTCAGTCCTAATCCATGCCGCTCAGACCTTTCCTAGTGGAGCGGTTGCCGAAGCGCGCCCCGCAGGCAAGTGCTTAGCTTGTCTTCCAGCCACACGCCACGCGGTGCTGCTACTCTGCCGATATGCTGGCGATGTTGATATGTCTCAATCGTGCGCCGACCTGCAGAGACCGTCCCACGTCATGGCCAATCAGCACAAACATCGCGAAATTAGCTGTCTCTGCCCGCTTTTTTACAAGTGGAGAATCTTGTTTATGGGTCATGATACACTGTCGGGGGGTTGCCGTTGCTCCCGCCAGGCCTGGTATTTCAAAGGGCGATGCCCCTGTATGTGGAGGGTGTGATTGTGGGTAGATCGCATTGTACTTGGTTCTCGAGATGTTGATGCGTCAGGTCTATCTTGCTTTGGCCATTGCGGCTCTCTCCGAGGCCGTGCCGGCACCTATCAAACATGTGTTGCATGAGAAACGTGAACGGCATGGACTTGATTGGGTGAAGGGCGATCGCGTGGAAAGAGATGCAGTGCTGCCCGTTCGCGTTGGACTTACCCAGAACAACCTGGATAAGGGCTATGAGCTCTTGATGGATGTGTATGCGATGTGCTCAATTGATTTGCAATTGACGTGTGCTGACAGGTTGACAGGTCCAACCCAAGCTCTGCCAAGTATGGCAAGTATTGGACCGCTGAGGAGGTCCATGATCTGTTTGCCCCGTCCGAAGACGCCGTGGATGCTGTGCGCGAATGGCTTCACGAGGCTGGCATTGACCGGTCCCGCGTGGTCCACTCGGATAACAAGGGCTGGCTGGCATTCGATGCCTATGCCCACGAAGCAGAAAGCCTTTTCATGACCGAGTTCTACGAGCACAACCATATGGGCAGTGACAGCACGAAAATTGGATGTGACAAGTAAGAGTTCTTGATGATACAAGTCAAAACAAGCTATTCTAACTCCGCCTACTAGGTATCACCTCCCGGAACATCTTCGGGAGCATATCGACTACGTCACCCCAGGTGTCAAACTCACCCCTGTGCTCAAGAAGCACAAGAAGGCTAAGCGTGCTTCGCACCTTACTAAGGTCAAGTCGAATGTCGAGGCCACATCCTATGCCGGCAATGATATCTCGCTCTCCGCCAAGGCGAAGTCCCTTTCTTCGGATCTCCAGTTGTGCGGGTACAACATGACTCCTACTTGCATCAAGGCACTATACAGTATCCCTGATGCTACCAAGGCAAACAAGAGCAACTCTCTCGGTCTCTATGAACAGGGTGACTACTTCGCCAAGTCGGATCTAGATCTCTTTTACAAGGAATATGCTCCTTGGGTGCCCCAGGGCACTTACCCCATCCCTGCCTTGATCGATGGAGCCAACTATTCTGTGCCTGCTTCTAGCTCGCTCAACTCTGGCGAGTCGGACATTGACATTGACTTGGCGTGAGTACTCATTGCCTGTCCATCTGCTGTTCCTGGCTAATGCCTCTAAACAGCTACTCCCTGATCTATCCCCAGACCATCACTCTCTATCAAGTTGATGACCAGCTCTATGAGCCGGAAGAGGTTGCCACTACCAACCTCTTCAATACCTTCCTTGATGCCCTGGATGGGGTAAGTCTAAGCAATCTGTCACCTTGATATTGACAATGCTGATGATTCTAGTCGTACTGCACGTACAGCGCCTACGGAGAAACCGGCAATGATCCTGACATTGACCCTGTCTATCCCGATACACGTGCCGGCGGATACAAGGGTTTGTATTCAACCAGTCCAACCAGCGCAAAAAGCCCCTTTCTGACATTACGACAGGGAAGCTCCAATGCGGCGTCTACAAGCCCACTAACGTCATTAGCGCCTCCTACGGTCAAGCCGAAGCTGATCTCCCTATCAGCTATACCAAGCGCCAGTGCAACGAATTCTTGAAGCTCGGTCTGCAGGGTCACTCGATTCTCTTCGCTTCTGGTGACTACGGTGTGGCTTCCTTCGCAGGTGACGGCTCTGCCAACGGCTGCCTCGGCCCGGACCAGAAGATCTTCAACCCACAGTACCCCGGCAACTGCCCATACGTAACCTCCGTCGGCGGCACGATGATCTATCAGGACCAGACCGTTGAAGACCCGGAGAGCGTCATGCATGTCAATCTCGGCGGTACCGCAGCCAACTTTAGCTCTGCAGGCGGATTCTCGAACTACTTCCCCCAACCAGACTACCAGAAGAAGGCTGTTGAGAAGTATTTCAAGAAGGCTGACCTGAGCTACCCGTACTACTCGGAGTTCGAGGTCAACGTCAACACGACTACGGGTTTGTATAACCGTATTGGCCGCGCATACCCCGATGTCGCTGCCAATGGTGCGAGATTCCGCGCGTACACGGACGGCTATGACTACCACTACTATGGCTCGAGTCTGGCATCCCCGTTATTTGCCTCAGTTCTCAACTTGGTATGTACTCGTGTTGATAAACTCCCTTGTATTCTTCTTTTCATTAAACCATACTAACGTCACGTTTTCAAGATCAACGAAGAGCGCATTGCAGCTGGCAAAGGCCCCGTTGGTTTCGTGAACCCCGTGCTCTACGCCCACCCCGAGGTCCTCAATGATATTACCAACGGCACTAATGCCGGATGTGACACGAACGGATTTGCTGCTATCTCAGGATGGGACCCGGCTACCGGCCTGGGAACACCTAACTACCCCAAGATGAAGAAGTTGTTCCTGTCCTTGCCATGAGGCTGGAATGGGATCGATCAGGGGCTGGCCTGTAAATAGGAGCGATCAGAATTCTTGCAGTACTATGTAATTCTTGTTCATAGTTATTTACACAACAGAAATACGACTTGTCTTAGTCTTTCATGTGCAGTGTGGCAGGCTTGCGAACCGATACCGCGTCGAATTTAAAAGGCATATTCGCTATGTTCATAGTGTGAGTGATCAAAGCAACAGATTAGTGTGATGAGTCCAATATTGCAACCCAAACTTTTGTATTGAAGTGAGCGAGAAGATCAAGGTGACCAATATAGGACATAATGGTGAGCGAAGATACCCCATACCCAGATACCCTTTACAGACAAAGCGTATGTACATATCTAGTATAATACAGAAAGCAAATCTATGCACAACCCCCTAAAACTTGTAAATCTGGTCGTGGGAAAATCCCAAACGACCCAAGACCCCAGGACTCCTCCTCGAGCCGACCAAAGCACTTTCCATCCCAGGAGGCCCACAGACAAAGACGTGTGTGTCCGGATCCGCACCACGCATCACATCTCGCAAAAGGTCCTCAGTGACATAACCCTTCCGCAAAGACGAGCCTTCCTCCTTTGGGTGGCTCACGGTGTAAATGTAGTTGAAGCGCCCAGGGAACCTCTTTTTGTACTGCTCCAGCTCATCACGGAGTAACAAATCTTGCTCGGTATTGACGCCGAAAACGAGATTGATCCTTGTTTGGTCATTTGGATTGTTGAGAACACCCTGTATAAGCTGGTAGATTGGCGTGATACCGGCACCGCCTGCGATGAGGTAGATCTGGGAGTATTTGTTGGGTGTCCATGGGAAACCCTTAAGGGCGGTCGCGAATGTGAGCGTATCACCGGGTGCTAGAGAGTGTAGATGGCTGCTAGCTTTTCCGTTGGGATAGTGCTTAACCATTAACTCCACTGAGCCGGTCTGGTCTATATGGATGGTCATAAGGAAGAAGTCTACTCTGAAGGGAGATGGAATACATACTTAGATCGCTAATCGGGGTGTAGGGACGTAGGACGGGGAACCATTGCCCCTTGGGCCATGAACATGTAAGCAGGGCCGCTGGAAAGGAATGAATATCAGTACTGAACAATATATTTTGATGAACGCATAAAACCATACTGGTCAATGACAAGCCACTCTTTGCATCCTGGTCGCGAAACTCGAACACCAAACGCTTAGTGTTATGATTCACCACCTTGACATCTTGTAGCCGCAATGTCGTAAAACCGAAGCTGCCAAAGACCTTGGGAGACTCAGGAGACTCGGCGTGTCCCGTCGGCAGGAGAAAAGACCGAGTGCCGTAGTAAGCTCCGATTCCTGCGACTGCGACAGTATATAATAGAGCTGGACGGGCTCGAAGCGATTGCCAGGATAAACGCGAGGCCATATTTGCTGCTGTGAAGGCTTGATATACACAAATTGGTAAAATGATGAGAAGTCAGAGCAAAAGTATCATATCAATCGATCTCTAGAAAATAATAGTCTCCTTTTGAATCTTGCTGCAACGATCCTGCAAGCAGCCGGCCCTGCGAGTCAACTACGGAGTACTTCCATTTGGCCAATCGGGTCCTGTTCGGGGCCCAAACCCCGTCAAAGTCCGCCAAAGACCGATCGCCCGCTAGTGGAGCCTCATCCTACCCAACGGAGTCACAGACTAACAACACATTTTACCCATTAAACAGAGGTATTTCTGTTCAGTACGTCACCACTCAGGGGATTCCAGAATGTATTTCCTCTTTCTTAGCTTAGGAACCTGCCCATCCAGAGACCGAGCCATCTTCCGGCCCCGAAGGTGTTCAACCAAGTGTGGGGACGTCTTGCGCTTATAAAACTGGCGGGTCAATATCTACAATTCATATTACTTCTTCAATCTATTGGATTGAATCACAGCCTATCAATCGACATAATCATGGCCTCATATCCCCTCGGCTTCCGCCTGGCGCAAGCTATTGGCATCTCCGGCGCCGCCTGGCTCTCTGGTATGTACTTGCTTCTTCTTCTCCTCAAATCACACTCCTACCCAAGTACAGAGCTGCATACAGATATTGCATAATATACGCAACCGCTTGCTATTCACCTTCCTCCCGCTACCCACAAGCTGACTATTCCCAACCAAAAGGAAACATTGCCGCCCTTAGCATGAACGTCACACCTGCATTACTCCGATCCCACCGCGAAGACAACGTCCATCCAGCCACCATCGCCAAGCAATGGAGGAACATGTTTGAGAATGGAAAGACCCAAAATCCACCCATTGCAGCGGCTGTCGCAGCCTCGTTCTTTTATCTGGCCTGGTCTGTACGGTCCGGTGCCCCCTTGTTCAAACACACAGCATACAGTCGCTCTGGACTTTTCTCGGCAGCTGCTGTCTTGACGCTTGGCATCGTACCTTATACGATCGTAGCAATGAAACGTACCAATGATACGCTTCTGGAAAAGGCCAAGTCTGTTTCCGAGATCTCTGATACGGAGACGTCGACGTTGATTGAGAAGTGGACCACACTCAATGCTGTTCGAGGATATTTCCCTCTCGCTGCAGCGGTGATTGGAATGGTGGCTTCGTTTGTGTAGTACAATCGAGATTGTTAGATGGAAATTAAAGGTCTTATTTGTCTGAAGGTATATCTTCTTAGGAGGAGTCGGTATTTTCTGCTAACATATTGTCTTCATTAAAATTGTATACTTGAAAAGCTGGAACTTCCTCCGTATTCGAGCTTCTGTTCATTACTACATCCCAGATTGATGGATGATGAACGTAAGTGAAAGAAAGCGTTGCCAAGCACTTTTTGTTGGTAAACAGGTACGAGATTAGTTAGGCGAACTGATAATTAACTTGAGAGAAGTAATTAGGTCCAAGTAGCTCTTTTCCTCTATATCCAATGGAACTTGTCAATACTCAAGCAAAGACAAGTAATAGTGAACAATATCCGAAATCCCTTATCTTGGAATATTTCTAGCGCAAAATAGATACAATAGAAGTGATCTGCATCGTATTTTTCGACAACAGGATTGAATTAGCCCTTTGCAAAAGGGATTCGGGGTATCTTCCAAGTTGTCTGAGCAAGATGGCTGTATCATTAAATTTTCATCCAAACAATTCCTAGTTGGTAACGATCTCCCCGGTCTCGGTCACCAGGTGATCCTCAACAGTAACGGGGCCCTCGCCAACAGCGGTCAGGATGACACGGCTCACACCACTCTTCAGGACGTCCAGAACACGCGAGTCAATGTTGTCGAGAGCGACACCGGGGGCGGTAAGGTTGGCAAGGTTCTCGTAGAAGGGACCCTCCCAGCCGCTCGCACTAGCGCCGAGGATAGCCTTGACCGTACCAGCGACAAGTTCTGAGTCCTTCTCCTCGTAATAAATAACAGCGTTGGGGCCGGCATCGAAGGTATAGGCGGCCACGGTGCGGCCGACTGCACGGTTAATGTCGTGAACAAGGCGGACGGCAGCACGGGAGACGTCGTTCATGTAGAAAATAGGGGGCCACGAGTCCAGGCAAGTGGCGTGGAAAGTGTTCGAATCACGCATGGTGATCTCCGCAAACTTGGGGAAGTCGCGGTCACGGATAGCTGCTTCAATGGCATCCATCCGCTCAGGAACGACGGACTGAGCCCGAGTAGCGAAGAGGTCCGAGGTAGCCACGGTGGTCTGCATACCCTCAGTGCTAGGGACGTCCTTCTTCTCGGCGCTGACTACCAGAACGATAGCGCGCATCTCCGGCCAGTGGGAAGCAGGAGCGACCTCCTCGGCCAAGCTGTCGCTGCCGTCCGCCTGCTCACCAGTGCGCCAGGCGACGTAGCCACCCATCAGGGACCGGCAAGCAGAGCCCGAGCCCTGACGAGCAATACGGCTCAGTTCACGAGGAGACTGAGGCAGCTGGTAGAGGTTGGCAACGGCGCGGACCAGAGCAGCAAAACCAGCAGCGGAACTGGCCAGACCGGCGGCGGTGGGGAAGTTGTTCTCGGAGACGATTCGGAGGGGGAGGGCAGAGAGCTTGGGGAGCGAGGCATCGGCATCTTCGAGAGACTTGCGGAGAGCACGCAGGTTGGAGAGACAAGCAAGGGTGCGCTTGGAGGACTGGATCTCTTGCGGCTTGCCGTTCAAGTTCAAGGTATCCTCGGCGGGGTACTTGGCAGAGGCGGAGGCAGTAGTCAGGGTGCGCAGAGAACGCTGAGAAAGGGTGACAGAGAGAGAGGAGTTGGTAGGGAGGTTGAGGGTAGTATCCCGCTTGCCCCAGTACCTGTATCAAAGAGCATTTAGTATGCAATGGCCTGTATTGACATCTTGTTGAGGGGTAACAAAGAGAGTACGCACTTAATGACCGCAATGTTGACGGGGGCGGTAGTAGTGGCCCGGTAAACGGGCTGGGTAGATGGAGTCGCCATATTGCACTCGTCTCAAATATGAAGTAGAAGATTTCAACGAATCCTTTGGCAACAATGAGGTCAATAGGGGGTGTGCTTCCTCTTTGGGCAGGAGGCGTTTATATTGTGGGCCAGGCGGTGAATGGCAAAATTATCGGTCCGCGTCCTATAATCCGCCGATCTTCAATAGTCTTTCGATTAACAAGCATCCCCATCTTTCACCCCCCAACACTCGCAATTCCTCATGGGCGCCGGCGCAAGTACTCCCTCTGCTTCCGCAGAGCCTCCTGCAGCGACATGTCCTGTCGACCACAAGACCCGTGAAATTTGGCTTCAACAAAATGGCAACAAGGCACCACATCCCCCAACCTCCGCGCCGGCGCAAGATCAAGAACAATCTTCTGCAAAACTACAACGAGCATTATCCACAGATCGAGAAGTCAGCAGCATACCCCGAGCAGGCAGCCCCGCTGCAGCAGCAACTTGTCCCGAAGGAAATAAGGGATCTCCAACGCTTTCCGAGTCTTCCCCATACGCCGCGTCGCATGGCTGTCCTTCCAATGCCGAAGCCGAGACTGGTCATGACGAGGCCTCTGGCAACTGGATATATCCGTCCGAAAAGCAATTTTTCGAAGCTTTGATGCGCAAGGGCAACACCCCAGAGTCAACGTCATCTGCCTCCGAACTAGCAACATCCGTCGCTTCCATTATCCCCATTCACAACGCCGTTAACGAGCGCGCATGGCAACAAATTCTTGATTGGGAGAAGAAAGCTCCTTCCACAGACCCGGGCAGCAAGAAGTGCGGAGGACCTAAGCTATATTCCTTCCGTGGCCTTGGAGTCGATCCCCAGTTTCTGAGCCCGCGTGCCCGAATCAACGGATGGCTCGGCTATCAGCGTCCATTTGATCGACACGATTGGGTTGTTGAGCGTTGCGGCGGGGAACGTGTTGAATACGTTATCGACTTCTACCAAGGGAAGACCTCTGGCAGCAATGGAAACCCATCCGGGTTGACGGGAAATGCTGCTCCTGGCAAACTCAGCTTCTATCTGGATGTACGGCCAAAACTAAACACCTACGAAGGATGGAAGATGAGATTCAACAGCTTCGTCGGCCTCTGAGCATTTGCCTAGCCTGACCGTTGGATCCGTTTCATGGTATCGCTTGTCGATGATGGAGCGGGGATACGGACGGACATCAGAGAGGAACTGTATAAATCATGTATAACCAACACTAATGTACGATATCACATTGCATTGGAACAAGCGGGACTACCTCAAATCAATGTTCTCCATTCAACATAAGCCTTAATTCAAACAAGTAGAGGGATTAATAAGCAAAACGGAAAGCCCGGTCAAGGCCGAGGCATGTAGAATGCATGAGGGATATCGTGCGTGGACATAACAAAGAGGAAGAAGAACGCCATGACGAGGGCGAAATAACAAGGCATGCTCGGGCCAAGGACAAAACAAAACTCTATCCAAGAACAACAGCAAGAACGATGATGGTCAAGATGACCGCCAGTATAATTAGCAAGCAGCAAGCCTTGTTGCGTGCATTCTTCTGGTATCGACTGGCACTGCGCAATTCGGTGTTGGCGCCCCGTGTATCTTGAGAAACGTTCTGAACATTCTCGCTGATGATGTCAAGTTGGCCTCCTTGCTCATGAACAATATGAGCAACATCACGGAACAACTCGTTCAATTCGCCAACACTCTGTTCAATATTTCGGATCTCGTTCTCGCGCTCAATGATGAGAGATTCCTGGAAATCCACCTCGCTTTGGTTGGCCATACGAGACTGCTCCTCCAGCTGTTGTTGCTGTAGTTGAACTCCTGCCTCTCCAGATGGGTGCTCGCCCTCCTCGATAGCGGACCGGGCTGCGACGGCCGATGCACGTTGCTTCTCAAGGGCGCGGCGCTGAACGGTCTGGAATTCATCCAGACTGGCCTTGAATTCGGATGACAACTTTTGCTGGGTCCACTTTTGAGATGGCTAGTGCAGGGATTAGCCAAAGTGACGGGTGTCAGACGGCCTGACCATTAACATACGTTGACATCCTCCCATTGCTGGATCTTCTTCAGCCCATCGCCTACATCCTTGAACCCCGCCCGGGTCTCCTCCAAGAGATTGTGGACTCGTTCGCGAACTCGTTCAGTATCCCGTTTCGTGCCGAGAAGCGCAATTTGATTAGACAAGCGAGAGATGTTGGAGGTCAATGTAAACAGTTGGTCAGATAGCGACTCGGCCAGATGGTCGAAGCCAGGATCGTCACGATATTGCGGGTCATCGGACCGGCGCATATCAGTGGGCTGGGCCTCCAGCGAGTTCAAACGATCAAAAGACATGATGGAGGTGTGGTGTTGTCAAAGAATGAATGTCGACCACGAAATAGTTACAGAGCTATCGGAGATGCACTTGCGCAAAGTGCTGCCTCCCCAGGGCCTGCAGGACAACTCCTCACATGACGTACCTCCCGCACTAGCGCCTATATGGATTAGCCACAGACACTACATGTAATGTGAGCCACAATAGTCACATGACTCTATGTGGCTGGTGTGTTTTGATACTCAAAATATTCCATCATGAACTCAGCTTGAATCCGATACCAACGCTCAGTCGCACACAGCTGCAGTCGACCTTGCCCACCAGCCAATACGGTCGCGGAACCGATAGTTGACTTCTACAGCTCTCGCAGCTTCCTGGGATGCTCACCCTGATGATGCTCTAAGCCTCATCCATTGTTCTTCACGAGTCCCATCCCACCCAAGCTTCCACCATGGCTGCCGCGACCCAACCCCGGCCATACCGGCGGATCCTCACCTCGGCGCTACACCGGCGGTTTGTACATGCATCTGCGCTCTCACTACTCGTCTGCTATGTCGTCTCAATCGCAATTGGCGACAAGACATCATGTCAGTGTTCCGAACTCATCATCCGCCCGACTCAAGAGTCTCCATTGTCTCGCGCTTCGAATATCGCCAACTGACACTTTCTTATACTTAGTTTTCTGGACATGGTTTCCTATCGGTCCGTGTGGGCTCCGCGCCGTCATGATCTTCCTTTCCGTGCTCCTCGTATTCGTTCTCCGTGTCAGTCAGATGCACTTGGGTCCAAGAACAACGCCGTCCTCGCTCAGCACCTTCCGATACTTGTTCCCCCTCCAAGTTGCGCACACCTTCTGTTGCTATCTCTTCTCGGCTTGGTGGTTTACTGAGCTGTATCTCTGGTCGTCTTCGAAGGAGGCGCAGCTGGATATTGTGAAACGGGGCAGGTACGTCAATGACTACGGAACAGCTTCATAATTGAAAAATTGCTGATCGCCGATTTCAGATCACATGAGAGACCCCTTCTCAACGAACGACCAATTTATATTCATAGCTACCATCTGCTTTTGGCCTGCGCTCAGGCTACAGCCCACCTCTACTATGATTACGATCAAATCCCCGTTCCCGTCACCCTACGATCCACGAAGTCCACCGACCAGCGGACACACCAGGTTCTGCCGACCTCCAAATACATCAAGAGTGACCTCCCGCAGCGTATCAAGTGCGGTTTGATGATGAGCGTGATAGTCGCCGGAGCCACTCCGTTCCTCTACCTGATATTCTTACGCCAGAGTGCTTGGAGTTTGTCTCTGTACTTCGCCAAACTCTTTTGGAGCTTTTCCCGCTCTGCGGCTCAGCCCGACACCTTCTTCCCGCCTGGATTCGGTCCTTTGATCATTCGTTCTCTCATTTCAGGCTCTATGCTAGTTCTCAGCTGGCAATCAGCTAATCTCTTCTTTTCCATTTTCCTCGGCAAGGAACCTCTGAAGCGTGGGCAGCCCCTCACGACAGATGCAAAGGAGCCAAACGCCAGTTTGTTGTCTGGGCTAAAGGCCAAGAAACACATCGTCAAGGCATTTGCTCTTTGGGAACTTGGTCTTATCAGCCAACGCCAGCCTGATCGCCGGAAGACAATCTTCAATGAGATTGATGGAGAGAACGGTTCCACATGGAGTCAGATTCTCGTTTGTGCGAAAGACGAAATCCAGGGCATTACTAAAAGAATTGAGGCTCACAAAGCTCCCAAGCCTGGCGCTAAGCCTGCTGGACAGCCGGATGATTCTAAGCCCGAACTGCGAACTCTGCCACGGTTGACGGATGCGCCTAAGGATCAAAATGTTTTCGCAACGGCACCAAAGGCGACTTCTCGCCATGAGAAGTTCGGCGAGGCTTTCGGCTCAACGGCCAAAGCATATGGACAGTCGCCAGACTGGACACCCACGGCCCGGGCCCGTGCTCGAGAAGTCTTTGACAGGGCTTCTACAGCAATGCTCAGCCCGGAGCGAAAGCAAAAACTACTTGCCTCCACCCAGGAGTTGAAGCGCCTTACTGGTGGCCCCTCCACAACTTATAAGCCTGAAGACGTGCATCCCATCATCGTTCAAGTCCTTCAATGGTGTCGGCCGCTGCGACAAACGTATGCCCAGCGAGCATCAAGTATCGTTTTCGGGTCTCCCGAATCCTCTTTCACCGCAATTGTGGATGCTGTTGATTCCTTGACACGTATGCTGATTGCTAGTCTTGATGAAGATCAGTACGGCAAAGTCCAGATTGATGTGCCACCGGTGGTTAGCCTATTTACCCAGACGATTATGACCCTCGATGCGTTTGTGCACCAGGGTGGCCTTGATGCACACTGGACAGACGTCAAATTTCCTCCCTCCAGCCAGCCCCAGGCACAAGAAGAGGCACGAAAGATCCCCGAAGTGGAGTTGGTACTTGATACCCTGCAGAGCGGTCTACGTGACCTTTTGGAGGCATTCAAGCCTTACCTGCGGGACATTGGCGTCACGGGCAAAGACCTTCGTCTCGCAAAGGAAGCAGCTGGTATTGACGAGGATGAACTTGCTCTATGATCTACAAGGTCTAATGTTTCATGAGACCTGATCTGTTATTGTTTTCTAGTCACCTAGTTTCTCCTTCTTCCTATTTAGCCCCCGAGAGGGTTGGGCCTAAGGGAAAACAAATGCATGGTATGGCGTTTTTGATAGGAATTGAAGTTATCATTGTAATTGTTGAGTATTTCATTAAAGCTTACTTCTTGCTTAGCTAGCGTCGTATTTCATTCTAAAGAACATTGAACGATGTTGATGCCCCTCTCATCAGGTCACATGACAGCCAGCACCTTTTCGGATAACCTCATTTCGTCCCCATTTGCGCTCACCTCGATAATCACTAGCCACGTCAATTTCAAAGCCCAGTCAGACTCAAGACTCTGGGAAAAGGCCCCGGTCCTTCTCAGTCATGGCTTTAACCAACATTTACCATTTGCGCCGAGTCGCAGATACCTCTGCAAAAGCATGTTTAATCTGCTACAAGCCATCGACAAGCGTGATGATCACACCAGATAACAAGGTAAGACAGCTCTAGATATGGTCTGATGAATTTGGCCAAGTAGCAGCCAGGTCTTTCTGGTCTAAGGTAGTCCCTCATGGCCGGATTCGCTCACATCGTCGACAGGACTTCTTCTACGTGTGCCCCGCACACCTCCAGGATCGCCACTTCTGCTCGCCCATCATTGACGCAGAAAGCGAAGCAGCACGTCTCAAAGAGCAGAAAATGGCTGAAGAAATTGAAAAGGTCAAAAAGGAGTACGAAGAAAAACAGCAACGGAAGAAGGAGCGGGAGAAGCAATCTGGCAAAGATGAAAAAGACAAGGACAAGGAGAAAAAGAATGATAAAGACAACCCCAAAGATAAGGAATCCACCGATTCCAAGACCAACGACGAGAAGGAAAGAGATGACAAGGTGAGCCTTGAAGAGAATATAATACTTCAAGATAATTTACTCCTACTGACCGATTTACCATTTTAGATCGATTCTTTAAAAAAGCAGAACGAGATGAAGCCAGAAAACGGTCCTCGAGTATTCGCGCTACATAAGTATATTCCCCCAAGGCTTATTTCTATCATTGTTACTCATATATTACAGGACATTCTATCAGATGCGTATCGACCGGCTACGAGGCATCGAGATGGCTAAACGGAATCAGGAGAGGATGAAAAATCCATCTCTCTTCCCTTCTGTTCCCAACAAGGACCTTTAACACCGATATCCTCACGTTGACGATGGCTCATGATCTGTTAAACACACCCGTGCTTCCATTCTGGCTAGCTTCGTCCGTCGTATCGCACACTCTCCATGGTATTATGCCGTACATTGATTAGTGCTGCCTGCTCGCCTGCAGAGACATGTCCAGATATGGTGCATGTACGTACCACATCGGCAAAACCAGTGATAACCGCCACAAAGCCACTCCAACTCACATCACAATTATACCTCATCAGGCCAGCAGCATATCTACCCCTCTCAAGCCCCGATCACGGAAGCCAACGGGTGCAACCACGTCGCAAACGCCCATTCCTTCAAGCAAGACCCATCTCATTCTACTGCATGTCCACGACATGCCAAGGGTGGCTTCGCTGAAAGCGTCCGTCTAGGCCATCTTAAGGCTCACAGTGGGGAAGGAGTGCATAAAAACACTAGCAAAGCTTGCGCCGGTGTGACATCCGGATCAGGCGGGCCGCACCACAAGGCTAGCAGCACTCGAGCACGCGCGCAGCGCAGACGCCCGTCATCCTGGTTATCGTCTACGTGAAACGATCCGGGATGCAATCCTTCAGGGAGGAGAAAAAGTAACCGTGGACGCCCTGCGGTTGGGCTGAGAGGGGTAAGCGAAAAAGAAAATAAAGCACAGTCCACACATTGATCACATCCTCGTCAACAAGTTCATCGTTGTACATACATACTCTACTTCGTACTCAATGTAAGGCCTCCCACCTCGGCTTGTTCCAGACTGGCAGAAGCGGCACTATTCATAGACGGCCTCGAAAACTTCTTCATCAGGAAACTCACGGTCCCGCCTTGTTTCTCTGCTTCTAGAGTGGTGGTACGGTCACCGCGCTTTCCACCTAGAGCGAGCTTCGAGTACGGAAGAAATGCGCGACGTAAGAGCGGATCTGTTTGGTGGGGTGGGGGGGGTAAAGTCTTGCACGGGAATAAGCACTAAAGACTCGTCACCGTTGAGGCGTAGCTCTTGTCACAAACCTTCCACCCCTCTCTTCCTTCCAGAAAACGGCCCCCGTCAGCCCTAGTAGGCTTTGGCCCTTGTAATCACCGATCTCAGTATCGGCTAAAGTTTCTGTCCGATTTCATACATAAGGCTGCCTATAGTTTCAAACGGGCATGAGGCTTGAGCCCAGGTGCTTGGGGCTCTACTTGAGGACAGCTCTGTGGAAGGCTGACTGACTCTGCCCTGGGCTATTCGATCGATGTGGATGTGACAGGAGTCATGCTTACTTCCTATCACAATAAAAAGCTCGTGTCGTGCGTAGCTCTCCTTGTCAAGATCATTTGGCGGGGTTATCTACTATAGTGTCACTAACCCCACCGTAGGATTCGCGGTCAGGATGTCAGCCTCAATCGATAGAAGGGTCGTTCGGCTAAATGACCCAGGCTGCAACTTGCACGATGTGTATATTGTCTCACCGACTCGCCTGTTGCCTTAGAATATCCTCGATCAATAAAGAGGTGGATCCGATGCTCCCGTGGCCCGCTGAGTCGTTCATGAGGCTCAATAACTCGAGTTTGGGGTCCAACTCGCGATGATGCCCACAAGGTCCCCAAGCGCGATTATCACACTACCCATCTAAGAAGCTAGCCCTACACGTTTAGTGTACCCGCTAGTACCATATTAATGGTTGGTTCAGGACATCACCATTCGATTGTAGATGCCTAGTATCCTCATCCAAGACTACAGGAAGCGAAGAGGTAGTCAAGCTAACTATAGCGTATTTGACGGTCCTTGGCGCGATAGATGTACCTAAATGTTGACCTAAATATTGGGCTGCATGAAGCTAAGCTAGTTAGCTAGCGTCATGCCTTTTGAGAAGCGTCCTGATGATCTTCAATTTTGAATACTGCTTACTTCCGCTCCTCCCCAAGCCCGGCTCGGTCTTCGGGTCAGCCCGACAAAGTATAATCACATTAGGCTGAATTTGGAGATAGGAACAGGCACCGGCCCGCGAGACAACATGATGAGGATGACGAGATGGGCGGAGCGTGTCAATCACACGATATCGGATAGCCCCTGAGCTAGTCGCTGTCTCATTTTCTCGGACTGGGCGCTTATCCACACACGCCACCCTCCATCAAACGGCATCAAATCTGCGAAACGATGTCACAGGTATATGGAGGGCGACCGCAGCAACCGAGTACGTAGTGCGAAACCCGTCCGTCACAAAAGAGTGAAGTTTAAATCAATCTAGGCTTCTGCTGCAGAAAGCAAGATTGTAGAGAGGTAGCGAACTATGATATCAGCGCTAGCGGTAGAAACAAGAGCAACGAGTGCGAAGCCAGCGATCTTGCACCTCTCAGAAGCAGTAGTTTGGCCGTGGAGACTCCACTAGGAGGAGCTGAGAGCTCTGCAAGGCAGTGCACTGCCCCACCCCCACCAGGGCCCATGGGCCTACCAATAGGGCGGACTCTGAGGCTGGGTCTACTTGTATAGAGAGCTTGGTGGCCGGGTGTCTGCGGGTATAGCAGAGGGTTCTTGGGCGCGAGGAGTAGAACACCGTGCCTGGTTCTGACGTACTATTGCCTATTTGAGAACGTGCTTGTGTGGTTGAATAGATGATTACAAACACCCGCAATTGTAGGAATGAAATTTGCCAATGGGATATACTTGCCCGGTTAGCTGATCGCGAGGACTCGCCCCAACAGTGACCCCCTCGGCCTTGACGCCTGCTAATCATGAAGTGTAGAGTGTGCCATTTCACAAAAGTGCCCTGAACACAACGCCCTACGACCCTACCCGCTCGATGGTAGCGGTTCCTATTGGACACGTCTTTCCAGGGCCATCTTTCGTCACGCTCGCATAGGGCTCAATACATCGAGCCGTCGGAGTACAAGCGTAAGTAATGACCGTCTCAAACGAGTAATACCATTACGCGCCGCTAGCGTCCGGCGAAGCCAATCGGGAGCCACAGGAAGTCGACCCGCTTTGCACAGCCTCCTTCCCTTGTCCTGATTCTTTCCGACCTTGGACAAGTCGCCCTCCCTGAAGGCTGAAGGAGCCCGAAGGGGGGCAAATCATCACCGACTCGGTTCCATCCTAGCGTCATTGGCGATTGGCGCAACGCTGATCGCTGATCCTGCGATAAAACACGAGTCTTGCAGCACTTGACTTTGGCAACTCTGATGACGATGCAAAACCTTGACAGCGTGTCCGTGACCCGGTGGGGCTAGTTCCTCGTGGGGAAAGTTGAAGAATGAAGAGTATGGATCAACCCATCAGAGTCGCCCACGATCTTAGACTTGTTTAACTATAAACGTTGTTGCTCCGTCCCCCGCTTCCCCAAGTGCCGATAAAAGGCGGTTGGTCAGAGTGTGGTTCGAAGTGGAGGCGCTTAGAAAGCTGACGAACGGCAGGGCGGCGGTGACATGCCCTTGTTGACTGCGATCCCTCTGGCTTCCCTGCCGGTGGATCATCGAGTATTCCCCTGGCGCGCGTGTAATCTCATCGATCGATGGGGAGGGCATTAAGGCCCTCCATCAGCCAGTAGTTGACATCTCGTTGAATACGATACAGGCCTACTCTTTCGCAAGCTTGCGTCGGGGTATATGAGTATTGCAGCTATAAAACCTTCGCTTAGAAATTTTAGCCTTTGTCCCATTCCACGCGTAGTATAGTGCTCGTCATAAAAGGCTGCAAGCAGTTAGAAAGATGGACTAGACCCGGCGAAAGGGGCCGCTTCGTGCAGCAATTAGTGCAGCTTCGATAGGCACGGGCTAAGATGAGGCTCATTTACGAGGCAATAACAAGGCTGAAGTTGCGAACCTCGTGTCAGCTCTCACGAGCTTCGAATGAGTCCAAGCATGGTTCGAGAGGGAATGGTCAGCAGAGCCGCTAGCTCGTTGTTCTATCTATATCTGATATCATCATCTTGGCCTGTCTTAGAGCCTCTTCGTATTCGAGTAGGCGCGTACTACTAAGTCAGGCAACAACGTCCTTCCAATGGACAGGCTCAACAACGATCTCACCCCACGACGTTCGGACCACCAGATCTGACGCGAGACCTCTGCTGATGAATATCAAGATCGGAACACCGACGGACTTGGAGCCTCATGGTTCTCCGGGCTCTCATCTACCTTCCGGATGTAGGTCTGTCAGATCCGGCACGCTCGTTTACGAGGGAATTGTTTCGGACAATTGTCGTCTCCATATGACGCAAGTGGCCCATCGCAGAGGTGTAGGTTTCAACTAAATAAAGAATTACTGAGATGTCTCCAGTAATAACGAAAAAAAGGGTCCTCGCGTGGCGAGCTGCATTGATCAATCGCATTCGTCAGCTACAGTGTGGAGAACCCTGTCGATCGCCATGCCTATCAGTATATGCGGTGGCTCAAACCAACTCAAACCACAATCCACAAAAAATGGAGAAAGAGGGATTCATTACAATTCTCTGAAAGTGTGTTTCATGGCTCGTAGAATCTGTATCTATAGATACGACTAAATGTTCGTTTATAATCACTGTTCATGAATAAGAAACGTCGTGTATCAAAGGTTGCCACGTCCAGAGCCAGTGTCATTAGTCTCAGGTGGCCGCAACCCCGGAGGCAGACGAATACCCAAGACTGATGGTCCCCCTGGACCCCGTGCTGCTACATTCGTTCGGCTGGCAATGTCCACTCGCGCTTTAGCAAGCCCGATCGCAGGCACCACCCATCCGCCACAGCTGCATTGCATGCCTTGCCAAGCAAATTTACCAATGTTCGCCCCACAGCCTGAGTTGGGACAAGTGAGGCGGCCTGACAAGGGGGCATCGGCGGAGTATTCGTCGTAGGTTGAATCGGCATCAGGGTCCAAGCCATCTTCAACTGAGGAGGGGAATAGACTAGGGCGCATCCACTTCAGCGGATGGAGGAACACATGCGCACATTCCATATTTGCGGGTATTCTCGATCTAGCGGCCCTCTGTTTATCCTGTTCGTGATTGATAATGAATGGAGTCGTCGCAAGGGTGCGTCTGATCGGGAATATTAGTAAACCTTCATCATGGCTTCGGATGGCAGGTATATCCCGTTTGGGAATTAGATACGAACCGGCACTTGCGGCACTTGATCTCCACTGAGCGGCCGGTATTATCTTCCTTGGGCTGCACGGGCAGCTCGTCTTCAAAGCGCACCGACCTCAATTCTGGAGCTCGGCCACACGCAACACTTTCCTCAACATCACGGTGGTAGAGCCAGCGCTGATACACTGGGTTTTCCTTGACATCCTCTGGGCAGCCCATTTCATGATAAAGCTCTAATTGCTTCATGAAACCGTCATTCGGTTCACAGAGTGGCCGGGACTGCCTCAAAATCTCGAGGGCAGATTGCGGTGTGAGCGCGCCAGGCTGTTGGTGGAGCATGTAGGCAATGCACACAGTCGCGGACCGGGACTTGCCCATAGCACTAGATCCACATGGTTAGTGCTCTATAGGGTATTGATGCATGTGGCAGAGATTGCACGACTCGTTTTCAATATTGAGGCGCAGGATGCACAGAAAAGCCGAGTCAGGACAAGGGACAGGGAAACGCAAAGCATCCAATAGAAAGCCTCGGAAATGAAGAAAGACGGAGGACTCCAGCCACGCGCAGATCGTAATTGATTAAACACGGGGTGACGTAGGAGGCCATCACAGACAAGCAAATGAACAGCAGCTCGGAAAAAAAAAACAAGAAGAAGCGGCCAGGGAGAGAATAGGCCATGGAGCCAACGAGAGCGAGCCTTAGTAGGGCAGTGCGAGGTACAGAAAATTCAAAAACACAGACTTACCAGTGCACCAGAACACTGCCACCGCCGTCTAACCCAGCTTGTATAAACTTGACAGCGGCAGGCAAGTGCTCTAAGAGGTTCTCATCTTCGACATCATCAACATCTATGGAAAGATGTTGATAAGATGCAAATGTCTCCTCGGCGGGGGTAAGTCGTAACACAGAAACGACATGCGTGATATCTGCTCGACTTAGAGCCGCTTTGTTCTTCAGGCAGAAGATACTAGACATAAAGGAACCATGTTAGCAAAGGGGCATGTCAGAGCGGCAACCGCAAATTCCAGCATCAGGGCCCACTTTAACAGAGCGGCCAGGGCGAGTATCGAACAACGAGGATTGGTGAAGTCTTCTTACCCGCCGATGTAAATGTTATGACCAGGAACTTGATTCATGGCCATGCTGATTATAACAGGCTGATGAGACTTTGTACAAGTAAAAGGAGACACGAGCTGGAGGAGGTGGTATATCAACTCTCAGTTGTAGTTGTATTGCTTGCGAAGTAAATCCGGCAGACTCTTTCCTCCCAATCGAGTAGGCGGAGATTTTCCTTTGAGCCTCAGCCCCAACTCAATAGTCACGCCCCAAATGGGCCGTTAGGGCAAGGGTACCCGGTGAGCAGGTGACCAATACGGATGCCTGAGGCTGCAACAGGCATCTCCCGCAGATTGATAGTCACATCTGCGTACTGCTCCATCTCCCCCACTCGAGCTTCGATGGATCAGGACTATCCACCTGATCGGTACCGCCGAAGCTGAGAATGGCCGGATTGAGCTCTCACAGACAGCGCGATACAGCCAATCCCCTGCTGCATCGGGCCTCCAACGCGCGAGAAATGCAAGAGTGGATGCTTGACCCGATGCACCGGAGCTATTCATGATTCACTCCGCATTTTCGAAAGAAGCGGAGGCCCCGATTTGAGCGTAGCTTCCGATGCGACGCGCAGAAACACCGCTGGTCTTTTCCAAGCTCCTTCTGTGTACGGTTACGGATTCCCATTGGCCTTGGTGCTCTTGGACGATCCCGCCAATTAGAGGTCCGGTATTGACTTCTACGAACCATTCACCCGCCCGCCACCAACATCACATCCAAGAAATTCGATGTGTAATATTCTCCACCTGGAACATATGACCACTTTCAAGGGACAAGAGCGTGATCATACCAAACCTAGGGTATCATTCTGTCAGCCATCTAGAACATGCGCTAGAATTCTCGGTGTAGCGACGGAAAGCTCCAGCCGAGCGGTTCACGCCTCGTGGGTGGGGCTCCTGATTTATCCCCGACAATCTTTAATCCACCATGCTGTCCAGCCAATAATTTCCCCAACCGTCCCTGTAAGGGGTTTTTGGACTCTTGCCACCAGTAATTGCGAAAGGTTATCCATGAAGGCCGCATGGACAATCATCCATGTACTCTATACGAGAAAGCTAAACTGCAACTAGACCCATGCGAATCACACCGTACCGTCTTACCGACATATGCACACATGCCGAGAGAGGCGCGCATAGAACCGCGGGACGGTTGGCCCTCCCCAGAGCCCAGGAATGGGGGCCGTCGCGTCACCTCAAGTATTGGTGAGGCGGGAACTGGCGGTGCTGGCATCTGGCATTAGCGCTGGCGCATGCACTCGCTCAGACCACACAGCCTCTTAAGACTTAGACTGACGCCTTATACCCTGTGATCCTTGGATCTCGTGCTGAAGGCGTTGTCCGTTGCCCTTTTGGGGAATTGAAGAGTGAGCTGTTGACTTTGACTGGGGCTGCGTTTCAAGGTAACCCACCAGTTTGCCATACCTCGGCACGAATATCTAGGCTACGCCGCACGACGCCAGGGCGTTTGACAAGGCCACGCGAGTCAAGGGCTTATGGCTAAGTGTCAGGCGATATGATAGTCCAATCTGGGTGCCTTGATTGTTACAAGTCTTCAATCTCGATTTTTCTTTTCTACAGAGTACATAACAAGCGTTGACGTTACGAACTCCCTTCAAGTACCATACATATATGTCCACCCCTTAACCCGAGTATGCCCCGTCCACTAGAGTCCGGACACAGCAGTAGCCCCGCTGCTCGTACCAAGAACCAAATTGAGGGAGCTGTCCGAAGCTCCCGGGTAATGTCTCAGGCTCTTAGCGAAGCGCGAACCTTGGAAAGGTAAAAGACAACAAGAGATAGGAGAGAATGAAGATGCCAAGGAGACCGAATGAATACTAGGAAAAAGGCGTCCAGATGAGGTTGTACAGTAGCTGGCGTGGAGTACAATCGATGTACAGTTCCCTTTTCTTACCACTTAACAAGGTAAATACTGTACGGAGTACGGAGTACTCCGTCCTCGTACTGTACATCCAACGGGTACTGTACCCTTCCAGCCTTTCTATGCCCGCTGACTCAGCAATGCTTGTCTTGCATTTCACGTCCGTAATCAACGTTCATCCTTCTGGCCAGTGTAGGGCTGTCTGACATGCCACATTCTCTGTGCCCCAAAACTTAACCACGAGTCCCGCACAATCGTCATTATTGACGTTTGTAATGCCGTGTAAAGTTTCACTCTGCCCTACTCTCTACCGAGGTACGTTATGACCCCCCTGTTCCTTCTGGCCAAGTGACAGCGGACCGTCAGTGTGGCAGTGCATGCAAGACTGGGTCCCCAAGTGGAGCGCGCTAGGAAATCAGTGGGTCACCATCAACGACTCACGATTGTCCGCGACTCATGAAGGCAAGAAAGAATGTTCATTTTGCTTTTTGCATGCGACTGTCCACTTCCCCCCCCCTTGTCTGGGCCCTACGCAGCACTAGGGAGGTACGAGACTTGAAGTACACCGGTCAGGACTGGGTCATGATCCGAAAGGGACAAGGATCAAAAAAGAAAAAGAAGAACAATGAAAATGTACGAAGAAATAAGCCCACGCTACGGGAATCCGAATCCTCCGACGCAGGTCGATCTGATCGAACAATTTTTGACCGTTGCGGGGATCCCTGCAGCAATTTTCCCCCTTGATAACATGATCACATTGGCTTCTCCTCCTATCGTCCATTCCTTTCGTAGCGTAGTACGGAGTACAATCCCGCTTGCTAAGATTCCCTAACTCGCGCGACTGCAGTGTCCGGTGCGATATAAGCCTAGCGCCAAGACGTGCCAACATCTTAAGTCGCATACGGTTACTGGCTTATCGTCCCCCAAGCCAAGCATGCTCGTTCTGGGCTTCCTTAAATCCGCTAACCTGGCCCCTCTCCGGTCTTGTAAATGTCAGCAATGGCCGGCGCTAACTAACCATGGTACCTTACCATTGGACTCTTTCGGTCTGGTTTGCGTTTCTGGAAGAATAATTAGTTGACCTGTAGAATAACGCTATGATGGTCGTCCCGACCCGATTCCCGTCATGTACTACAAAGTACGTGACGAAGATAGCATCACCACCGAGAACATCACCATGATAGGGTTTCAACAGGCTTTCTTCCTCCGGTTGCAATTTAAAAGAGACTCACCACTCTCCACCGTACAGGGAAACAAGTGATGAGGGGCCAGGGAGTTGTAAATTAGATTTCATGCTTTCAAGTTCCTCTGGTTGGCTCTTCACAATCCAGTATATAAATTCAAAATTTAAGGCTGGGCAGCGATGGATTTCATTTGTCGGCAGCTATCGCAGGCCCCGTCCGAGAAGGCCAGCCCTTCGTTAGCCTTCTTCCACTACATCCCAGTTTCTTGGAACGCCCGTTTCCCAGGTTTGGGGGGGTCCAACGGGAACCAAGGATGAGTGGCCTGCCCAGAGTTCTGATTCGAGCAAAACTAAAGTAAAATTACGGGATCCCGGGCTCTACGTGCATTTTTTTCCTTCTAAGGCTGAGTCCGTTAGCGCTGGCCGGCTAACCTCTACCGTCGACCACGGCCTACTGGAACTTGCAAGTCTAGCCGTTAGTTGTCAGGACGGAGGATATCCTTGTCATTATCTGATTATGCCTAGGTCTAAGCATGACCAAGGAGCTCACTAAGGCAGGTAGGATGCATGAGAGTGTGGCCAAATTGGCCGTAAGGTGGTCGGCACCACCAGAGTTTAATTCGCCCCAGCCGGGGGTGCCTTGCGCCTTGTGCCCTACTGGGTCAATTATTTCCAACGTGGCCACCACCACTGTACAACCACACAAAACCCCCATTTCAGCCAACGACGTAATTAAATCATAATTAATCAACCCTCCGTTTCGTATGACGGAAGTGTTGGAATTGACAGGATCTGATTGTGTGCGGGCACGGCGGCGGCCACGTTCTGGGGCAAAGTGTATCTGGTATGTAAGTCGTTTACGATGTACTCGAGCCATACATACATATACAAGTTATACATTACACATACAAAGATGACCCCCGTTATTAACTGACGTTTATGTGCTTTTCTCGTCTTTTCTGGTCTTTTGCCTCTTTTTACACCACCACGTCAACCCCCCCCTTCGAACTGCAGGTTAAGTCCGACCCAAGGACCCATCCGTGTCGATGTTCCCATAATCCTATTATTTATTTTCGACGCTTCCGTCTTTTTTAGTCCCTCGTATTTTCCCTTTTTGGTCTCGTTTTTTGCCTCGCGCCTGGGACGTTCCAGAATCCAGAACCAGAAATCCCGAATTCTCCTCCCCTCTCCCAGCTCCTCCTCTGGATCTCCGTCTCGTACCATTCACCGTACCTTCTTCCCCCTTCTCTCTCTCTCTCTCTGTCCACCCGATTCCCCCCCCCCTTTCTTCTTGGCTCGGCTCAGCTCGGTGAGGATGAGATCACCGGAATTGGCTCCCCTTCGATCTTAATTACTTTTTGGCTCGTGCCCCTCGGACCCAATCACCTGGCTGCACCGCCATCTTGCCCGACTTGTCGACCTGCCCGATTCTTCCGCTGCACCTTCGGAGTAGCCTTTTTCTCTATTTTTCTTTTGCTCTTTGGCATTTTTGGTTTTCCAGCTCCATACCTTTCCTTTGCCTCGCGCCAGCAACAAAAGGAATCCACCAATTGTGAATTGTTCGGCTTAGTGGCGGTCCGATAGAGACGACCAGGACCGCGATCTCTTCGATCTTGCATACTCACGGCTGGCTGGATCTCTAATTACATTCGACTTTCAAAAAGTGCCAGACGTCGCAAGGAACCCAAACAGAAAAGCATGTGTGGGCCTGATCCGGCTCTGTACGATTGACTCGGATTTTCCATGGGACACACGCGACGGCTTCTACACAGGGCTGTGTGTCACTCTTGCGGCAAACGTTTCATCTTATGAGGCGAATCGCCGTCCCCGTAAGTTCTCTCTTCAGCCCTACTCGGTCTGGTCATTTTACCCTGATCACCCGCCTACTTCTCCTGCCCTATATGCATGTCACTTATCACCTAATCCTATCTACCACCATCACTCCTCCACTTTCATCTACTCCGCCTAGTCCTAGGCCTGGGTCACCCAAACGCTGTCCGCTCACTCGCGCTCTTTGCAACTCTTCCTTCGGTGCCCCCCGGTCTGACTCTCAACTAGCTGCTAGCCATACTTCCAGCCGCATGAACACTGATCTTCCAGTCCTGGCGTCCTGGATACGCACGTCGCCGTCGGCTCGCGCTTGCTGACCCCATCTTGAGGCTGGTCCATTCTCGTTTCTTCGTCTTCGGATGCGCCGTGGTTAAACGCTCCCCATACGGCTGGTTTCACGACGCTCGCAACTCAACTGGATTGGGTCATTGCTGCGACACCATCTGAATTCCATCTGCTTATCTTTTTTTTTTCTCCTCAACCAACTGGAACTCCATTTTGCCACCAGAGGGTTTTTTGATCCTTTTTATCTTATTTTGTCTTTTTCTTTTCTGTCCTATTTCCTCGGTCATCTCGTGAGGCTGTCATCCGGCCGTTCTCCGCCATCCCCGCCTGCTCGGCCGTGTCTCTCAGCCTCAGCCCGTTCATGCTAGCTTCGCTTCATTTCTCCCACTTCCAATTGCCCCCGATCAAAAGAGGATGGACCCACGAATGTCGTCGCCGAGCTTCTATGATTTCAAGGCCCATCACGACCGCCATTCCGAACGCGTCCATATCATGACCAACTCGTCATTCTCATCGCACGGCCCACTACCCATACCTTCTCGGCCCGTCATGCACACGGCTCCGCCGCCTTTACCTCCACCGCCTCGGATTCGCGATCTCGAAAATGGCTACGATGCGGGTTGGTTGTATGCCAATTCGAGCCGCTCAACGACCAGTCTTCCCCCGATCAACCCGAATTCGAGTCTTTTCGGAGGCCATCGACGACCGGATTCTGCGCCGCGGAGTGATCGTATGGCAGTGGATGAGTTAGAAGGGCGACAAAGTCGATTGCCGCTTTCGCGCAGTCCGGAAGCACAGATTAAAATTGAGCCGCCACCTCCTACGGATGAGGGATTCCCTAATTCTATGTCCGTTAACGCGACTGGTCCTATGTAAGTGGTTTGGGGTAGGAGCTGCTGTCGGTGATGTTTGCAGATCTTCCAAGGCGCATATACCGGGCGTTGGGCAGTGGACAAAAGGACTAACAGGTTTTATAGTTTGAAGGGCGAGCAGAACTTTTCGCTGCGCAGCGTCAAAGACTCGTCAAATGCATACGATCAACATGTACTTTCAAAGATTGGAAATTCGCTTTCGCAACGAAATTCGATCAGCCAAGGATCGGATCACCGAGGCTCTATTTCCGCACTGACCGTCCCGTCGATTCCGTCGCGCGCATCCACCAATCTTCCATCCCCGGGGCCATCAGAAGCAGGCTCGACTCTGGACGTGAAATGGTATAGCAGCCCTCAATCGGGTGGTGTGTCACCCAGGACCAAAGTTGGATGGAGGGAGTACATCGAGGGACGCAGCCCGAGCGTGGAAAGCAATGCGCCTTCTTCGGCACTGGATTACGACTATATGCGGGATACCGGGCGAAGACGATATCAAGGAATGACGCCTTCCAGGGAAGATAGTATCAGTTTACCCAGCCGCTCCAACCGCGGAAGTTACGACCAAGGTGTTTTCTCCGACATCGATGGCGAGTTTTCTACCGACGATCTGGCTCCACCACGACAATTTATCCTCCGGGAACCCACGCCGCCATACCCCGAGGGTTCGAGGCAGGGCATGAAGCGACGAGCATCTTCACCACCACGGGAGCCGATGGGCGATGATAGGCATACCTTGCATCTGGCGACGAGTAATGGTGATCTTTCGCAACGACGGACGAGTGGACAACCATTTACGAACACGCTTTCAGTGAATCCCAGCTATGCTCCGAGCCACAGGACTCTTTCGGCGGCATCATCGCTCAGTATTCGAACCTCTGGATCATACTCATCTGCTCTTTCGATTGGGGGTAGCAGCATGACTAGCCTCTCGCCGTACGATCGGCCATCTCCGGGAGGCCTCTCGCCCAGCTCCGATCTGGATACGTTTCACGAAAAGTCGATTTTGAACCCGAGCTCCCCTGTTTTGCTGATGCAGTCACTTCCGAGGCCCGTGGGTGGTTCGAGTACTCTTGAGCCACCCGCTACCGATGCCACAGGGAAAGTGTCTATGCCTATTATTCTGGGTGTTCCCAAGGCGTCGGCCACATCAAAGATGGGCGGACTGTATATCTGTGATTGTTGTCCGAAGAAACCCAAGAAGTTTGACAATCCGGATGATCTCCGGTGAGTTCCCCAGTCGAATTCACATTCATCTGATAAATTTTCGATTCTAACCGTGATACAGCTCTCACGAAATGGAAAAGCAATACTCCTGCCAATACTGCAACAATCGCTTCAAGAACAAAAACGAAGCAGAGCGTCACCAAAACTCCCTACATCTCCGCCGCCACTCCTGGTCCTGTGCCGCTCTCACAAGCTTTCAAGCCGCCTTCCACGGCTCAGCCTCTCCATCCTACCAAACCAACGCGGGCCCTTCGTACGACTCATGCGGGTACTGTGGCGAAGAATTTCCCAACTTCCCACGCCCCGACTGGGATCGCCGATTCGAGCACCTGACGACCGTGCACAAATTCGGCGAGTGCAACAACGCGAAGAAGTTCTTCCGCGCGGACCATTTCCGCCAGCATCTGAAGCATAGCCATGCAGGCAGTAGCGGCAAGTGGACCAATATTCTTGAGAATGCGTGCATGAAGGAGGAACAGCCGCCCGAACCAAGGGATAAGTCTGGAAGCGTGTCTGGGCCGCAACGCTCGGGATCTTTGACCTCAAATACCATTGATGAGGTTCTTAGTGAGCAGTGACATTTGCTTGGGCGCGCTGCGCCCGGTCTGTGGTTTGGCCTTTTCTGCATTGCTGTCTTACAGCTTTGCTTCTCCTCTTGCCTGATCTCGAAAGAGCGGTGGGTCACATTCAATCTTCACTATATACACTGCGTCGGTGTCCGTTTTCCCATATCCATCTTCCAGAGATGACGGGATCTCACTAAACCAAAAGTCAAAAGCACAACCAAAATATACAAAATCCAAGCTTCTCAAAAGTGACCTTCATGAAAGGCGCACTCGGGCATTGGATATAATGACATGACACGATCTCCACTTACCTCCCTTCTACCACCAGTGCTCATTCAGTTCTTGTTATTCTTTTACCGTCATTTTGTTTTACCGTTCGAAGGAAAGCAGGGCAGGGCAGAACGAGGAGTTTTCGTGTATCCCTCGGTCTTGGGGTTTGGGTTACAGATTCCGTGTATACCTGGTGCATCATTACCTGGGTGGATTGAATCTTTGTTATGTCTCCATGATTCGGAGTATTTTTTCTTCCTTTCTTTTCATTTTGTCATGATCGGTGGAGTCGGTGCATGGTTGGGGGGTCTGGACTTTTTATGGTTTTGGGCTTTTCAAAAGAACGCCCTTTTTTTCCCTGCTCATATAGGTATATACTCCCCCTTGTATATAGGAACTGAAATTAGACCGCAGTCGGTGGCTTCTTTTTACATTTTGTCTGGACTGTTGTTTTCGTGCGTCTACTGTAGTGGTCACCGCGTACTTGAAACTCTTCCATTAGAATGTGCCGGTCGTATACATACCATCCCGTTCTCACTATGTAACATTATACTACAAACAATCGCCGATTATACTTGACATTGAGGTTTCTCGTCAAATCTCGAGCAACCAGCATAGCCATATCAGACTTCCTCCCAAGATACTGAAGAGCCGAAACGCAAAACTCACAATTCTGCCGGAAACACTCGAACAACGAATCCTGCTCAACAGAGGTATCCAGCCCTTCCAAAGAAATGTACCCCGCCTTGGCAAAGGAATGAATCAAAACAACCGTCCACGGCTCAGTGAGAAAGGCAACCTCGGTGAGCGAATCGTGGAAATCCCCCCGAACGATAGACTCTTTCCCACGAAGTGACGAGCGAGCGAGCGCACCGACTGCAAACGCATTCTCCCTTCTCAACTTCGTGATCAAATTGGTAGAGAGTCGAGATTCACGCTCGACGTCCGAGCCGAGTCGTCCCCGATCAACCGTTTCCAGCACGTCTGCTAGAAGCATTGCGGCCAGATGCCAGTGTCCGTCGAGAATGACGTACCAAGACTGGATCCGTGGTGGTAGGAGCTCGTGATTCGCGACGCAGTCCAGCATGAATCGCTGATAGGTGTTGTTCCAGTGGTGATAGACTAGGAGAGTCTCCTTGATGACGTGCTCCAGACGTTTCGGCCCGGCGCCTCTATACACCAGGGTTTGAAGCTGGGTGACGCGGCGGTAGAGGAGGACTTTGACGGGCGTTGCTTCTGAGAGTACGGAGGCGGCTTCTTCGTAGGAGCAGGGCCATCGAGGCTGTTCTTGGCTGAAAGCTTGCCGCAGGAAGAGATCCCCCCATACATCCTGTTTCTTTTGGATCTCGTTTCGTGGGAGGTTCCACCCGTTCAGATCGACCTGGTCTTCGAGATCGGATGCGGGTGTGTTGGTCGAGGTTATTTGACTGTCCTCGTCAGACACGACTAGCGGGCGCTGGTACATGGCAGCACTGAGTGTATCGAACATGACTCCTAGCCAGAACAGAAGGCTAAGCGTGGTACGGTATTCATCACTGGTGAGTGTAGGATCGGCTTGTGCAGAGTATGAAAACTTGGGTATTTCCGACATATCTGTCAACGTCGATCCTACAGATCCCCTTCGAAGCTCCCTCGCGTTAGAAGGTGCCTCTCGCTGGAGCCTTATCAACTTGTGTCGAAAAGTGAATAATTGACGGTTGGCATGTTCGAGGAACATTGGCGCGACGTCATTCTCCAGGAGTTGGCCCAGACGCTCGTCTTCGTCGTCGTCCAATGGACATTGAGTCAGGGAGAAAATGATATTCGCGAAGATGATACGAAATGAAGGAATGCCGGTCGTGTGCTCCAAAGCGTGACGAGCCTGGTTCCAAACATTTTCACGGATCGCCCGTTCGTCACGAGCAATCTCCGGCGGGACATTGAGATTCGAACCCTTCTGCGCATGTTGAGTCCACTGTGAGGCAAATGCGATGATCGCTAGGTGAAGTGCCCGCGCTGCGGCTTTGTCCTCATCTGCGCTCAAACTCCGTCCGCGCACTCCAGAAGATGCACGATCTAGTCGACATACTCGGATGCACATTCTGTTAGACCAGTTTGAGCCCCACTCGCTACTTTTTTTATAAGGAAGCACGTCAGTCAATGGGTCGCTGTAAGGACAATTATGCTCCGTCAACCAGCACGATAGTGCATTTTCCAGGCTATCGTGATAGATTCGAATCAAGTTCCGTGTCATTGTAGATCGAGCGTATTCAGCGGCTGTATTGTTCGAGGCAATGCAGAAGTGGCACTCGAATTTGGATTTTGGCCTCTTGTTGGGTTTGTATCCTGGACCTTGCCATGTGCTATCTCTATACCCCGGGACGATGATGTCAAGAGCCGATGGATCAAGCGTGCTCATCCCAAGACTATTTTCTTGAAAAGGCGGGATCGTATCGAAGGCATTCTCGAGCGATCTGGGTGATAGTTCGCTGAACGGTTTTCCAAACTCCTGAGTGGACGTCGCCGGTAACCAAAGCTCTTCTGGGGCATTCGTATTCCACGAAGGGAACTCAAACTGATCATCGCCATCCGACTGGCTTCCAATATCTTCGATAATGCTACCACCCAAATTTAGGGAAGGAGGAGAGAATGAGGTACGGGTTGTGGTCGAGGGAGGAGTAAACAAGCCTCCAGAGTTGACTGGATACCATTGCGAAGAAAGCAATAGATCATCCAGGACATCGCCATGGGAGTTGAGATTATTTTGAGGGCCCTCGCAGCTCTGAGGGGTAGCCGTAGCTGGAGCTGCAGTGGTAGCTTTTGCTTTGCGGTGGTCTCGCTTAGCTTCTACACGCTTCGACGAAAGAAAATTGAAGGTGCATTCCTTCTTCCATTTCTTGCAGTTGGAGCAGGAGCTGAATCCGCTCTCCTTTCGATTTTTCTATAGAGTCAAGTCAGATTCCGCCCGCGATTGAAGGGAAGACGAATACGAACTGGAGCATCACAGCCCCTCTTGCCTTTCCGACACGGGTCGCAACTATGATGTTGACTTCGACGAGAGGTCTCCATAGTGGAACGATGGAGTATAAGTGTCGTAATAGAAATAGTCTGGTGGAAGAGGAAACTCCCGTGCTCGACTGCAAACTGCCGTCCCTCCCAGTGGATCCTGGCAGAGGAGGGGTAAGGCCGACAGGCGAATGCCAAGCTGAAATAGATGGTTCATCTCTGGGGAAATACGAAATTTTGCGGGGACCAAGTGGGGGCTCCGTATGTGCACGTCCCAGACTCGGGTCAGCGGAACCACCGTGAGGTCTCGTGCGCAGACTAGCTTTTAGATTGGCACTTCCTTGGAACGAGAGGACATTAGATTTGTCGATCATGGGTGGAATCTCTGTCAGCTCGGGCTTTGAACTTCGTGGGTGGTGTATGGTGCTTTTGCTTCGCTTGATGCGTGTCTCATAAAACCCGGGGACCTGGGGAAGGAGCGTGGAGTTATCGGCACGCAGGGATTCGACCAATCACAAGATATTCTGATGGAAGGGGCCAGTGTGAACAAATGAGATGAGATTAGGTGGGTCTCTAAGGACTAATGAGAAACATGGAACCTTCCATTGCTTCTTTATGTGATGATCCCTGCCAGAAATAGTAGGGGCAACGCTGGGCCGACCGGAGAGAACGCCTGCGAGCTAATGCTGCTGCAAGATCAGATCGCTGCAGATGGAGGATTAATTAGGGGATCCAATTGGCATCCATTTTATAAACAGACCCATGGTTCTTCTGCAATGCCTCCATAGCTTCCTGGGTTGGTTAGCTCGAGGTGAAACTTGTACGTACCTGTCAGGTCCCACGAGTCAAATTATATGTTCGGAGGCCGAACGGTTGTTCATGCGTCACGAATTCTATATATTCTAATCATTGTGAACTTGAGAGGGATTCTGGAGTATCCCGGGCCACTGAATCACTACAATGATCTTCAGCAATCATGTGTGGTGCTCAATTATCTCCAATTTGGTACAGAGCTGCACGAATATGGATCTCAACCACAAATGGCGCAGTATCACAAAGCCTCATAGTCTAGGGGTAGTCCATATATTTGAAAAACTTCCAATTTGTATTCAAACTTAGGTCAAGCTTCGAATTTCAATACGACACTCTACAGGTACTCAACTCCTGCCGGGACTATACCCCTGATCACCATTCATTCCCCTACTCCGGCAGCTCGAGTACATAGCGGCCTGCAATCTTGCCTTGCTCTGTTTTTCATTAGTACCATATCGATTGTCTTGGATAAATGAAGACGTACCCATCAATTCAAAGATCTTAGGCAGATCCTTCAGTGGCGCCAACTTGAATGGTGCTTTGATCAAGCCCCGTGCAAAGAAGTCGATAGCTTCCACACCGTCCTGTCGGTTTCCAACGTAGCTACCCTTGATGTTGATCATGCGGACCACCGTGTTGAGGACCGGGGCCTTGAGGTATGCATCTGGGGGCAGACCGATAGCAATGATCGTTCCTCGAGAGCGAACATACTCGGTAGCCTGTTGGAAAGGCTTCTCTGAGACTGCCAACAAGATAACAGCATGAGCTCCAAGGCCACCAGGAGTGGCGGCTTTCACGTCGGCTACTAGATCCTTGGAACTTAGGAAGTCAACGTAGGCCTATTTCCTCATTAGCTTTCATCGGTACCTTTCTCCCAACGTTATTTGAAGGAGAGAAATTGTAGTTACCTCAGCGCCCAATTGCTCGCACATCGCTCTCTTCTCGTCGCCCCCATCAACGGCGACAACCCGCACTCCCATAGCCTTAGCGTATTGCTGAGCAAGAGATCCGAGACCACCACCAGCTCCGACAATAGCGACTGTCTGACCAGGGCGAACCCCAGATTCCTTCAATCCCTTGTAGACAGTAATACCGGCGCACAAAACTGGAGCAATGGCGTCAAGTGGAACATCCTTGGGAATCTTAGAAGCATGTGTCGCCTTGCCGACCGCATACTGCTGGAAGGTGCCATCCACAGTATATCCGGAAAGTTTAGCATCGGCACATAGAGGGTCGTCGGATTGCCTGCAGAACTCGCACTCTGTGCAAGATCCATTGAGCCACTTGATTCCGGCGTGATCGCCGATCTGGAACTCATTGACCAAGGATCCTTTGGCCACTACTACACCAGCACCTTCGTGGCCTCCGACGAGGGGCATCTTAACTGGGATCGGCCAGTGGCCCATCATCGCATGCAAATCGGTGTGACAAACACCCGAGTAGCGAATCTTGACCAGAATCTCGTCGGGCCCAGGCTGAGGGACAGGAATCTGCTTGTATACTAGGGGCCCTCCGATCTTCTCGGCCACCTGAGCCCATTGCATCTCGGGAATAGACATATTGATTGAATAATGAGGATTGAAAGCTGTACAGCTCTATAATGAGAAGATGAGTTTGAATGTGATTGAATCGATGATAGGGAATTATAAGAGTATAAGGGCTTTATAACTTGTTGGCTTGAGACCAGAGAAGAGGAGATTTACTCGGTGTTTTCTGACATCTTGGCAGATCGTCTCGGGCTACCGGAATGAAATTTGAAACTGGAAGAAAAAGGTCTTGCCTAATTCGTCTCGAATCAACTGTACAGGTGGTGATGAGAGTGGCCCCATACAATGCGGGGAAGGTCTGGGGAAATCACGGCCATCACGCACTTTCATGCGGTTCCGCATACTGTGGACCATCACTTTTGACAGCAAATCGACCACCAATCGCACTATTTCTATCATGAGGCTATGGAAGTGGAGACTGGGTCTTCATTAGGTGCCTTGCCTTTGATTATCTTGCAAAGCATCCGTTCAGTACTGCGAGCTTGGCGGTCGTCCCTGTTTTCTCCCGTCATTTGTGCTTTGCTTCAGGCAATACTTCTGCTGTAAACGAGCGACCAATTTAATATTCTTGATCCTTATTCAACCGAGCTCGCTCAATATACACCAGTCAGCCTTTTATAAGAGCTATAATTAAATAGGAGGAATTGAATGAAAAATTCGAGCTTCTACAAGGATTGCTAACCCTGCATGCAGCTTGGTAGAAATCGCTACGGGGCACATTGATTCGTGAAATACGACGTTCGCCCCCACCTTCCAAGTTTAAACACAATCTAGAGAGGCCGTCAAAATGATTATAGCTGTTATTTTCATTCTTATGATATATTTTTTGACACTGTAGAGTCTTCGCTCATCCCGTATGGCAGAAATGTACTTGACCAACCACTGCTAATAGTAAACCCAATTGTCTTCCCACCTAAGGAACTCTCCATTCCATGACTGCCAATACTTTCCACTGGCGGCCTAAGAAGTGGGCCAATATCAAGTGTCAATGATTGGGCTTCAAAGCCCACTTTTTCCTGGGGGTGGCCATTCACTGTCTGTCGACTCAGCAGCAGAGTTGGGCTTTCGATGTGGAGTATTGCCGGGTCGATAAAATCATCAAATCCTTGGCCAGAGCAATAATTTCCCCGAGGATGCACCTGTTCCTCCGAAGTAACTCCAGATTGGTTGACTGGATCACAGGGCAACAAGCAATAATCTGTGTCCTTCGAAAGACCTCCATAGGAACTCCAGTTTGAATGTGTGTAGGGGGTATCATTGTAAAGGGAGACGGGAGGCGATTTGTTGCAAATGTCGTAAAGATATTTGGGTGTCTTACGATTGCCATCGACGCATGTTTCAGTCATCCCGCGCCGTTTGCATTCCATACACGGGCGCTCATTGCCTGATATGCTACTGTCAGCATTATTTGTGGACCCGAAGATTGACTGCTGAGTTCGATTATACTTACCACATGTTCTATGTGATCTTTGACAATTCAAGCATGATCTCCTCGCCTTTTTCCGACGGGGAGCTGTATCACTATCATCTGATGACCCAGTCATACTAGCCCCAGACGATTGATTATAAGGGCTTCTAATGGATATCTTTTGGCGTCCGAAACCTTCTACCTTGGTCTCCCGGTAATTTTTGAGGGAGTTGCGATGATGATCGAAAAGACCAGGTATTGAGGGTGATTTAGATAGCTAATACCGCAAAACTGTAACACCAAAAATTTAAACGAAGTCTTGAATATTTAATAGGACTCAATGTTGGCCATCTCGGCGCTGTATCATATTTACTTTCGAAAGATGATCTGCAGCTAAGGCTCCGCATTGTTTTCACATTTTGCTCCATTTCTATGAGCATGGAGGGCTCAGCCACAGCCGTTATCCTGATCCGGGATTCCATCTCCGCCCCCACAATTTGTGAGAGCTTATCAGAAATACTGTGCATTGAGTTTCACCCATGCGGCTCCGCATCAAGCAAGACCTCCGCGTTAACCGCATGGCAAATCATGCACGGACCCCTTGGGACAGGCTTCACTGCAACGATGCAGCTATTATCATGGCTTTGGATGAAATTAGAGCTCAGGCAAAGCTGACTTTGATCTGGGAATTCAGGGGATTGATGCACAATCTGCAAGGATTCGGCCCCACCCCTGCCAATTAGCAAGACCTGGTAGGCCAGTCAACTTGTGTCTCGTCATTCTTGGTATGGATAGCTTGAACAACAACAAGATTTCCAGCGAAGTCTGCATATGCTGCCGTTCCTTTTCCCCGCGATTCTAGATCAATGTTTAGAATGATCGTCTTATCCGTTCTGCCGTATCCAATCACGTTCCTAGCAGAATATCACCAGCATTGAGCCGTAAGCAAATTACCTTAAGCTCAACTATATATAAATCCGTAGCACAATTGACGACCCCTTGGCTGTGTACAATATACCATCTGCTTGTTCTTTTTCCTGGAATTCTTGTTGACAAATTTGTTTCGGATGCTTCAAGATGGACCACGACCACAGTCCAGATACCGAAAATAAGGAGTCTATCCAATACAAGGAGAGTACAGGACATGCCCTGACTACAATTCCTACGTCGGTGACCTTGTCACCTGAGCAGTTCGAGAAGCTCTACTTGACTCCAATGACACGCCGCCAGCCTGACTTTGCCAAGCGAGTTGGAAATCCGACCCCCTTGTTAGTATTTGAAAGGAGCTCAAGCATGATACCTTGACGTATTCCTAACTTTATACATTCCAGAGCTCTCGGTGGGTTTGTCATCACTACAACCCCAATCTCATGTTGTTTAATGGCCTGGAGAGGGGCGAGTGGGAACGGGGTGGCTTTCATGTAAGAGACATACGGACAAAATAATCACTGGGGCCCTATTAAGCAAGAAAATAGCGGACCGATCGTTTTCCTCGGGGGCTTGCTGCTGCTTATCACCAGTATTCTTGAATTCATACTCGGCAATACTTTTCCCTGCGTCGTTTTCGGTACCATCGGTGAGTTTCACGATATTGTGAATATTGCGATTGCATCTCTCTTATCGGTGAATAGGAGGGTTCTGGTTCGCCTTTGCAGCTACAATGATTCCCGCATTCAATGCAGCCGGTATGTCGGCTTCAAGCTCATGTCATAATATACATTTCTCACACAGGCATAGCCCCCTATTCTGCGTCAACCACCGATACGGTAGCCGGACTCTCCAGTGCAGGCTTTATGACCACCTACGGCAAGTCAAAAGGTCTCCAGTTATGTGTCTTCTATAAGCTACTAACAACGATTCAAAATTCCAGCTTTTCTATTCGTCACCATGGCCGTACTTATGCTGATATTTATGATTTGCGCCACACGTACCAATATTGTGTATACACTGATCTTTTTGACACTGCTGGTGGTTTTCCTGCTTCTATCATCTGCCTATTGGCTGCTGGCGGAAGGAAGTCTTTCTGCTGGTAACAAATGCGTCAAAGTTAGTATATACCTTCTCCATCACAAGATCCTCGGCCGCGTAGCCAGAGGCTAACTCGAACTCTGTTTATAGGGAGCGGGGGCTTCGCTCTTTGTTGCAAGTCTGCTCGGCTTCTACCTGCTGATTGTCCAGTTGTTCGAGGCACTGGGATTCCCGTTCCGCTTACCCGTTGGAGACCTGGCGGCCCTTTGGGACCGAAGTATACCAAAGTAGGTTTTCGGTCCGAATCTTCTGAAATACTCATGCTAATCGCACTGAAGCGACACTATGCGTGATATTGAAGAATCTGCAGCCGTTATTCAGAAGTAAACTGAGTAAAAAGGGTACGATATATGCTATTCCACTGGGTTACGTTCAAATGACAAAACCTCGGGATTTTGGTCTGGGTCGATGGCTTCTGAATTTCGATATTTAGTAAAGTCAGTCATTACGATGTCTTAAAATGTTGTAGCCTAATTCGGAGGAGATATTGTAATATGGTTGAAATCGCAAATCTGTGATGACCTTTCAATTTTCCACTTTTTCAAAGAACCACCTTTTCAAACCCTTCTTTCTACATAAATTTTGAATACTCTCTCTAGATAGCCTTAGTCTTTCTTGTCTTCTCGCTTCGTTTCCAGGCCGCGACCAATAACATCTGATCGATGGCAGATTACAATATACGTCCCGATTGATAATAATTTCCTCGTGCTGTCCCTTGGCCATGTGCAGGGATACTCTTCCGGGGGACCAGCGAATTTGCCTTTTTAGGACCCCGCCAAGTGGATCATCTCCACATGGCGCGGCACTCCAGAAACCCTCGGTGACATTGAGCCAGAACTTCCCAACGACACTCCTGAAGGCCTTGATCACAGAGCCATTCAGTCTTCCTTTTGCTTGTGAACTCTGCTCCATAAGAATCGTCAATCCAATAATTACGATACAAGCCCAGCATGACTTCTCCATCTTACGTGGGACTTTCCGAACCCTTCGCCATTTTGACACCCAGACTCATAGTCATTCCCACGCCGATCGCAGTACATGTAGCACCTTATCGGGCACTGTACGCTGCATTGCACGCAGACGCTGGATTCTGCCGAATGGGCTTCGGCGAGAGCTTTCCCGTCAAAAACTGGAATGACGATGAAACGCGCGACACTATTGAAACGCGCGATATCAGGCGTTCGTGGCAGAAACATGGCTTGGGGGACTTTGCCGTGGGGCTTCGTCCGCAACTCAGATCTGGAGGTCTGGGGGCGAGCTCCGAGAGAGGCTCTAGTTCTCCCGTGTCAATGCTGCGAGGACAAGAGTTTGAACAGTTCGTGGGTCCAAATGGGACACGGCTGAATGCGATTCAGTGGGTGGGTTATTCGGGAGTCCGTGATGCGACGACGACGTCGCTTCCCCCGCAAGAAGCTGGAGATGCGCCCTATCCAGACTGGCTTGAAATGGTCGAAATTCGATACGGGGTTGCACCAGCATTTTGGGGAAAGGGCATCGCTCAAGAAGCGTCGAATGCGATCATGCAATGGGCCATTCGTGAGAAGGGAGTGAAGAGATTCATCGCCGAGACCGAGCGGGATAATCAACGCAGTGGTCGGCTTCTCCAAAAGCTCGGATATGTTCACAGCGGAACAAACTATTGGAAAGAGCGCCAGGAAGTGGAGTGGGAGATGGTTGTCGGGCAAGAGTGAGAACGACTGGAGCCGCTTAATGGGTGTTTCAGCGTCGAGTTCTGTCGATGTAAAAGATCATTAGCAGACGAATAAAGAAAGCAGTGGGATTTCTTCTGGTGCTGGGACGTAAGAAATGTTGCAATGTCTGGGCTGCTCGGCGCATTAGACACGCTGTATCCACATTGTAAAGAGATATAAAGAAAAAGGGCTAGAATTACTAAAAAAAAAATAGTGAGAAGATTGCTCTTCAACAGAATCGTTGGGGGTCATTGGAAATGGTGGTTGGTAAGAAGCAAGTCAAAGCGTTCATCGCTGGGATGAAGCGCGCGAAGTAAGTAGGCTTTACGGAAAGCCCGTATACGGTAGAGGTGCAGCGGCGTGTTGTGGAAGGATGGGAATAGCGGCGTGAACGGCCTCGAGAGCTGTTGCTCGATTGGGGTGGGTGCTGTTGACCGGGTCGACCACGGCCGGATTGAATAGCTTCATGTTGGTGGGTAGCGAGTGGGAAACCAAAACACCCAGATAGACTAAAGGGGGTACCAAAAAGGAATGAAGGCGCAAAAATGTGCAAGTCAAAGGCCAGTTCCAGGATCGAGCCATGAATTACCCAATACCGGGTTGTCCAGTGGGTTAAGTATTGCAATGCTGTATTAAAAGTTCCACAAGTACTTGGCCATCACACTGATGCCACTCCGGCCTTGAGGTGCATCTTCGGAGAAGCCTGCTCGTGCGACGGGGAATACTGAGATGCCGGTCCTGCTCTTGCTCCCTAGGAGTCCAATCTTGCACCGCTCTAACAACCCTCTCCCACCACGTGCTAAGCCTATCGATGATCGGAGCTCTGGACCCCATAGAATCCCCTACCCAGGGGCTTTGGGACATCTATAATTTGACAAGACGGCCTAGGGCGTGCGCCTTTTTTTGGTTGTTGATTTCGTGAGATTTCGATCCAGCGTGTCATGATGCCGGCGAGCATAGTTGGGGGTCGGTGGCAATGACCGCGTGGACCGGGCTGTCGAGGGTCAAATGCTCAGGTACATGGACCTCGAGAACGTCAATTTGAGTGGCACCGGTTCGAGGCCTGCTGGAGGCAATGAATTCTTTTCTCCCTCTTCTTGTTAGGACTGCCTGCTGTCGCTATGATCGAGGCAAACATCCTTCCTAATTAGGCAACTCACCCTCTTCCCAATAAAATGACCTTATCAGTGACCCTACGCTCCATGTCTTACTTTCTGGATCACGGTGATGAATGTCTGCTCTTGGAATCAACTCATCTTCAAATCGAACTTTCCTGGGACGATTCTGCTTATTGCCATATAATACACCCACCCAGCGATCACCCTTCCGTTTGTACAAGGCTAAACTCTATGACATGTGTACGCGTATAAAAGTCGGATTCTTTTGATCACTTGATGGTAAGATATTTACATAAGCCTCTCTCAATACGCTATATTCATCCCATGCTTACATGCCACATATCCACCCCATTTACTCAGTAACACTATCCTGGATAGTCCGCAACGTACTCGTCTTATGCGCCGGATCAATCGCAGCCGCGTTCCTCGCCCGACGTCTCGCATCTGTCCAGAGCATGAACTCCCCATATGACTTCGGCATAACCTCAATATCCTTCTCCACAAGGAAGGTATAGTTGAACATGCCGGTTGATTTCTTCGTACCGTGCTCTACATCCCGCACCTTCGAGTCAACACGCACCTGCACCTTGGTGTACTTACTATGTCCACCCTCGCGCTCTTCGGGCTCGGTGTAGGCCACCGTTGCGCGGAGGTACAGCACACTGCCGACGGGGACGGGGTTCTCGAATGTGCTTGGGTCGAGGGCCAGGAAGTTGGGACGGGTGTGTGAAAAAGCGGCGGCGCAACAGAACGCTAGTTCGAAAGTTTGCTTGAGCAGGAAGCCACCAAAAATCATGAAGTTATGGCGATTGCGGTCTTGGGGTTGCATGATCATGGCTGATTTGAGAACGGTGTCGCTCATGGACATCTGGTTGGCGGGGCGGATGGCGGGGACTTGGGGGTCTGGTATGGAGGGTTAGATAGATGGGAGAATGAGGCAGATGTGGACGGTACGTACTGATATAGGACATCTCCTTGGTCCACATGGAGTGGATCAGGTTGGACTCCTCTTCATCGGGTGCCTTTTCAAGGAGACTACGTTTGCGCAGAGCCTTCTTAGCCATGTAGTTCTCCTCGCCCTTTTTGAAGAGTGCTTTCTCTTCTTCAGTCTCGACAATCAGTGGAGCCACTGGAACCGGCCTGAATGACGGATATTAGTACACAGCATCAGAGCGCAAAAGTGTATTCCGTCCAACTTACTGCTTCGTAGCCGGGTCCAGAGAAACCATCGTGAATGCACAGGTGATCAAAACATCCTCAGGCTGGGCGGGCTGTCCCTCTGGGCGCGCCTTGCAAACCTGCACGGAGACTTCCATACTGGATCGCCCAGTGGCGTAAGACACTTGACCACTAAGCTCGAGATCACAGATCTCCATCAGGGGATGTTCGATTGTGATTCGATCCACAGCAGCAGTCACAGTGCTAACGCCATCACCGGTATGGCGGTACGCAATGACGCCAGCCAAGGCGTCAAGGTCCATGACTAGTGATCCAAGTCTAGCAAACTGTTAATGACTGATTTCTGGACTCCTCAAGGGACGTGGACCTACCGGATATGTCCAGAAGCATTGAGATAGGTATCCAAAAGCCATTTATCTTGGGCCAGGGGCAAGATCTGTGATGACTACTTTAGCAAATTGTTTCCCGTAACCTCGGGCTGTATGCATACGGCACTATAATAGCTGTCGGACATTTTCTTCGGCGTGAGATCCGGCTTGACAGGCGTTGGCGGCGGCACACCCGCCTTTGATTCACGCGCAGCCTCACGACTCTGAGTCAAGGCTTCGATCCACGGAGTCTTGACGCGCATTGGCATCCATGTCGGCCTGAACGCCTCTTTTGTCGGCGTTGCGCAGAATTCTCGGGTGTTGGTGCACGGTGATTGAGTGACCGCCACGGCGCGAGCCGGGAGTGATCTCGGCGTCAGAGACTTCGACCGGGCGAGAGCGGTCCTTTTTCCTGCTAGACCGAACATGATGTGAATACTTTTTTAGAGATTCAGTGATTGGAATGGCGGAAAGTAGACGTATTAGTATTCGCGATGACGCTGTTGGCGTGCCCGAAGGATAAGCCTGATTCGGTTAGCGGCCGGGAACCCGGGGATTCTCGGATCGGAAGTGCCGAAGATCACCGGCACGGGGACCGCTACGCTCTCTGCCGGTACTTGTATGAAGAGATAAAGAGAATCGACCGAATGTCTTTTCAATAACTTCTAATGACCATTCCGATCAACCTCAATGAGCTAGGCGAGAAGTCCTTTTGTCATAGATAATGCTTCGCAATTCCGAACAACTTGAGCACTGTCGATTCCATTCACCAACTTAGACAAGAGCAACTGAGACCTATCCCAGCTAAAGTTTATTATCAAGTGAAATATAGTAGCGTGCTAGAGAATATTTCAATACAAGGCACTTTTCATAACTGCGAAAACAGACTGAGTCAGAGAACTCAACGAAATACTCAACGACATTCTTAGGATCATGCTAAGTGAGAAAGATGTTTGTATCTAGCAGACGTTCTTTCTTAACTGTGGCATCACGGGTTCATGTGGGAAATGCAGTTGAATTTTGTTGACAAAATATTTCCTCAGGTCAAACTTTTTCCGCTGCAGCCGCATGACGACTAGGAATAATCAATAAGGGGAATCGGCAGGGGAAAGTAAATACGCATGATGGAATGGAGAGATGTGAAAGTGGATTACCTGCCGGACAAATCAGGCAGCAACATGTACACCTCCATGACCATGTGTTCGTCATAATGCAGGGCAATCCATTTTGTTGACTCAAGCTTAATTGGAGTGCACTAGTTTAGAATTGGAAACATGTATGGGTCATATAGCCACGCGCTTTAACCGAAGTTACCACGCTACCAACCGTCCCAGCTGGAAGACTTGTCTTCTCGGCTGTGCCCAGTTAGAGCATTGAAATCTCCTCGATTCTCGATTGAATGATACTCCGTTATTCTACCCGCGAAGACTCCCGGCTCCGAGACAAATATCCACAGCCTAGTTTAAAAATCAGTAGCATAAACAGACCAAATTCTGTGGCTGTTTCAAAGGCCGCCGGAGTTTCTTTCGGTTTGAGATCCCCCGAAACTCCACCCGGCGCGACAGTACAAGTCTCCCCCACCCCCGCATTGACTTCGATGCAACGGCTATCTAGATCATAATAGTTAAGGTTGAAAATGGTCTCCAAAGAGGATAAACAGGTACATTGTGGCGGTGTCCATTCTCACGGTTCCCTCTTTTCGACCGCCATACTGACCAACTGATATGATTACTGTAGATCATCAATGCCCTCCAGGCTAACTGGGTCTGGATCCCGAATTGGGTAGATTCCTCAACTTCAAACACAGCGGGCAGAATCGTGAATTTCGTTCGCCATATTACTTTGTCATCAGCTCCAACTCAGGCGAAGCTACACTTTTCGGCTGACACGCGGTACAAGTTATTCGTTAATGGAATGCGCGTTGCAGTTGGACCTACCAGAAGCAGTCCATTTATCTGGTACTACGATTCACTCGACATTGCACCCTTCTTGCAGCCGGGGGAAAATGAGATTCGCTTTGTAGTACTGCGGTACTTCGCTTCCTCGCGTGGAGCTATGGCTTTTGAGCGAACGGCTCTTCCGGGATTGACGATTGTTGGCCAGGTGGAGGCTGGTGCTGAGACTATTGACATTGGCTCTCGCCAGGGCTGGGAAGGTTCCCCGGACGAGTCTGTTCAATTTCCAATGGGATTGATAGACGATGTTTTCCTCCACGTGAGTGCACTTTGATAATCGGCTTTCTACCTACTCAACATGTTAAACTTCAGTCCAGATTAGCGAACGTATCTCTCCGGCCGATCCAGTCCCTGAAACTACGCCAGTTCCTTACGATATCAGAACCTTGAACGGAGATATTGCTCCTTGGGCTCTGCGTCCACGCCCAATTCCCATGCCCGAATCAACCCCTGTCGTTGCCAATAAGATTCGATCGTGTGAGAGCAGTTTTACGGCAGAGGACTGGTCAGCCTTCCATTTGGGTGGTCATCCCCTGATCCTCCCCCAGGGCTCATCGCACATTCTTGAGCTACAAGCCGATTGTCATTCAACCGCTTTTATCAGATGGGTTTTCAAGGCTACCAGCAAACCGTCCGAGATCAAGCTCAAAGTGACCTACTCTGAAGGATACGAACTTGAACCCCGTTCTTATCCCTTCTTCCGGTCTAAAGCCGATCGGCTGGATGCGGAGGGTGGCCATATCATAGGCCCCTACGATGAAGTTGTGCTCAAGGCCTCTGACAAGGAAACATCATATGAGCCATTTTGGTTCCGTACTTTCCGACTGATGAGACTTGAAATGACCGTGGGTGAGGAGCCAATTGAGCTCAAGTCTTTTGAAGCAATCCAGGTCAACTATCCTATGGCGGTGAAAGCCAGCTGGAAAGAAGCTGGGGATGTGCACAGCGAAGATATCTGGGCTGTGTCGATTCGGACAATGCGAAACTGCATGTTTGACGGCTATTCCGATTGCCCTTTCTACGAACAACTACAGTAGGTCTATCACCCGAGGTTTCAAATTTTATTTTTGCTAACAGAATATACCTGCTCCAGATACTCTGGAGACACTCGCTCCGTTGGCTTGTTTCATTACCTCTTGTCTGGCGATGATCGATTAATGCGGCAAGCTATCACCAACTTCGCAGCCTCTGTAACCCCTTGTGGCCTCACTCAGTCGCGTTTCCCATCGCATGCCCCACAAATCATCGCAGGATTTTCCCTGTACTGGGTTCTTCAAGTTTGTGATCACTACATGTTCTTCGGAGACAAAGCTTTTGCGCGCAGCTTCATTCCACGTATCGATGGGGTCTTTGAGTTTTTCGATTCGCACATCGATGACCTGGGCCTTATCAGTGGCCTTCCAGAGGAGATTTGGCAGTACGTTGACTGGGTGACAACGTGGGGCGCGACTGACGAGCATCCGGACAAAGGTGTGCCAACCTCTGGTCGAAAGTCGAACCGTCACACATACTTTAGCATGCTATACGCTTATGTGCTCCGAAAAGGTGCTGAGCTAGTTCGCCACGTCGGACGGCCTGGAAATGCAGCAGAGTACGAGAATCGGGCTACAAGGCTTCTGGAAGCTATCCGAAAAAATTGCTATGACGGTGAATTCTTCACAGACTCTACGGCAGACGTTGCAGATGAACTATCTTACTCTCAACACTGCCAAGTATTTGCTGTCCTTTGTGGAGCTTCCACCCCAGATCACCATGAGCGTATTCTGTCAGAAAGCTTCACGAATCCTCGTTTCTCCAAGTGCTCGTATATGATGCGATTCTACGCATTCCGTGCTCTTGCGGAGGCCGGAGGGCAAGTCTATGACAAGTTTTGGACTTCAATGTGGGCACCATGGCGTCAAATGCTTGCCAATAATCTGTCAACCTGGGAAGAGGATGATGTTCGCCAACGTTCGGACTGCCACGCATGGGGTAGCGTTCCAATCTACGAATACTGCACTGAGCTGGCTGGCATCTGCCCTGTAGCGCCGGGGTCATCCAAGATTCGTTTCAAGCCCCGTCTGCAGCTGAGTCAATCGATTGTGGCGAAAATTTGCCTTGGACGTGAGAACATTGCGCATGTCTCTTGGTGTCAAATTAACGACAAGGAGAAACATGTGACGCTGAGACTTGATCAACCTGTGGAAGTTATAAGTCAGCTTCCAGGTGGGCAAGAGGTAAATCACGGGGTCTTGACCCATCTTGACTTGGTCTATGGACCATCTCAGCTTTGAGATACTCGGTAAATAGCAATATATTCCTGCTTTTGAAAGTGATGATACCTTGTGCTGGTCATCGAAGACGTAGCCGGTCATTGAGGGGTGACCTACACGGTTTCTATACACCGTACGGCACTGTTATCACGTTATCCGACGCCGCCCCACTGGTACCTGTTTTCCGAATCCAAAGCATCCGTTAGGAAACCGTCTAGGAAACCGTCTAGGAAACCGTCTAGGAAACGCTCTAGGAAACGCTCTAGGAAGCTATCTAGGAAGCTATTTAAATTATTAAGAAAAATATATAGAAGGTTATACCTACAGATCACTATCTTTACCGAACTAATTAAGTACTAGCGCGATAGTATTACCATTAAGAAGTTAATTATAGTATTCATTGAATTTATAAGATTATAATCGTCTACATTTTAGCTCCAGTAATTTCATCAGTCAGTTAATGCGAGTCAAATTCAATCAGTTTGGGACGGGAAATTACACACAACTAAGGGTATATAGGATATGCGTAGATTGTATAAGGGAAAAGATGCCTTCTGATGGGATTCTGTTGGTAAGAGATATGAGGTTGAAGATGGAAGGTTGACGAGTGTTGACGAGTGTTGACTTGAGGGCCACGGTGATCTGCCTGATCAAACCAAACTTCTAATTAATCCCCCTCTTACGCCTCTGAGACCTACAATCTACATCTACCCTTATCCTACGATGGCCCAGCGTTCTACCGATTAGTCGGATGGAGGAACGAGAACGTGGAAGCACTCTTGGTCCGATTTGCTGCTAAACCTAATTCGGCAATACCACTACGTACCTTCCCTCTATACTTCGACTTGGGTCTTCAGCCTGGTTTTCGGGCGCCCTTCCTACAACCCTCACCCCCAAATTTTTTTACACACGCAAAATCTGCTCTCTTCGCAAGACTTACACACGCAAAAGCTACTCTCTTCGCACGACGAATCCAGCATGGCAGCAACCAGCGCAGGCCAGTCCACCAGTGCGATTACGCGCGAACAGTTTGAGGAAGTGATAAATCGCGCAGTGAACAATCATAACCGGCTGTACAACAATTCTTTCGCTCTGAGTATTCGATGGGAACAAGACACCGATACCTCTAGAGATACTGAGCACTTTCAATCAATTCTAAGCACACTCAATCTCAACCAAGCGGAAGTTGAGATCTTAGCCGCACAGGATCGGACCCCTGGCTGGACACTGATTTCTAAGCTCTGCTCTATTTTCCAACGTGCAGTCGACACACCAGGTAAATCTATCGTGGTTCTTCACTACACTGGTCACGGAGAGCTCAGACAGGAACAGCTCTTTGCTGTTGAAGGCCTAACCCGCCGAAGCCTAAATCTCCAAAGAATCGTCGATTCCCTTGTGGAAGGAGATATCTATGACTTCGATATCGCAGATACCGACGTTGTTCTAATTCTGGATTGCTGTTATTCGCATATAGCAGCGCGAGCGCTAAATCCCACGACTCGAGTTGTTGAGATCCTTGCTGCGAGTGATAATCGCACTCCCGAGGATCACACTCTTGAGGCCCTTGCGCCACCACGCAATACCTTAACTGGAAAGTTACGGGGAGAATTTTCTCGGCGTAAGCAAGAAGGCTATCACTTCGTGGAACTCTCAGACGTGATGGCGGTAATTCGAAGAAACAGCCCGGTCGTTACGCCAACACATCAGGTTAAGCTAGGGCAGTCTATACGCTCACCTTTTGCTGGAGTCACGCGAATTAATCCGCATATCATTACCCCTACGCTATGCGCAGAATTTTCGGTTCGGATCGTCGAAAATATGACCCAGCAACAGATCGACAGCTTGATCACTTGGATCGCAACCCTTCCACGTGGATACAGTATGGAACTTGACGGTGTCTACGAAACAGCCTCGACTCTTCTGATTTTCCAAAGCGCATATGCGCTGTTTGCGAATATCGCTGGTCACCCCGGTGTCACATTTATTTCGGACGTGACAAGCCAGAACCGCCGTCAATCTCTCGGCCAAGAGCGGCACGCAGGTCCTTCATCTATTTTGAAGGACAATGTTCCATTCTCGGGACGCTCTAAGCCATGAGAAAACATCGCTCAATTAAAGCTCTTATTAAGACCGGCCTTGCTTAGATAGCTCGCTCTAAGATATGCTATTAGCCTGAGGTTAGCTCACATAGAATTATCTTCCCCCTCTGCATCTTCGCAAATTACTTTGATAGCAGTCAAAAAGCTAGCGTGAATGGCTTGGCAATAGCGAACCTGCGTCTAGTCTCCAAAGTTTGCGAAGACCAATAATTACACTAATTTGTATACAACGCATGGCACTATTATCACAATATCCGCCGCCGCCCCACTAGCAACTGTTTTCCCAATCCAAAGCATGAACTTCGCGGCCAAACAGGAGTTTCGAATGCTTCCCTATCCCAGCCTCTCCTACTATATAATTAGATCCTGAATATATTATCTGTTATGTTTCGAACTACATTGACTTCCGTTATCATTCAAATACCTGGTAGACGTGCATAACAATCCAGCTTTGTACTACTTAAACAATCACAATGTTTCCAGTTTCAATCAAGGCAAGAAGATCGGCAGATATCACCTCTGAGGGAATCTGATTCGTCTCGCAACGTCACAAAGCGGAATCAACTAAATGAGTGTTGAACTGCGTACAACTTAAAAGTATCAAGGTAACTTGACCAACAATCTCGCTAAATTGTTGGAATTTCCCTTCCACTAGCACGATACGCTTGATTTGACCAATCACGCGGTGGTATGCTTCGCATCCTGGTGTTGCTCGTTGGCCCGCATCTGAACTTCTGTCACGTAGCCTTTGAATTTGCGAAGACTAACTTTCTTCTCGAACCTTTACGAAACAGAATAGTCAGTACCGATTCTTTCCCACGATCATGAGGATCTCACATTTCATCAATCTCAGCAGGAGTGCGACGGGTTAATTCGGGGAGGATGAACCAGGCAATGACTGTCGAGACTGTTCCAGTTCCAGCAAAGCTGTGGGAGCAGATGGAGAGTTAGCTTGGATCGATCCAGTCCGTTGAGTAACGTTCTCAAGAATTTGTCATACAAAAAGCCGGTTTTAACACCCCATTTAGCACTGCCATTGATCATCAGTGGCGTACAGAAGCTAAGCATGATGGCAATAGCATTGGAAAAGGCAAGGGCCCAGCCTGCAGTCTTTGCACGGAGGCGCTGTTGGGGAACTTCCGCGGCATAAGCATATCCGATTGCTGAGGCACCTGTGGTTGACAATGTTGCCAGGCAAGCGAAGAAGACCTATATCCAATTCTTAGTCAGATATTCGATGGACTTCTGCAGAGCTATCCGTACCAAAAGCGAGCTTGTAGATGGCTTAGTGTAATCAAAACATCCTATGATGCCAAGACACAAGACAGACACAGTAGTCACGGCGTAAGGATAGACTGTCAAAGGTCGACGACCAAATCTATCAGTGGTTGTGGCTGTAAGAAGGACTGAGATTAATTGGACGCATGAAAGAATCACGGTGACTTGAAATGGATTCTTGTTTCCAGCATTTTGAACTAGGGTAGGCAAATTTGTGAGTATCCAAGCTCTGGCAAAAATATAACTTATGCATTACTTACAAAAGTAGGTAGCATTGGTGTTGAACACGGACAAGCCAACAAATTGCTGGACGATCTTTGGCCAACTGGCAATGATAAATCGGATCAAGTTGCGGCCTCTGAAAACGGCCCAAGTGTCTTCCTCGGAGTTCTGCTCTGCCATGATGCGTTCCTGCGCGACAGTTGTGGTCATGACTTCCTGGAATTGTTTAGCAGAGAGATTCCGTATAATTCGGATGGCAATAATCATACGATTTGCTCCTGGACGTCATATCCATCGACTTTGCCGTTGAAAAAGTTGAGCACTTTGGCTGCCTTGTCAAGCTTGCCTTTGCTTACAAGCCACCATGGCGACTCTGGAAGAAGTAGAAAAATAAATATGATGGCCCCAATCATAGCCCACTTGAAAACGAAATCTTTTATTAGCTATACTCCACCATGATCTATCTAAAGACTCTGACATACCTGTGTGTAAATCGGAAGTCGGAACTCGTAGGGATCTCTTGCGGCCAGTTGGTTCAAGGCCACTGAAGCAAAGATTTGACCAACAACGAACCAACTGGAAATTTGGGGGTTAGCATGTAACAATGATTATATGGGTTTAGTTTAGCTTACAAGCTGTATGCGTTGATGTAGAATCCTCGCAGTTGTGTTGGAGCAAGCTCAGAGAGGTACAGAGGCAGCGTAGATTGCAACATGCCCACACCCATACCCGAAAACAATTTGGCTACAAGCCAGTGGTCCCAGCGTGTTGCAAAGGTCTCGATAAAGATGCTCTGTGTCGAGACGGGCTTCAGTTAGCAAACTTTGTGGCGTTAAGGTCTTTGCCCACTGGGTGCATGCTCACAACAACTAGATCAGCCCAAATGATGTACAACGCTATTTTGCGACCGAATCTCTCCGTGGCATATTGAAGCAACTAATAAATTCAGTATTCCTGTACTGTATTGCAACGGAAAATTCTAGGATACATACGATCTGGCCCACGGTCTGACCTGCAGACTGAATACCTGACCACGCTGAAACGTATTTTCCCTCGATGACCGTGGTCTTCAGGGGCTCCATCTGCCTGATAAACCCCTTATTAGAGACAATACCACCGTTCAAGTTTATCTCTGAAATTTGCGCATCAGCATATCGCTTGTGAAGGGCGGAAATGACTGTTCTTCCATACGGTATCCATCGAGCGAGGCACTGAATGCAGCGATCATAGCAATTAAAGACATTTTTTTGAATCGGAGTGCACACTGCCAGACACAAAGATCATCTTCTCGAGAGCGCATAACCGGGTCTCCATTTTTGACCGGCGTCGATGGTCGCTTTTCTGCATAATAATTCTCAATAGCTTCGCTGTTCTCATTTATATAATCCATTGCGACAACTGGTGGCCGCGAAAGTAGATAAAGTCGATATGTTACTCCACACGGTGTGGGAGATTCTTGAAAGATGGGATCGAAGAACACAAAGAACCAGCGCTGAAGAATCACCCTGAATAGCTGGTTACTTATCTCGCTTCTTTTAAATCAAAACGCCGAGGATGAAAATGCGGGGTGGAAAGCATGAAGAGCTTGTGCATTCTTGGGCCTGCTGATTTACATTTGACAAATTAACCAACATTTCTGATACCTTCATTCTGGTTCAATAGCCGATCACAAGCCGTGGGCTTCGTAGGCAAACTTGATTAGCTCCGTTGGCCGACAATTAGCCCGATGACTGAGTAGCTCATCCGGCGCGGCATATGCTTCGCATTGATTTACCCCGAAATATCAGCCAATTGCATATCATGCCTTAATTATTAATCAAGGTACTCCTGAATCAGCCTGCAGTCCGAATTTCAGGTCACATTTCCAATTTATCTTGATTCAACCGAGACGATCCATTGAAAGGCTCGAGGTGTTTAGCGGTCTGTTGAACTAGACCTGGGCTGAGAGGATTTTTTAGCTTTGTTCAAGGACTCTATCACTAGAATACTAGATATTATACCCACTAGGGCCATCATCATCCTTATTCTCTTCTCAATGATTATTGAGACGGTAACAGTCTTCCCCGCACGTTAAACAAGGAGAATCGTCCATTGCGCTTTTCCAAATTCGGGTAATTTCCTGCGGAACCACCGGGGTAGTTCGTCTCCCATGCCTGAAAGGACGCTTCTGGGGAAAGCACTTTTGATTCGTCCGAAGCTCTTTGTGTCTATCTATAAAGACAGCAGTGGTTTCAAATCGCGTGACGAGTCTAATTTCAGTGGAGAAGGTTCTTGGTGACCGTGTTCGAGGGAAATATGGTAAAGTCAGAGAATATAATATTTTGATGCTAGAGTTACACGAGTATACCGAGTCTCGCAATTAAGATACATTTCCAGTTTCCCCGGTACATTCTAGATCGCGACCTAATCGCTTCGCACCTTGATCACAACCTTGCCTCTTGCATGTTGAGTAGCAACCCGCTCGTACGCCGCTAAAGCATCCTCCATGTCATAGACAGAGTCAACAGAGATGCGAATACGGCCCTCCTCCACCAAGTGCGCCATATGAATCGCGGCATCACGAGTCGGCGGCGTGCTAAATGTAATATAACGACGTGGCACACCACCCAGCCACGTAGGCAGGAATTTATTTGCCAGGGTGTTAACTGTCGTCACATAGATACCCTCCAGAAAACCGATATTGACCACGGCACCTTCAGGCTTGAGATAAGCCGGCGAATTGGCATAAAGCGCCTGCGTGCCGACGCAGTCCAGGATAAAGTCAAACGGCTTATCACCATATTGACTAGCCAGGTAAGCCGGTAGTGTGTCATGCTTGCGGTAGTCAATAAACTAGAAAAATTGATCAGCAATCCCTCCCTTACTTTTATATACTGCATTTGAAAGTAAATATACCTCATCAACCCCAAGTTCACGAACCATCTCCTCATTGCCCCCACTAGCAACACCAACAACCCTCGCCCCCCTAACCTTGCACAATTGCACAAGAACAGATCCAACAGATCCACTAGCCCCGTTCACCAGAACAACATGTCCCTCCCGAACACCGGCAGTTCGACAAATTTTCAACGCACAGCTGCCCGCCCCATTGATCCCCGACGCCGACACCATATCCACATGTCCCCCGACACGCGCAACATGACTACCCGGAACACGCACGTACTCGGCCAACACACCGCGGCCCAGTGCGAGATTCAAAATACTTTCGAACCCGATGACAGGCGTGCCGGGGTCGCGTACTTCTGGCGGTGCGTTGGCGCCGGCGGCGACGATTTCGCCTGAAAACTCGATTTCGGGGACCCAATGCCTTGTTAGGGGCGTGTTTGGAATTAGGGTCATTAGTAGTTCGGTGCTGAAGTTTAGGGCGACGTAGGATATGCGGATTAGGACGTCCGAGGATGATGTTGTTGGTAGGGCTGGTGTGGGGATCGTGAATAGTTGGAGGTTTTTTGCGGGACCGCGATGGGGGCGAACCCAGGCGCGCATTGTTAGTGGGATGGTAGGTGTCATAATTGTTGGCTATTGAGGATGTGGTTCATAGCATTGTGTTCAGCGAAGGAGATTGGAATTTGCGTCTCGCGATATTTTTGGCGAGATGGCGGTTGAGGTTGTTAGTTTGAGGTAACGTAAAGTCAGTCCAGGAAAGATAGACGTCAATATAGATTTGAGAAATCGGATGATGAGTTGTCAAAATTGATTCGTGGTAAACGAGACGGACTTGCCTACTTCAATCCTTTATAAAATTGAAACCCACGGTCCTCTGTATTGGATGTTGAGCCGTCGGCTTGATGATAGGCCGGTCATCTTCAATCCACAGGTACAGCCTTGTCCGATACCACCCGAGAAATCGCCGGCATAAGCGCCCGTCATCAGCGAGACCACATCCACTTTTGCAATAGGGTCATGGGTATGGTGAGTTCTTTAAAGGACCTGAAATCGCAACATGACATTCTAGGCAAACATATCTCCGGTTGAGTAGTCCAGTCATGACCTGCTCGAATGTTTTTCAAAACTTCTACTGAAAGGAAGTATCTGACAGAAGCTCAAATTGTGCATTGATGGATAGATTTTTATTACAAAGATAGCAGCCTCCATCATAGGGCGAAGATCAAGATCGTATTCTAATAGTACAGCCAGTCGAATCCGCCAAAAAGACGGCCGACCAAATATGATGTGCGCAAATGATACAGCGGCTCTGGATGCAAGAAACGAAGGTTTGACGATGGAATCGTCCCCGTTGCAGAAAATTAAACGAATAGTATGTGCGAAAAGGGGGTATCGTCGGAATTTGGAAAGAATGACAGAGAAGTTATTGTCGAAATGTTCCGGTAGAAACATGTGCGGAGCCGGAAGTATGAGTATTAACAGATGATAACGCTGATGGAAAGGTAGTCGGTCGGTATGCGCGAGAAAATGAGTTCGGGCTGGCGGATTTGGTAGCGCTCAGCGGGTTGAAGGTGGGAACTGTGGGCGAATTTGTGGTCGGAAGAAAGTGGTGGAAGTGCGCCGGTATGGAGTTTGTTGAGGCGCGGAGATGGCTGATGATGTAGATGTTGCAACCTCTAAATGAAGAGCAACCCAGTGATAGCCGTGAGCAGGGATAGACCCACGCCTTGGGACAGACGAGATGCAGCACCAGTGTGCATCACTGTATCCGCAGTCGTCGTCGCAGAAATCGTGGAGTTGGTGGTGGAGCCGCTAACGGTGCCAGTACTAGTGGCAGCGGTAACGGCAGAGGCAGCGGTCGTACCAGTAACAGTCGGGTTGGTAAATGTTCCATTACCAGTCGAATTGGACGAGGACAGAGTACCGAATCCGATCTGCCCGTTGTCAAAGTCAAAGACCGAGTAGACGTTCTTCAAGAAGACATCTCCAACGAGCCAGTCATTAGCACCTGACGACTGGTGGCCGACAATGGTGGACACGCAGCCGCCCGTGCTGGATGCGCCAATGTAGTCCTCCGGCTCGATTGAGTATTTGATACCAGAGAAAGAAAGCTCCAAGGTTGCGGTCGAGTTGCAAGGGATAATGTAGTTTTCACCCGACTGAGAGGATCCGGGGATACGAGCGAAGAGAGTCTTGGCGTCGGCGGGAGGAATGAGGATGTAAGTGGTTCCAGTGTCGATGGTAGCGGCCTTGTTGGTCAAACCGGTAGCTTGCCCATTCACATAGACATCATCCATGGGAATCGTCCAGATATCTGCGTTGGTGGCCGTGTAGGAGATGTTGCCGTCAAATTTGGAGGTATCGACCGTTCCAAAGTTGACTTCGCCGTCCTTTTTGTTATCACTGGCACGGGAAAGGCTGAATCCGACGATATTCGAGGTGGTGTACTTGTTTTTGGCAACAACATCCATAAAAGAGGGGATAGTCCATCCGGCAGTTCCCGATCGACCCAAACCGAGGATTCCATCGATTGGGTAGCTGGAGAAGGTATCGTTCGCGAAGGTGGCCGTTCCGAATGAGAAGGTCACATCCATGCCGGCAATAGAGAAAACATCCTGTCCCAGGTCGCCCTTGACCATCCCGCTGCCATAACCAACACTAAAGGCCGAGGAGTTCGAGGCATAGGAGCTAGAGGCGGACTTGTCAAAGGTGTGGTGAGTCGTGCAGACCGTGTCGGTGCAGCTGGAGCTGAATACCCAGCTGCTGGGCGATCCAGTATCAAGAGCGAGCCACATTTCCTCCTTTTGTGAGCCTACTTTCACCGCGGAGAAATAAGAAAAGTCCTGGCCATCTTGGTCGAGAGCGGCACTGTTCGCGACTGTCGGAGTGTTGGATTGGACAATTTTGTAGGTATCATCACGACGAACGGGGAGCTTTTTGATGTCGAGGGTCAATGGCTTGGCAGCATCCGTGGCGTCGTCCGAGCTATCCGACACAAGCGTCCAGGGGAAGAATCGGCGATGCACATTGTTCCCGGATGAGATGCCGGCAGAAACCTCTACCTTGAGCTCATAAGGGTAGAAGGCGTTGACACTGGTCGAAAGGCCCGCAATGAGCAGCCACGGTGAGAAACGCATGATCCAACGGCGGATCTAGTAATGGTGGAATGAGGCCAGCATCGATGGATTCCACGGTCAATGGAGTTCAGAAGATTTGCTGTGGCGTGATCGTCTGTTGAGAAAATCGTTGATATCAATGGATTTTGTGTTTTGAAGAGATGATGGAGTCAGGGGACCGAGGAAAGTGATGTACAAAAGCGACCGAATTATCTGCAAGAAAACACAAGGCAAACAATGCAAGATGCAGGGAAAATAAATACAAATGAAACAAATGAACGACAAGAAAAGAAGAATTAGCAGGTCCAAAATAGAGACCGCACGACGAGGAGGTTGGAAAAGAAAGAGGAGGAGTTGTCGTGCAGTGGACGTGAGGGGGAACTAAGGTGGCGGACTTCTTCTTTAGGGGGAAAGGAGGGTCTCCACCAACTGCCAAAGAACCACTCCAGCAAGTCCCACGACCTGCTTGAACACCTGCTTGGGGAAAATCCTCCCCCTAATGCCCTCCCCTGACAAGCCCGCTAGACCCATGTAGGGTTTAGGGCGTGTTGCTCAGACTTGCTTTGGGGAGTTAAAGATCCACCGAAGGTCTGTTCCGGGCTGCGATCGGCTCGCTGGTCGAAGCTAGCGGGGCGCTAGTTTGAGCGTCGTGCAACGATGAATGGTTGCTCGAAAACTGGAGAGAAGAATCAAGGAAATGAAGAGCTGCATGAGTTCTTGCCTCTACAGGTGCATTGACTACGGAGAACGTATTGGTAAATTCAATCTGTGGTCTTAGGTGGAATATCAATGTTAGGTGGCCCATTATGCCATGAATTTGGCGTACTTTCTCCAAGTGTGCGGCCATGTTACATTTGTCCCAAGGTTTGTCTCTCGTGCACGGTGCACGGTGCACCAGTTGGCTACGCAAACCAGTGTTCTCAAGGAGATTTTGCCTCGGCTGCTGACTGGCTGGTTCGATCTTTAATTTACGGCCTAAGGCATCCTCGACAGGTCTAGACTTGTCAATTGCTGCACTACTCTCTCCACCCCCCAGTCTCGACCACATCTTCAATCAATATTCCCGGACGGTGGAGCCTGTTGTTAAGAATAGATCATACTCCCTACAGATGACAGTACGTCGTTGCGATGCATCAACTCCCGTCCTTCTTGACCTAGCAACCGGCGGGTTCTTGCATTATTGGCCGCGCAACCATCTTTCCGTTATGCAATACACATGCACACGGACGGTGGAACACCAGAGCGTTGACAGGGAATACCTAATTTTGAGGGAATTCGTTTACTCCTCAATTTTCAACTCACATGCATGAAAGCTATCTATCGTTGATCATATCCCTGTCCGGTCGGCTTTTTACTGGTTCAACAACATCAGTAACTAAACTACCATGCTAGAGATTGGATAGCTTGTATGTAGCTCGCCGTAAACACACCTTAGTTTTCAATTGGACGGTATCGAGACTCGAGCTACAGACGTGAAACAGGGAAAAGCTACGGTGTCTTCATATATCGTTCATTTGGTATATTATATCAACTTTGATGGCATGACCTTGCTGACCATATCTTGTCCCGCGGTACACCCATCGAGCTCCCTACTTATCCAATTCGACCACCTCATTGTCATGAAACGGTAAACCCTTGTTAATACCAAATTATGGCATGCTTCTACTCACTAGAAGCTCAAGTCTAGATCTTCACGACTCTGGTGCGACCGGGGTTTGGTCCAGCCCTTTTTTATGGTGCTCCGCTGAGAGGTTATGTCGGTGTACGTTCCATATATTCAGGTCCAATCTGAAGGCCAGTCAATGGATATGGATAGTGAATGATATAATTCAGGGTACCATCTGTCAGGACTAAGGTTGTTCTTTCAGTCTTCCAGGGTCGATCTGATAAGTAAGATCGAGTTCTCGTTCGGGAGAGACCGGAAGGACTGCTCGCGTCACCAAAAGAAACAAAAGGCCCATCCCTCATGGTTCGATCAACACCCCAACTGGAGTAAAGCATCCTTTGTAGATGATAGAATGTTTTTAACTTAAATATGGACATTTTTAAAATCTTCCCATGCCGACATACTAGCAGTCTATCGACCAAACGTATTCTGCCAAGGCCCTCTTTACCCGGACAACTCTAAATCCTGACCCCAATAGCACCAAACATAAGACTACAAGGAAAACACATCGTATAGATACGTTAACAATATTATCTTAAAACACTCGTTCTCACGTCTATGTCTGTCTAATACTCAATACCCCAATTACCCTCAAACCTGGTCACCCGAGGCAGATCAAACCTGCCCGGACCACTCAATAAAACATCCCACCCTCGGCCCATCCATCGTGGATAAATCTATCTCCCGACTTTAATCCATCACGCAACAACTACGCTCCCTCCATAAGTCCGTAACGATCAAACAAGTTAGCCCAACAGCGCTTCCCAACAAATATTTTCCAAATCCCCCACCACTATCCCGAGGCAATGAGTCAGGCGACGTCAATTGCGTATAGTCACTTGGTGTGCTCGCCGAAAATATCCCGTCACGATCCCGACATGGCGGGGCCTACGGAATAAAACTATACAAAAGAAATTTGATCGGATCGCATGACCTCGGGTCGGGGCATTGGGGTCCGTCGGCAGTTTTTTTAGACGAAGGGTAGTATGTACGGTATCCACAAGGATCGGAATTGATCCCGGAATATTGTTTGAAGATCGGGTGCCGCCGAGTTATGGTTTAGGCTGCTGGGTGGTGTAGGCTTGTCGATCAGGGAGGGTGAGGTAGGGTTGGTTGGTGGGATAGACCTCGGCAAAGTGGATGGGGGTTCGCGGGTATGACGGTAGTGGTGAGAGTTTGGAGCATGGGTGAGGGTTGAATTGTGGTTTACTGGATGCTATTAGATGGGAATTGCTGGATTGGATTTGGGTGTTGGTGGTGTTTAGCATATTGTCTTGAATAAAAATCGTCTTAGGGTATGCAAAGTAACGGCTACGTTTTAGAGGTCGGGACAAGAAGGATGTTGTGTCGAGGCTATGCAAACCATGCAAGCCTAGTAAATTACTTCATTGTGGAAGTATATAGATCAAATCCGTTAAACAAAAGGGGAAAGAAAAATTACATCCCACGCTAGCGTTCCATCCAGAGAGCGAACGAACAATATCCCAAATCACAAAAAGAATAGCAAAAGTCAGACTCGACTCGGACAAGTAATCCCAGCATCGCACCAAGAGAATTCGTCAACAGGTTCATCCGATCAACATGGCGAGCAAACCATCTTGCCCTACTTCCGGGGAGCAGTCTCCTTGGGGCCAAGCACATCGTCCAAGAAACCGGCCCACAGCTCCCGGACCACACCAGGCTCCTTCCTAGGCCCATTCGACCTGGCCAACTCCTCGCCAATACGACTCCGCCCCACAGCCTCCGTCAACGAGAAGGGATCAATATCGACGGCGTGGTTATCCACAACCTCGCTCATGGCAGAGGCAGCGCTGATGTCACCGCCGGAGACGGTGTAGATCTGGGGCTTCATGGGTGGGGCGGACGGGGCCGCAATGTCGTGGTGGGAGGTAAGGTCGGGAAGGACCGGGACTTGAGGGAAGGAGGGACGGGTGGAGGGGGCCTCGAAGTTGGACATGGCGGGCATGTAGATGAAGTCCACCGTGGAGGAGTCGCCAACGGCTTTTTGGGAGCGGGAGGTGTTGAAGGAGCGGGTTGGTTGGCTGGACAAGGAGGTGGTTGTTAGTTATGGTTAATTTGTTGGAGAGTGGATGAAGAAGGGGATTATAGATCGGGCAAATTCTCCAAATGTATAGTATTTTCGGGATGGACTTACTCGGAGAAGGCGTTGCTGTTGATACGGCGCATGGCAATGCTGAAAGCACGGCTCTGGAGGACATCGTGGTTGGAGAGGCGCTCAATCAGCTGGAGAGGTGTAAGGGTTAGTCGGTCCAAGCTTCACATGACGTATAGAAGGATCGTTGCGGATATCGAAACGTACCTCGGACTTGCTGCCAGCAGCACGGAGCGAGCGACGTTGGCACTCTTGCTTCAGGTCCGGCAGGGTGCGAGCGGCATACAGGGAGGCCTTGTCGGCAGGGTTGGCGGGTTGTGCAGACTGGACGCCAGTGATGTGAAGGCCACGACGAGCAACTGGAGCCGCGGTGGGCTGCTGGGAGAGCTGGCGCAGGGCGCGCAGGGAGGTTGAACGAGGAGCGGCCATGATGTGTATGTAATGGATGGAGGTGGTGGTGGTGGTGAGGTTGATGAGGATGGTATGATGGTGTTTCTGGAGAATGTAGCCCGGCGAGGTTGAGGGTGTAGTGGTCGAGATGGGAGTGGAATGTAGGAGATAAGAGGGACGGAACAAGAGTGTAGTATGTATACGACTCGAGGTGATGGAAAGTGATAGATAGGAAGGAGGCGGAAAGGAAAGAGATAAAAAATGGCCGGAATGGGCAATGAGGTAACAGGATGGACTTTATACTTGTCCACGGTAGAGTGAGTACCTGTGAGACTGAGAAACTGTCTCGTCCCCTACATGCGGAGTGACCGTCTGGAAAATCGTTGGGGAGAGCTATGAGAATCCACTCTTGGCGGGTTCCCCCGTTATCGATAGTGGGATCCACGTTCCAATAGACCGAGTGTTGACGTCCTCTACTTGCCAGGGGTAGTATTGGATCACTGCCTGGTTTATGGGAAATTCTGACAAGTTCTTCGTGAAGATTCAGAGTCACTACGAGGCAGAAGAGACACGAATCAAAGAGGGGTACGTCTCCTTGTGCCCACGGTGAATTGACCCTGGTGTACTACGCCAGGTACAGTACATACTTCAAGAGAGTTGCCAGTGCTCAAAAGTACGGGATGAAGATCCGTCCCCGTGACCCCCCCTAGGACCCGCCCGGACGGGGAGGCACGGAGTAACCAAGTTAACTAACTAGTCAATACGCTGAATAACTAAGACTTGGGGACCTAGAACACCGGTGGAAGCACTCCCCCTTCACCCCAGCAGGACCAACTCTACCCCGTACCCACCAGCACACACACTGCCCCGGTCCTTCCTCTACCGTGCAGCCTAGAGTCTCCAACGGAAAAAAGAGACGCTCTCTCCCTTCCCTAAGGGAAATTCAGCTTAGGTCCCACCCGTCTTCGTCGCCGGAGTTGTTGATCGTCCTCCCCGCCCCAATTATGAGGCCCCGACCCGCCCACGATGCGCACTACGGGGTCAATCCCGATCGTCATGGTAATCCATCGTGATCAAGTCTGCTCAAAGTGGGTGTTGTCCCCTCGGGCTTGGATAAACACTTTCCGGATTCCGGGGATAAGCCACGATTCCCGACCGTCATCTACCGTAGTCTCCTACAGTAACTGGCGATGACTGGATCAAACTAATATGCTCTGGTCCGCCTTCCCCGCTGGTCCTCATCGTTCCAGTCTGCAGGTCGTCCGCGTCAGCAGAGTCATTGACCATTGACCATTCGTCATGGACAGAATTGACGTCGTATTCTCGATCTGCACAATCTGATTCGAGGAGATCCTCACACGGACAAATTAGATCTGGGCTAAAATAAGCTAGGATCTACTCAACGGTTTGGATAAACGCAGGACGAGGTACGGGGACTAGTCCGAAGTACACAGAAGTCCCATGACCTTCTGGCGGTGAATCCAAAGTCTTACCCTAGAATTATCAACAATCAATGAGAAGGGCTTGGAGCGGTCGACGCTATGCGTATAATGAGATACATACATTCAGCCCGTCACTTCTTATCAAATCAAAATATGACCAGTCCATGTACATACCTGGGAAAAATGCTCATTGCGGGAATCTTCCCAACACGCTAGCCCGGTGAGATTCTATATACTAACAAGATCGCCCGAAGGTACAGTACATACATCTACAACAATCAACAAGTGCTCCCTGCGTACCCGCCAAGTTTCCACGCCCTAATTAAACCTACCATTCCAATCTGTTCTCCTCCACGAGCATCTCCAAGTCCACACCGCTGGCGGAAGCCCCGGATCACCCCTCTTACCCCCCCATCACCTCCTCTCTCGCCAGCTCAAATCGCAGGTCACAGGACCCCTCATAGGCCGTGGCGCAGCCTCATTCTAACCGAAAATACTACATTATAAGCTCCAAATATCGTCGTTATATCCAGGGGTGCACATCTGTAAGGGCCAGCCTGGGTAAGTGTCACAACCTGTGGGTGGGATTCCGGGCGCGCGAGGTGGAATGCTTTTCCCCTGTTGTGGTACGGTACATCCTTGGCACAATTGGAGAAACACAACGATATGCGACCGGGGGATTCGATGGGAAGTGGGTCATGATGCTCCTGTGGATGGATTCTCGATGAAAATCATACGATCGAGGGTACGCATACTAAGTATACTCAAATACACCTAATCAGTACGGTCCGGTTTCATTGCCTTCCTATATACTTGTGTGTTAAGTAAGTAGTAGATCTAGGTATGTACCTCATATGTAGCATCGAACCATATAACCCTGAACCTATCACACAAACCCCTCCTCGCCCCTTGAACTATAATGCATCACCGGTGAGTATCACAATCTTAAATTTTGGAACTCCGTCCTCGGCCTTTGGCAATGGCCCGGGCGTAGGGGTGTGCTCGGGATGCCGGGACCAAGTGGTCGACATCACCCGTGTGCACCAAGTCGGGACTGGCCTCGTCCAACGAGGTGATCCCGACGTTCCGCATGGCCGTCTCCAACTCATCTTGCATGACTGTGGTGAAAAACAAAATGTTAGTCTCGAAACGCAAGCTCCCACGAGTTGACTCCAACTCATTCAGCACGACACCAGGACAGACTCAGCATCATCACTTACTGTCAACTAGATGCTCCACACCTTCCTGTCCGTAATTTGTCGCAAACAGCATACTCCGACCCATACCCACGGCTGTCGCACCTAGACAAATGGCCTTGAGAATATCCGTCCCGCGCCGGATCCCGCTATCCACGTATACTTCTATCTTCTTCAAGACCTCTGGGCATCGCTTCTGAATCTCCAGCAACGTGATGATCGACGGCGGACTGGTATCCAAGTTCCGGCCCCCGTGGTTACTCAGTAGGATGCCATCCATGCCGGCCTTCAGAGCGAGCAGCGCGTCATCCGCGGACATGACTCCCTTCAGACACACCGGCTTATGCGTGTGCTCTCTGACCCATCGCAGATCTTCCCACGTCAGGCCTGGATCGATGAACCCGGCCATAACACGGCCGAGACCGCCACCTTTCTTATCATTCTGGGCCTTGGAGGGCGACATGGGTACTGATAAGCTCTCGTCGGCTTTGACCCGTTCGTCGGCTTCGCGTTTGCCGGGCCAGGCGGCGTCTACGGTCACGAAGATGGCTTTGATGTTGGGGTTCTCGGAACATTGGCGGAGTAGGGCCGCGGATTTTGCGCGATCACGGTTGACGTATAGTTGGAAGAAGAAGCTGGCTGATGGGGCTGCTGTGCGTAGTTCGTCCATGGTGTAGGAGGAGTTATTGGAGATCTGTCAAAGGATCAGCGACGTGCAATCAGGGTCAAACAGCGTAGACCAATACTCACACCCTGCATAATTCCTTTACTCTCGCATGCCCGTGCAATTGCACATTCTCCCTCCGGATGAATCAATTTAGCCATCGCCGCTGGACTCACAAACAGTGGCAGTTTGAAGTCTCCGCCGAGAATCTTCGTCCTCGTATCGACGGACCGCACATTTCTCAATACTCGCGGTCGAAACCATATCCGGTCAAAGCAGGACTTGTTCGCATCACGGGTAATCAAGTCTGTCGCCGCACTGGAATAGAATGCCCACGTTTTCTTGCTTGCCGTCTTAGATGCGACCACCTCAAAGTCATGTGCGTTGATTAGGGTTTCTAAAGGTGGCTTTTCATTGTCCAAGAGGACTTTGGGGTTCTCTCCTGGTGGTGGCTTGAGCCATGCGTCGTCGATGGAGGACTCGTCTAGCACACCTTTGAACTTGTCGGCCTGGAGGTTGGTTTTGAGGACGCTGGGAGCGTGGACTTCTGAGTAGGCTTTTGTCGCGTCGTGCCCTGCATATTTCAAGATGACTATGGCAGAAATCGTTAGTTTACTTCAGTCGATGAATTGCGCAATCTCTTGGTTCGTACTGGATGATCCGCCTGGATGCTCGTCGAGGAAATCAGTGACATCCCACACTTGGTTGTCGACCACTATCCAACAGTCTTCTGGCGTCTTGTGCTCCGAGACCTGTTGCGTAGATAAAAGCTTTTGGCCGGCCATCCTGGCGAGGGACCGTATGTCACACTAGTCTGAATGATTTTTGAATTGCACGATGCAATGCCACTTAAATTCGGGGACTCTTTGCGGCCGCAACAATGATTGTCGGCTGAGGTCAAGTCGAAATGTGCAAAAGGAAAAATTCAGCCAGACAGAGAAGGCTAAATACTCAGCAAGGGCCTAGTGTTTCTATCGCGGTGATTCTCCGTGTAACATCCAGAAAGTCTCCACCACGGCAATGTCCCCGGACTTACCCCGGAATTTAGCACTCCTTAAAATTCCCAGATATCTGCCCAAGTGAGATTTCTGGTCTATTTTGTAGGAACACAATGGCACGGCGAACTTATAAAGAGCTCTCAATTCCTCCGAGAAGCTTTCTCATTTAGTTGTGTTCTGGATGGTTCAGAACAACTCGTAGGATGACCACTTCGGGATAATGCCGCCCGACGCGTCCACTCGCACCTTTGAGAATGATACGCCTCGCTTTTGCCTTGAAGTATCGGCATCCACTTTCCCCGTAGGCCGCCAGCCTCATATATCTGTCGTCTTTGTACGGTGCAATCCTACAGCAATCAGTATCGGCGGATCACCGACACCAATCCGGATTTCTCTTCGGTTTTCTCTCCGCATGTCTTGGCCCTGAGTGTCTGGCTTATGTAAAGCCAGTGCCTCGGTGCTGCGCCACCAATCGGGGAGCTAAGCCCTAGCTGTGGCTGGTGACTTCAGTTTCGTGAGTCAACAAAAATCGGGCGTCGCGATAGACAGCGGTTAGCCCTGATAGCGCAGATTCAACTGCCAACGCAAAAATCATTTTGATTTTGTCATTTTCTCATGCGCATCGTATCTGCTGGAGCCAGGGGTCTGAAAACTTTCGGCAGTCTCGGTACTTCGGCGATTAAAGCCCAGAGGTTCAACAAATCCTCGTTTCAGAGGAACAAGTCTTCGGGCGGTTGTCTGAACGGTGTGCAAAGCGTCAGCCCAGGTAAGCATAGCCTTTGAGTCATGACTTAATCCTCGTTGGTACAACGCATACATTCCGTCGCTCTAACGTCGGAGTTGGAAGCATATAAGGCTGACACCGCACAGAACTCTCCCGGGTGAACAAAATCAGTTCTCACTCACATCAATATCCAAGCTTTCCCAAGATTAGCTCGCAAGTTTCTGCATTTTCCACATCTTCAAAGCAACTCACGGTCAAAATGGAGGAGTCAAGCAAGCCTCTCCGATATGTTGATGTGGGTTTATATCCTTGGCTGCAAAGTCTTGGCGCATAGCCGTTGAGCCGCAAAAAACCTAACTTGAACCATCATATAGATAGGTATCAACTTGAGCGATCCCATGTTCCGTGGTCATTATCATGGCAAGCAAGCCCACGATGATGACTTGGATGATGTCATCCAGCGTGCAAAGGATGTCGGTTGTGCCAAGTTCATGGTCACCGGTTCAGATCTAGTCGAATCTGAAGCAGCCGTACAAATAGCCCGAGACTATCGTAAGTAGTAAAATCATAGTACGGTGCAAGCATTCAATGTGGCTGATCAACATCTTCATAGCTGGCTTTTGCTATGCCACCGTTGGTGTGCACCCTTGCCAGGCAAAGCTCTTCGACGAGTACCCAGGTGGTCCATCAAAGATGATCGAGGATCTCCGAAAGCTAGCCCTCGAGTCCAAGGAGGCAGGATTTACCGTCGCCTTTGGTGAGATTGGCCTCGATTATGACCGACTGTTCCTCAGCAAGAAGGAGCCACAACTCAAGTACTTCGAGGCCCAATTAGACCTTGCCATCGAGATTGGACTGCCACTGTTCCTCCACTCCCGAGCTGCTAGTGAAGATTTCGAGAGGCTAGTGGCCTCGAGACTTGATAGGCTTCCGAAAGGTGGTCTTGTGCACAGTTTTACTGGAACGATGGAGGAGATGCAGCGGCTCGTGGCGCTCGGTCTGGACATCGGCGTTAATGGCTGCAGCATGAAGACGGAAGAGAACTTAGAAGTCGTGAAGGCTATTCCATTAGAAAGGTTACAGATCGAAACTGATGGACCTTGGGTATGTACTTGATCACCTAGGTCTCGTTGATAGGTCTTGGACTAACCGCATCATTTCAGTGTGAAATCCGTCCCTCGCATGCATCGGCCAAGCACTTGAACGGTGCTCCCGATCTTCCCAAATCGGTCAAGAAGGAGAAGTGGCAAAAGGGTCTTATGGTCAAGGGACGTAATGAGCCTGTAGCCATTGCCCGCGTTGCGCACGTTATTGCTGCGATCAAAGAGATCTCCGTGGAGGAGGTTTGTGAAGCGTAAGACTCGTCGTTCGGCAATTTCGCTGTATGGGCTTTGTTAGCTAACCAATCAATTAGGGCTTGGAACAATTCGATCAGAATGTTTGGACTTGGCGAGCAGTCTCAATAGCCTCGAGGTCGCAGTTACCTGTCTGACTTTGGACTGCAAAAATCGGCTACTCCTAGGCCTGCCAGCCTGGAGAGCCACGCTCGAATTGCTCAACAAGGGCAGCTATTCTTCATATCGAGCTCGATTCCTGATGATCTAGTCTTTGAACCTAACAGCCATCTCATTGGAGATCAATAACTTTCTGATAGAATTAATAAGCCCGTCGTTCATCATCTTCGATTCAGAGACACATCGGTAATACCAACCATGATCAACGCAATATCATATAGAATACCATGCCCTCATATCTTTATTTACAGGATTACCTCAATTTCAGCACGTCGTTCCTAATGGCCACCTTGTCAGCAAGAGGTTTGATGTGGTGGGCTCGTATAATTGTACTGAAGCTCTAACTAGCATATCGATATAGCCTTCTCCTTCTCGAGACGCTGGAAGCTACTCGTTACGGAGCTTAATCAATTGTGACGTTTCTATTTTCTGGTTACATATTTGCACTTGTTTGTATTTTTCGTCGCCATCGCGTAGGAGCATGACACGTTTAACGTGTTCCTTGGTAACTGGCCGGGTCTTAGAGCATGCGAAGGAGCAGGAAACCAAGCTCGTAGCTTTTGTTCCAATGCAGCGCACCAGATCGCTTGTCCGAAAGTCCTTCGGGTGCGCGCAGCCCTGATACGCAAATAGTCTGAGGCCCAGCGCTTTGAATCCCTTGCGAGGAGTGAGGGCTTGGTGTACGGCGTCTTATTCTTCGCATATGGGTACAATGTTCACGACGGAGTCTGGTACTGTAAGATACGTTGTTGTCTTCATCCACTTCTTGGTTTTGCGTTGCGCCCTCGAGTGTGTGCACATAATCTTGTGCAACTGGTTGATACTGGTTTCTTGTTCGAAATACACATGTGTAGCTTAGAATCAACATCCAATGTTAAAGACAATGCATGGCTACAGTTCAATCCAAAGGCTTTTGGAATGAATTATCGCTACATCTCTTCGAATCATGCAATCAAGTCGTAGCCGTATTGTATTAGACAATAGCGTATGCAAATATGTAGCATCATCATCCTAGGCCATTATGGTTTGTAGAGACTAACAAAAGTCCATGCACTCGAAACCCTCATCTGCATCAACGCCTTCCTCCATCAAGATCTCATCCGAAAGGAGAATATCAAGATCATCCAAGTTCGAAGGCAGGTACTCGGATACCTGTGAAAGACTCTCAATAGATGTCTGTGTTGTTTGAGATATTTCAGTTCCCTGAGTTGATTCATGAAGGTCTCCAAAACTAAGCATACTGCTGCCTTCGGATAGCAGCTCATCCAACGCCCGAGGATGGTTCATGTTTGGAGGAAGATTGGTATCGCTGTCCAGTCCTAACATCTCGCTATCTGAATCAAATTCTTGCTCTGCGGGTTTTAGCAGAATAATGTCATCATCTGAATAGATGGAAGACTTTCCTGATACGCAATTTGACTCGAAGAATGATCCAGATCTTTTGGAGGCTTTGACATTGGACAGCCTATGCTGCGCAATGCTCCATAACGATGACTTTATTGCGGACTCGAAGTTTGTTGTAAGTGAGGTTGTGTTGTCACGCGGGGTGCTTGATACCGAAGATCCGCCAGGGCTGGTTGACTCCTGTAATGCAGCAGACATTTTGCTCTGGATGTCAGGGTTGTTGTTGTTTTCGAGCATCGACATGAGTGACCGGCTGATTGTGGAAAGAGACACTGCCCGCTGTTTCATCGCCTGAACGTCAATTAGTTTCATTCCCTCGTTCGTGACACTGGTACGTACTTACTTCGCGGTATTCGGGATTCAAGACTGCAGGTGCAAGTACGGACAGATTTTGAAGTTTGTTTTTACCAACCACTTTGATGCGATGGTTTCTGATAACACCCGGGAGAATCAATCTTTGTAGGCCAAAGTCGAAAAGATCCAAAAACTGTAGTGAAAGTTGTTCAATGGTCTCAATTTGAGGCTTTTGCCTTTCAGGCCCAACATGCCTGCTCTCATCCATATTGAAAGGCTGGTCAAGTGGGAGGACCGATTCTTGTTTGGTAGACAGAACAAAAGTCGCAACTGCAAATTTTCCGATTGAATGAGTATATTCCATCGAGCAAGATCCAAGCGGAGTCTCAGTCTCATCTTTATGTTTGTATCTCGGTTGCTCCACGATTTGTGTCTCCGGTTGTTGCATGTCGGGGCAGTATGCATATTGCAGATGTAGGTCAATGGATGCCAGACACACTGCTGGGACACTGGGAGGGGCGTGAGCTTCTGGCGTACTTTGCAAGATAGGAGGAAGTCTTCCAGTATTTTCAGGGGCACTTAGCGACTCCCTCCGACAGAGACCAAACTCAAGGCGATGAGTTCCTGGAGCTGCAGAAATCCCCATTTTGGTGCGACTCTTGTGGATAATGTCGAATCCCAAATCGGGCCAAACCTGCATGCAACTGCTGTAAAGACACCACATAGTTCCAAAACAGCTATATGACTGTAATCATACCTTTGAATTGCAAAGCCCTTCCTCCAGAGCTGCAGCGAATTTGGGTCTCGTGGTCTCAATCGGAGGGTCAGCAGCTACAAAGATGCGTAGCTCGAGTTCTGGGGCCTCTGTGATCCACAATGACTTGAGGTCTTTCCAGTCTTTGAAGCTGATCCTTGGGCTTGAATTCGGACCAACGGCGACTTCAGTGAAATTTGCTGTCGCGCTGAATCGCAGCTGTAGCAGTGAGTTCGTGGCTTGGAGCAGAGCGTGCCCTAAGTCAATTGGCCGGGTCATGTTGACAGTGGGTCTGAATTAGATGCAACTACCTCAAGATTCAAGACCCTGGTCAATTAAATGGAGACACAATAGAATGACTGATCAGATCGAGAGCAAGAAAAGTGCTGCAGACCTAATCGATGGAGTCACGCCGTTGACATGGCCTGAGGCACGAGCAAAGCACATGATCCTGCAAAGTCATGGAGAGCACCATAATATATAACCAACATTTATGTATGTAATTTAGATTTGCATTATGTATTAAGAGAGAGCCCATACCAGATTCCTTCGCAGAACTTACTTCAAGTCAAAGTCAACTACATTTCAAGGCCTTGAACTACGAATACACCATTGTTCTGACACCGGGTATATATGCACGTGAATTTGTCCCCAGCCTTGTCCATCATTACAAGAAAGCCGCCCGTATGGGCTAGGTTATCATTAATTATTCTCTTCAAATGGATCCGTACCTTGTACCGCGCTAGAAAAAGGGTCCTTGCTCGATGATCTCATCCTGCGTAATTCGCCTCCACTTATCGAGCCGGTGGAAATCGTCGCGTGGAGCGGCGATCAACAAAGAGCTCTTATCGATAAGCATCACGTGCAAACCCCATACGCTGGCCTCAATGGCATCCGGATTCATTCATCATGAGCTTCAAGGTCAAAGATGCCCGAAGATGAACGAGATAATGACCTCCTCACTGGCCGGAATGGCCAGCATGAGCATGAATCTCAGTTTCTACTATCCTCTCCTACAGAAGAGGAGGAGGATCTCATAGACCATTCCGCCTCGACCGGCTCACCCCCGGTGCCTGCAAGCAGCACCCGATCAGATACACAGCGCCAATCCTCACTATTACATCCCACTCCAGACGGACAGCGTCGTGCACCTCGTACAACAAACCGAGTCCATTTTGATTTGGAGGAGAATGATGAGGAGGACGAGCACTATTCGAATGGACGGGCCGGCAGCCCTGACAGCGATGCGCCATGGTTAGACGACGAAGACTACGAGCTCGGCGAACAAGGCAGGTCGGGGGTACGAAACACAGGGCAGACAGTTCCTCTGCTCACCAACATCGAGGCCCCGAGTGTGACACTCGCCACATCGGACGACTTCTTTCCTGAGGAACATCTGGAGAGCGCGCGCCCGAGGAGTGGGATGAAGATGGCGTTTATGAACATGGCAAACAGTATTATCGGAGCAGGAATCATTGGACAGCCCTACGCACTTCGCCAGGCCGGTATGGCCATGGGGATATTGCTGTTAACGGCATTGACTGTGACAGTGGACTGGACGATCCGTCTGATCGTCGTCAACTCCAAAATGAGCGGAGCGGACTCTTTTCAAGCTACTATGCAGTACTGCTTTGGAAGAAGCGGCCTGATAGCAATCTCCATTGCACAATGGGCATTTGCATTCGGCGGCATGGTTGCCTTTTGCATCATCGTCGGCGATACGATTCCGCATGTGCTTGGGGCCCTTTTTCCCTCCCTTCGAGAAATGTCCTTCTTTTGGCTGCTCACTGATCGTCGGGCAGTCATTGTGCTTTTCGTTCTCGGTGTCTCTTTCCCACTCTCTCTTTACAGAGATATTGCCAAAGTGAGATTGTCTCCTTTTATCGTATGAAATCCCGATGCTTACGGATTCATAGTTGGCAAAAGCGTCTGCATTGGCCCTGGTCAGCATGATAGTAATCGTGGTGACGGTCATCACTCAGGGCTTCCGTGTCCCGGCAGACTCTCGTGGGGAGATAAAGAGTCACCTCATCTTCAACTCAGGGTTTTTCCAAGCCGTGGGTGTGATATCCTTTGGTATGTTACTTGGGCCGAAATTTTGTATCAATCATTTGCTAATATTGAGCCATCTGCAGCCTTCGTTTGCCGTATGTTTCCCGCGACCCTCTGAGGAACGGTGCACTAACCCTCTTGCCAGACCATAACAGCCTTCTGATCTACGGGTCGTTAAAGAAACCAACTCTCGACCGCTTTGCAACAGTGACCCATTACTCTACCGGAGTATCTCTGGTCATGTGTCTGGCCATGGGCATTGCAGGATTCCTTTCCTTTGGCTCGAAAACGCAAGGAAATGTGCTCAACAATTTCCCGTCAGACAATATCTTAGTCAATATTGCCCGATTGTGAGGAACCATCCGAAGTATCTGCTTGCCCCGTGTTTTCCAATGCTGACATCCACCAGTTGCTTCGGATTGAACATGCTGACTACCCTTCCGCTCGAGGCCTTTGTCTGTCGCTCCGTGATGACAACCTACTACTTTCCCGATGAACCCTACAACCCCCATCGGCATCTCATATTTACGACGGCTCTGGTTCTGACCTCGATGGCGTTGGCGTTGATAACCTGTGATCTTGGCAGTGTTTTCGAGCTGATCGGAGCAACCAGCGCGGCGGCTCTGGCATACATCTTCCCACCCCTTTGCTACATCAAGCTCAGCAAAGCATCGCGGCGGGAGAAGATACCAGCTTATGCATGTGTTGGGTTTGGACTAGTAGTCATGAGCGTCAGTGTCGTCCAGGCGGTTGCCAAGATCATTCGAAGTAGGTGACCCTTCGAACTTCATGGAAGGTGTTCCATAATTATCGGCTCAAGCTAATCTTTTTTTTTCCCCAGATGATGGCGAAGGTCGCTCTTGCAGTGCTTCCTAATGCTATTTCTGTTGTTTTCATTAAGCATTCATCTATAGAATCTAGCTCTTTCCCGCTGGTTGCATCACCTTGTACATATATTGCCCAGTCACAAAGAGAATCTTTATTGCAAGATAACGCTGTTCTAGATCCTTACTCTGCCGAATTCGTTTCTAAACACTATCCACCTGGATAAAAGGCTACAAGTCACTCTTATTTTTGCCGCACAATAGGGACGGTTCTCCCTCGCCAGAGGTACAACGCCGTGTTGGTTTTCCTGAAGTGGAAGCTTGCACCACAATTTGGTAACCCTGCTGCAAGTTTGGCAGTCACAAGCACATCTGACCCACGTTGATTCGTTTACCCTCCACTTTTCTCTTGCGTTCTTTCCCGGCTTCCTCACCTTTCCTTTCTACACCCTCTTCCCAACCGCTTCCCAACCTCAATCGCTTCGTATCTCTCTCAATCGCTATTCTAAGCACTTGTCATTGATCTTCTCACACCATACTTTTGCCCCCGCCTCTGCTTCTGGCTCCCGGATACCAAGAAATCTTGACTGGCTCCGTTGGTGGTATCCCGACTCTCTGTCGGTGAAGGCCTCACGCGGAGCTTGTCCGTCCATCAACACCTCTCCGCACCTCAATCGCATTCTCCGCGCCTGAGTCCACTTTGTCTCTACCCCCTAACACCTCTCCGAACCTCAATCGCATTCTCCGCGCCTGAATCCGCTTTGTCTCTACCCCTCAATCCCTTTCATCGTCCCTCTAGTATCATTCACTCCAACGCAGGTGTTCAACATGGCCGCCGAACCTAAGAAAATGACCGACGCCGAGGTAGACCGCCTCAATGCATTGCAAATGGTGAGAACATCCCAGCATTTGATATTCTCGGTCTCCATGGTCTATCATGGATTAGCTGTGGACTGACTTGACTCGACAGGCCGATCTGGGCACGGCCCGCCGTGAGCATATTTCAACTGCAGATGACACTCACCGGCATGTTCAGGCCGATATGGCAGCTATCGAACGGCGCCGACCCTCGAATATCGCCGGGACAATGGAATACAAGCAAGCTCAAATGAACAAAAGCTCTTTGGATGCCTGGACAAGTATGTTTCAAGATCAAGATCTGCTTTTCGGCAAAGAACTCCTACTAAGAGCATACTCTAGATTTCCATACGACTGTGACAGACACGGGCACTAGGGAGCAGCTGGATGATCTTATGCATGGTCAGACACACCGTGCTCATCTCAGTGCAACGCTGGCAGCGCTGCGTAAACCCGAACTTGCCTGGCAACCTGCAAATCAGGACGCAAGAGCACGATCCGTCAGTCATGTATCAAACAACCATCCCTATCCTCGACCATCCTCTGGCCGTGGTGGTGGAATCATTGGTACAAGATCGCACCACCAAGTATCACCTAGCCGGTAAGTATAGGTCTGCCTCCCATGATAGCAAGCATTACTGAACTAGATACAAGGAACGCTACCCGCATTGGCGGACATACGGGTACTTTTGACTTTCCAACGAGACAAGACCCTGCCCTGGATATCAACAATCCAGAAGAGGCAACTTCCCGTTCATTCCGAGGCAGGAGAGTCTATCGGGCACCCAGCAAGAAAGTCAGCCACACCGGCTTTAGGGCTAGAGTGCCGGAAACCAGGCTGAGAAGGCCCCAGTCGAGGTGGGTGAACGCTGACAGGAACCAGCAGTGTCTGTTATGTCTGTGAACTGACAATTCACTCCCCCCAGCGATAATTATGCTGCACGATTGGCTCCCCCGGACGACTTCATGGCCTCAATCAGGGCACACTCTGGCCCATATGCAGTCACGGCAAAGACACCGCCACACCAGCCTCAAAAGGCTATCCCGATTCCAAATATTGCGACGACTCCCGAGACTGTCATGGTTCCAAGGCCTGCCATGACTCCCAAGTCGGACATCACTGCAAATCCAGCCAAAGGTCCAAAGCCTGTCGCAAAATCATCACTTGATGATTCCATGTATGCCATTCCTGCGTCTCCGACTGCAGCTGCAAGAGTCATGGACAATATTCCGGGGTTTCCAAGTCCCAACCGCCGCACGGTGCCTTTCGAAAAGACGGCTGCTTTCAGCAGTCGTGCAAAGGCAGCTCGTTCCAAGCCAGCCGGGAAACCGACTGTTGAGCGACAGGAAAAGAGCAAGGGCGATGAAACAGCTCCAAGTCTCCTTGAATTAGGCCAGGATGTTCAAGAGAGTGCCCAGGCTCAGCTCCGTGACTTGTTGCTCAGCCCGGGCATTGCTGCAGATCTTACGGGAATCACTTTTCCCCCAGGTGATGATTCTGCCTCGAGAGAGTACAACTCTAAGTTGCAAGGTTCGCATTACCCTAGTCTTAAAGCGTCTCGGATACTAATTAGAAAACAGAAAAATATGCAGAGATTTCCCAGACGTTGAAGCAGATGATCGAGGAGATCGAGGGACAACCAGGGTGGCAGGGGGAACAGATGGAACCTCGCGAGGACTTATTAAGAAGACTCAAAGAATCGGAAGCCCAAGCTCGTTCGATGGCCACGCGTTTTTCTACCCTTGCAATAGGCCAGGGGGAGTCGCTCGCTAAGCCAAAGGCAGGGCCAAATCCCCCCACCCTTGAGCGAATGCAGGCATTCAATACTGCAATGCCAAAGACTGAAGGAACATCTGCAAAGCCTGAGACAGATCAGGTTAGCAAATCCGGTAGCTTTTATAGCTACCGCACTCCAAAGCGAAGTGCTTCTGGCAGCGGCACTGACTCCTCGAATGAGAAGAGACAGCGCAGAATCGATGCGTCACTTCTATCGCCGAGCAAGACGGCTCTTGCTTCCGACATACCTGCCAGGCAATTCGAATGTCTGCGCCTTTCTGAGTCTAGCGCTACCCAGAAGTCCCCAAAGGAACCCCTGTCTCTCATTGACATGGACGACGACCTGACCCCAACGAAGGAAGCCATTGTAAAGGCTACTACCAATCCAACCCTCGGATTGATGGAAGAGTCTATCTTTGCGACTCGTTCTGACAAGGTAGAGATGATCAGCGTTCGGCCCTTCCTCCCCTTCGCGTTCATACACAGCCCCGAGGCTATGATGGACTTCCGCACCGCACATGGCAGCTCCCCAACCACCCAAAACACATTGAGTCATACAACTGACGATCTCGATTTCCAGGCTCATGCCACTTCTGAAGAAAACCCAGCCTTGTCCGTCTCCAAGGCTCCACATGCTCCAACTTCTGGAAGTATGGCCCAAGTGGTGGCCAGGGCTCAGCGATCTGCATTGGTTCAAAGTAGCTCAAACACTTTGAAAGAGGCCTCCGCAAAGGGATATTCATCAGCGGTGGGTCTCAGGTCGTCTCAAGAGCCGACTGAGAAGGCGTCTCGGGCTATTTCTGGGGGTATGGACCAGAGCATATGGGCTCATACTGACAAAGGACCTTCGAAGTTTGTCCCCAAGGTAAAAAGCCATTATGACGATTTCAAGAAAGAGACTAACAAATTATAGTTACAAAATCCGCCACAACAGCATCCTCGAACAAAATTCAGCTCTTGGCGTCAAGCCGGCATGCAGTCCACTAGCGCGGAGGATACACCAGCGCCCAAGATTTCATTTCAAGGTCCCGCACCCTACATGCCTCGGCGCAAGTGAGCCGAAGTCCAAATGAGGAAGTACAAGTTCGATGTTTGATTAATAGAGAATGTAAAAATATGTATTATTCTGAAAACTCGTTCCGAAGTCATAGCACGTACTGTCCCAGCCTTAGGCCGTTTCTCTTTGAGAATATTAGCATCTGGGGATTTTGCGAAGAAGATTGAGGGAACCCAAGTAGACTTTAAAGTGTCATCATCAATTCTGTCTAGTCCCCTCCAGGTTTGCTTTTCCCTTAGCCCATTTCAAATCTCTGTATCTCGTCCTAAGACCGCCTCTCTGAGAGATCCTATCCGAACCGAGGTGGCATGAGATTAAGCAAGAAGGTACGTAGCATGACCTCCATTGAATATGCGTATGTCAAAGAACACACTTACTATGCTTTTGAATCCGTATATTCTCTGTAAGGCACCATTGGAGTGAGAAGTCAAGTCAGCAATCTTGAAGGTAGGTATTACCTCACCCGCGCTTGGTACGGAGATTAAACTGTGAAAGGTATCCCTCCATTTCCTTGTGTAATTATGCATGTTCCACAACTCTCCATACCCAATCTACTGATTCTACCGACCTCTTACCTGCGAATCATTCTTACACTGTTCATTCCCGGTCATTGAGCGTCTTTAGGTGATGTACGACTCTTTGAACACGGAGGTGCAGACTAGGCAGATTTAATTACCACATGGAGGGACTCTGATTTAATACGTGGTGATCTACTATATTTTGAACTAGTTATCTTCATAAGTACTGCTAGTTAGAAGTATGATTACCCGCTCGTTGACGGAATATATCCTGGGATTGTTGATATTCCGGGGCATGTGGCAACCGGATCTGGAAACTTGATAGATTCTTCAGGCTGGTTTATATTGGCAAATTTCCGCACAAAATTCAAGAAATGGGATAATAACTCAGCTGGGAGAGTGTACGACTGAAGAACAACTTCAGTTTCTGCTATCGTAAAGTCGCCGGTTCGATCCCGGCTTGTCCCATTATCTTTTTTTTCAGATTCTATTTTCTGAGCTGAGGCGGTGGCCGGGTTCCCTAAACAACATCATAGATGATGGGTCTTGGTCTTGGCTCCCAAATGAAGTCGCATTCAGGAATTCGAGCAAGAAAAGTAGCATCTCTCCAGTTGTGCTACCGCTGCATAGACTTCTCTGACTTAAGGCGTGCAACTTCCAGAAAAGGAGGGAGTAGTCTTTTAGAGTCTAGGCTGCAGATAATGATGTCAAGTCTTATATTGATGGGAATATTCGCTTCTACAGCCCTTCACCTCGCGAAATCCCGACATGGTATATGAAATGAAGAACAGCATACAAGGAAGCTATCGAACGCATCGAGGGCCAAATGAGTGGCTTTAAAAATCGTGCGTTACTGGCACTCTCATGGGTCTTCTGCGCGACAATGTCTTTGAAAATCCGGGAATTACAACGCGCACTTGCAGTCAAGACCGTATGACATTCTTCGATCCTGACAACATTGTTGAGAATACGTTGGTGGTCTCAGTTTGCGATGATCTTATGACAGTGGATGAGAGCAGCAACACGGCTGGATTAGTCTACTATACTAGACAGCAGCGACCTGCTATCCGTTATGTAGTTGGACATACACCATGGTACCGACTTCAGGGGACCACGATTTACGGGACGGAACTATATTGCCGTTCACTTTGTGGCGGATCACGAGCGATACGCTGACTAGGAAGACGCGATGCCTGCGATTGTACGCACACACAATGTGTCCCGCTCTCGTGGTAGAGTCTGACCACTATGGATGGCAGGACCAGTCACCATGACGATTAAACGGCCGGATGGTTTAGGATCACATTTATTGCATAAGGTGGGCGTAAGGCGTCTATACCTGCGTTTATGGATCTAGCAAGACTCGCTTTAATTCATCCTAAGAGGTAACGTTATTGGTTGCTTACTTCTAGTATTGCAAGTAGAGTAAAATACTTGCCAATACCATGTTAATTCGAAGGACCTGGCCTAAAATTTCAGCAGGTACCTGTGAAATAAATAATTATCCGTTCAAGCGCAAGGTAATCATGATGTTGACCTTTAAATATGCTCTGTATCAAATGTGTATGTATTCATTATCCTGATTGGGTCATGGTTGGCAAGGAGGCCCTACTAAGAGAAGATGAAATTTTTACGTCCTAAATTGCCGAGAAGGTATGAATACTGCCCAGAATCAAACTGCTCATCCACAATTAATGTTAATACCTTTCTTGGCCTGGGCTAGGATTGAACCATGGCCCCACGAACTAAGTAAGAAAAAGATTGCCTGGAAAAAAAGAATGGGACAAGCCGGGATCGAACCGGCGACTTTACGATATCAGAAACTGAAGTTGTTCTTCAGTCGTACACTCTCCCAGCTGAGTTATTATCCCAATTCTTGAATTTTGTGCCGAAATTTGGATCCAGAATGGCTCCCTTTTTGTGCTGATTTTGTGCCACACCGAAAGTGGCAATTACGAGGATCGTTTATCCTGATCGCCGATATGTCTGTAAACCCTTGTTTTTTGGTTGATTTTTATGAATTAGAACTGTTCAAAGCTCTAGCAGATGTATTGGATGTAGTAAGCTTGTAATCGAGTAATTAGGTAGTTCTTCTCTGCATAAGCTATTGCATGATCTTCCAAGATAGAGATATATCTTGGTTCAGCCCCGTTGGCGAAGCACTTCTCGACTAAACACTAACCAAAATAAGCTGACTTAGAATGCTCCGAGGAAGATTACACTCACCATTTGTGTAAATGTCTAATTGAGCGGTATAAAGCCTCCATAACCACTTCCAATAGCAAAAGGTTACGGTAAATTTTCGAGGCCCTTTCTTTGCTATTGGCATCGGAGATGTTCACTGAAGGAGGGATAGGCTATGTTAAAAGCGTCACATTTTATAAAGCCCACTCACTTAGATCGCCTCTTGCCAGAGGAGATTACCAAGGAAACCAATTTTCTTAGGTCACGATCACTAATTGAATCAAAGTAGTCGTGGACGCGTGGCAGGCTCACTGGTGACTGAGCAAATCAGGAGGATACTTAGATCAGGCTCAGTATGCGAATCTGGTTAATTACCTAATGACCATTGAGCAGCCCAGGTCCACTTTCACCAAGCTACATGCTCAATTTCACTTAGTGGCCTAAAGTGGCAGAGGGTTGAGCAATAGAACGGAGGGGGACCGCCCACAGTAATGAGACCTATACAAGCCAGGAAAACCCTCAAAATAAGTGCAGCCATTGCAGATATGTTTCATTATTCTTCGTTCTTTTTATCCTATCTTTAGAATTTGCCCTTTATTTGATATTCACATCACAGCCCAATGCGAGGTTTACCGCGAAGACGCGGTGCATCCTCACAGAAGGGTCCTCATGTCCTCCATGTTGCGGATACCAGCCAAATTACCATCCTTGACGCGCTTCAGCGTCAAAGCTGCAATCAACGCGGCACCGACACCTGAACCGTCCTCGGCAGCCAAGATGGAGACCTTGTCCTTCTCGGTGGGAGCCCAGTCCAGGATCTCGCGGAGGGCCAGAGCACCGCGGGCCTTGAAGTGAGGGTACTTGGTAAAGACGGATCCGTCCGCACCAACGTGGCAGGACTGGATGTTCTTCTTGGTGCAGATAGCGGCCACACCGCAGGCGGACAGGCGAGCAGCGCGGGTGCCGATCAGTTCGGCCAGACGGCGGACCATCTCTAGCTCGGGCTGCGTGGGGCGAATATTAAGCTGGCGCTCGAAGAGCTCGACGGTCTCGGAGAGGTTCTCATAGGGGTCCTCTTCGATAGCGGCAAGGAAGGAGGCATCCAGCAGGTAGGGCTTGCGCAGTTTGGAAACGTCCTGGCCGTTGAAGATGAGACCGGGCTTGTTATCGATGATGTCCAGCAGGGCCAGGCGGAAGATCTCGCCCAGGTAGAGGCCAGCAGTCATCTTCTCGAAGGCCTGCTGGCCGGGACGAGGTGAGTCACGGTCAATGATCTCGTCGTACTTGGTCAAGGGGAGGACGATGCGCTCGTTGTCAAAGGCACCGTACTCGCAGTTGATGGCGATGGGAGTGTCGGGGGGCAGGTTCATGTGCGCAATCTTAGGTACGGAGCCTGCGTTCTCCATGTAGGCGGCGTTCACACCGGTACCGAAGATGCAACCAATCTTCATCTCCGGATCGGTGTAGGAGGAGGCAATGAGCGTACCAGTAGTGTCGTTAATCAGAGCAGCAACTTTAATGGGCAGGCCCTAGATCATGCGTGACAATTAGACGATACGTTCTTTCCCCCACAAGTGTAAACTGTACAAACGTCTCGCTAGAATGTCACTTACCCGCTTCTTGAGGATGGCCTCGAGAGGAGGAACGACGTCCTGGCCCTCGACACCGTCAATATCGAAACCCTTGGTCCAGCGCTGCAGAATACCGTGGTCAATGTATTCTTGAGTGGCGGGGTAGGAGAAAGTGAAACCCAGAGGCATCTTGGCCAGGTTCTCGTTCTCGTGGTGGAACTCGATGAATTGTTGCAGACAATCCGCAATGTATTCCCAAAGCTCCTCGGCGGTACCGGTTTTCAACTCCTCGGGCATCCTGTATTTAGACTGGGTGATATCGAAGGCACCCTTCTGCTCGGTCAGAGTAATCTCGCAAACGCGCAGGTTGGTGCCGCCCATGTCGAGGGCCAGGAAGGTACCCTGCTCGTTGCCGTCGGGGAAGCCCATGACCCAGGTGACATTCATCGGCTATTGGAAGATCCGTTAGTGGTCCATTGTCGTAGAGATCATCGGTGATCGTGGATTTCTCACAATGTTGCCGCCCTCGACGGTCAGGCCTATTGTTTGGGGAGCTGTTAGTGCCGGGCTCATGTGGTATGACTGGACTCCACGGGAGAGGCGACGTACCCTTCTCGAGCTCCTTCACAAAGTGAGCAACAATCTGCTTGAGTTTCGCGCGGTCCACGGTGAACTGGTCCTCAAAATCCTTGATGGGCTGCAGCAGATTCTGCGGCAGTTCGTGCCT